GAAAGCTTCTCAACTATCCACAAGCCTCTCGAGTGGAGCGGCTCCTCCTTTCGAATGGGGCAAGAAGGGGGGGCGACGCAATTTCCCGTGGGCCGGTGTTCAGGAAATGGATGCTATAACGGGTGCGAAATCCGGACCCTGATATGCGCCACACATTTTCGCTCCTGGAACTTCTCCGTGAGTTATCCTGGTTTTGTTGCCTTCTTTCTTTTTCCTGCAAGCTGCACTTCAAGTGGCGAAAGGCAGATAACGTGCGTTCATATTAAAGTAAAACAAAATAACCATACTACAGCTCCTATCCAACTAGCTGGCCCAGGACCTTGGAGTCGGTGGCCACAGATTAAATATTTCGTCCTAAATTTTAAGACTTCTTCTTTCAGACTGTTGAGTCTCAAGTTGAGGTTGTGAGACTGACATCATGGATCAATTGATGTGTTGTCTCCTCACACGGACCAGCCACTAACTCCGGGCTTTACTCTAAGGTCCGGCTTCCACGAACGACCTGGAAAGGGAAAAGTTGTCCACAGTCACAGCCAATACAACGCTTTGCGTCCCATTTCGCCAAGACAAAAAGCATCTGCCAAGTTGCCAAGACCGGCAGTAAAAAAATCGCCCGTGGTTCGGAGTTTTCCTCTTGCCAAGAGGACCAAGAGCGCTGTAGCCAACGAGAAACCCAGGTTCGAACCAGCGTCGTAGCGTGCGAGGGATTGTGACGGTGGCCAAGACAGTCGTTGGCGCCAAGCAATGTAGGGCTCCTCCCAAGAACGTGGGAATTGTTCTACTTGGCGTGACGTACGTGGGTATTTTCAACGTCGAGTTTATGGGCATTTTTTTTTTCTCAAATCAAGCGGATATCAAACGATTTTTATCAAAAGAAACTGAGAAAAATATGTTCTTAAACTTAATATCACCAGGTAAATACAAAGGTACTTAACATTGGCAATTTCGATCCATCCGCTTTTTTCGTCAGCCTGTCCAACTTCTTGGCTTTTCCAGGGCGGGTGACCATTTCATCGACGGTGAACGGAAGAGACGGAAACTTCGACAAAGGGTCCTATCGAAATGCGGGCGAAGCTTTCAGGACAGCAGAAGCGAAATGCAATGCGACCCGGGGGGAAATAGCCAATACCTCGTAAGCTGATGCGACGGGTCGAGCTTGATGGCATCAATTGATTCTTTTTTCTTGTTTTGCCAAATTTCCCCTTCCCGTCCTGGCTGCAGCTGGCTCACCACTCACCACTCACCACCCCTCGTGGATATACCAGACAGCTTACACTCGGAGTGTCGGCACTGATGAAATCCATTTAGTATAATGGACCAACAATATAGTAGCTCTGCGTTCGTCCCGTGGTGTATCGAGTACCAGCTACGACTCGCAAACTACCGCCCTTCCTTGCCCGTTTCCTCGTGCACAGCATCCGCTCTGGCCGGAGTGGAATGACAAACTAAAATTAGCAGAGCAAAGAAAAGGACTAGGAAATAGGAAATAGGAAACTGGAATAGGAAAAGAAGAGATATTATGTTGCAACGGGCACTGGATCGCCGTCCATCCGTGGGTTCCCCGTTGTTCTGTTTCGAGCAGGTGCTAACAAAGCTAAGAATGTTTGCGCCACTGGAGCATTTTCCACGAGGTCCCTCCTCCTTCCCCGCCCCTCCCCTCGATTTTTCCCACGCGACCCGGAGAAAGCCACGCGTTGACCCGCTGCAAGGCAAGGGGTCAAGGCGGGGGACCTAATCTTTAGAAACAAGAAAGCATGGAAATGACATTGATAGGTGTGGTGTGGTGGTGTGCAAACTGGTGGATGTCTGGATGTTGTGGATGTGTGTGGTGGTGTGTCTGTGTGGTTGCACGGCACATTTTAAAGTCCCCGCGTTTCTCGCCGAGGCCGAGACTAATTTACCCTGCGCCCTTCCTTTTTTGTTCGAGGAGTGTTCCACGGCCGGAATATCATTCGGGGCCCTGGTTTGCGCATGTGGCTGTCAATGGTCATTTTTTTCCCTCCCTCAAATCTTTCTTGGATGATATTTCTTTTTATTATTTTTATTTATGAGGCAGTGAGGCAGTGTATCCGTAATTATTATTGATGGAATCTAGTTTGTACCGTTTGTGATTTAAGGTGTCAGCCCGCATCGGCTGGGTATATCTCAACTCTCGACTCTCCTGTGGCATGAGGCCATGGACGGATGGCATTAGAGACGCTCCTAGTCGTTTCCGGATGTCTGGGTCTCTCCCCGGATGTAAAACTCCACCGCTTCTGTGTCTCCTCCTGTCCCCTCTTCCTTCCTTTCCTTCTCTTACCAAGACTCACTCGACGTGTATCTTTGTGGATACTTCGTAGGGTACCTCGGTACTCTCTGTCCATCGTTGCTTCGTCATAAACCAGACTCTTGAGGGTACAATTGTATTGGAGGGAAGGTGGAGGAGTCCAATGTATTATTGTACACCTTGGGGGTGGGGTCCTTGGACTTCTGACTCGCACACCCCCCTGCCACACTCACAACCCACACACAACACACGCAAAGCTGATTGGGGGGTGGGGTGTGATAAAGAAAGTTGGAAAGTGAAAGTGGGTGTTGAGGAGACTCGCGGAGACCACCAAAAAAATATGGAGTATCACGACGATCCTGTGGGTTTTTATCCATTTTTTCCGTTTGCCCGGCGTTGAGGATGGGGTTTATAGTCTGGAACTTGCAAGTAGATTGTTTATTGAGAATCACCCCATCCAGACCTTTTTTATCCCCCATCTCCACAGATCGTGGATCTGGGGAGTCAATCGGACGCCCTTCAGTGAGGATGTAGTTGTATGTCTGTGAGTATACAGGGAGGGCAAGTAAGGCTCATCATATGGAATGATTCCCTGATGCCAAGCCTGCTAGAAGTGATGCCGATTAGACTGTAGCGTGCCACGCGAGGTTGACTGCCGGCCGAACTCCTGCGCCTCGAGCTCAGGTCGAGTCTAGTCCAAAGGAAAGATCCTATCCATGCGGCCGATCTCTGTTCGAGCTTCGGCAGTCATGTTCAGCTTTGAAGCCCTACACGGCGCTCTAGTAGTGTAGTGTGTTGGATTTCTCCAAACTCCCCCAACTGCTGTAATCTTGAATCAGCCTTAGTGTGTGGAAAAGCCCCACGGTATCCCTGCTCCCCTTTGTCCTAGCCTCTGGAGCTAACCTAGCCTTTGGACCCGCCTGCTTCGTATGAGATCGAGTGGGTTGTAAACTCCACCAGTGTACAGGATTTTGTTAGCGTGCTTGAACCTTATACGTACGAAATTCGAATTTCAAGACTGCGGACGAGAACCTCATCTCCTAATTGGGACAGCGGGGCCGTTACAGGACTGCTTCTCTCTCCCTCCCCCTCTCTCTCTCCCCCGCCGGGCATACAGGAGATCTTATCACGTTGGAAAGGAAATCACACGCCCTTACTTCGTAGGTGTTACTAACTGCCTTTCGTTTTCCTCGCGCCCCCGATGCTTTTCCCTTTGTACCCAAGGACCCCATGGATGCGATATCAACGGTTACTCGGCATGTCAGTAGCTGATGTAGGTGTGTTATACTGAAGTGAGCCCTCTCTGTTAAACCTTTACCGTGCTAGTCTAAACTCCCGTCGTTGCGTATACCTAGACCTAGACACAGATGGGTGGAAGGTGGGGGGAGAGGAAGGTGACTGATGCCGTCTACCCATCTCGCGGTCTAGAGGGTTCTGACGAGGACACCCGCGACGTTTGGAGGGAAACCCGGCCTCTTCCTAGCAATTGTCCGAGCCGGTGGAAGGGATATTCTTCATATCTCTAACCCATCAGACTTCCCGAGACAGCTCCCTCCCAAGGGATCTATCGTACTACCTACGTGGTTTTGCAGGCAATCGCTTCACAGAAGCAAAGATTGCGGAAGAGTGCCTCTACTCAGTCTCAGACATGCCCTGGCCATTGCCTGGGAATTGCCATTACGAACGTTATGGTCGCTATTGAACGAGCCTCTAACCCTCTCGGGCCTCTCTGCGCGCATGGCTCTGTCGGACCCAGTAGTTCAGTGCCAATATTGCAATGCCCTTATACCTCTGGCCGGGGCAAGTAGTGTTTGGAAAAAGGCGTATACGATCGACAGTTCCCTCTGATTTCCAATGATGGCGTGACAATTCGAGAAGCCGAATGTACGTAATAGTTGTGTGGCCGGAGCCTCGGTGGGCGGGCGTGTTGTTACTTGTGCCGAGATTCGAGGCCAACTTCTCATACTCTTATGTTCGTTATTCTGTAGTACACCAGTATTTCTGGCTAGATTTGAGTCTTGGTCAAGATCTCCTCGTCAAGATCACTCAGCCGGCCGCGGCGGCGTCCATTGCCGTCGTGGTGAACATGTTGAGATTCTGCCGTTGCGACGGCTTCTTTCAACGCGACTCACCCACTTATTCTCCGTCACAGTATCAAGCAACCATGGTCCATTGCTGACTCGGACGGCAAACATGCAAGTAGAGGCTGTTAAATGCGGGAAGATAGACAACTTGCTTCATTGTTCAAGCATTCCACTGTCCCTGACGCTTCGGTTCCGGATAGATCGGATCTGGGGGAAATGCAAAACCCGGGAATCTGAATCCAGGATCTCAACCTGCATCCGTCTTGGGGTGTGATATTGGCCTCGTGGCATAGATCTGCCGCCTTGTTATTAAGGAGGGTATCAGTTACTTCGTTGGTGTCTGTGTTATTCGTCTCTGTTCATTCAACTTGTAAATTGGCAGTATTTGATGCCGTGTTCCCGTCCTTGGGATTTTGACTGCCACCCTCGTGTATTGGATGGGTTGTCTTACACAAGAGAGGCATGGACACTCTGAAGTGTGAGCCATATCGATATCCAACGGGAAAACACAGCCGCGGTCAAGAAGGTCTTCATGAAATATATAGAAATTAGGTACAGTTTCGAGGTTCCTGTAGATTCAAGATGATGAGATGTCGCGACCTGTGGGCTACAACTTCCATGACGCATAAACTCTCCCATTCGTTTCAACATCAAGCTCCATACCATCCACCCGCCTGCCAGCACTGCGTCTCCTGAGCCTTATCCGTAGACGTGACGAATTCGGTTTCTCTGTAGAAGGGCCCTCAGAGTCAGCATCGCCAGCATCATCATCATGGCACATGACATGATAAGTTCCTGCCAGGGGGTTGATGGGAAAACATACGAGATTGTGACAACGGGCGTAGCCCAATGAGTAATGTAAGTCGCTCGAAGTTCTGTAACGCCCTTTCCCTTTATGACGGTTGTAAGGGTTAGGACCCCCGTATTGTCGCAGACAATCTCGGGGGGAACTTCGATGCGCTGCGTGGAAGTTGAGTAGGCTATGCGAGGTTAGTCCATCGCAGTTCATAGCAGCAAGAGATGAACTGACCTGTCTCCGTCACGGTCTTCGGAGATCTTGTGACAATGTGAGTAGAAGTGACAGTCTTGCGGTCATAGACGGTGCTAGTGAGAGCAGCGGCAGCAGCGACAGCTCTCTCGGCCACTTCGGGGACGGCTAGGGTCTCTGTTAGTTTATGCCTCTTCTTCTTTTGCTCTCGTTTTCCTTTATGTAGAACATTACCAGCGCTTTCAGTTTCCTGGGGCCCTCTTCCACGACCGCGGTCTCTGCCAGGGCCGCCTCCGCCTCCTCCTCCACCTCCTCCGCCGCCTCCTCGCCCACGACCATTTCCTCCTCCGCCACCACCCCTATTACCACCTCCTCTCCTCCCGCCTCCATCATTCCCTCCCTTGTTACCTCCTCCTCCACCTCCGCCTCCACGGTTTCCACCGCCGTTATTCCCGCCCCCATTGCCTCCACCATTACCCCCTCCGTTACCACCGCCTCTGTTCCCTCCTCCGTTGTTTCCCCCCCTGTTACCTCCTCCCCCATTATTTCCACCACCGCTCCCACCACCACCACGATTTCCTCCACCATTATTCCCATCCCTCCATCTCCAACCACCCTCATTCCACCAAGGCCTACACTCCCCACCACAATTATCGCCCGGCTTCGGCCCCGGCACGTTCGGCCTCTCATCCGGCCGCGGCCTCTGCCCGCCGCTGCCCGAGCCGCCCTCAGGGCAATGGCAGTATGCCCACGCGACCTGCGTCGTTCGAAAGTGCTCGGTCGACTCGTCCCTCGAGGACCACCGCTCGACGGTGGTGCTGATGACCGTGGTCTCTCCGTCGAGGTAGTTCGTTACGAGCTGTGTGGATTGGGCGCAGTGGGTTGTTACTGGGGGGATCTCGACGTAGCGGGTTACGGTTTGCCAGGTTGTTTCGGTTTTGGCTTGGCAAAAAAAAAAAAGAGAACGGTGTGTGTTAGTGAGATTTTTATTTTTCATGGAGAATTAGGGAAAAGGAAAAGGGACGGAGTGGGGGTACTCTTGGCCCGGGGGGTTGATGTTATCTCAACGGTCACGGTTGGCGTTACCTGTGTGATGTATCGTGTCAGAAGCGCGAGGAGGAGAGGAGGGAAGTGAAAGGGGAGAGAGGGGGATGATATACGGTGACGACAGTCTTCTCTGGAGCTGTTGGATTAAGTTGGAACTTGCGTTGGAAGGAGATATCGAGGTCCTCGCCCTGGATAATGATGGTCCACTCGCCCGAGGCCATGTCGGAGTAGGCAATCTCACTTTTCGAAAAGAGGGTGTTAGCTCTTGTTGCAATGTTTCCAAATAGACTTGCGGGTTGTTGAAGAACGGTGAATACCATGTCGATCTCTGCCCAACCTCAACCTCGCCGCTATCAAGCACGGAGCAATCATACTCCTCTCCATCAGGTCCAACTAGAATGGGTGTAATTTCGTCACTCTCGCATTCTAGTCTCTGTCAGTGTCCTATTCCCATCTACTTTGTTTGGGGGATTGGGGGGGGGGGTTTTCGGGGTTCCCAACCTCTGAACTCGGAGAGGAAACTAAAGCTTTCATCCGACATGTCATCGATAAAGTAGGATCCTGCATTCGTGTAGTCTAACCCCAGACATACGCAGGCTGCCTTTGCCCTGGCAGCTAGAAGAGCAAGGCCAAGAAGAACGCTCAGCAAGGCCGTCATGGTTTACTGAAGCTTTCCGGGAACCGCGATACAATACGTAACAAGTGGGGAATGAAAAGAAGGGTATTACTGTGCACGATAGCTTCGTACTACACTCTCAGTTTATATAAAACAAGGGGCTGATATCTATTTATGGGTCGTCCATCAAGATACTGCCTCAGCACACAAAAGAGACTAACCCGGCTCTAAACTCATTACCAACACGAGGATCAACGGTGTCGAGGGGCGCTTTCCAAGCCTCTGGGCAAGGATAAAGAGTACTTGGGGAATCTGAAATTAAGAACATTACCCGGGATTCCCTAAAAATAGAGCCAGGCCAAATATGCTCAACTTCGCGTTTAAATGATGCGATGGCTTTCATGGACAGAGAGGAAACAAGGTAAATAAATCACTTCATATTCATATATTCAAATGACCGACATCCAGCCCCTCGGTCCGGACAAAAAGACCACCGTCCGCACCCCTTCGGCAATGGAAATATTTACCCTCTCCTGAGCGAAGGCTACGAAGCAGAAGTAAGAAAGGAAATCCCCAAGCTGCCAATCATCCACCCCACATTTCGAAAGAATGCCGGCAAGTCTCTTCGTAGGAAATAGACGGAGAATTTTAAGGGATGCCGATGGTGGTTAATGAAGAACGTATATGCCGAGAACCCGCGCTGCCAGGGATTTTGAGCGGGTTTGCTCGATGCGGATTCGTCCCTGGATTCTGGGGTGGTGGAGCTCAATATGGCTAATATGTCACTTCGAGCCAGGACAGGAGCGGTATCGATAGAATAAATAGTGGTGATCGAGGTGGGAGGGGATATCAGATGGGCGTTCATGGCCGAGGATGGATCGTTCGTTCTGTCGGCATCGGTTACGGAGCGAGGGAGATCGGTGGTGTGCAGATTGGTGGTAGCATCAGATATTCGGCAAAGGGCACATAAAACGTGCTATGTAGGACGGGTATGGGAAGGGCTTAAGGGTCGGGAACTCATCATCGGTGCTCCCAGATGATTCCCGATCATGAATCAACAGACTTCAAGACCGGGCTATGATGGAGTCGAGATTCAAAGCCGAGCTATGAGAGAAGGATTTTTGTCCCTGCCCTTGGTCCAAGATGTCTTCGGAGCCTCATATTCCTTTGATCCAACATGTTTCGCGTCGATTTAATCACCACTCTCGCTCTACTTACCGTAATTTAGTCCGTTCCATTGATTCTTGTGGCGTTGGTCTTTTCTGTAGGATGGAGCGAAGGCTGAGAAGAACCAACACAGCGTAGCATTGCAGCCTGCCCGCAAGCTCGAATTGAATGTATTGTGGTCCGAGCAGCCCATCCTCAATCTGCTATGTGAAAGATGTCAATGATTGATCTATTGTGACAGAGAGGCTAATGCGAGTCTTTCCCCCATTCGAAGATGTCATCTACATCGTAGGGCCAATCATCTGTATTCCACGTTTACAGCCTCCAAGCTATTAAGCAGGACTTCAAGCATTCCTCATTCTCCTTCTCAATCGAAGCCGGCAACATGTTCAACTGGCTCCTATTCTCCTCCACCATCTTTTCCACTCTCCTATTCCGCCTTCTTCGCATCATCTGGACAAGCCATGCCGAGCAAGCGACCCTCCCAGACGTGCATCAATATGCAGGCCAGCCAATCTTCTGGCCACTCACCACCGCCTGCTTCGCCTGGTGGATTGTCCTTCTCATCCCCGGAGGCGGACAATCCAACGACCCGGATTGGAAATCCCTCGAATGCGAACAGCCCCCGCAACCCCGGCAAAGCTTCCCCAAATGGATGGAACCACACCTGGCGTCTCGTGAGCGCGTGATCGCGGCCCTCTTCGTCGGTCTCGTCATGGCAGTGCCCATATGTCTTGATGCGTACTGGGTGCTGGTCACCAGTTGGCGTGTCTGCGTGGTCGGGTTCTATCTCTGGCCCGGCTGGTCGGAGATTCCGTTTTATTTACACGGCTATTATCTTGGTGCCCTTACGACGGTGGCGATGGCGACTTGCGTGGTGTGGATTATCTTTGGGATGTTGGTTGTATTCCATTTCGTGTTCACGATGGGAGTTTTGCTACGGTTGATACGGGCTTGACGGTGCAAGGGGTCGATGCGTTGTTGCGTCTCGGCTCGACTGAGACTGAGACGGAACCGACTAGTGGAGGATAAAGTCCTACTGTCGTCCTCTCAAGAGACTCGGAAGTCGCCATATTATTGTTTTGCAATCCTCACTAGACTGCGTAGAGTTAACATTTAACACCAAACAAACTTCATACAATTCTCGATACACCATCACGTCCCTCCCTCCCTACTCTCCTCCATTACGAAAATTCCCCGAATCAAGAATGTAAACAGCAGAGGGTATAAACAAAAGAAGAAAAGAAAAACCGCCAAACAATGGTATGAAAATGCTCCCATCATCAGTCATGCACTTCATAAGGCATTCTCCATTGTCTCTCCTCCTCTTTCATCAGAACAAGCCAAGGCACTTAAACTTGAGCAGATCGCCCTCGACAATCTCCTTCTCCTTGGCCAACAGCTCGGGCATGTCCCAATTGGCGTTGATGAAGCGGCCGGCGAGCCAGGTGGGTCGCTTGCTGGTGAGGTAGACGATGGAGTCGCTGGGGAGTTCTTCCTTGTCGCAGAGGTATTCTGCCTTTCTGTTAGCTAATACGTGTCTCCGAGTTGCAGAGCGTAGAATGGAGGAGAATCCAGGGATAAGCACTTACGGTGGAAGTCCTCGGGCATGTTTCTTGCGAGGGGAGTGTCAATACCTCCTGGATGGACTGAGAACGCAAGGAAGTCCTATCCAGCCAGAAAAAAAAAGTTAGAAAAAGCCTCCCCCGGAACTACGAAATATCCAAGGGGGAGAAGTAAAACTCACCTCCTTCGCATACCCAACCGAAAGAAACTCCGCCGCCCTACACAAAATCATCTTCGAAATCCCATACGCCTCCGCTCCCCCATCGGGGTACAACGCCCCAATACTCGAAATATTCACCACCGTCTTATCCCCACCCTTCAACATGACCGGCAACAACGCCCTCGTAATCTTCGCCGCCCCGATGACGCTCACCTCGATGGTATACTCCCAATCCTCCCTCCTCGCCACCCCCAGGGGCTCGAAACAGTCCTCGGCCATGAACCCGGCGTTATTCACCAACACGTCCAACCGGCCCCACTTCTCCTCGACCTCCTTCGCCGCCGCATCGACCTGCGCCTGGTCCGTCACGTCGAGGCGCAGCTCGAGGACTTCGGGGACGACGGTGCGGCCCGCTGCGGCGGCGGCGGCGCGGATCTCGGCGGCGACGTGGGCGCTGGCGGAGGGGTCGCGTGAGCAGAGGGCGAGGTGGGTGGCGCCGGCTTTGGCGTAGCTGAGGAGGATGGCGCGGCCGATGCCGCGGTTGGAGCCGGTGACGAGGACGGCTTTGCCGGTGCAGTCGGATTGGGTGATGGGGTCAATTTCGGGGTAGGTGTCGTGGTGGAGCTTGCTTGTGAAGGTGAAGACTGTCATGAGGTTAGAAGGGGGAGGGCGGATCTTTTGGGAAGGGGGGGTGGGGAGAAAGGGGTCTGCGTACTCTTTGGGGAGGGAAGAACGTATCGGCCGTCTTTGGAGAGAGTTTTGGTTTCTTGCTGCGGCTGGGTCGAGTCTGGTGTAGATGGGCCTGGGGAAGCAGGGGCTTGTTTAGCGGGTGGAGCTTCCCTTGCACCCTTTTTAGATTTTTTGACTTTGGAAATGATGGAGCCCATGGTGAGGGAGCGTCTTCGCGACTAATAAAACTGGAAAATGACAGCAAAACGACCAAGATAGCAAGCTTTACGAATGGTGAGACTAGAAGGAGTAGAAGGAGAGAAGAGAAAGCCAGGAATCAGAAAGGGAAACCGGGAAGCTCAACTGGTTATACCCTCCCCATCTATCCAAGGGTCCCAAAAGGGCCAAGCAAGACCAGCATTCCCAAAGCTAGCTTCATGCTTCGCAACCCATCTAAACCCCCTCCCCCGACCTCGTGCAGCTCCACCACGAAGACCACCGAACGAATTCAGAAATCCTACCTCGAGCTATGCCTATCCCGGTTCTATCCACCCACAGCTAACCCCGCCCCGAAGACACCGCCAGCCGGGGTTCCGTCCACTTGGCCCTATGTTCGTACCACTACACTACGAAGTTGGTGTGGTGCTCACGTCTCTAGAGCTCTTCGCCGTCTGTCAGAGCCTGAGCTTAACGCCCATAGGTTGGAGCCGAGGCAATAAAGAAGACAGCTCGCATGCAGCTAAGAAGTTAGTGTAGTGCAGTGTACGGAGTAGTGTAGTGTACACTACACAAGCACGAAGTAAACCAGCAGCGGAGTGCAATCCCCCGGAAAGCTGGCTAGGCCATTCTCAAAGTGGGTGGAGCAGGGATCTAACCGTTTCCTGTCTTCTTCTCAACCCCCACTTCTCCCGCCATCTCATGCCACATGCTGCAACCGTCCTGTCCAAGTGCTCGGCGACCAGCCACCCATGCCTTCGGGATCGGTGGGGAGGGGGGAATGGCATGTTTTGCTATTTGTTTTCTTTTCCTTGGTGGCGGCGGGTGCGGCGTTCTTGACACAGCTTGATTGAAATTGATTGATCGAGGACTACCAAGTATAAACTTAGCAATCGAGAGGGTCTATTTTCGGAATAAATCCAACGATCAATTTCGAGACTGTTGCCCTTTGTAAAGAGGACGAATTTGCTCTCTTAAGCTCTGCACCCAAGAGTCAGAACTGATGCAATGGATGCAAGCCACCAGATCCGGAACCAGTCCCTGGTTGGCAGTTGCATGGGCAAGACCCCTCTTCCTTTTCCTTGGTCCTCGTCCCACCTTCATCTTGCATTTTTCTTCATATTGTAACCTACCTAGCAATCACACTATTCCATCTAGGGCCTTGGAGCAACCCTTCCGGTGCACGATTCGAGTTGCCTACTGCACATCTACATATCCTTCGGATGAAGCAATTGATATGACTTGACATGCTCATCACTCGTCACACGAAGGGAGTGAGCACGTACTCGCCCCCACCTGAAGCCGGGAAGCCAAAGCGGGAGATCAACCAGGGAAAAGACACTAGCAGCTTACCCTGGAGCGTCAACCGCATGGATTCACCAAGGGTCAGTTTCCGCCAAAAAGAGGGGAGCGGCCCGTAGCGAAGTGAACAATTCCGCCCATTTTTTTTCGTCGGAGATCCGCGATTGCCGGGGGTCCCTGTAATAAACTTACAAAACTGTTCGTCTCAATCGTACGAGGTATGCGAAGAAGGCTCTGGCCGGGTTCGTGTTGCTGCGTCTATGGATATTGATCAATTCCTTCGGAATATGATTTTTAGGACCCTGCTTTTTTCCGTCAGTTTACGACGTGACCTCCACCAAAGTCGACTACGCTACTGAGTACAACCTTGGTGGACTGTAGTTTAGAAGCTTGCATGTTTTCGTCATGGTTTGACGGCCCATCCTCCAATTTGGGACATGGACGCTACGTAAATTCTGAATTCGTACGAAGTAATCTGGAGGCTTAAACGGATCCGGCAGGTCTCGACGTCAAGCCCCTGCGTCATTGAATGAATGCATGGGATTATCATAATTCATATTTCTCCTCCACAAAACCAACGAGGTCTCCCTCGCAGACCATTCGGAATGCCTCGAACCCAAATACCGGCAGCACGACTGGACTCCAAAGTAGCATCACCACCAATCCCCCCAATTTCCCAGCCCCCAAACCACCACCCACCTCACTCCCGTCCCCCAAAGTCCTCCTCCACATCCGCATCTGGCATCCATCCCTCCTCGTGCTCCCCCCGTTGAATAACAAGCCTATACCCCAAAACCTCCACCTTCCTCACACTAGCCCTCATAGCCTCCAACTTCATCCCAAAAGCTTTCTCCCCCAACTTCGGCAACGTCTCAAACGCACACCCCAACTCCTGGATATCATTCAACACGCTCCTTCCCTTCGGACTCTCCTCCTCCGCCAACAGCACGCCCTTGGCCCTCGACTTGGCCGTCGCGAACCGCATCATCTCGCCGAAGAGGTCGAACACGCCGTACACGTAGTCCTTCTCCGTGAGCTCGACGCCGCAGGGGACGGCGGCGCGGGCGTCGGTGAGGGAGAGGAGGGTTTGCGTGCGGAGGTAGTGCGAGAATGTGAGGGCTTCGACGAGTTCTTCGAGGCAGGGGAGGTAGTAGCGGTAGCGGTAGAGGCCGGTGATGTCGGCGGCGATGGGGGAGAGGGACTTTTGGATGTCGGCGAGGCGGGTGGTGACTTCTTTTTGGATTGAAGGGTTGGGGTCTTGGTTTATGGCATTGGATCTGAGTGGAAAGGGAGAGTTAGTGAGGGAGGGCCTGGGATATATTCCAGGTTACTTTTTCTTCTGTTTGCATACCGATGAAGAGCGAATATGCTAGAGACAGAGCGGTTAGTTATATATATAAAATGAAATTCCAAAGCTGAGAAAATCTCACATCTTCTTGCTGTGGGCCGTAACATCTCTGGAGGCCTTGACAATCCTCTCCTTTCGATCATAGTGCTCATCAAGCTCCGCCCGGAAGCCCTCAAAGAGCGAGGTGAATCTTCCCTGAGGCTGGGTTGTTGACGTTGAGGGCACCACCACCTGGCCTGAATGGTTGCGCTTAACACCCATTATGAGATGGTGAGGAGTTCAGTTAGGTAGGTAGGAGAAGAAAAAGCAGTCAAACAATAGGATGTAATGAACCAATTGCACTCTGGGTTGGGCTGTGTGACGAAGTATTGGTTTACGCCTTGGATCTTTTGATGATCCTTGGTGGGGGATGGTGGGGGATGGTGATTGAGCTCTTGCTGAGATGAGAGCTTCAGTGTTTGTGTCACGTGACTTCGTGGTAATTCACGTAATTGATTTATCAATTACTGGAGCACAAGCCCAAACACGCGCTTCCCTCATTAAACATGAAATCATCTCAGGCTTCATATTCCTGTCTTCAGTAAGGGGAGCTTCTCACCCTCATCGAGTGTCTGATTTACGAACAACCTCGGTGGCCTACCACACCCCGAAGTCTCTTCAAGCAATGAAGAGCTCGGTTCTCCAATAACCAGGTTTCCACCATTCCCTTTCCCCTGACCCGAAAATTCATCAGGTCATCCATCATCATCCACCATGTCCCTCCTCACACTCATCTCCCGCCCGGGACCCCTCTTCACTCTCGCCCTCCTTCTCCGCCTAACCCTCTTCTTCTACGGCCTCTTCCAAGATGCCCACTCCCCCGTCAAATACACAGACATCGACTACCTCGTCTTCACCGACGCCTCCCGCTTCGTCGCCAACCACTCCTCCCCCTATGATCGCGAAACCTACCGCTACACCCCTCTCCTGGCATGGCTTCTCCTCCCCACGGCCACCTGGTTCTTCTCCTTCGGCAAGCTCGTCTTCGCAGCCGCGGACCTCCTCGCCGGATGGCTCCTCGCGCGCATCCTCATCGACGGGAGTCCTCGCATGGAGGCGGGCAGGGCGTATAGGTTCGCGGCTATTTGGTTGCTGAATCCCATGGTGGCTACGATTAGTACGAGGGGGAGCTCCGAGGGCTTGTTGGGCGTGTTGACGGCGGCGTTGCTTTGGGCTGTGTGTAAGAGGCGGGTGGTGCTTGCGGCGGTCGTGTTGGGCGTGGGCGTGCATTTTAAGATTTATCCGTTTATCTATGCGCCTGCTAGCGTTTGGTGGATGGACGACGAGAGGATGGGGAGGGCTGTGCCGAATCGGGCGGGCCAGTCGCTGTTTATGAGGATTCTTCACTTTATCAACCCCGATCGAGTGAAGTTTGCTATCATCAGCTTTGCGACATTCATGGGCCTCAATTTCCTCATGTACTCAATGTACGTCTCTCTCTATCTCCATTTCCAACTCTCCAAATCAAAACTAACAGACCCTCCAGGTACGGCACCCCCTTCATCATCCACACCTACCTCCACCACGTCTCCCGCATCGACCACCGCCACAACTTCAGCCCCTACAACATCCTCCTCTACCTCTCCTCCTCCCGCCCGGCCTCCTCGACCCCTAACCCCCTCGCCATCGAATCCCTCGCCTTCCTCCCTCAGCTCCTCCTCTCTGCCGTTCTCATCCCCCTCGTCGTCGCCAAGCAAAACCTCGCCACCTCCATGATGGCCCAGACTTTCGCTTTCGTAACGTTTAACAAGGTCTGCACCAGCCAGGTAAGTCATGTTTCTCACCCTTCCCCCATGGCAATGCTAACATAAAATTTTTAGTACTTCCTTTGGTACCTCATCTTCCTCCCCCTCTACCTCCCCTCCTCAACCTTCCTCTCCACCCCCTCCCTCGGCCTCTCCGCCCTCGCCGCCTGGATCCTGCCCCAAGCCATCTGGCTCCAGCAGGCCTACCAGCTCGAGTTCCTCGGCCTGCCCACCTTCACCCCGGGGCTCTGGGGCGCCTCGCTCGCTTTCTTCCTCGTCAATTGCTGGATCTTGGGCATCGTCATCTGGGATGGGGCTGTGGGGCCTAACACTGCTGGGCAGCGTATCAAGAAGGCGTGATTTCGACGAGAGAAATATTGTTTTGCAAGGACAGAAGACTACTTTTTGGGGCTTTCTGGGGTATAGTATCTGGTGGTGTTCTGCGCATTTCCACGGCATCTTTTGTAATAATAATAATAATAGACTTGATAGATGGTATTTCCTAGTTATCAGGACATATTTGCAGTTGCTATACTGCATCGGTATTAGGGGTATGGTCAAGGGATATACAGACTCTTATGCATGAATGAAGATGCTACAGGAAGAGGATCTAAGAGTGTAATCTCTCATGAACGAACACTGACTGTTAAGAGCCACAACCACACTCGCACCATAACCACAAATAAAGACATGTCTCCTCAAGATCAAACATTTAAATTTTATCCTTGTGCAGCCATGACCTTGTTCATCAAGATGGAAACCACCACAGGACCAAGACTACCAAATTTCTCAATAAACAGCAGACCTATAGCTGGATTTAATCCCACCACAAACTCCATCCCCTTTCGTTGATGCGTAGGAACTGGCCCATTTTATCATGTGTGAAAACAAAGGAGGCGTATCTTCTGCTCTTATCAAAGAGCAGGAATAGTCCTCAGGGCACACTGGGCCAGACAGATAAATCGGAGAGAGTGTAAAATGAAAAAAAAAAAAAAAAAAAAAAAAAAAAAAAGTGACAATAAAAGCACAAACTGCCGTTCCGTTGGGGTATGATTGCGTCCCATAACTTGGTGAGATATGTCTCTCCTTCATCTCACCTTTGCCTTTCCCTTTTATATGTTTCCACCCAAACGCCGTAGTCATAATATGTTTAGAGAAGACGCAAGAAAGAAAAACAAAACAATCATAATCGAGTAAACCGCGATGCCGAACGCAATACCTGGGGGAGTCGGGTATCTTATAACCGATAAATGGGCCAACAGTGCCGTCCCCGCAATCGTAAAGTGGCCTTCGAAGCCGATTGTTATCGGTTAGGCCATATGAAACCGGGATATAAGCTTCGGTTCCAAGGAGTTCATGATCAAGCATTGAGGGCGGGAATTTGAATGATCCGATAACTCGAAATCTTGAGCGACCGAACCCTGAGGCGGTTTCCCTGCGTGCTAACATAGAGCCTACCATCCTTATTCCACGCGAGATCGCCAAAGTTCTCGGTCAGCTCTTCGTACTGCGCCATAGGCCGTACACGACCCAACTCTCGAAGAAGGGCCTCGCTCCAAACACCAGTGCACTTGCCGTCCCTCATGAGGAAATACGGGTTAAGGGGAGGTACTGCGGACTCTGGAGGGAGAACAAAAACTATTAATAAATTATACAATAAGGCGAAAGGAAAAAGAAAAGGAAAAGAATAAACATCGGGCAAGGAACATACCAAGATCAACGTATCGAATACGCAGGAACTGAAGAGCCGTGAGAACATCCATCGATCTTATCGCCGCAAGCACCAAGGCTTCAAAATTCTGAATAAACAGAATATCGAAGATACCAGTCCCGGAGCTGTGAAGATCCGAGGTCCGGCAGATGTTCTTGACCGTTAGGTCAATCGACTTGAGTCGCGTCAGGCGAGGATTCGTCTTCAAAGCCGCCGCCTCAAAGAAGGACCGGCAGATGCGGCCGGTGTAGGACAGGTGTTCGAGCGAAGGCGTCGCCTCAGCAAGCTTCCTGCAAAAGTCCACTTGGTTTGCAACCTTCAGGGCGTAGGTGGGGGTGGACATTTCCCGTCGGTAGTCCGCCTCGAGGAACAGGCTCAGATGGGTAACGTGAGAAGGGATGTTAGGCAAGAATCTCGCCATGGACAGGTAGCTCTTAGACTTTGGTCGGCTATACGATCCATGCCACTCAACGAGGTTCGGGAAGGATGTCATGATGAAGGAGAAATCAACGTCATCACGAAGGAGGTTCCATTGCCCTTTCGTCACTAGGGTCCGTACATTCAACAGGCTAGGCGTTGTCTTGGTTATGATTTCGTTCCGATGTGCGGGCTCGTTCCGCACCTTTGGTGCCTTCCTGCGCTCACCACCTTCGAGAGTGAGAACCGAGACACCTGGAAGCATGACTCGCATAAAGTCAAACACTTGGCGTAGACAAGCATTGTTATAGGGAAGCTTGTAGTTCGCTGCAGTAGCAAGGCCGTCCTCGCGAGCCGCCGAGACCGTGGGTGTCGAATTCGCGTCCGCTGCGGACTGGCCACGCCGGGGTTGGAATACGGGGAACCAAACCTCCAGGTGCTTGATGTAGGGTACAAGGTGGGGATGATCTAGGAAGAAGTTGGCCACCTCGACGAGGGAGTCCTGGGTACCCTGTATCTTGATATGCCTGTAGAGGCGGCTCTGGATCAGCGGCCGCCAGATTTGGCTCACGAGAGCCAGCTGCGATATCTCCTTGCGGCGAGAGTAGCGATGGAGCGTGCCCCACGGCTTCGTCACACAAGCCAAGTCTACGGAGCTCTTAGATTGGGGAGAAACCCTGAACCCGAAGAGGTGGTCGAGGATCGCTTCGTGGATTTCAGTAGGTAGACTATTGAGGGTCACGGCGGTGGGTGCATGGCTCAGTTGATCCGGTGCTAAAGCCAGGAGCGACGAGGCGTCGGGGGAGAAGGCGTACGCATCGTCAAGGTCGGTATCGTGGCAGAGAAGAGGGAGAGGCTCGGTACGGAGGAAAGGGGTGCTGCTGGGTCGCACAGGAGGGACAAAGTCGGCAGATTTAGGCTGGTCAAGCGGGGGGCTAGGAGGACCCGGAGAGACGGGGTTCGAGGAGATGCTATGGTTGTTCGCGGAAGTGTTGACGATTGACGTCAACTCATCGACGGGGCTCGTCCTAAAGGCATCCTCCGACTTGGTATCAATCTGGTGGTGAGGAAAAACGGGAGATCTGGGCGGTGAGTAGTTGAAGACATGATCTCCATCCTCATCGGTAATCAGGGACCTAATGTCCATGGCGTTACGGTGATGGTGTGGAAAGTTCCCGCCAGAAGGAGGAGTGCTCGGAAAAAACAAGGCGGCAAGCGCAAGGCTGGGCTGCTTCAACGTTGAAGAGAAACCGTAGGGAGCGGCCAAGTTCGCATGGCACTGGCACGTGTCGAGGTTCGTATGTGTGTAGACCAACCGTCGATCGTCAGCCGTAGGAACGGGCAGAGATTGGGAGACCAGCCTATGAGGAAAAGGTGTCGGAGAGAATAATGGTCAACGTCTGCAGAGAATTGGGCCGCAAAATTCTGCTCGTCTCGTTCGTTTTTTTTGCGGGTGTTGCCGAATGGGCAGGACAAGCAGACGAATCGAGAGACGCAGGGCGGTGCCTTCCGTTTCGGAGCGGAAAGAGGGAGGGACTGGAGGGACTGGAGGGGGAAACGCAGAAAGCGCAACGGTTTGTTGGCAAAAGAAAGTTTCGATTGGGCTATCCCAGAGAGCGGGGGACAACGAATCGAGATGTAGTTCCAAACCAGCGTCGATCGTCGTTCTGTATCCCTCGAATTGGCTCAGGAAGAAAAGAAAAAAATGAAAGAAAAATAAGAACGAGGGACTTGGGGAAACAGGAAAAGTCTTCGGACGACTCAGAAAGTAGACGGATCGTGGAAGGCGCAGGCAAGGCGCATGGAGCACGGGAAAAGCCTTATTTTGGTCGTTCTTGCTTTTTGCGTCTTAATGTCCTAATGTCCTAAGTTCGGCGTGGTGGCTCCTTCCAATAATTGCTTTTGCCCCTCTTTCGCTGCGGATAGGGATGGAAGGCGCGATCGGCGGGATTGATTGTGTACGGAGAAGGACGAGGAAATTCGAGGTCGGCGCAAAGTTATCAAGTCGCGTGCTCAAGGCTGGAAGGGAGAAGAGGAATATTGCCAACTGTACCCTTGGGAGGCGCCTTATCGAGATGGCCCCGAGCCTGACGGTTTGGGGGGAACACCAACCGCCTGCAAGAGTCACTCAAAGATGGCGAGAGAGGGGGCTCATTTGGCGGAACAGTCTCTCATCATTACTCTGAGCATGCGCTTGTACAAGTAAGGGGCAAGAGAAATTTGGGGTAATAATATCGATCTATTATCTCCTGAGAGGCGGGGACTATTGGCTGGTACAAGTATACAGCTGAAATCGGAATTTACAACGCCGCCTCGTCAAGCGCTATCTACTTTACAGTTTGTCTGGTGGAGACGAGCCCGCGTTACCGCGTAAATTGGCTGCTTCTCTTTTGTGGGTACTCGGCGCATGTACAGTTGGCTAGCGGCAATTCTACACTAGGTACATGAAGAGGACAAGGATGTCGAGGATATGAATAGTAACACTGTGCAGTCGCCACGACATCAGAGAAAAGAAACGTGGGAATTATCTCCTCGATCCGATCCCCCGCACTGTGAGAACGCCTTAGAAAAGTACTTTCAACGTTGAAATTGGACACCACAGATTGATCAATTTGATCTGCAATCTTGGGAAGGGGAAGAAGCCACCAAAAATCGGATGGGCGGAATTAATGTCCTGCCACTGGGAGAGCCTCAGTGAAATTGATCATTGAATGCTGACCCTTCTGCGCAAAGGCGCAGCCTCGCCACGACGTAATAAAACAATGCCTCACTCAACAACCCCGTTCCTCGAGCTTGAGACCGCTCAATCTTTTTTCCCCCAACTATTGCCCCGCCGATCTTCACTTCCAATATTGCCGGTCCTCGAATCTCCTGGAGCTCTCTGACTTGTGATTAGATCACAGCGGTTTTGCCCAAACGTTTCACTCCTTATCATCTCGATTATCTTCATTTCACGAGGTGTTCATGGTATATATGCGACCTGTCTTGGAAGACGAGACACACCAAATTTGGATATCCACGATCAGGGATATCTATCCCAGTTGGGCAAACACAGCGAGCCCGCTCGCTATGGAAACGACCATTAATACTCCAGCCTCAACTCCTCACAAGGCGTGGCCTCGGGAGCATTCATCATTGATCTTTGTCAAGCTTCTAGAGCACTGCTAAGTCCACGTGAATGAAGAACCCAGAAGCCTGGGCACCAGGTCTGCAACTCATCCTCATTAACCAATTGTCTCCCCGACGTTCCATTTACCTTCCGGAGCAAGATCACAGCATGGCGTATATGGACAGTTAGCCGGTGGATATACCTCTGGCGATAGCTCCGATTCCTTTTCTCCGCCGCATTCCGCCTAGTGGCACCATTCTTCAACGAGAAGCAGAAGAGACCCGTTCTTGAGAGCTTTTCAATGACCATCCAGGACTGTTTCAGAGCTGACGCAGATAGTAGTCTAGACCGGCAAGTTTGGGGTCTCTCACCGTGTGATACCGCGAGTGCAAGGCCTCGAAAGCATACGTCATGATAAATGTTATTCGCAACGAGGGCCTCAAGAACTTTCAATACCTCGTATGCATCAGCATGACTAGGGCTACCCGTCCATCAAGGGACCGTGAAGCTTTGGGGGTTGCGAGTGCAACAGAGGGGACACGCTCTGAATGGGCCAAGACGCACTGACAGACCCCATCGTTGTGGGCACCATATCATACTTCATCCAAGCCAAGGACTCGGCAGTATGGAAGTGTTTCTTCTGGATATCTCGGCATCATTCGTTAATCGGCATTGTCCGCGATAAACAATGTGCAGTTGAGAATCGCGCAACACTCAGTGGGCGAAGGGTCAAACCTATCTAAGTGGAGGCGGCGAGGAATTCAGGAGCTAATAAAGGAATCATGATCAACTCGCCAAGAATGAAGAAAAAAAAAATAAAACCAGGACATGATAGTGAGGCCGTATAGCTTTGAAACAATACGGCTTAGACATGTGTTAGCGGGAGGATGAAGAACTCTATCCAAGACAAGCAGCGACTGATCCCAGAATCTATAGATAAAAACCTCCTCTCGTGAGCCGAGATGGCGAGTAGATCAACAACAAGAATCTGGAGAAGAACATCTGATAACATCACTTCTCACGGTTTCCCGGCATCTTGCTTCCTTGGGGGATTCACATTTGACCACATACTGAGATTTTAAGAGAGGTCCCCTTTCCCGCTTTTCTTCTCCCAAGATGTTGCCATTGTAATAAGGATGATGACGATAGTTGGACACCGAAGTGGATGGTGTGTGGGGTTCTCGGTTCCTTTTAAAACGTTTGAGGCATCGGTAGATCTTGCTTCTCCCTCAGACGATCAACGCTGGCTCCTGCTTCATCCAGCGTCTCGTCTTCAGGGTCCGCTCTCGAGCCTGACGCCCAGACGATATGGCGGGGTTTCCTATTAGAAGAAAAATAAGGGATCGAAGGCCTGTTGGTCTCTGGCAAGAAGCCAGGATGTGCTAAGTTTGAATACACTTTTTAACCCCTTGGACTTACTTACAGTCATCAATCCGACTTGATGTTGAGTGTGGAAATCGACGACGAAATAAGAAAAGAAGAACTTAGCAACACAACTGCCATGCAATTCGGTTGATCGTAAGGCTCCATTGATTTGTGCATATCGCAAGCGGCATAGCCGTCGACGCGCTTAATCGGGGCTGTACCTCGCCATCGATTCGTTTGATTTAGGGCCAGATTCACGAATTGCCCAGCGGTGATGACCAGAGGAGCGGCGAAGCGAGCGGTAAACCTTGGTGGCGGCATCCACGGAATCTCTGCTGGGGATCACCCCCGATCGTTTTTCCACTCGCCGCAGCCGGGCGAGACTGACCAACTCCGCTCAATCGCAGAGGCCACGCAATTTCATGGCATGACGGAGGATTCCCTCCCATCTTCCTTGCCACGGTCGTTTCTTTCGTGGTGCCTGTAGCAATAAAAAAAAACTTGTTTCTTCGTATGCTTGCACGCTCCAGAAGCGAAAGTAACACGACATTCGTGGGCGTTTTGGCGGTCACATTTGTCGTTTCACGATCCTCCCCTCGCCCCGTTCCAAGCAATGTTCTTGTCCAATCCTGTGGGGAGAAACACGTAGACGCCAAGGACCAATGGAAACACGTCCACACTCACACGGGCAAGGAGACACGAGCAGGGAGGGGCTGTAAGGCTTGGGGTCTCTCGGCAAAAGTTTTTCCTGCGCTCCTGCGCTGAACATGCATTCGGTGTGAGGCTTCGTTAGCCTCAAGGATTTCCCAGGTTTGGATGGCCCCTGGATCTGTGTACGGTTGCGAGCGCCAAGCAACAGAGAGAATAAGCGACCGTCTGGCCGGCTGAGCTAGGCAAGAAACTATCCAAAGTGTTGATCTCGGTTGGCTCGCCATCGACGCTTCAAGACCGCATATGGTTCGTACATACTTCGTAGACTTCGTAGTCCTTGCCCCCAACGTGGCGATGTTCGATATTTTCTTTGATCCCTTTTCGATACGATGTGCCGAGTCATACCGTTACGCTCATCTCACAAAGTCGGCCCTTGTCGAGTCAAACAACGGAGCACTGGGGTAAGAGTCGATTTCACGTCCGTCGCAAGTTCTGAACGATGACACCGTAAACTGTAACCTAATCGCAAGTCCTCTACAACATTACGCCCGTGTTTCGTCAGAAAGATCTTGCAATATAGCTTACTCCGATGCAAGTCTATCTTCAGCTCGACCTCCCGCACCCTTTGACAAGTTTCTTGCATCGGTTGGCGGATAATTAACACGATTCTTACATTTCAGCCACAGCTCGTCGAGGCACGGACTTGTCAGAAACGCGGGGAGTCATTTTCCGGGGCTGATGACGGCAATGAGGGCAGCATCAGACATTTCCTGCTCTTCCTGCTTCCCTCAAAGGCGGCCGGCGAGACCTACGTAATGAAGCAGAAGACGGGAAAATAACGTCGTGACATATGCAGTCTATCCCAGCTGTACGGGTCATCATACGCGGCTTCTGTGTCTGAGAGTTGGGGTGAGGAAAGGGAAGGAAAAAAAGACGGTTACGTTGTGTCGTCCTTGCGTTTGACTCCGCAAGTTTCGAAAGGGAGTGTTTGGATGATAGTCGCGGCGTGGCGCCAGATGGATTTCCAGAAGGGTTTCAGCGCAAGGACTCAAAGCTGGAGAAGATTGAGGCACAAACTTCGGATTGGCTTGCCAATTTTTTTTTTTTTTTCGCTCCTTCCTGTTTTGCTTGCTGCTGTGAATCTGCCATCGGATCTTGCTGCGTCTCAAGGAGCGCCCGTTGCCTTAGCTGCAAGCCATCCTTCGTGTGGCAGGACATCGGAGCCCAAGTTTTAGAATCCCGAGTTCTCAGCTACAGTAAAGGGGGGGGGGAAGAAACGAAGAGTGCTCTTCTTCCTCGTTGCCTCGCTTGGCGAGCACCTAAAAGCATAAAAAAGCACAGGTACGCAGGAGATCGAAAAGGCGCAGGCGACCAAGGTTCCCAGAGTTCCCACGATCTCCCTCGCCTTAACGAGGCCTTTAAACTTCGTCACCAACATTAATCCAGAAAAGCACCCAGAGCTGCAATGTACCTAGCCAATCAATTGGACCTGCTGCTTCACAGCCCATTCGCATGAATTAAGCCATGAGCATTAAGCGAGGCGCTGTCGCTCCCGTTGCCCGCTGCCAGTTCCACCCCTTCGTCCCCTGCTTGGAAGCCCATGTCCAAGTGCCAAGCAAGCCAAAGCCAGACCATGAAAATCCCCATTGAATCCAAGAGTCCAGGACCTTGGTGAGTGGCGGATCGTGCGCGGCGGATTGGTGGACACTAAACAGCGGACCGGGGCACAGAACCATCAACAACCACGGGCAAGATGGCGGAGTGGTTAACGCGTTGGCCTGCTACCAGTAGTGAGCCAATCCCTTCGGGGGCGTGAGTTCGAATCTCACTCTTGTCGGGTTATTTTTTGCTTCATTTTTTTTTCCTTTTGTTTTCTTTTCTTCTTCTTTTTCTTCCCTTTCCTTTTCCCTTTTCTTTTTTAAGTCACTTTTCTGGAACACATTAAACATTTCGTCGTCAGCTCTTGCATCAATTGATGGCTATTTTGAGATCGAGTGGTGTGGTAAGTGGGGAAGAGGCGACATCCTTTCATCATTTACACTTCACCTGAGGCTCTGTCGGATAATGCAAATCTAACTGTATTAAGCATGCGCCTTTAATATGGAAATAAACAATTCAATTGATGCAGGACCGGGAAAGCGAAGTTACGAGTTTACTTGCCGTTGTAATTTCTCGTATAAATAGAGTTGGATGTGTTACAGAACACCCGAAAATATCGAATCATAAAATGATGAGAAGAAGGCATTGGACTCTTGAGGATACCTGGTCGCAGGCGAGATGAAGGGGTCCGTTAGCAATGAAACATGGGGTCATTGGGCATCTCTATTCTCAACTTTGGAGAAATTGACGATCTGGCGCAACGGTAGCGTTCACTGCATTGCTTTAATTCACTTAATCTACAAGTACGAAGTAGTACTAGTGGGCCAATGGTCCAAGAAATACGACATCTCGGCATCTGAACTTGAGACGAAGTTGGGATTTGTTGACTTTACTGATGTGAGGTGGAAGTGATTGGAAGTTCTCAAGAGGCGGCCCGTTTATGGGTTAGATCCAGTCGAGTTGGGAGCTGGAAGAGCTGAACTGATTGGTAAATGAGGCTTCAAGTGCTAATTTCCTTCAAGGATTCGGAGATATTTCACATCATCTTAGATCATCCATCCCAGCTCCCAAGATCGTTTAGTTCCGACGCCTCCCTAAATCTCTCGGCCGGGACCAATTACGGCACGGAGAGGCTGTGTCGTCAATCACGAACCAGGGCAATCACGAATGTAAAGCCGAGCGGGGAACAGCCTTCTTAGACGAGCCTCACACAGACGAAGTACCACACACAAGCATAAGCAATGAAAACCTGATGGTGGGGGGAGGGGGCGGAGCGGAATGGAGGGAAGTAGGGAAGCGTCGGGGAAATATACAGACAAACTGCCAAGACACGCTCTTCTCCATAGATCAGCGAACCAAGGACCCAGAAGCCGATGATCAACGAGGCTTATATCGCAGATAGATAGAGTGTCAGCTCAGAGAGAGATGGGGGAATGCAAGGCTCGTGGCATTAAGATTAAACATGATTCAAGCCTTTGGCCGTCAAAGGAGCACCTCTGATGACGATATTCTGGTTCCATACGACAAGTCTGCTCTCGAAGATCTGCCCACAGCATTTATTTTAGTCTCTTCCTTTTCTCTGTGCATTGCGGATACGCACATTAACTTGCTGCAACTACCCTTCGACCTACCTTATTCGTCGAGGATGTTCCGCGTGGACGAACATTGCGGGATATTGCATTGTCCTTGGGGAGCAGCCTTTCATCTTGTAATGCGTCCGGTGGGGGATGAACAGCTCATCGGCTATCTCGGCGACAGAGCCCCCCCACTGCCCGTGAATCGAATGGGTGGATTTGAAGTCTCATCTGCTTGTCTGGACGTGGAGCCGCGATTTGTGATGGAACACGTTAAATCCAGCCGTATTACTTCGTACTGATCCAGCAAAATGTCGCCTCCCCCAGTCTGTCGTCGCAGCAAAAGCACCAGCAGAAGTTCTTCCTTCGTTGCAGTCGCCAAAGTCCCTTGTGCTCTCTGACGAAAGTACCAAGTAACATAACGCCCGAAATTTAGCCCTCTGCCATTTTGACCATTTCGACACAGCGCCTGTGTTTGAGGTTGAACAGGAGAATTTACCGGAAAGGTCAACCGACACGCCCCTGGAGTACGATCGTCAGGCCTTCAGAGCAATCTCCACCCTCTGATTGGCCCTTAGACGTCCCCACGACCCCTGGTCCGCCCCTTTCTCTTATCCTGCACGCCCCCCCTCTCCCCTCCGTTTCACCCCCCTCCTGTATCCTGTAACTGCCCTTAATTTTCCACGCCAGATCTTTTGTCCACTCAGCACTCAGTTTCCCCTGGAGAGTGACTTCGACACGTCCAACTTTTGACTGGACCCCGCCAAATAGAGACAAAACGTGCAAAGTCCAGACAAGACTTGACACGCCCCCCCAAAATCCCCACATTTGATGCCTCAATTTGTCCATCGAAAATCGTCATTGGCTTCCGATTTGATGTGTCCCTGCTCGATCTGTCTTGGCACCTCAAATGCATCAGAAAAGGGCAAAGAAAACAAGCCCTGACGTATCCTCTCCACGAACCGTTTGCTCGCTTACTGGTACCCAGCGAAACCTAGAAACGAATTTGAAGCTCTGGCTCCCCCCCGCCCTACATTCCTCATAGGCTTGCGCGGACATTACAAGGGCCAAAACCTATTCCTTTGGTACTTTCGAGGTTCATGCAGGGTTCACAGATGCGCCCATTCTCTTTTTCTAATCGTTACGCTAGGCGGCAAGTCGACTCTTCTTTCCTCTTTTTGGCCCCTCTTGATCCTTGACACCTGCCTCGTACCTGCGCGATGCGGAAGTATGAGCCGAAGTAAAAGGGACATGGGCCAGGCGAGGCTCTCCGCCAGTCGTGGGTATTCCTCGCAGCAGAGACGGTGAACATAAGGGTGAAAGAAATGAATGCTTAAACAGGACCAGTATTATCGGGATACGGATCTCGAAGACCGGGGGGTGACAGTAAAAGAGGTACACGAGAGGGCGATCCGGAATAAAAGAGCCAGATGGAGGGAAGTAATAGAAGAAGCAGTAACGCAGAAAACGGAGACCCAGAACAACACCCATGGGAGAGACCAGAGGTAGAGAGATCTGTCGCAGGGGCCGAACCAAGCATAACGTTGCCTACAGCCGTCACCCAATTGAACAGCCTCCTGCCTCGTGGGCCGGTACCCGCCAGCGGCGACCCAGGGCCAGGTCCAGGGCCGGTCGGATCTGACGGTTATCCCAAGACCCAAGGGTGTGCAGGCGGGCGTGTGAGAAGTGGGAACTTGCGTATCCATCGATGAATCGACACGGGGGACTCGTCTTGTCCTGCATCAACTTCTCAAACGTATACAATCCTGATGGTCCCTCCCACTCCCGCCATGCAAGTCTCTTAAGAGCCTTCCCATCTCCCTCTCTCTTCTTGTCCTCCCTTATTACTTGGTATTCTGGTGATATTCTTTTTTTTTTATATATATTTCTCGTTTGACATTTATATTTTCCTCATTTCATCTGACTGGGTCATGAGTTTGTGAGGGTGTGTCGAGAGCAGCTTCTTTATACCAACTCGCCTCTCACACACTTCCCTCACATCGCTTCTCTCTTCTCTCTCCCTCTTGTCTACTTCTCTTCTCTACACTCCCTTTTATCCCCAGATCAACACGAGTGCCCCAGTGGTTCCTCTCGCAGTGATTGCTCAACAATCATTCCTCTTCTTTTCTCTGTCCTTCCTTCTTTCCTTACAAAAAGCGGGCCTTTTCACCATTGACCTCGCTTTTGCGCCATTCATTCAATTACACCTATTGAAAGAAAAGAAAGAAAAGAAAATCGACAATAGCCCCGCGGCCTATTGTTTCTCTTTCTCGTAACTATAAAAAAAGGGCATTACGATAATCGAAAGATTTCTTTTCTTCCTGGATCAAACAATCTTTTTGTTCTGTTCTCGAACTCCAACCTCGATCTCACATCGTCATCGTCTCTCTCGACTTACACGCCGCCACCGAAAAGTAGTCAGAATCCAAAGAAACAACCCAACCCGAACCGATTTTGCTAGACAATGGCTCCTCAAAGATCTCGCCTCTCGGCGCTCCTCCTCCTTCTCCTCCCCCTCATGGCCCTCGCCCAACGCCTCGGCAGCATCAATTTCATCGGCCTGCCCATCTCCAACCCCGATGCCACCGACATCATCCCGGACCGCTACCTCGTCGTCTGGAACACCACCTTCCCCACTGAGGCCATCGAGTCGAAGCAGGCCCTCTTCATGAGCAACATCCAGAAGCGAAACATCAACAAGCGCGGCTTCTCCGGTTCGCTCCTCTCTACTCGCGTGAATTCGTACCGCTACAACAAGTTCATGGCTATGACCTTTGAGTCCGACAATGATCTCCTTCTCTCCATTGCTGATCAGCCTGAGGTTGCTTACGTTGAGGCTGTTACCCGTGTTCGTGCTTCTGCTGTCGCCGCGCAGCAGAATGCCCCTCTCGGCCTGATTCGTCTTTCTACCGAGACTCTGAGGAATCGAGGCACTGCTGGTGGTTACATCTTCGATACTAGCGGTGGCCAGGGCATTACCGCGTACGTCGTCGACACCGGTATCAGGACTACGCACTCCGAGTTCCAGGGCCGCGCTACTTTCGGTGCCAACTTTATCCAGGGCAGCCCCAATACCGATGAGAATGGCCACGGAAGCCACGTTGCGGGTACCATTGGCGGCAGGACTTTTGGCGTTGCGAAGCAGGTTGACCTTGTTGCTGTCAAGGTTCTTGATGCTGAGGGTGGTGGCGATACCGCTGGTGTCCTTGACGGAATGCAGTGGGGTGAGTGATAGTCTCTTCTTCTTGTCTGCCCCAGGGAGAGAAGAGCAAAAGGACGGAAAACCTAACTCATTAACTTCAGTCGTCGATGATGTCCGCGCCAACAACCGCTCTGGAAAGGCTGTTATGAACATGTCTCTCGGCGGCTCCTTCTCCCGCGCCATGAACTCCGCCATTGAAGCTCTCCGCCAGGCTGGTGTCGTCCCCGTCGTAGCCGCCGGCAACGAGAACGTAAGTCCCAAACTTTTCCTTTCATCTTTTTACCGACCGTTTCAAAATCTAACATCCAACAGGTCGACGCATCCCGCACCTCCCCCGCCTCCGCCCCCAACGCCATCACCGTCGGCGCCATCAACGCCGCCGACGACCGCCGCGCCTCCTTCTCCAACTTCGGCTCCGTAGTCGACATCTTCGCCCCCGGCGTCGACGTCACCTCCGTCGGCATCACCAGCGACACCGCCTCAGCCCGCCTCTCTGGCACCTCCATGGCCAGCCCCCACGTGTGCGGCCTCGCCGCCTACCTCATGGCCCTCGAGGGCATCAACCAGGTCGATGACGTCGTGGCGAGGATAACTCAGCTTGCGGGGACCACGGGCGCGAGTGTTGGGGGGAATAGGGGGGATACGACTAATTTGATTGCGTATAACGGTGCGCAGGAGTTGTTGTAAGGAGGGGATTTGAGATTTTCTTTTCTTATTCTACGGGAATTGTGCATATAGGGGGATCGATATTTTTGTATCATTTCTGAGGTGCAAAAACGGGAGGGGAACGAATGAACTAGGACACCTATTTAAAGGGAATTTAGGGAAGAGATGTGGATGTGTGGAAACACATAGACACTCGAATAAGCTGGTTCTTTTCTTTTTTTATCTTTGATATTTTTCTTTTCTTTCATATAGAAATCCGAGAATCCTGGTCTAATCCTGGCGAAAGATGGCGAGGCTCCTTTTCCGCTTCGCTTTTTTCGCTTCTAAATTCCGAACGGAGATGACATTTCGAACGTCGCTTTTGCTTGATGCTGCAGCCAACTGGAATCAAGCGATTCAAAAGAGAAATTGTTCCCAAGTGTGAAAATCGCTGTCGGGTGTGCTTGCGTGGGACTGTTACACTCACTACGTAGCTTCTAGCAGCGACACACTGTCATCGTAGAGATCGGTAGGTTTTCCTGGGAACGACTGTGGTTTGGCCGTACGAAGCAGGAGCGTTTGCCAAATCATTAGCGGCAAACTTATCCCGGATGTAAGAAACGGGAGAATGCAACGAAACAGTCTGGCCTTTGCCGTTCCTTGTCGACAACCCCGTCCACCACGCACATCAGTGTCTTTGGGGGCGATGTGGATTGATACACGAACTGGCAAAGATGCTTACATTGGCTCCCATCTACGAAGGGCACAGCTTTTGACATGGGTCTTCATGAAGTCATCATGAGCCATTCCAAACTTTGATATTCACTGAGTCGTCAAGACCTTATCCATACCCAAGTCTCGTCCTATCTCGCGATCCTCTCAAGCAGGAGTCCATCCCCACAACCGACCCTCCTGCTCCGAACCGCCTTACACTCTCTAAAATCCCTAGAGTTCCTCAAGCCGGATCCATCCGAACAGCCCCCTCCATAGAAGCCATCGGGTAGTAAATCCTGTTAAACCATAATCTAGAGAAAGTCACCAAAAACAAGCTCGAATTACCGAGAACTCACATACTGTTAAAGGTGGTAGAATAAAAGGGCTACTAAGAGAACATGAGACGTCGTCAATCATCCCGCGCTGCGCGGAACGGGGGGAGGTGCGGACGGGACGCCGGAGCCGCAAGTCTCCAGCGTTTTGGAACGACACAGGCTAATTCAAGCGCAAACCGCCCCCGACGAATGGAAAGAGAAATAAAGCCAGGGAAGCGCGGGGATAAATTACGGAAAGCGTCTCAAATGTTAATATCTTAGACCTTGCCGGATCTTGAAATACTCCGTGTCTTTCCTCGCTTTTGTGAGGAGCGATCAACAATTCAACTTAGCCAGAAAATAGATCCATGGGCAAGAGCGGATATCACGAGGACTATTCCTCAACGAGGAAGACTCTCTTTGGCTTTCTTCGGTCTCTTCCCCTCCGGGCCTATCCCGTCAGTAGATCGGAACTTGCCAACTTCAGCCGAATTCCATCTGGACTCCCACCCCCTTGACTCCTTGTAACGAGAAGCGATCGCCAGCAATGTAGACAGAAAACACTCCCCGATCTGTGTCTCGGCGGTTTGTACAATGAGAAGCAAAGCGGAAACGAGACATGAAAGTGACACAATACTGCTGCCCCAAGCCCAGGAATTCCCCCTTCGATGAGGAAAGCCAAGACTTTTCTCCTCATCCTGAACCAGGAAATCACCAACAAGGGAAGCAAACACCAGATACGATAAAAATAAGTCATACAGAGAGCAAAAGTATCATTAAAAACTTTAAAACATCACAATTTACAAAGAAATGTTTGCACTTCAGACCCGGGCAGACTTCCAACCTGAAAAAAAAAGGGATCGGAAATCCGCGGATCCGGCCTGCCATTAGACGAGGACTCCACGCAATGGGGATTTGATATAAGCACTTCTTCGGCACAACCAACGGCCATCACCCTCTTGCGAAGGGGCCGGATTGCAATTTGACATCCGTGCTATCCGAAAGGATAAAGAATCATAGTAAACAGAAAGACAAAAGACAAAGCATTGAAAACTTGAATCTCGGCGTCAACCCGGTCATGCGCATACCACGACTCCGGGAGCCGGGCATAAAAGTCCGGATAGGACGGCGGGCGCAGAAAACAAGCATGGTGGTTATGTTATTAGTATTTGTGAATAAAATCCCTATCGTGGTAAGTAGACAGGGCGACCCCACGAATTACTCCGGTCCCATAGCTCCAACTCCCTGGAAGAATTAAAATATCCCTTGCAACATGAAAAAGGCATCTCACCTCTCTCGAGTGCATGCACGTGAGGTCGTCGCCCATTTGGCGTGTTAGTGTCAGAGAAAAACAACGCGTGCCCGGCCGAAGGTGGATCCGGACAGAAAATCAAAGTTCAAGCATAAAATAGGCAAGGCAAAGGAATCATTAGTTGCCTGCACAGTATTACAATTCGTCACGTCCAATTTCCGTTATCATATCCTCGGGCCAGTACTTGGTAAAGTAAAGGTTGGCCAGATACGCACCACCAATCTGCGGGCCATGTTAGCGTCTCCTGAGAACGTCTTGGATCATGGGATACGACTTACCATCAAGCCAGCAATCAGCACCATGGTGCCAACAACCACAGCAACAAGGAACGCGCCGTCAGAGAGATCCATACCCTGACTCTCCGCCATCTGATCGTTCTGATACCGCTTTCGTTGTACCTCGGCCGTCTGCGGAGGGAAAATGGTATCGATGAACTGCTCAACGCGCGAACACTGCAGGCTAATCTCCAAGTAGTGGGGGTCCCGGGGATCGTTCTTCTTGTGTATCCTCTGGATATACCTCCTGAAGACTTCAGACACAACCCTCAGGTTCTGGGTGGACTCGGTCATGAGCCGGCAAGCGTCGCCCTTGGTGATCTTGACGTTCCTGTCAAACACGTCGGGGTTGTTGAAGACGAGCTCCAGGGTCGCGATGGCCATGCTCTGCGGGATGGCGACGAAGTTGAAGACGCTCTGATCCTTGATGGCGGCCATGTAGAAGATGCACTCCTCGACGTGTTTCAGCGAGTTGAGGACCATGTGATTCAGGCACTGCACTGCCAAGGGTCGGTTCTCGGGCTTGAAGAGGTCGCCAAACTCCTTAACGTATTGCGACCAAATCTCCTTGGGCCAGAAACGGCGTCCGTCCTCGAAGTCCTCGCGGATATCGCGGATGATGTTGGTCTTTTGGAGGAATTGACCCATAGACTCGGTCAAGCTCGGCTTCTCGAGGAGTTTGGGAATCGCTAGCTGGGACTTGACAAAGAGGCGGGTCAAGCCGTCACCGACCAATCCTGCTACGTAGTGGCAGTAAAGCTCGTAGTCTTTCACGGTGTTCACCCCATTGGTATTGAACTCGGCGTTTAGCGCGTAGTCGGCCATGCCATTGCCCATCTTGACGGTAATGTCGTCAATAATCTCGAAGTACTCAGGCTTGACCTTCTTCAGTTCCACCACCACGTCATCGAAATGGACTAGAAGCTCCCGGTCCTTCTCGTTGGGGCCGTTGCCGTTGAAGGTCCAGCCATCGATGATCATGTTCTTGTTAAAGTTCCTCAGCAGAGGTTCCTTCTTCTTGATATCAATTGTCATGTCATCCTCGATGGTGTCAAGGCCACGAAGCACGAGGTAGAAGAGCGCAACGGGAACGAGAAGCTCGGGGTTGAGTTCTTGGATGACGGCCGAAAAACTTCGGCTCGTCAGGTCGAGAAAGCGGAAACATGATTGAAGGGTCTTGGGCTCCGTTGCTGGGTTTCGCCTGTGGACCGGTTCATGCCAGAGTTTCCTGTGGGAAAAGGGCGCGGTTAGACAACAAGAAAGCTTCGGTGCTGGACTGTACCACCTTCAAGTGAGAGACTTTGGGGAGCGGCAACGAACCATTGAATGATAGCCTTGAGCTGATTGGGATGAAGAAGGAAGTAGAGGGCACCCATTGTGTCGGAATGGGTAGAAATAGTAATTCGGACGAGAGGAAGAAGAATAAGAGGTTGGGATTGGAGGCGTGGAAAGAAGGTAGTGGTGGGTGGATGAGGATTTTTTTTAACCTTCTCTTGCTAGCAAGTCAGGGGGACACAAGATCCATAGGATCAATTGGTCAATGGGTGCAAGGGGGAGAGAAACTTTGGTTCCTTGACCACAAACCAAACCTGGGCGGTGGTCAGGACAACAATTGAATGGAGGAGAAGTTTCAAAAAACTAGGCAGACATGACAATCAATATCGCCAGAGATTAAAGTGTACAGATCACAATTGGAGAATTAGAAGAAAAAATATGAAGAAAGGAGAAAACAAGAAAGAGAAAGCTTGGATACAGAAGGAGAGGGGACAAGGACATGCTGGATTAATTCAAGCGCTCCAACGGAAATTTTAGAGGGCAGCTATTGGACCCGGCAACAGTTCGCCAGCACCCAGAGGCAAGAATGTGGTTGCCTGGACCTTGGGGAAATTGGGGGATGCTTGGTCCTTTGCCGCAATTGCGGGTCGCGAAGCCGACGATGCCTGCTGAAGGACACTTCTCAATGGTGCGCCTGTGGCTTGGGAACATACACCTGCCAGCAATTGAACAACTACGAGGTCAGGCTTGCTTACAAACAACCACCGATTGCAAAATGTGAATCTGCGGTGCAGGGACTGTGGAGTCAACCATGGATAAACTCGGACCGCAAGAAACCGGTCAACTTGACTCCGACAGATGCTCTCATCTCATTCGACTTGGCTTTAATTAAGATGCGTTCTCCTTAATGATGGAGCCGCGATCTCGAAACAAGTTTACGACGCAGATAAGAGTGAGTTGCGATTCGCCTTAGCCTCTCTGAAGTAGCCGTTACAAGTCCGTCTTTGCTGGTCGTAGTGGCGGTGGTTGTGCCCGCCAGACCTCTCTAGCCAGCATGCAGGTCATAAATGGTTGAAGACAACGCAATCTGAGCACTTCTGAGAGGCATGGACGCACAGACGTTTGAATTTGTGGCTGGACGTTGGAAACGTGGCTGGAAAATGTCTAGAGTTACCTTCGTACTTGTCAACCAAGCCCAACCAGAGAGAATTTAGATCTGCATTGTGTACCTTTGTAATTCCCGCGAGTAATGCTACTTCGTACATTACAGGATTCCCAGTTCATCTTGCCAACTGGCTCTTGGATGACAAACGACATATGAAGTAACTCGCGGCTCGGTCAAGGTTCTAGACCTTGACAGGCAATAGAGAAATCTTGCAGGCAGAAGGTGCTCTCATATGAATATTCTACATGCCACCTCGGTCCAGCCCTTACTTCATCAAGGTTTTAAGTGTGACAGGCTCCCTCTTTCATATGCACTCAGCCATCTAAACCTGGTCCTGGCGGTGCTGTGTCCAATGTACAACCTCGACAACACCAAAATAAGGGTCCTACAAGTATAGGTACATGCTTGCGTAACACTGTCTTGGTATCCCCAGAAGTCGCCTGTACTCAGCAAGATCATTCTCCCCTCTGACGACATGTTTTCAGGCGCTCCTTCCTCTTCCAAAATTGCCCCGCCGTTACCTTTCAGCCTGGGCAGGCAAAAGGAAAAAAAAAAAAAATATCAACGCTCATCTCAGCCCTGCCCGCCCCTTAGTCAATACCTTCCGACACTAGAGCTTTCGTGAAGCAACCTTGCTTCTCCCAAACACAATCAGTGTTAATATTTCTTCCTAAATTCCCCCCCAAGACACTGAACAGACCTCTACATCCCCACTTTCGAATACCCACACATTCTGCCGCTTTGCCCGCATCCCTCAAGCGCCATGGTCGTGGATACCGCCTACTACGACCTTCTCGGCGTTAAGCCAGAAGCGAATGATATCGAGATCAAGAAGGCCTACCGAAAGCTTGCTATCATCCACCATCCAGGTGAGTCCTCCCCGGACCCGCCCTATACTGGGTAATTATCCTCCATTTTACTGACCGAGGACTCACCAACTTGCTCAGACAAGAACCCCGATGACCCCTCCGCGAGCGCCAAATTCCAAGAGATAGGCGAGGCCTACCAAGTCCTTTCCGATCCCCAGCTCCGCGCCGCCTACGACAAGTACGGCAAGGAATCCGCCCGCCCGACCGAGGGTTTCGTCGACCCCTCCGAGTTCTTCACTTCCATATTCGGCGGCGATGCCTTCCTCGACTGGATCGGTGAAATCTCCATCATCAAGGACCTGACGGCTGCCATGGATATCACCATGCAGCAGCAGGCCGCTGAGGATGGAGAGTTCCCCGGCACCGAGGAGGCTATGAAGGAGAGCATGAAGACGGCCGAGGCCGAGGCAGGGGCTGCCGGTTCTTCCTCCGCGGGTCCGAAAACCACACCGCCTACCGTCGTCGTCGAGGACGAGAAGTCCGATGCTGCTGCTGCTGGCACCTCAGCGACAGCTGGTGAGCCCGGCCCTCGCCGCACCCCCAGTCCTGCGGGGCGAACAACCCCCAGCCCGAGCCCATCCGGCACATCCACCCCACGACCCACGGCGATACCCATCCGCCCCGCTCTCATGGACAAACCCTCCGACGAAGTAATTCCCCCGCCCGCCGCGCAATCCGACGACCTCCAGAAGAAGAAGAAGGACAAGGGCGGGCTCACAAAGGAGCAAAGAGACCAACTCGCGGCCCTCCGTAAGGAGCAAGAACGCGCCCGCAAAGAGCGCGTCGACACGCTCACGGCCAAACTCCTCGACCGCCTCAGCGTATGGACCGAGACCGACAAGGGCGCCGACGTCACGGCTGCCTTCCAGGAGAAGATGCGCCTCGAGGTCGAGGAGCTCAAGATGGAGTCCTTCGGCATCGACATCTGCCACGCCATCGGCCAGACCTACGTGAGCAAAGGCTCGACCCTGCTGCGCAGCCAAAAGTTCCTCGGCATCTCGGGCTTCTTCAGCCGCATGAAGGATAAGGGCAACATGGTCAAGGATACGTGGAACACGATTAGCAGTGCCCTCGACGCCCAAGCCGAGATGGAGAAGATGGCCCGGCTTGAGGAGGAGGCGGGCGAGGATTGGACGGAGGAGAGGAAGGTGGAGTATGAGAGGAGGGTTACGGGGAAGATTCTTACGGCTGCGTGGCGGGGCTCTAAGTTTGAGATTCAGGATATCTTGAGGAGTGTCTGCGACAATGTGTTGAACGATAAGGCGGTGCCGCTTCCGAAGAGGCTTGAGAGGGCGCAGGCATTGGTGATTATTGGTGATGTGTTTAATAGGGTGAGCCCCCTCTTCTATTTTCCCGTTTTGCTTTTTATTTACTTGATGATGGTAACGGTTTGGCTAACTATCCACAGGCGAGACGATCCCCCGAAGAGGAGGGCGACTACCTCGTTTTCGAACAACTTGTCGCCGAGGCAGCCATGAAAGACAAGGATAAGGACAGGCGCAAGTCCAAGGACAAGCGAAGGACCCAAGTAGCAGCCGACGCTCCCAACGTCCCCAAGCCGTCATGATTTTCTTTCTTCTTCTTTTGCGTCTCTCTTACCCATGATTGTTTCCCCCACGCTTGTTTTGATACACCCTCTTGCCTCGTCACCCCCCTTATCACACCAGACCTCTTTTTGGTTCCTCCCTCCTTGAACACCCATACTCACCTCTATTATATCACACATTCCTCTGAAAGTTACAAGTTAGGATTCGGCCTCGAGCTCGTAGGGGAGAAACAGAGAAGGGCTTTGTTTTATAGACGAAGCCGGGTTCGGCTGGCCATGTTCAGCGGGAAATGCCTCCCTTTTTTTCTTATTCATTTTTTTTTTCTGATGGAGAAGAGCGTTGGAAATTACCTAGCTCGCCGTTGCATCGAGGTTGCGGTTCCTCTTGTTTAGCTTTTTTACTCACCCATCCCTACCCCTCCTCTCTGCGGGTGTTCAAACTTTTCTTTCCACTCCTTTCTTTCACGTCATGATAGACCTGCACTAGTTGAGTTGAGGAGTTGACAGTTGGCTTCTAATTACACCATAAACAATGTCACCATTCCATGACCCACTTCCACCGCCGTAGAGTCCAAAGAGTTCGTCATCAAAGGGAAGAAGACATCTATTGGATTTTGTTTATACGTCCGATGCTAAATATCTCCCCTACCACTCCCTGCTTTTTAATAACCCCCTCGAGGAAAGCAGCCCCGAAATATATCCACTTCTCGTATGGGGGGGAAAAGGCAAAATGAAAATGGAGAAAAAAAATTCATCATGGTATATACCCTTCAACCAGCTCCGCTTCTTAGTTGACACCATTCGCCTTCATCCGCTCAAAACACTTCTTATACGCCTCATGAATCTCAGGAACCTCATACCCATACTCCTTGAGCTTATTAATCAACTTGGTAGAATCCAACTTGCAGTTGCTCCTGCCAGCCTTGATGACCTTGGCCTGCTCCTCGAGGGAGAAGTTCTTCCACTGGAACTCGGGACGGACGATGTCGCGGAACAGGGTGAGGACCTCGTTGTGGGAGATGGCGCCGGGGTTGGTGAAGTTGTAGATGCCCTTCTCGTTGTGCTCGGCGAGGAGGATGGAGGCGGGGAGGAGGTCGGTGAGGATGGTGTTGGAGTTGGGGATGTCGACGACGCGCTCGTATTTGGAGATTTTGGTGACGAAGTTGCGGGGGTGGAGGTCGTCGGAGACGGGCATTCGGAGGCGGAGGATGAGGACGTTGTTGTAGTACTTCATGATCTAGAGACACGAACAATGTTAGCTTCTCCGTCTCGACATTTTTTTTTTCCCTCTTTTTTGGAGGTTCTTCATCTCACCTCCTCAACATGAGCCTTGGTCTCCGAGTAAAAGCTCCCAGCGAAATTGGCAGGATCCGTCTCCAAGAAGCCCTTCCCACCAATAGGATGCTCCTCGTCATACTGGTAAATGCACCCCGTAGCGAACACGGTAACGTGGATGCCCTTGAGGAAGCAGGCGTCGGTGAGGTTGAGGGTGCCGATGACGTTGCTGCGGATGGTGGTCTCCTTGTTGTCCTCGCACCAGTCGACGTTGGGGCGGCCGGTGCAGCCGGCGGCGTTGAGGACGTGGGTGGGCTTGACGCGGTCGAGCTCGGCGAGGACGGCCTCGCGGTTCTCCATGCGGATGGTGGTGGTGTGGACTTCTTTGCCTTGGGACTCGAGGAGGGCCTTGAGGTGGCCGGCGACCCAGCCTTCGCCGCCCCAGATGAGGAATCGGTTGGCGGACATGGTGATTGTGTGGTGGTGGGGTTGTTGTTTGGTGAGGGGTAAAGGGAAGATAGATTGTTGTGAGCGTCGAAGGAGGGGGAGGAGAATGAGTTTGGGAGAAGTTGGAATTGAGCTTATTCCTGGGAGGAGAGAAGCTGGGAGAGTTTCGAGATCAATTGATGGGGAGGAAGCTGAAAAGGGGGAGGCGTTGGGAGAGCGGGGCAGAGGGGGAGGTTCAGAACTGTTACACTACGAGGTACACTTTGGTACTGGGGCAAACTGGGTTCACACAATTACGAGTTTCTAGCGTTGAATGACTAAACAACTGCGAGTACAACTTGAATACGATAAGGACCATTTAATCGAGCAATTGAAGTCGTGTCTTAGAAAGAGTCGGTGAGCTTCGACAGCTCCTTCGTGGCGGGGTAAATACGAGGCAAGAGTAACGGAAGCCAACCCAACCAAAAAGCGAGGCTACGTATGCCCTGTAGGAAGAGAGCCAAAACGGGAAACTTATTGAAAAGAGGGATGGCACATCTTGGCTTTGTGCTGGTGCAGATCATCGATAATGTGGATGGACAGACAGGTGGGGGAGGAAGGGGGACAGAGTCCAGACTTTGGAGGGGGGAATTGGGCAGAAGATTTGGAGCGTGGGTGTCCAAGGACAGATCAATTGGACCCCTGGAGCGAATTGAGGCACGGAGCGAGCGATACAGGTACGAAGTACTTCGTATGTGTAGAGTGCAATAAAAGCTTGAAGTACAGCCACGTTCCTGGACTCGTGTCGGCGTTGACTTGTCAATTTGAAGCTTATCAATCCAGGAGCCAAACCCGGTTCTGTCGTCAGTCTGTTGATTTCTGAGAGGCTGGTTCTCCAAGCCCTCTGTAAATTCCCCTGTCCTGTCCTTTCCAGTCCTGTCCTCCATGATGCTCAACTACCGTTTTGGTACTACCCCACCACGAAGTATTACCAATAACTTGGTTTACAACGGAGAGAGAAAAAGATAGACAAGGAAAATTTAAAAGAAAATACGAAATAAAAGCAGATCTCAACGACGTCCAAAGATAAATGCAGCAGCGGTTCAAGGCTGATCGAGTCTACGAAGTAATCGCAAAACGTGAAGCGAGGTCCGAGTACTGCCAGGAATAACCCCGGACAGTTTCAATGGCAGGAACAAGGGTGACGTGACGCCATCACAATAGTCTCAAATGCCCTTCCCCCTTCGTCGCCGTCGGGGAAGACTACCTGGATAGATCCCAAATCGTTTGAATTTTGAACGGTGAATTTTTATTTGGATAGACAAAGGATGCCATCATTATAGCTAGGTGCGAAATTGGTTTCCTCTGTTGTCGAACTCTAAAACTAGGTTTCAAACGCACAGACCAACTCAAACAGTGTATGTTGTATCTAATATACACGTAGTACGTTGTCAAGACTTCTTGTCTGAACGGATATTCGTTTCCCCGAAGCCCGAAGCCCGAACCTGACATCTAGAATCGACAGCTCCAATCAGGCAGCAGCAAGGCGGAAACGTGGAACCGGAGGCGACGTTTCCTATTTTCGACTCCGCACCATCAGACCTCCATCACAATGGCGCCAAACCTCGCGCTCTCCACTCATAATCTGATTGAAATATGATTAAAAGTAAGTTCAACGGTGATAAAACACTTACAGATGACGATATTACCAGAATCGCCCGCTTGCACGCACGATGCGCCGCATCCGCTCGCACCTGCTACTTTTTGGATCAGCCAAAGCCCCTTCCAATGGTGCTGGCCGACCCAAGACCATCAGTCCTCGTATGTTAATTGCATTACGCGACCGGTTTTTACTAGCCAAGGAGATACATGCAATATATGCAATATATGTACTTAGAAATAAGCTGGTCCTATTTATAACGTGGACCCAGGAGTATACTGGGGAACTAGTGATTCCAGGCGTGCGAATTCGGGTGGACTCCTTGGGACCTAAATAGTAGGACACGACAGTGAAGATTTAGAGGATTTTTTTCATGTCGAAGATACTGGATGAGTTGATGGGAGTCTCTAGGGTTCAATGACAAGCCATTGGCTATTAACAACCGCTACTGTTTTAGGATCATGGACGGTACAGGAACACATCTATAATCATACTGCTCTTGAGAAGTTTTCGTAGGTTCTATCGCATTTCCTTACTTGTGTTTGTCTACTCAGATATTTTCGACATATCATGTCGTAATACGAAACGCTCGTCTCTGATCCTATTCACAGTGTTGTGAAAATACTTGAATCGCTATTCTGTCAGCGTCATACTTCTCGACGACGGTATCCCCCGAAAGGCATTTAGTTGCTGGGTTTCAGAACCTGGAGAAGGCCGGTAACAGACTGTATGAGGCCAAATAAGACTGTTAAGAATATACCAACCACTACTAGCCAGAAACCCCACCACTGTCCCATGTCGCGGCGGTCGTACCACCACTGGACGAGAGTCGATGGCTTTGTTCTGTCAAAGATCTCGGACGCAGCCAGGAGCCTCTCCCGCCAGTATACGTATGCGGCCTTCCTCTTATCAGCCGTCTCACGGTACATGATGTCTGGATCGAGGCCAACTCGACTGATCTCTCCCTGTAGCCAGGTGTTACAGCTCGTCATACCGAGCGGAATGAGGAGATTAAGCGTTGCTAATGTCTCATCGATTAGAGCTGTGGGGAGGAAATTGTTGCTTGACAGAGTGAGATTTGTGTAGACAAGCATAACGCACGGGGATAAGAAGACCGTACCTTGTAGCCGAAGCTCTTAGGCGCTTAAGCATCGACACTTGGTTGAACAAGTAGATAGAAGAACCTCTAATACTGAGATGGTCTGAGAGACAGTTTGTCCACAGGACGCGGAAGCCCGCAATGTTCCTCATGTCGGCGACATTGAAGTATGGAGAAAAGTGTTCGAGAGTGGAGAGAGGCGAGGATGGGGGCTGAGACATGTGTCGCCGGAGGACATCCACGAGGCTCTGATTGTCTGGCCATGGTAGGCTGACGTCGAAGTCGTCCTGGTGCGTAGGCATGAGGATCCTGACGCTAGTCATGAGCCAGAGGCGAACCGCAAGTTCGATGGATGCGGAAAGCTTCCGGTCGTCTGAACTCAACCTCGAATTGAGGCGGCTGATAAGTGCTCGAATGTCGGTAAGACTTGCAGATGGGTTTCCGCGGATAATGCTTAGGATGAAGACCATGTCGGCGTACGACTGCATGGCATGGTCGTGGTGCAAACCATGCCTACATTCTTGTCGCAGATAGGTGAAGTAGGCATCGAACTCATCGGGGCTTCTCATTTGCGGCTCGCCTCCTGAAAGCGGCCAGAGATGGGGAAGGAGCTCTTGTTTGACAGCTGGAGACAGCGGATCAGGTGAAAATACGGGCGCCTGGAGCACCGGTGCGACGTGTTGCACCGCCATGGTAATTTAAAGCTTCGCTCTAGACAACGCTAGGTGAAACCATAGGTTTACCAACCGTTTCCTTTGCACTCCTTTCCCCATTTAGACCTGAACTTCTAACGGCTCACAGACGTGGCGCTTAAACCTCGGTTAGAACAAAGCGGCTGTCAAAGACCTATGTGTGGCAGTGCATTTGATTAGTCGACATATCAACCCCGCAGCCCCAAAGCAGCAGTGTTGATGCCCTCCATGGAGCATCGATCTAACCTCTTATCCGGTACTACATGTCCACACAGCGAACAATGGCCACGCAGACGTATGCCCCACAAGCACCGCCGTCGTCCACCATACCACGAGTTACACCAGCACCACCAGCGGTGCTCGACGGCGACGAAAAGCCTCCGGTGTCGCTGGCTCTGCGACAGAGATTTGCAAAAACCAATCCAAAATATGCCCACTCATTTGGTACTGTGGCATTCGAGCGGTCGAGCAGTTCCGGGCTGAGGCTCATCGGCTGGAGGGCCGTTGATGTTGTCCAGCAAATCTGGGAAAAGCTGGTGGGCTCGCTGAAGTCCTTGATCGGGGAGACAAGAGACACTTGGGAGGCATGGCGACCCAGATGCCGACGTGGAGAACAGCGCAGTGGGTCTGACGTTCCGCTATATGTGCTGCGCTGCTTTCTTTTGGGCCCAGACCAAGCGCATGCAACACCTCATGCTGCCATCCTGTGCGACACCCCTTGGTTTCGCAAAGCTATCGGTAGCGTTTTCATCAAAAGTGGCTTACTTTTGCCCGCCGGCTTCAAATGCTTTGGACTGCCAGACAGGGTGGACCTTTACATGGCGCCGGCCGGCTCTGTCTGGGGCTCATCACACTCCGGGCCGAGACCGCTAATCCGCCTCAACGACTTCGACATACGGACCCCCGCCCAGTATCAAAGCACAAACGGCCTGAGTATCGAGATATTACTCGATAGTACCATTGTTGGTAGTGCCACGATTGGTGGTGTTGTCGAGATCGGGAAATCCACTTTTGGAATGACAGTTCGCCATACCTTTCGCGATCCAAACGAGGACACTGACTGGCCCGAATTGGACGATCACGATTCCGACACGCATGATTGCGAAATCGATCTGTTCGAAGAGGACGACCTCAAGGAGCATGACCCTCTACTGGTGGTTGGCCAACCTAAGTCAGAATCACCTGCTAGCGAAATGTTTCAGGATGGGAGGTCCACAAGCAATCTATCGAGTGGGGATCTTGTGCCTGCAGGCTCCGATCTAGTGCATGTGAGCCCTGATCAATGGAAATTGGAAACTGGCGTCTTGACAGCGCCAGAGGCTCGACTCGACTGGGCTCTCATAAGCCTCCAGCGGTTGGATCAAAACCAGTATTTCATCGAGCCCTCCAGCGGCGCCCACGGGGACCTAGTGGTGATTAAGACTCCGTCGCGACTGAGATATGGGGATCTTGGATCGAGCGGGGTCCTGGGCATTCCTATGACCACCGCTCCTCAGTCGGTGCTTGTAGTCTCGGTGGATGACATTCAACCCGGAGACTGTGGCTCGTGGGCCATGAAATTGCGAGACGGCGCCTTTACAGGTATGCTTATTGCGTTCTCACCGACACTAAGAGACGCCTATTTCCTTCGAATTATCGATATACTCCAGGATATTCGTCAGCAAGTCGGGTTTGAAGCAACCGTTGCCGTTGCAGAGCCGTCAAAAAATACTTCTCACGGAACCGGCTCTCCTCGTGCAGTCGATGCTGCGAGCAGCGCAGTCGATGCCATACCTAAAGACCACCCTGATCACGCCAGTTACCTAAATAACCTTGGAAGCTTATTCAGCAGGCAATTTGAGCAGACAGGTTTAATAGATGACCTCAATCGTGCACTTGATGCTGCGAGCAGCGCAGTCGATGCCATACCTAAAGACCACCCTGATCACGCCAGTTACCTAAATAACCTTAGAAGCTTACTTAGCAGGCGATTTGAGCGGACAGGTTCAATAGGCGACCTCCATCGTGCACTTAATGCTGCGAGCAGCGCAGTCAATGCCATACCTAAAGACTACCCTGATCACGCCAGCTACCTAAATAACCTTGGAAGCTTATTCAGCAGGCGATTCGAGTGGACAGGTTCTATAGATGACCTCGATCGTGCACTTGATGCTGCGATCAGCGCAGTTGATGCCATACCTAAAGACCACCCCGATTACGCCAGTTACCTAAATAACCTTGGAAGCTTATTCAGCAGGCGATTTGAGCTGACAGGTTCGATAAACAACCTTGATTGTGCACTTGTTACTATGAGACGCGCAGTTAATGCCACACCCCAAAATGACCCTGATTATGCCAGTTACCTAAATAACCTTGGAAGCTTACAGGGCAAGCAATTTGGGCGGACGGGTTTGATAGAGGCTGAGAAGCTGTTTACGCAGGAGGTGGAGATGAGCAAGCTGAAACTTGGGGATGATCATCCTGACACGCTCACCAGCATGGCCAACTTGGCATCAATATACAGGAACCAGGGCCGATGGGAGGAGGCTGAGAAGCTGGATGTGCAGGTGATGGAGACTCGCAAGGTGAAGCTCGGGGATGATCATCCCGACACGCTCACTAGCATGGCTAACTTGGCGTTAACATATGGGAAGCAGGGCCGATGGGAGGAGGCTGAGAAGCTGGGTGTGCAGGTGATGGAGACTCGCAAGGTGAAGCTCGGGGATGATCATCCCGATACGCTCACTAGTATGAATAACCTAGCCTGGACCTGGAAATCGCAAGGGCGACTTGCAGATGCGCAAGCTTTGATGAGGAGCTGTGTCGATGCTCGGCAGAGAATACTAGGCCTAGAGCATCCAGGCACACTTTCCTCGTTAAAGGCCTTGGATCAATGGAGTAGCTAGGATACCATTCCTTATTAAAATTGTCACTCTATGTTTGGTTCTTTTGTAGAGGATATATTTAATAAACGCTACTAAACAATATTGCGGAAATTATCGAGAGGTTTTGGCAGGGAGGGATTGGCACCTAGACGGTATTAAGCAGGACTCGGTCACTAATTCCGAATTTCGGTTGTGATTCCATGGAGAGAGGCCAGGCAACCACAATAAGGTCATGTGACATCGGTACCATTTATACCCCAAGGTTCGTAGATGATACGTTGTGTGTCGCAGCGAATTGACTGCCTAAGCTAGCGATGGATCAAGCGCCAGCGATGGATCAAGCGCCAGCGATGCATGTAGGTACATGGTTTGTCTCCACGTAAACTCTATACTGTGTGGCAGCAGACGATAGATCGTTGGCTCGCCATATACTTAGAAGTACCTGCGATTCTTGCTCTTTCCGCCATATTGACAAGGTATCTCTAAGTAATCCTAGTGCGTGCTCAGAACGTTTCAAAGAGTGTAAAGCGGAAACCGATTTCGCTCCTAGCTATATCTACCCTCTCTCCCAGAAATCCCGGATATATGCGGTCCTATATGCCCGTCCACCATCAAACCAACGACCCGCCCTCTATCGAGGCCCCCTCAAAGAAACCAGACCAAGAAGACCCCGTTGAGCCTGGGAGAATATCCCTTTCCTCCATCCACGAATAACTAACATCGGGGTATCTGTTGGTACAAACTCGAAACGTCGAGTTAATAGGTAAAGACATTAAAAAGACATAGGAAAAAGACACAACCCATTCCCGATATGAGAGGCGATAAGTTTTGGTGTAGAAAAGGAAGAAAGAAAAGAAGAAAAAGGAGAGCATGAGTGAGTGAGCGTGATATGAAAGTTCCCCAGTTTGTTTCCCCCGGTATGAGAGGCCCTATCAAGAAAAAGAGAAAGACCATGACCGTTTCTTTTTGCAAATGCAGACCCGAGACCTTATGAAATGGTAGAAGTATGCGTATGCCAACCCTTTTTGTGTTTTTTTTTTTTTCTTTGCCACGCCGGAGGAGAAACAGAATTCGAAACTTTCTTCGAAATGCTCTGGTAGGAAGAAATAGGAAAATGCGGTTTTTGGAGGGGAATATTGATACAGAGAAAAAGAGGGAAAAAAAGAAGAAGAAGAAAAAAGGGAATAAAAACGCCCATGTCAGTTTGTGCTGCTCCCAGATTCCCGGACCTTTGCTGTACCCTGTTTTCCCGTTGCTATGAAAATCGCAAAATGAGATCAAAAATGTGGCCTGGCTGGTTGAAACAAAGGAAAAGAAGGAAAATAAAAATCCATTGCAAAGATTTTTTTGGCTTCGTCAAACTTGGGTATAAAGAGTGGTGATGTCGGCGTCGTAAAGCGGTCCTGCGCCTCGTAGGACAATCTCGGAAAAAGACGCCAGAAGTTTGGTTATTTGAGAAAATTACTCGTTGTTCTCGTTTTGTGAATTGGTGAATAGGAAAGAAACATGCCAGAGACATGTCATATGCCTCCTCCGTGCAGCTCCACACCACTATCGTCTTCTAAAAGGTCGTCCTTCGACGACATAGAGCCATCGCTTTCGCTCCCAAACCGCGCTCCATGTATCGTCAAAGTATCTTCCTGGTCATCGGGATCGAGCATCACGTTATCAAACTCGTCGTCCCCGTCGTCATCGCCACCGTCCGTCTCGTCAATGCCCTCCTCTTCGTCCTCGTCCTCGGCGACCAGAATCCTCCCGCCGAGCTTGATATCGCTCACCCGCACCTGGTACGCGAGAGCCTTGCGACCCTCCTGGATCAGCTCCTCGGTCCAGTTTAGGCATTTCCTGAGGCTCTGGTTGATCTTTTGGCTGTCGACAAGGAGCTCGCGGTGCTTCGTGAGATCTAGTTGTAACCGGCGCTCGTCACGCTGATGATGACGTGCATCACGGGCTGCGCGGGCTTCGGGGCTCAGGCTATCGGATCCAGAGTCGGTTTCGGACAGGTCGGACTCCTCCTCTGACTCACTCTCTTTGCTCTCCTCCTCGCTAAGATCCGCCAAACTCATCGCTGCCATGGCCGGTTCGGGAACGGGGCCTTCGGAGGAAGCAACGCTGTCCGCGGCAGAGGCGAGAGATAACCTTCCCGATCGTGATAATCTGCGGTATCTTCGGAGTTCAGCAGTCTGCTTCCGTAACCGCCGCTCTAACGACCTATTGATAGCGGCAAGTGATGCATTCGTAATCTCGAGATCCTGGACCTTTCGCTCACGGCGAGCGTTGGTGATGAGTTCGTTGAGCTGATCGGCGGAGTGGCCGGCCTTGGTCGGACTATGGAGTTCGCTGTACATGGGCACTTCGGCCTTCGAGTCATTTTCGGAAGGGGGAACTCGCTCGGTTACAGGCTGGAGCTTCAATGGCTGTGGCACGGCCATTATAGGACTGGCAAGGCTGACCGGAGTTGAAACCTCGGACTGCGGTGAGGATAGGCCCTTGACCGACGGAGGGGACTCGATGGCAATATTGGCAAGGCTGCCGGACCGAGAATGGCCCCTGATGTGACGATGCCCATGTCCATGCGCATTCTCAAAGCTCACTCTTCTTGCCGTGACTGTAGGGGATGGTGCTGCGGTTGTGTGGTTCGCTACTGGCGCTCGCGTTGGAGTCGGCGTGGATGATTGGACAGGCGCTCTGTGTGCTGATAACGATGGTTGAGATGCCATCTTAACTGGGGATGCGGGTCGTGGTATAGGTGCATGAACTGCATGTGATTGGACGGCGGGCTGTTGCACTGCAGCATGATTCAACCTCCCTGGCGTCATCCGAGCAGTCGTCGAAACAACAGAAGAAGGCCGCGGCGACGCCGTCTGGCTATGCGTAGGAGGCAGATCGGGCACTCCATTTGCGTAAATAAACTTGCTAGGACGAGGCTCGGGGCTGTGAATGTGGCCTAGCGTGGGCGCGAACGATGGAGAGGGAGATTGTGTTGTCGTCCTATTCTCGACGAGCCCGCCATTCGCGTAGAAAAATGTCGGACCTCCCGAACGGGCGGGTTGAGCTGGGGGTTTTGGCTGGGTGCTTCCCTTCGCATCGCTGGCATAGAAGAATTTCGAGTCTGCCGTCGGCTGGCCATCGTTGCCGTGACCGTGGTGATTCGTGTCGTTTGCGGGACTAAACGCCAAGGCTCGTCGAGGCGCCGACTCGTTCTCAATTCCCGCAATTCCCAACCCGGACCTCGAGTCCCACGAATCTCGGTCGGGATTCGGCGTGCCACAGGGGCTGTTGTGGGCGCTATCGACTCGATTTTGGCGGGTTCCTGATCTCGGTGTAATATTACTACTCAAAAACGCGGAGACCGGTGAGGCATACTCGTCCCGCAGCGACGCATTATTCCCCGACGACGTTTGGTGCACACCGCCCGTCTGCTGCTGCTGGGGTCTCCTCGCCAGGGGTGTCGTAGCCCCGGATTGAGCTACCCTCGGGGCTGTGGAAGCGGCGATCTTGGGGGTCAGCGGTGTCCGGTTGACTCCCTTGACAGCCGAGGTAGCTAAAGGGGGTTGTCGGTGATTGAAGGCGGATGCCCTGTCGGGAGCCATAGTGGCGGTGAAGGTTTTCTGTTGGCGCGTCATACCACCTGAATGCACATTTTGGTCCTTTCGAAATAGCGGCGCACGAAGGAATGCGGTGGTTGTGGTTGCGGTTGAGGTGGTGGCGGCGGTGGTTGTTGTGGTTGTAGTGGGATTCGTGTTGCTGGTATTGTTGTTGCTGCTGTTGTGGTTGCTACTGTGTTTAATCGTCGGGGTCGCGTTGCGTGCAGGTATGCGTAAAGAAACGGCGGAAGCGTTGGTCGTCGAGCTGATCGAAGAAAGCGACGAAGGTGGCCTCGCCGTACTATTTGGATTAGTAGGTATTGTGGATAGTGTCTTAGCCAAGGTCAACCTTGTCGTCGATGACGAGGACGAAATGATTGTGGCGGCCGCTGTCACGGGACGAGGACGCCGGTGTGATGCAGTGGTGGTGCCAATGGCGGAGGATGGGGATGGGGCGATGCTGTGTCGGGAACGACCGTCGGAAAAGATTGCAGAAGCGACTAGGCGGGGCTTGGGGGAGGCTAGAGAATTTTTAGGCAATGGTGTCGTTCGAGACGCAGGATGTGCATGAGGATGAGGAGATGGCAGCAGCTTGCTGGGCTGGTGGTGGTTACCGCTAGAGGAAATGGAGGAGGAGGGCGGTGGGCGTAGGGAAATGGTCTGTGTAGCTGAGCGTGACGATGCTGTTGAGGAAGTGCCGGAGATCGTCGACGATGAGGAATATTTTTTGGCCTTTGTTGTGGGATTTGTTGATGATGTTGTTGTTGTTTTGTTTGGAGTTACTCGCCCCTTCCTTGCTTCAGGCTCAATTGACTGTCGCAGACGAAACAAACTTGGCCGCTCTTTCAAGCTCCTGTTTCTGTTTCTGTCGCTGCCACTGTCCTTGTCACTGTCACGGCGCTGAGCTGACATGATTTTGGCGGGCGATGGTGGGAAAACTGCCGCGTTCTCAGCGACTTTTTACTGGCCGACATGGCCGGAAACAGACCTGAAGTGGCTTGGAGCCCCTAAAATTTAATTCCCCTATTCCCCTAGCCCGAAAATGAGATCTCCAAGCAATTGGGTCAGGGAAAAAAAAACTTGGAAAAAATTGGCTAGAGGCAAAAACGAAAGGTCGAGAGCAATTGGGAGCAAAATTCAGCTAGAAAATATAATAATAGATCTGGTGTGCAGTGCATGAGATGAGATGGTGAGATCAAATGGGAAAAGGGCAAAGGCAAAAAACTGGAAAGCAAGGTGAGGTCATTGATCGTGTCAACGACTTTCTACGCGTCCAACGCAACATCAAATCCCGCCTGTTTCCCTATCAGAGTCGCAGACGCGATAATAAGATGATCTTTTGCCCCTCCACTCCACTTGGTTGATGTATAAGAGACCCTGATATAAACAGGAAGTTGGGAAAGTCTAGAACGAGGGGAAGAAAAATTCAGAGAAATTATAGGCCTAGTTGCCAATGTCATTTCCGTCCGTTGTTTATATTCATGCGCTCAGTGCATGAACAGTGCATTCCCGCTAAGAGCTGGGGACCTAATCCCAGCATGGGTACAAGGTGAGCCCCAGCCCAACCAGGAACACGGGGTCTCTTCTCCACCTGCACTAATGAGCCGATTTTGACAAAGTACGGCCAGTATTAGGGTTTAATTGATCAAAAATGGCTTCTATGCGTACAGATTGTACGAGGTGGTTGATCAAAGTAGATGGGGTTCCTCGCGTATTCCTGGGAAAAGTCGGGTTCGGTATCGTTCTGTAGCCAGTCCCTTGGTGGCTTGCCGCGAAGACTCTACGGCATCCCACAGGAACAAGTCGGGTTATACTCAGACCTCAGCTGTTGGCGGCGAATGGGATGCCCACACCACTGCCTTGGCGATTCCTTCTCGTTGGCTCTTACCAGCCACCGGAGGGCGGGTAGGCAAGACCGAAGAGCTTGAAGCTCGTATGTCGTGTGACTCTGAGCATGCGAACCAGTCGGTGAGGGTCATCAGCTCCAGCTCATTCCGCCTCGATTCCGCTGTGTCCGAACATCGAAGTAAGGATCAATTAAGCGTCGGTGAGCATCGATGTGAGGAATAGCCTGGCGATGCTCCGTGCAAATGCGAATGCGCTATATCTCTTGGCCTGGGCAATGTGTTTTCCCCGGTTCGGCATTTCCTGGCTTCTGGTTGAACGGAAAGAGCACTTTAATGGATACTTTCACCTCCTCCCAAGAGCTCGCACACTCCGATCCAAAGGAGTACGTACCGATCTAAAGTGTGAACATCGACCCGAGGCTGTTCCGAGCTGAACCACTCGCGGTCTAAGAATAGATTTATCGATCATGAGGTTTTAAAAGGTCACCACCTCTGTCGACTTCCAATCGGCAAGTTACGCTCGGCGAGGATGTTACGGAGGCCTCGATGATCGGAGGCGACTTGAATAGCCTTGCGGTTTCTACGCCGTTGCAGCCGGATCTGTGCAGTATCTTGTACAACCTCTCTGTAATCTAGTAGTGTCAATCATCGGCCTGGCAATCCGGCGCGGCCGAGTTGCGATCGTTTATCCTAGACATCTTCTCTCTGACCACGAAGGCCTTGTAGCAGTAGATACCTAAGTCGGGTGATTCTTTCAAAGCTTCATGGCTCCCGCGCGACAGTTCGCCGCACTGCTGGGCCCATTGCACCACCTATTCAGCCAGATAAGCTACACAGCTGAGGCCGAGGAAGGACGTTTACTTACGATCATCGAAAAAGTTCAAACCGAAAACTGCTTGGTTGATGATGGCGAACGTTGCCACCCAATCAAAATCCGTCTTTTACTGCATTCGGCCGAGTAAGCTTGCCCTCGTCTCCGACGGCTTGTGTGATGAAGTCATGATAAAATTTCTGGAACGACTGGACAGTGCCTGGTTCGTGTCGTCGACCAGCCATTCTATTCAAGATTGCAGGCAGCAGCTTTACTACAGACACTGCCAAGGCTGCCCTGCTCATCCTCCCACTGCGCGAGGCCTTGTGAAGATGATCAATTGATCAGTGCCCTGTTGAAGACTTGTCTGAATGTCGTGGTGGGGGCGTTTGTACCCGTGCACGTGATGAGGAAGATTGGTAATGGATCTGGCTGAATGACTGCATCCGACGACGCGCCGGGATTCTATGGCCTTTCCACATCAAGGTTTGGACAACGACATCTCCCACAAAGAGAAAAATAAAGGAGGGTGGGGAAAAAGGAAACTTTGCAATAGTTTCTGGGCATCCGAGAAACAAGTCGGGCCCCCCAAAACTCGACGTCTTCTCTGATACCGCCACCGAACCCAGCCCTTCACCAAAACCCAACAACTGGCACAGCCATGGCAGTCCTCGGCGTTTCCCTCATCGTTGCCTCCGTCCTCTGGGTCATTGTCCGCCCGCCGCCGTGGCTCGCTACGTTGTTCCTCTCATGGCGCCCGAGACGGGGTATTGATAAGCCTCCATCTGCACGTCTACCTAGCGGAAGTCGCGATGCCGGTGCTCTTGGGACCGAGCCGGATGAGGGATCGGCAGTGAGCTCGGATCGACCCGTGGTGCAGGTCGAGGAGCCGGCGCAAGAAGAAACAAAGGAGTCTACACCTTCAATCCAGTTAATCGAAGAAGATGTATCATCGCCGGCACCGACACCGGCTCCATCTCCGTTACTGGAGGACAAAGCAGCCAAAGATCGCCTCGCCATGCCTCCCCCTCCTCCACCCATGATCGCCCGCCAAACCGCCGAATCCGAAGACCCCGACGCCGCCTCCGAAGAACAAACAACCCCCAAAGCAAAGCGCGCCGACCTCGCATCCACTACCCCAAGCCTCACCCTCCCCCTAGCGCCTCCAAGCCCACGCGCCCCTAGTCTCCGACCCCCGGTCCCCTCCTTCCCAGCCGCAAACTCTCCTCAACGCGCCTCAAACACCACCACCTCCCAAACCCCTCAGCGCCTCCCCTCCCTCTTCCCCTCAGCACCATCTCGCCCAAACCCCCTCCCCAACCGCGGCCCTGCCCCCTCCCGCTCAACCCTCGCACCGCCATCCTCCTCACTAGCCCCCCCACCAACACACACCACCAAACCCTCCAAACCAAGCCGCAAAGTCCTCCTAGCCCCCGGCCACTCCCCCCTCGACTGGGCCTCCATCTCCGGCCCAACTGCCGACCTCCGCAACCTACCCCCGGAAACACCCTACCTTCGCGTCACCCCTGCCATGCTCAAGCGCCAGACGGGGCGCAAGGGAAAGGACGCATGGACCGTCCTCGGCGGTCGCGTGTATAATATTTCGCCTTATGCGCCTTATCATCCCGGGGGAGTGCCGGAGCTGATGAGGTGTGCGGGGAGGGATGGGAGTAAGTTGTTTGGGGAGGTGCATCCGTGGGTGAATTATGAGAATATGTTGCAGGCCTGTTTGGTTGGGATTTTTGTGGATGATCATGAGGAGCCTAGCGGTATGGAAGATATGGATTAGAGACGGGTGGAATCCGGAAGACATTTATGGCCGTTTACTTGAAAGTATTTAGAACTGGATAGACAGGCAGAATCTTGTGATACCCATTGATGAAAATAAATTACTGTTTAGACGATACCTATCCCACTTGCTATCCCATGCCCAGGATCCCATTGTAACGCCATTCCGAAATACGACAAGCTTGTCTGCCACCTCTTCTACCTCCTCCTGCCAAACTTGAACCCTACATCCTCGTCACTATCCTCACTCTCAGCAGCCACCGCCCGCCGCGTCTGCCTCGGCCTCTTTGCCGGCTGCGCAACCACAGGGGTAGCCGCAGGCCTCTTCGCCTGCGTCGATGCCCTCGTCTGGCTCCTCGTAGACGCAACCTGTGACGAAGCCGTTCGCTGCGTTGTTCCAGACGACCGCGCTCGTGAGGACGAGGCTCGGTCTAGCTCCGTGATGCCCAGAGATATTTCATCTTCATCCTCGTCACTATCGTCCGAGGAGACCGTCCGTCTTGACGCCTGTCGCCTCGAAGTCTGCGTCCGTGTCCGCTGGCTAGATGATGCATTGCTACTTTCAACAGGCCGGGATGGCTGGCTAGGCACCCCCTGGCTTTCCTTCCTAGCAGCCGCCGCATCATCCTCAAGCCAATAATCGTCCCCGATCCCAAACTCCTTCGTCTTAACCTGCGTGAGGGAAATGATATTGCGAATGGCAGGACGCCCGCTAACCTCCCCCCGCGCACGGAATCGCTTGAAATTCTTCCTCCCATTCCACCTGGGATCCCACCGTCCATCCGCAATATCCTGATCCCTCGTCCTCGCGCTCGGCGGTACACGGACCGCCATCTCCTCCACGATGGCTAGCTTTCGAATTTCCGCGAGGTTGATGTCTTCGGGGAGGTTGTTTAGGTCCTCCTGCTCAGCGCGCGCCCGGGCCTCCGCTTCTTCGCGCGTCTTACGCGCGACCTCCAGCACGTCGATTTCTTTCTTAATCTTCTTCGGCTTCTCGGTTTGCTTGGGCTGAGTTTCGACATCCATCGTCTCGGGTGTTTCGTCCCTGATCACGGGGTCCTCGCCCCGGGCTATCCTTCGCCTCTTGGCCGCCGCTGCCGTCGGCGCTATATCGTCCATTATGTCGTCTTCGTCGGGGAGGGGATGTTCCCTTCTTTTCCGGGCATTCTGCTGAGTCTGGGCCGGGTCCTCCTGACTAGCGATGACCGAGCCCTGAGACACGAACAGCCCCTCTTCTTCCCTCTCCGCGTTCGAGGCTAATGGTTCCTTTCGCTCTGTGTTTGTCTCAGGGCCAGGCAGAGAGGCCGCAGATTCTTGGATGGAAGGTATATCATCGTCATCATCGGAATCGAACCCTTTGAATCGCCGAGTAGCGGGGCGCCGGACACGACTTCGTCGGGAAGTCGAAAGGCCGACAGGTTTTTGGTCCACCTGGCTCGGCTCCTGCGAAGTGTCCGCTCCATCTTGCGCAGAGTCCGCCATCTCAACATCCCTCAGTGCGCTCGCAGCGCGCATAGCACCGCCCCTCGTCTCCGGTTGCGGTGGTTCCACTGGGCGGTCATCAATGGGCAGAGGCCGTCGTAGCATCGTCGCATCCTTCACCAAGATAGCCTCTAGGAACTCTTTCTGTTCGATGGGACGGTGGTCGAGTTGGAGAGAGACAGCTGTGGTAAATTCCGTGTACCAGGACACGTCGGCTCCTTTCGCTGGGATATATCTGACCACGACGGCGCCCTTTCCTTCGCTTCCATCTTCGAATGATCCGAGACCTTTTTCTCCTGCGATTGACTTGACATAGCGAACGAAATCGTTTACCTGCGTTTGATGTGGTGTCACCTCGAAATACAACGCCTTTCCCCTACCATTCGTGATCGGCGCTAAAAGGTTCTCCCACTGCGCCTTGTCATAGAAGATAAAGGTAAATCCACTAAATATTTCCCTTCTAGAGGGGTCGGGCGCATACTGCGACGTCGGGCTTTGCGAGGCCTCGGATCCGCGAGGAGGAAGGTAATCCAGCTCATTAGGCCAACTGGCATCAAAGTCCACTTCCAGAGGACTTTCGTCACCTTCCTGGACCGTGGCACCGGCGATGATGGAATCCGGGAAGGATCCGGACACAATATACTTGCCATTTATCAGAGCTTGCAAACCTTTCGCCGTGTTTCGCTTCTTCGAAACGACATGGGTAGTGGCTTTGACATTGTAGTCGGTGATGAATTTGATGTCAAGCTGTTCTAGATCGCTTCGTAGAGTTTTAAGGGGATCGTTCTTCATCTCTCGGCTCGTAAAGGAATATGTGAGGACCACTGGAACCCATGTGATGCTATCGAAGAGGGGTTTGGTCAGTTATCGTTTTTGGACTTGAAAGAGTCGCCAGACCTACCGAAAGATGTCGGGACATTTTCCCATAGTAAATTCCACGTTTTCTGTCGCAAGCACATGCGTCTGGTTCTGGATAGATTGCCCATTGATAAAGGTGCCTTTGGAGGTATTCAAGTCTTCGATGGTCAGCCGTGATCTGCTCGCAAGATTTTGCTACTCTGTGTAAGCCCAGGCCATCAAGATGACGAGAGAGAAAAAATGTAGAGGGGACGTGGAAGCTACGTACGGCATGACCCTCAGTGACGGGGTCAACGGTGATCGTAAGATGTTTCCGAGATATCGTCTTGTGGGTGATAACGAGCTGGCCAGCTGGTGTTGATATTAGCACATCGGCCGATTTTCAGGCGGGAACTAGACGAGCGAACCTTCAGATGATGTCCGACCGATCAAGTAGCGCTTTCCCGGTCGGAGCCAGAGCCTCCTACCTGGCAAAAACCTGTCAGCACTGTGATATAGCTGGAGCAATTCGGCATTCGACAGTTGTGCACAAAGCGCGCATACCTTGGAAGGAGGTTCCAGAGCTATCTAGGACCCACATTCTAAAAGGCTTGCGGGAACCCCATTAACATCCTACTTCGGCGAAGTAGGAGGGTCTGGAAATGCGGTTAAAGCTGCGGGCCGTGAGAACGCGGGCGGGGGCAAGGCTATCAGGGAGTTGATGAATCCTCTGCGTGTTGCACTTGGCAACTTGGGAAGATTGGTGCCCCACACTTTTTCGTGTCGCGTTGTGCAACGCCAAGTCAGGTGAGCCGCTGAGTAAGTGGAGAAAGGGTAAGCGGAGACGTCAAGTCGAGAAAATGGTTGAACTCGTCTGGCGACAGAATGAAAGCGCAGTCCTCAAAGGGGATGTCGGAGTCGGAGTCGTGAGTCTCGAGGGCGTCCAGGAGATCATTAAAACTGCCTGGAGCAGCAAAGCCATGCTGGCGGTCTTTGTGGTCAGCCATCGTAATGGAAATAACACAAGGCAATTGGTATTTTGATGATTGACAGCAATAGCTTAATGATTGTGGTGGTATTTGTGATGATGGTGATGTTCAAATATTGAATGATAAGTAGGGAAGAGAACACAAGAGGATGAGGAGAAGTGATGAAAAGTAGTGATGAGAAATAATGAGGAGAAGCGTAGAACTACTCAACTTCACTCACTCTTAGCTCACAGATGAAGGAGTAAAAAGAGAAGTAGGAAAAAACATCTAGGTCACAATAGAAACATAAATAAGAAAACAGAGAAAGGTACTGATTCGGCTAAACTTGATAGTTGTAGAAGGTAGAACTGGGACAACACCTAGAAGGTAGGGTAGTGATGGGAAAGTGTGTTCATGTTAAGCTAGATCTGTATGGAGTAAGCATCTCACATTCGTTGTTGCTGGGATGGTTCTCGACCCCTTCTGAATTGTGTTCTTTCTAGGACCTAAGGGCTACTCCAGTACAGAACGCACATCTTACACAACAGTAGAGTACCAGATAACTAAGATGAATCTCGACAAGACTAGGTGTAATTATAAGAACTTCTATTGAGTAGTTGATACTTGGAGCATGTACTGTCATCAAGTGTGTTGGTTGGATTCAAGTTGGTTGTTTGCCATTCCTCTCTGACCATCCAGCTCCTCATCTAACCCCAACTCTCTCTCATCTTCTCAGTTCATTCTTACCAGTGCCTTAGCTTGGGCTGAGATGTTGAAGACTGCTTCAATTGGGATCCTCGTTGTCTCCATCCCCCATTGGCCTTTCCTCCACTTCGGACTGTTTCCTGGTGTACTTTTCTCCAATTCCCTTTTTGTGTTCTCAGCGCCTTTGCTAGATTTCCTGATTTGGCTTGTCTGGTTCGTTCCTGGGGCAAGATCTTTGGTGCTTCGACGCTTCTTCTTCCTCATTTAAACTCTAGGCCATCGGTTCCCTTGCTCGATTCTCCTCCGTTTCTCACCTTCTCAGCAAATAACCATTGACCGCCCCTTTCCTCATGCTCGGCACAGTTAGCATCTGCCGCTAACTTAGTCCTAGCCCGGCCCGGCTGTAGCTAGGCCCGACCAAGTCCACGATTAAGGCGCTGGAAGATATTCGGGAAGCGTTCGGAGCCGCGTTGTGGAACGCCAAGTCAGCTGAGCGAGTTCCCAAACCTAAGACAGGTGTTGCCAAGTGGCATTTTTGACAGCTGGCAAAAGGATGATGCCTTGCCCCCAGCAACTCAGCAACTCACATTTCACAGTCCTCCACATCAAGTGAATATTAAGAGGAAAGATATCGAGGTCGGAGATAGAACTTATTATCTTTGTATACAGACGGATTCTTTTTTACCCCTTAAAACTCGTCATCTCACGTGGCATTATTAGCAAAACTCTGAAGTTGCAGCGCAATGTGACAGAAAGCTGACTGATAGGATGTCGAGTCGTGGCTTCTGCTGCATGAGGCAGCCTCATCACAGCCTGGTCTCTTGTTGGTTGACCTGCAGTCCTGCACCGCCCCAGGAGCCACGACCCGCAAAATAATGGCTTTCCATCCGTGGCCCGACTTTTCAGTCCCTTCACCGCGTGGAATTCCCCCTTTCCATTTGATTCCCCGAGTTTTGTGCTTTGATGAAGCGTCTGCATCAAGACGATGGCCTCGGAAGCGATCTGTCCAGATAGCACCGTCGGCCGGACGGGCTTCAGCACAATAGTTTCCCCCGATAACCCCGCTCTAGAGTACGTATTCGAGCAATACACAATGCCATTTCGAGGTTCTCGCTATTAACCTGACAACTGTCACAGTATCGTCTTCATCCATGGATTCAGGGGCCATCCAGAACGAACCTGGACATCTGGAGGGAAAACGCCTAGGCAGAAACAGTCAGAAGGTGCCAGCGATGGCTCGGAGCCTCAGCCTAAACGGCGACGGCTGCTCACATTCCAATCCGCTCGACATAGCGATTGCGAACCCGTTTACTGGCCTCGCGACCTTCTTCCTTCGACCGTCCCGAACGCACGAGTCCTGACGTTTGGATATGATAGTGATATCAAGCATCGGGTCTTTGACCAAGCGAATCGGACTACCGTCAGAGATATTGCGCATAATTGTCTCGTCGCTTTGGAAAGTGAGCGGCGAGAAGCACCTGAGCGACATCTGCTTTTTGTCGTCCATAGCCTGGGGGGCATCATCGTCAAAGAGCTTCTTCGCCAGTCTAGTGGACACTATCAAAGACAAAGCCATCTCCGAAAAGTTTTCGAATCTACCACGGGAATTATATTCTTTGGAACCCCTCATGATGGGGCCGATCCCCTCGGGTCCCTCCGTCATGTTATTGAGCGCCTGGCCAAGATGTCAGGGTTCCAATACAACGAAAGCATCGCAAACACCCTTCTTCCCTCGTCAGAACGGCTCATGGAATTATGGGAAGAGTTTGGTCCGCTGGCGCAGGAGCGAAATTGGCTCATTCATTCATTCCGAGAGGGACTGGGTGTCGGCGCTCTCAACGGCAAAAAGGTACGGTGATGGTCTCATAGTCGCAAACTCCACGCTGCATTGACTAACTAGAAACGTAGGTGGTTGAGGATGATTCATCCTTTCTGAGACTTCCTCCCGCAATCGAAACGACTGAGCACATCGGCCGAAATCATATGGAGATGTGCCGCTTCGCTGGGCCTGACGATGTCGAATACAAAAAAGTGGACGCTGCCCTTCGACGCATGACAGCTAATTTATCACTGAATCTACCAGGAGGCTCAATGCCTGGTATCACACCCGAACAAAGACAGCAGCTGAAAGAGTCATTGAAGTTTGACCAAATAGACGCCCGTCATCGGAGTATTAAGCGAGCACATGCCAAGACATGCAAGTGGTTTATCAAACAACCTAAATATTCAGACTGGCTGGACGTCGACAAATTTCCCGACCATCGCGGGTTCCTCTGGGTCAAAGGGAAGCCGGGTGCTGGGAAGTCAACGCTGATGAAATATGCCTTATCTCATTCGTGCAAGGTTCTCAAAGGCACTACCATCATCAACTTCTTCTTCAACGCGCGGGGCGATGAGCTAGAGAAATCCACCACCGGGATGTACCGATCCCTTCTCTTTCAGCTGATAGACAGGGTCCCAAGGCTCGATGCAATCTTTAATTCCCTTCGCCTCACAGCGTGTAGATGGGACCGCCCAATGCAATGGAGCATAGAGTCCCTGCAAGACCTCTTCGAGCAAGCCGTTCAATCACTGGGACAATCACGGGTGGTTTGCTACATCGATGCCCTCGATGAATGTGATGAAGACGAGATACGAAAAATGTTATCGTTGTTTGAGCGCGTTGGCGAGCTCGCCGCGTCATCCGGCATCCAGTTCCAGGTTTGTTTCTCAAGCCGCCATTATCCACATATCACTATCTCTCAAGGGCTGGAGTTGGCCCTAGAAGATCAAGAAGGCCACGGTCAAGATATCACCAGTTATATTGACAGTGAGCTTAAAATCGGCCAGTCGAAAGTGGCAAGGGAGATAAAAGCAGAGCTGCAAGAAAAGGCCTCCGGCGTCTTCATGTGGGTAATCCTGGTTGTGGACATTCTCAATAAAGCGTTCGACCGCGGCCGTGTACATGCCCTACGCAAACGACTTAGGGAGATTCCTGCCAGTCTCCATGAACTTTTTCGGGATATCCTGGCACGCGACGGAGGAGATAAAAACGAACTGATGCTTTGTATACAGTGGGTCCTGTTTGCGAAACGCCCTTTGAAGCCCGAGGAACTCTACTTTGCTGTTCTTGCGGGAACTGACTTGGAGTCGGTGGATGCCTGGGATCATGAGCTTATGACCATGGACACGATTCGGAGATTTGTGCTGGACTCGTCAAAGGGACTCGCGGAGATCACAAAATCGAAAGCTCCGACAGTTCAGTTCATTCATGAATCTGTCCGGGATTTCCTCCTCAAAGACAACGGTCTTCACGAAATATGGTCGGATTTGGGACCTCAATTCCAGGCACAGAGTCATTGCCGACTGAAGGAGTGTTGTATGGAGTACATGTTGATCGCTGCTAAGGAAATCTCGCTTCCGGAGCCATTGCCGAAGGCACGGAGCGAAGAAGCAATCAGGCTTCTTAATGAATCCCAGGCCCTCTGGCCCTTTCTCGAATATTCGGTCCATTCCGTTTTGCATCATGCAGACCTAGCAGAGTCTGGGGGAGTCAGCCAAGCCCAATTCCTCCGTGATTTTGAATTTCCAAATTGGATTGTCCTCAACAACCTCTTTGAGAAGTTTCAAATTCGCCGGCACGAGCTGAACACCAGCCCGGCTTACATCCTGGCCGACGGGAATCTGGCTCATCTGCTCAAAATCTGCACATATGAATGTGCAGGAACAGACATCAGTCGGGGCCGCATTGCGAGCCCTTTTCTTGAGGCGGTGGCCAGAAACAATATCGGCGCCTTGCGAGCACTCGTCGAGCTAGAGTTTCGAAAGAACGAAATCACGGCAACCTCGGCCCTGGACGCTTACCAGGATGTATTGACCAGCCGAAATCGGATACCAGAGCTTAGAACCGATATGGGTTATTACACCTGGCGAGCTCTTGCTCGTCACGGCCACTCAAAACTTATCCAACTCCTTGTGGATGTGGGCGCATTAGAAATTGAAAATACTCTTTCCAGCCTATTGGAAATCGCAATCTCTGATTGTGAGGTTGATCTTGTTGACGTATTTCTTGCAACGGGCAGGCGTCATGTTCTCCCAAGAGCTGGGCTTGAGCAGGTACCCCACCGATTGGCTGCCTTCTATGGCCATACACCTGCCATCAACGTGTTACTCGGAATTGGTGAGGAAACTAATGTCAACGAGGGTGATAATATTGGATTGAGTCCCCTTGATCGGGCAGCCTTATTAGGACATGCAGATGTTGCTCGGGCGCTAATTGCAACGGGTCGGGTCACTATCAACGCACAATATCCAAACCCCGAGGATGCTTTACCAGTTGTTTGCGGAATGCGTAGCTTCGAAGGATTTACAGCTCTGCATTTCGCCGTCCTCCTCGGACGTACCGCCGTTGTCGACGTATTACTAGAGGCAGGCGGGGCTGATGTCAACCTAAAAGCTAAAAATGGTTGGACGCCACTCTCGCTAGCCGCCAGAAAAGGACACACCAACATTGCTTGGATTTTGCTTGGTATAGACGGGATTGATGTCAATGCCCCGGACCAGGATGGCTTCACCCCACTCTCGTGGGCTGCGAGTTGTGGACATTTTGCCATGGTTCAGATGTTATCTGGCATTACTGGAACTTAGCTAGACTTCAGGAACATAGAGGGGCAGACGCCGCTATCGCTAGCTGCTAAATTTGGACACGAAGATGTTGTTGAGACGATACTCGCAACAACCAAGGTGGATATTAACTCGAAGGATTTAGCAGGCTGGACCCCGCTATGGCATGCCGTAGCATATGCACGCGTGGCTGTAGTGAAGAGGTTACTTGCCATCGACGGAATTGATGTCGATACGGAGGATACGACTGGCAAGACACTGTTGTCATTGGCCGCTACCTTCAAAGGGGGGCCCAATGTATAGTGGTGGACGGGCGACAATTTTTGATATGTTGCAACACCGCAAAACATTCGAGATAGAATAGGTGATTTTCTTCCTAGATATTAGTCGTTCAATACAAACAGATCCGGTGTTGGAGTAGCTCGGGAATTTCTGCAATTTTACTGGTCACAGCTAACAATAGGTGGCTGAACAGAGCACTGGTTTGGGGGAGAGGGAAGAAGTCATAATTAGAACGAAGACAATACAATGGATGGAATAGCACGCTACTTCTTGGAAGACGCTCATAGGCTTCTTGGCTGTTCGGGTTTTTTGCTTCTGGGATGGGCGTGAATGGCGTCCATCGGAGCTCTGACGTACATCGGAGCTCTGACGTACTGCCGGCTGCAGTAACATGCCGGCAACCGTGGTTCCTGGCCTTTCTTCGCCTCTACCGATTCGGCGGGGCAAGCGCTGATCAACCCAAGTGTCGCAATTGATTTTTGCTTGCCAAAACCCATCCTCCCCGTTCAAAAAGTTCCGTCTCCTCCCTGTTCCTGGGCCGCTCAGGTACCAAGCTGGAACTCTTGACCGTTGAGTTAAGCATGTGGGGGATTGATGTCTGTGGCGCACTTGATGGCGCGGTATCCTGGTTCCCGACAAGTCTAAGCCTCCAAGGGCAGAGTCGGTGACTGGACTCATTTTGTGGTGATGTGGCTCCCGGCCTGCGTATATTATGGTTTACAGGGATCAGTAGCTCGTGTGTTGAACGGTCGTCCAAGCCAGGGGAATGGAATATAATCTATCATTGAAGATCAATTGATTCCAAATTTCATTCAGATCCCATCATGACCTTGCCCAGTGAAGTGGTCGCGTGGGTGGCGGACTCGCCGTGGATACCCGAATCAGGATCCTGGCGCAGGGAAATTCAGCCTCCACGTGACATCTTTAACAAGTCCTCGGTATCATGACCAGGCACCTCAGGACTGCGAAGGAGTGGACGAAGTATTAGTTAGCGCCTTGCTGTTAGTGCCAAGCGCCGGGAACCGGGTTGGGGCGGATGTTGCGAAGTAGTGTATACTCCAATGCCAGTGGGTGGTATTGTACTGATGGGCCCGACGCAGTGCCAGTAGTAACGCCTGGCGGGGTACTTGGCAGGGCAAAGCCTACCACTCACCGAAGGACTACGAGTCTACAAGGACAACAAGTACAAGTAACCAAGCTCAATGTCTTGGTCCCCCGGTCCGATGTCTGGGGATAGGCTTGGGACAACCCCCAGGAAATGTCCGCCACTGCCCCTCGCTTTCCTCAATTCGAGCTGACCTGCAGCCCAGCGGGGACAACCACATAAGCGGATGAGGCTCAGCTCCATGTCAACTTCTACTTCTAGCTCATTCTCCAACCACAAACAAAACTCGCCTCTGTCCCCGGGCTGACGATTTTAATTGATTTCTTCCTTTTTTCGACTTCTCTTACACCCTTTTTTCCTTTTCCTCCGCGTCCAACTCGTTCCGTGCCGATCTAGTCTTCCTACCCCGCAAAGAGAGAGAGAACGAAAAACACAAAAAACCTCGGTAATCATGTCTGGATATCCCGGCGCTCAATATGGGCGCGGCCAAGGAGGCTATGGTCCGCCTCCCCAAGGCTACGGCTACCCGCAACAACAGCAGGGCTACTATCCTCCTCAACAGCCTCCTCAGGGAGGTTATTATCAGCAGCCGCCCCCGCAGCAGGGCGGGTACTATCCTCCTCAACAGGGTTACGGACAACCGCAGCGGGGTTACCCGCCTTCCCCGCAGCCTCCCCAGCAGCAATATCACCAGGGCTATGGTGCGCGTATGTTTCCCGGCCGCGGCCATACCGGTTTTATGACGCCCCCGAGTAGAATAGTCTTGCTAATCTAGATTTCTCGTCTCTCGATGTGAACAGGCCCTTCCGGACATTATCCCTCCCATAGCCAGAGCAGCCGTGCCCCGCCTCCGCCCCCGAGCGGCATGCAACAGTTCGGCCACGGCGCGCCCTCCAACTACGCCTACCAATACTCGAACTGCACCGGAAAGAGGAAGGCGCTTCTTATCGGAATCAACTACTTTCGCCAAAAGGGCGAGCTGAGGGGTTGCATCAACGACGTGCGCAACCTGTCCAACTTCTTGATGACCAAACACCGCTTTCGAAGGGAGGACATGGTGATTCTTACCGACGATCAGCCCGATCCTAGGAGTCAGCCGACGAGGCAAAATATTTTGAGGGCGATGGCTTGGCTGGTGAACGGCGCGCAGCCGAATGACTCGTTATTCTTCCACTATTCTGGTATGTCCCCTCTCATTGAGATTCTTGTCCCGGGTTGCCCGGACGGTCGCGAAAAAAACTCGCAACTAACTCTCTACACTTGCCAGGCCACGGTGGTCAAACCCGCGACCTTGACGGCGACGAAGACGACGGCTACGACGAAGTCATCTACCCCGTCGACTACAAATCCGCCGGCCACATTGTCGACGACCAGATCCACGACATCCTCGTCAAACCCCTGAAACCAGGCGTCAGGTTAACAGCCATTTTCGACTCTTGCCACTCGGGCTCGGCGATGGATCTCCCGTACATCTACTCGACGAAGGGCATGCTCAAGGAGCCCAACCTTGCCAAGGACGCCGGCATGGGTCTCCTGAGCGCGGTCTCGGCGTACGCCAAGGGTGATATTGGCGGTGTTGCTAGCTCCATTTTCCAGTTTGCCAAGAAGGCTACGACGGGAGATGACGCGTACAACAAAACCCTGCGCACGAAAACGTCGCCTGCGGATGTTATTATGTGGTCCGGGAGCAAGGACAGTCAGACATCGTAAGTGTTGTGCTCCGGGACTTTCCGCGTCCTGGTTCTTTTGCAATCGGCGAGTGAAATTGAGAGGCTGACGGAAAATTAGTGCCGATGCGACGATCAATTCTCAGGCTACGGGTGCCATGTCGTGGGCCTTTATGACGGCGCTCGACAAGAAACCTCAGCAGAGTTATGTGGAATTGCTCAACTCTATACGAGACTTGCTGGAAGCGAAGTACTCTCAGCGTCCCCAGCTGTCTTCCAGTCATCCAATTGGTGAGTTGGACGCATTTTCGCCTTCCCAAATGTGAAGTTGATAACGTTTGCTAATGCACACAACCTCTCCAGACACGAATCTTCTCTTCATTATATAGCGGGACCACCTGAAGCCAATTCAAGGAATTGCGATACTGGTTAAATTAATGAGGGTCCCGATCGGGCGGATGTCTGATGGCCTGGTAGCCACTTGTTCACTTCCCCTTCATTTGGTCTGTTCTTGTTTTGGGCGGGTACTTTTGTGTTATCATCAAGTTTGACTCGGATGGATTTACTGAGGTATTGCCGGTATATTTGAAGTTCTTATGCTAGCGATATTGATGACCTTGTTTTTTTCCTATCCTTTTTGCATCTCTTGTAATTTCTTGTTCTCCGGGTTCTTGATTTGTTTCGCCGATGGAGCATTCCTAGAAGCGAGCGCTTGGGATCTCGTAATGATGGCGGCTGTTTTTACTCTTTCTCGCAGCAATCATGGACGTTACTCTAGTTTGGACATGGAATCATATGAGCCATTCCTGCAGTCGACATCATATAAACTACATATCCTCCAGATATATATTCCTAAACAGAGGGTATCAATATTCCAACTCCAAAACAAAACCCCAACCTCTTGCAAGCCAATCCTCTCCTACTCATCTAAGCATCTACTCATAAACGCCCGCCACTTCAACACGAAGCCCTACAATCCCGCCTTCTCTGCACCTATATCCCCTGACGATGAATACCCCATCCCCTCCCTTGCAGCATTCAAAAAAGTCCCCAAGAACACAACCCCCGTCGCCGCCCAAACCCCCCACTGCCCCACCGACGCCATCGGCTCCGACTCCGGCACATCAGGCCGCATCTTAAACAGATACATCTCCGTCCTCTGAATAACGATGACGCACATCGCGGGCACGGCACCCATGAGCAGGCTCCGGAAAATAGTCGCCAGCTTCGCGAAGCTCAGGATGCTCGGCTTCGGCTGGATGATGTCGGGCGACGCGTGAAAATTCGTCGGTGCCGATTCCAGGTCGATGGTTTTTGCGCTCTTGACGAGGTCGCCTGCGGGACCTTTGGCGGAGATGAAGGCGATTGTTAATGCTGCGAAGACTAGGCCCGGGATGCCCACGAATCTCAAGATGTCTGCGATTTTTGTTCCCATTACGCCCATTCCGGCAATTTTTCCGTCCTCAAACTGCCCGAAAATAGATTCCCTGGGCATAATCACCCCCTTACACCCTTCCTCCCCCGTCAAAAACCTCCCAGCATGCGCACCCATCTCCTTCACCCCGACAAAAGCCACCACAGTGGCGACAGCGACGGCAACGCACCACCCCTTCACAAGAAACCTCGCGCCCGAAGCGCTAGCCGTCCTTGACACCATGAGCAACCACACGGCGACGAGACATGCGAGGGCCAGCATTTCCAACGTGACGACCAGTTCGAGCGGAAGGGCATGGCGGCCATCATCTGAGCTATCGCGACGGAGGTGGGAGAGGTGGACTATGGCGTCGACGGTGAAGATGGCGGTTTTGGTCGTGAAGCCGGCGAGGGCGGCGCGGAAGAGCCAGCCCTTTGGGAGAGGGACGATGAGGGAGAGGACCATTAGGTAGAGGTGGATGCGGGGGAGGAAGGCGTATGGGGAGGAGAGGGGGGTGGTGCAGATGTTGTCGTCCATGGTTTCGTGTGTTTTCTCTCTTCCTTTTTGTTCGCTGGTCTTTGTCGATCAACGGTATGGAGGATGAAAGTTGGGGGAGATGGGAGAAACGCGACGCTATAAACGAGATGCGCAACGCATTGTCGACAATACCCCGTTTTGTTTTTCTACTTCATAGCGAGTTTTGGGTGGTTCTTTTTCAGCTCTGTGGGCTAGGCTGCTGCCAAGCAAGATCGTGGGCGAGTCGACGGGCTTGAGATGCAGGGATGTTCATGCAGGCGATGCAGATGTGGTGCCAGCGCGGCTAGGGCGAAGGCGCAGCAGTTTTGCTCGGAAGGGGTTCCGCTTTGGGTGCTGCGCTTGGCTTTTGGCTCCTCTTTCCTGATGATCTTATTTTGTGATTCTTCATCTCGATGCTCCAAAGGAGATGACCTCGCGGAACATCGCCGTATCTACTGGGTGTGCCGGATCGACGAGCTTCATTCAAGAAAAGAGAAGAAAAAAACGCAAAAGACGACTGAAAGCATAAATTAAATTAATATAATATAATAAATATTATCATCTGTAACAGGCTCCGATATACGACAGGACAAGAAAATAAATCAAAAAATCAAAAAGCTCGCTCGCAGGTCGCTCCGAGGATCGAATCCAGGGAGCTTCCTACGAGCTACGAAAACTTGCGATTTTCTAACCTTCTGAGCGCTCCAATGACCACTTGGCCACCGGTCGCATGTTTGGTGCTTGAGCTGCTCGGTTGAGAGTTCTTGCCATATCCCCATATATAAGGGATATGGCGGAGGCCTCCTGTTGCTGAGGAAGGTGCGGAAGGCGGGAGGTCATTATCGTGAATAGTGAACCCATTCGTATTGAAAAGGGACTCTAAAGGTTGCAAAGAAATGTGATATAGACATCTGCCGCATCACCTAAATCTCCCAGAAATATGCAGTCCTTGTATCCTCAACCACGGATTCCAAACATGACATGACAATGTGAAAAGGGCCAGGACACACATACATAAACGAGCTTAGACGACGGGATTTACGATTAACAAAATCACCCTAATATAAACTGCTTAAAACTAATATCTAGTTATGATGAGATTGGCTTTTCCCGTGATCTCCGAGCTAGCTTCCGGTTTCAACCATCTCGTACTCAAAGTTCCTCTCTATGAAGTCCACTCTTTTGAGTAGGTCGTGACGAGACTCTCGAGAAATCACAGAGAGGAATGCGATCCACCAGAGGGCACTCGCATCTGGGCCTTCGAGGATGTCTCCCGCCTTCTTCCGAGAGTAGTAATCTACAACATTCCGCCGTATACTAGGATATTTGCCAAGGAACTCTTTAGCCGCGTCTGCCGACTTCATAATGCCTGCCTTTGTTTGCTGGATAATCATCACTGATAGATGGAACTGGGGACCATTGAGAAAAGGCTGCGCAAGAGCCCTGAAACGTAGGTATTCCGAGGGGCCAAGGGATAGGAGCATTCGTAGAGCATAATAGTCAACTCCATATGCGAGAAGAACGGCGACAGACTCCAGATAACCAGCTGGACGAGCATTAATCTCATGAAGATAAACTTCCGGCTCGCCTTTTGGGGGCTCGGGCCTTGGAACGAGATCGATAATGCCATCTCGATCGCCGTATGTGACGCTTGAGTTGCGAACCCGAGCTTCACAGTGGAACAGACCCGAACGGAATCCCTGGCGAAGCATTGATTGTAGAATTTGTTCTTTAATGGCAATTTGCTCATTCTCTGGCAAGGCGGACGGCATCACATTCTGTGTTTCCTGGAAGTTGGCTTTGGCATCCGCTCCTGGGACGTCGGCAGGGCTCGGGAAGTCGTCGTTGATATCACAGAAGACTATCTCTCCTTCTAGAAGCGCAAAGTTGGCGTCGACTTCCGGTCCGTCAACGTATGGTTCAATAACCACCACCGTGCTTGGCGTTGCCGACTTTGCATGGCGATCCGAGGCCTTACGAACTGCATCTGCCAACTCGACTTCATTGTGTACCTTGGATACGCAGTCACTGCACCAACCAATAACCGGCTTGACGACCATCGGGAAGTTCAATTGCCCTTCTCCTCGCTTTTGCCTTTCGGCAAGAAATGATGGCAAATCCTCGGCCTTTTCCAGGACAAAACTCTCTCCTGCCCCGACGGTTTCTAGCAGGCGTGTTCGACCTTTGTCTCCCGCAATCCTATAAGCGTCGGGGCTTTCTGTCGGGAAGCCCAAAAGCTGACACGCTTCCGCCACAGCAGGTAACCTCACATCACTGATCGTAACTATGCCTTCGATCGAATGTGGGTAGGAGCGCACTGCTTCCACGATTCTTTGTGGCAGACTTGCATCGGGGGAAATATCAACGGCTATGAACTCTTCTCTGAGGTATGCCCAGGGTGAGTTAGGATCCTGCAGCCAGTGGCCCGCCTCATCCATAACCACAAGCTTGATTCCTAGGGCTTGGGCTGCCTTGAGGGCCCGTTCGATGCAGTCGATATCCTCTCGGCCTTGAACCCAGGCGATACGTCGGAGGCTGAGGGGCTTTGGCAGCAGCCAAGAGAAAGACAATCTGTTCTCCAGCTCCTTGTCCACGTCGTCCGGGGACACTAATGGCGAAAGCTGTATACCGCCTATGGCCTTTAAGAGCATTGGCTCCAGCAACTCGGGAGTCACTTCACCCTCACCCACAGCCTCCGCAAATACACATGGTGTAGCGAAAGACTTTGCCGTGATAACGTGTGGACAACATTCTAGCCTGCGTTCAAGAAAGTCTGTACGGGCAACATAACCATGCTGAAGCGGGTAAATAAGACGTATCAGCGTCACCGAGTGTCCTCCTTCAGAGGACTCATTTTTAAGGCAGTCAAAAAGAAATCGGGCAACTGCGTGGTCGGCTGGGACAGAGATTCCGAGATCTTTCAAGCTGATGTCAGATTTGGGGTTCTTATTTGTCCCACTGGACTTGATTGTCAGATCCAATGACCAAAAGGGTGTGCCAGCCTGTGCAGATGCCGGGCGCACTCGGCAGATGAAAGTCTCTGAAGTAGCCATTTGGCGGAGACGACTTAGAGTGGGTAAATGGACTGGAGAGGAGAGAGTCTGTAATGTATGGTTGGCACTTTTAGGGATGAGACGAATGGTTTCTCAACACCGAGCGTTATGGCTCCCAAAAAGGATCTAGAACTGAGATATTCGATTAATGCAAGAGTAGTAAGCCCCCACGCCCTCATCCTCGAAGGTATCTATCCAGATTCTAGAACTACCCGAGCAAGCGGAATTTCTATGACATGAGGAAATCTTGGCCGACATGCGGCCCGGCGCTAAAGAGACAGACCTACTAGACACTGAAGACGCAATCGATCGTTTAAGACACTTCGAGTAACGGGATTGGCTGTTCCAAGGGTTCCGTTTGGGGGCCCGGACCTTCAACCCGGGCGAGCAAGTTTGAGGGGGATTTCCGAAATTGTGACCTTCACTTACAATTTTGCTTGCACCCGCCTCGGATCGTGCCTTTTTTTTAGTGTTCATTCAGACTGTCACTCAGATTGATTGATTGATAGAATGGAGGACCAAATCCAGCTTCGTGCATATCAGATAACACCCTACCTCGGTAGCTGCCGAGCATGCACATAACGCACACGAGGTGGTCACCGTGGCAATTTCTGGATTCGAGTCGAGAGTGTCAGGCGTTCGCATGAAGTTTGAGAGTCTTCCCTTGTCATGTCTGCAACGTCCGGATACTTATTTCTTCATGCTACAAGGGCCCTGCATGCCAGGGTAGTCAAACTACTCTCCGTTTAAACTGTAACCGCAGTGAAGTCAGTATCCCGTGGATCAGTGCGCATGCTAAGGCTATGTTTCTTGTACTTAATCTCACCCTGTGGGATCAGGAAGCACACCCATACATATGTAGGCCGTAGCCCTCACATGTAAGGCCCTTTGAGATCGCAGATCTTAGATATGCTATTACAGGAAGAGATCTCGACATAGCTTTCAAACCCAACACTGGTCGTAAGGATGGGTGCGAAGAATCTTAATGTCTTCAAGGGACCGAACTCTCTGTCCCAGTACTTTGACCCCGACCAGCATCCCCTAATTCCACTCGTTGAGCTACCGGACTCTCTCAACCCCCTGCGCACTGATGGCATCCGTATTTTTGCCAAGATGCTCACTGCGCTGCCAGCTCAGAATGTGAAGTCTCTTCCAGGTATGCTCGAAGGATTCTACTCGGCCTTTCGTTGACGGAGCGACGTTCTGATCCCTTTTTTGCAGCCCTTCGAATGCTACAACACGAACCCGATGCGCGGAGCAAAACCATAGTTGAAGCAAGCTCTGGGTCCACAGTGATTTCCTTGGGGATCATTGCCAGAGCTCTCTGGGGCCATGACGATGTCCATGCATATGTCACCAACAAAAAGCACCCCGATTCCTTAAAGATTCTCAAGTTTTTCGGGTTAAACACGTAAGTGTGCAAGAATCGTCTCACAATACCTAGGCGCATTTCTCATGAGTGTCCATCCGTAGAGTTCTTTATGGTGGTTTGGCACAACAAGAACCTTCGGATCCCAAGGGAGTGATGAACCGGCTTCGACACAAGGCGAAATCCGATCCAACAGTCTGTTATCCGGGGCAATATGACAATGACCATGTCAGTGACACACCAAACTAGGCTACCTCTCAAATTCTTGTATAATTAACACCTAAGAAAGAACTGGAGATCGCATGAGCAATGGACTGGAGCGCAGATTTGGAAACAGTTACCCGAAATCAACGTCCTCTGTACCACCATCGGGACTGGAGGTATGTATTCTTTGTCTTGAATAGATTTGAATATGCTTTTAACCCGTCTTTCTATTCCAACAGGTTGTATCACAGGGACAGGCGTTTATTTGAAGAAGCAGAAGCCAACGATAAAAGTAGTCGGGTAAGGAGCATTCACGCTCCCCACTCTAACCCCATTCCATCTATCATATTAACCACCTCTGTAGAGTTTGCAATGTCTTTGGCGATCCGACGCCAGGGCCGCGGCACTTCCCAGGATTCCATACGTCGCCATTCCCCTGGAGGGAGACAATCGACTCCTTCGAGACCGTAGCCTCAGTTGATGCCTTCCGCATGTCTATGAAGTTATCACGCCACGGACTTATTGCAGGGCCGTCGTCTGGGGAGGCTTTGTGTGGGCTTCTAGCCTACCTAGAGACAGTGAAAGGGGAAGGTAAGCTTGCTGAACTAGCGGAAGCAGGCACTGGCGAAGTCAACTGCGTGTTCATCTGCGCGGATCTTCCATATCAGTATATGGATTTATATTTCAAAAAGCTCACCTCTGATGAGTTCCCTCCGACTTTTAATGAGGTATAGGCTGCCTGTTTTATCCATCCTTATTTGCGATTTCCACTGACACATTACACAGAACCTTTTATCTTGTGACCAAGCTGCATATGATGAACGATGGTTTCTGTCTCCAGAAGAAGCCTCAAAGATGCTCAGTAGCGAGCAGAAAGGGATATGCACGCCGGCTGCCCCATGCCAGTGTGTGATCTTTTCATCATCTTGTCCAATTTGTTCATCAGTCGCAGAGTCTACTAGTGGATCGAGCTCGCCCTCGACGGCCGGGGAGTTTACTTGGTCTTCCGCGCATTCATCGAGCACTGAATCGTCCCTTTCGGAAACCCCTTTCCAAACTACCATCCCACATCCTTTACCGGTCGTAGTTGACATCAGACCAGAACACGCCTTTACAGAGTCCCACGTCAGATGTTCTTACAATGTGCCTCTACCAGAGACGCAAACGGACTTTTATGACGACGCCCAAGCGGTAGAGAAACGCTGGTGGGAGCTAAAGAATGCTATTGATGGTGAAATGTGGCCCCACAGTCCCTGTCCTCAGGGTTCCATGGTCCGCTCCACCAATACATCCAAGGAAAAGGACGGGCTCACTGAGGAAGCCAAGATCGCACATCCATCCCCGGATTACAGCGCCTACCCAGACTTAGGGCCGCCCTCATCACCCGTCATTGTACTTTGCAGTGACGGGGATTCTGGGAAAATGGCGACATCAATCCTCCGTGGGAAAGGACAGGAGGCTTACTGCGTGGAAGGTGGTTATAGAGAGCTCTTGCAATACCTTAGCCGATAGACTCAGCGTACGAATAGTGAGTGCTAAGGGGAAGTATTTTACGCGGGATTTGAGATCTTAGTCGGCTGCTAAATTAGTATGTCTCCGCTTATTCTTCAAGGGTACGATTAAGCTCATCTGCAGTAATTTAAGGTTACATCTCGAAAGTGCTCTGTTTGTGAGCGGCCTTGGTGGATTCTTCAATGCTACTACGACTGGGCAATTTCGCCGCCGAGCAGATTTGAGCAAGTTAATGTAGGATGGCTTGGCTCCCGGCAATCGTCGTCTTCTTCGAGTGATCGACAAGCGGATCTGCACGGACTGGGGCCGGGGTCTTCTCGGACCTGCAGGCCGCAGTTAGGTTGAGCCAGTGTCTGTGAAGACCTACAAGTAGTGTATATTAACGGCAGCGCTGTCTGATCCAATTCCGTTTTCGGTGATGAGCTGTTACCGTTTTGCTCGGGCTTTGAACAAATTCTTCGTCGTATACTTGTTACCTGCTTCGTCTAGGTGCCCAATTTCACCCTTTTCTGAACATTTTCTGTCTCTGACAGAAGCTGAACCCCCGTAACTAAAGATACAATGTCAGCTCGAGCCATGTAGGGCTGTTGGGATAGTCGACCTGAACCTTAGCATCAGCGTGGAATGAGTCTTTTCTCTCCTGCAAACGAGAGAACAGAAATTATTTCACATATACTCAGCACCAATGACGAAAATGACAGAGAAAGTCGCCCAGAACGAGAAGACAGGTAGTTCGGAGACGGACGACTTCCAAGGCCAAAGGGACGCCACTCAGGAGGAGATAGACTCACTGCCTCATGTGGCTGATAAGCTGCCTTTTGCTGCTTGGGCCGTCATCCTCGCAGGCGCCTTTGAACGATTCACATACTTTGGCTTAATAGCACCGTGGCGTAAGTGAACAGCAGCTTGTTGGTGCAGCTGCGGGTTATTGATTATCATCTTCCAGAAAACTATATGCAGAATCCAAGAGATAATGTCGCTGTTCCTGGTGCTCTTGGATTCGGACAGTCAACTGCAGTCAACATCTACAATGCATTCTTCCTATTTTCGTTTCTCACGCCCATGTTGTTCGCTCTGATATCAGATATATGGCTCGGAAGGTTCAAGACCTTAATGATTGGTTTGGCGTAAGTCGCTTTCAGCTCTAGCACTTATGAAAGCTAATAACACAACCTTAACCAGATTATATCTTGCCGGATGCATCATCTTGGTTACGACTTCTATCCCGGATGCGCTAAATCAAGGGGCTGGAATCGGTGGTCTCGCCACGTGTTTGGTCCTTGTTGGTCTCGGTGTTGGTTCAGTTAAGGCTACGTTCTTTCCGTTGCTTGGTATGTTTACTCCTCTATCAGTCAGAACTGAGTCTGTAGCTTCAATATGATATAGGACTAACCTCACCCTTCAGGAGACCAGTATGTTCAGAAGAAGCCTCAACTGGTTCAGAGTGAAAACGGCGCGAGAGTCATCGTCGACGGACCTAGAACTATCCAGCTCATGTATAACGCATATTACTGGTAAGGAGCTTGATGATAAGTACGTGTTGGCACACCTGAAGCTTAATTTCTATGCAGGTTCGCGAACGTAGCGTCCCTCTCATCTATACCAGTAACGTTTCTAGAATTTCATTACGGCTTTTGGGTTGCCTACCTACTTACAACCATATCTCTTTGTGTTTCTATTGCCTTCTTCGCGATCTGGTCAGGAAAGCTAGGTATGTTCAGCTCTCATCTTTTAACCGTCAACTCTTCATACTCACTCTAAAGTTAGTCAAGATTGCACCCAAGGGAAATGTCCTCCCAAGAGCAGTCAAGACAATGAGCTATGCTGCAAGGAGCGGGTTCAAACTGGATCATGCCAAACCTTCTTACCAGCAGACTCGCCATGGGAGAACCGTTCCATGGACCGACCACTTTGTAGACGAAATGAAACGGGGACTGATTGCATGTCGTGTCATGTAAGTTCTAATAAGACCACTTGGTGTAAGGGATTTAATATTAACTATCGAACAGTTTCTCCCTACTTGTCTTCTACCTCTGTATCAACCAGATGTACAACAACCTCGTTTCACAAGCAGGCCAAATGGACTTGCATGGGGTGCCAAACGACATGATCCAAGCCTTTTCTGGAGTGGCATGCATTATCTTCGGTCCGATAATCCAAGGTCTATACGAGATCCTCGCCAAACGCAAGATTGAGTTCGGCCCAATCGCGCGTATGACGGCTGCCTTTATCTTCTGTGGAGCCGGTATGGGATACGCGGCAGGTCTCCAGCGACTCATCTACTCGTCCGGACCGTGCTACGACCGGCCATTCTCTTGTCCCGAGTCGGAAGGGGGGAAGATACCTAATAGCGTCAACGTGTGGGCCCAAATGCCGGTCTATATCTTCTTGGCCATCGGAGAGATCTTCGGTTTTGTCACCGCGTTCGAATACGCATACGGCAAAGCACCAAAGGACATGAAGACTGTGGTACAGGCACTGACTCAACTCACGGCTTGCTTTGCCAGTGTGTTGGGAATGGCAATCTCTCCGGCAGCCAAGGTTCCCAATATGGTAATATTCTATGCGTGCTTGGCTGGAGCAATGGGACTCACTGCCGTCTTATTTTGGTGGAGATTCAGGAAATATGATGAGATAGATACAGAACTGAATCAGCTGGACTACAAGGAGGAGGTATTCGAGTCTACTAGCCCAGCATCAGATGAGGAGAAGGCAGTAAAATCCTAGTGGTAGAGCACCTTCCTCGGACCTGAGATCGAAGTGGTCCATAAAATGGGAAAAGCGCCTAGAGCGATAGTAGTTGAACATAGACATAAAGGCACCACTTTTGGGCTTTGTACACCCGTTTCTTTTCTGCCCAGACGTACCTTCCTGAGAATTAAACGGTCTCTGAAGACGGGGTCCGTTATTATCGTACAAAGTACCCCCACGGGAACTTGCCCCGAACTCACCGTCTCGGCCCGGGACGGGGAGATGAAGAATTCCCCACCCCAAATTAGCTCATACCCGCTCAGTCGTGGGGGCTTACGGCCAGAGTTTTTTTCTCGCTGCTGAGGCTATGACATGAAGATTATCAGAGGTTATAGCAATGACAGAAGAAAATACCTAAGAGCTTGGCAACCTAGATGGTACTAATGAGAGGGACAGCACGGAGGTACCGTGGTGTATATCACCCTCCCTGGTATTACTCGGATGCAGGCACGCGTCTCTAGCCACACCTTCCAGAAGTCAGACGTCATCTCATGCGCCGCTGCTCTTCCTGCCTCTGTCCCCGGAACAACTCACCGTTCTTCTATCTCCAAAGCGTCCCCTCAGAAGCTGCCCTAAACCCTTGACACACTACGACCTGCTAGCAGACACGCCCTCCCACACATAAACCATGGAACCGTCAGCAATTGCCGTTAGTCAATACGCTACAACGAGCAGCAAACTGGCCGATCGCCTCGCTATTCACGCCTGGAACACATCCGGTCAGCACTGGTTCGTCTGGGCGGGTGAGCGCATCGCAAAAGAAGGCGATGTGCTCGAAATCGGCGCCGGAACCGGTGAACTATGGCGCCAAACGGACCACTCCAAGGCGCGCCTCGTCCTCACCGACTTCTCAGCCGCCATGTGCGACAGGCTACGCGAGATAGACGGAGCGACGGTTCAGCAATGTGATGCGACGAAGCTTCCTTTTGCCGATGGGAGCTTCGACTCCGTGATTGCCAACCATATGCTCTACCACGTCGACGACCCCGATGCGGCCTTGAAGGAATTTGCTAGGGTGCTTCGGCCGGGGGGTAAAGTTCACATTGCGCTCAACGGCATGGATCATCTTGAGGAGTTGTTGAATGTGGGGGCGGAGGTTGGGAGACCCAGCGTCATTCGAGACCGTGCAAAGGTGGTGGCAGAGACTGCTGCTGGTTATCTGGAGAAGTATTTTGCGGATGTTACATACGAGAGATGTCCCGGTGCTTTCGAGGTCCCGAGGTATGAGCCTGTGTTGGCGTATATCAACAGCATTGGAGATGAGCCGCTGGGTGGAGATCAGGAGGCGAAGGCTAGGCGAATCATCGAGGACACGATTGCACAGAAGGGAAAGTTTCATGTGAACAAACATATGGTTCTATTCACTGGAAGGCGAGTGTAGAAAGATAGCTGCGTCCCCATATAGATCTGGTAGTAGTGTAGGTCACAAGCAACAGCCTATTAGCTCTAACCCACGGAAGCAAAGCGCGTGATCCCTGGTCTATTAATACATGTCAGCCCTATAGATACTAGACGTCTCTCTATTATGTGAAGTTGTGCCCGTCAAACCGAACCTCCTGTCCCTCCAATGCCCCATCCGTCTAATACCTGCCGGACTCCCATCCCTTGAGAAAAGAAGCTAGATTTGGCCCCAGAGCCTCGAGGACGTAGCCGCCTTCTAACAGAATAACTGCAGGAATACCGTCCATGCAAGAATCACCGCTTACCAACCGCGCTATTGTCGCGTAATCAGGCGTATCAATAGCAAACGATCCCAGAGGATCCATCCGGTAGGTATCAAACCCCAGACTCACCACGAGATAGGCCGGGTGCGCCCTTTTCACAACTTTCATTGCCTTATTCACCTTGGCCATGTACTCATCTGCTGAGGAGCGGGGCGCTAAAGGGAAGTTCCAATTGGCACCCTCCCCAGCGCCAGCCCCCTTTTCATCCGGGAATCCAGTATAATATGGATATTCGTCCTTCCCATGAATACTAATATATACGACAGACTTATCGTGGTAAAAGTAGTCTTGAGTGCCATTTCCGTGGTGGAAGTCCAGGTCAAGAATAGCGATCTTGGGCGGATTAGGTCGATCTGGCCTAGAGGCCTCATGGAAATGCCTCAGCGCATGGACAGCTACGACTGCGTTGTTGACGTAGCAGTACCCACCGGCCATATTGGTGGTACAGTGATGCCCCGGAGGCCTGCAAAGTGCCATTACATCCTTTGGGGACGTGGACGTCGAGCTTGGGACACACACTCGCGCGGCCTCCACGGCCAGTTCGGCAGACGAGATAATGGAAGCCCAGCTTCCCTTTGCCATCCCCGAACTCAGGTCAAATGAGTAGAATCCGGGTCGGGCGAGCACATCCCGTGGAGGGCCCCGGTTAGTTGCGGTCTTGGCGACGGAAGGAACGTGGAAGCACTCGGGGAGCAGTGATTCATCTTCCTTGATGACACCAAGCTTGACCCATTCGCTGTGAATAGTCATGAGATACTGCAAGTATCCAGGGTCGTGAGTTTCCGAGACAAATCGATCGGTAAGTGCCGCAGTGCTTTCCAATTTGACATGATTCTCCTCCCCAGGGCTTGTTGCCGCCGGATCATGCTCGCTGATATCGCGAATTTCATGACGACCTTCCTCCTTCAGGAACTCTAAGATGGTTGTAATGCGCTCGGGACATTCATAAGCGGGAATTGTCTTGCCATTGAGAATCTCAACGGTGCGGTGCTGAAGGGTCGCCGGATGGTGAAGGACCAGCATTGCGCGTCGCGTGACCCTTCGAATTCAGTCGAAAATGGACCTTGAGAGTTGAGCGTTTCGAACGAATGTAACAGAAGTCGAAATGGAAGAAGTGGGACAGAATCCTAGGAGATTATATTTGATGTGGCTTCAGGCCGTGCTAGGTAGAACGGAGGGTCGGTGCTCTCAGAGCCGAGGCAGCAGCGCAAGAGCGAGATCCCTCGTGCTTGTTATTTTCACGCCTTCCTGTTTGAATCGATCGGAATGAACCAGCGAAGCTCGACCTAGAAAGTCTTATTCAGGGGCCATAATGACTTTGAAGGTAGAGAGGAGAACGGCAAGAGCACCATGACTTATTTCCTCTCTCTTTATCCTCTTGTGGCAAGAATGTGTCGGGAATACGAAGTCGGTCAATTGATCTTTGATTCATGATCACATCGGCGACCCTGACCAAAACCGACTTGGAAAGTGCGGAACAACGAGCGAAATTGGGGAAATAACCCTCATGACTAAGCATGGCCTCCCCTGTCAGATATCAGATGTCTCATCTTTGGAATTACATTTCATCCTTGTCAGACTCATATCCGATAGATTATGGCTTTTCGAGACAAGTGCGTGCATGGAAACTTGCGACAGTCTGTCGAAAGAGGTCCATCATGAGCGACACCGCAGGGACCACCCACGGACTCAATGGGGGATCGCAGTTGTCGAGCCCCTAATACCCCTGTAGCTACCTCGGTACGGCTACCCCGATACAAGTTGTAAGGTTCCCCGGTAAGTGCATATCACCTCCCTTGTCACACTTTACACTTCCACAATTGCAATTCCACACTTGCACTGATAGATAAATCGGGGGCGGCAAGGGCAGGGGCAAAGGGGGTGGTCCCTCTTCGACGGAGATTGAATGCAAGAAATGTCATGCAGTGACAGTTCACCGCTGCCGTTCCATCCTAGTGCACTTTAGCGGCTCCCCACCAACATGATCCTCCGTTCCAAGGAATCGGGAGCCAACCCACCCTCGTACGGCCGATCGCATCACGAAAGGTGTAGAGGGTCTGTTGGCCTGTTACACTTTCGAGTTCATGGGTTCTTGGGTTCATGAATTTATAGGCGATCTCTCTGTGACAGGGCGCATATCCTCCCAAGGGGCGTGGAATGGGTCAAACTGCACAGGATCGACGCGTGTCCGCCGTTCCCCCATCATCGGTAACACCACAGTTTGCGGAGGCACTGTCTCTCATTTGGGAGAGCGAGAAGTACGCAAGGAAGGTAATATTAGGGAGGGCACCGTCCGGAATGGAAATAGCAGAGCCCAGCCAGAGCCATGAGAGGCTCGGCTACCAATGCTCTGTGCCGTCCCTTCCACAGCGTTCTGGCCCAGGCTGAGTAGAGCAGAACAAACACCAGCAAGCGCTATTATTCGAGGACCTGACAAGCGATGAATGAGGAATGACGATCGGTGTTAAATTCATGCCCCCTTTGAGTCCCGAGGACAATTTTATCACCACCAATAATTACCATGAACCATCTCCGAAAACCGTTCGATGGTGTTGCTACTTTTGAGGGATCAATTGACCATCATCGGGGGCTGCCGATGAGTCGAGATGGCAAGGAGTGTCTACGCACTGCCGAGTCGGAAGGAGCGCGGCAAGAATCATATTTACAAGGCAACCCAACGTGACAGGGCGGTGACAGGGCGGGATACCATTAGACTGTGTATGTTGCATTTGTTCCCGCCCGCACCGAGAAGCTGGGGTCGATTGGTGCGATCATTTCGCCGTCCCGCCTCCCGATGAACCACATCCATCTTGTCGCTCGTGACAAGGACTTGGCATTTGATTCCAGGCCCATGAGAGTATGAGCTGAACCGGATCCGATTCGCTTTTCGGCCTATTTATCACGTTTAGCAGGCGAGCGCAGGGCTCTGGGGGTACCCTGTCAGTTCTCTGGTCCACACGGCGCGTCTGCCTCCGCGAATCCGGACCACCACTCTTGACCCGCTCAACCGGTTACCAAAACTAGAAACGCGCGGGACGGAGGGCAGGAAAGATAAGGCCTAGGAAAGGGCGGATACCGAACCCTTTGAATGAGACAGAAGGACGCAAGTGAGTCGCCAATCCGCTGTTCCGGAACATCGAGAGGACGATTTGAGAAGAACCCAGCTCTGGAGGTGTGCTGCCATTCTCGTAAAGCCCACTCAACTCCGACTCGTCCAAACAGCCGAGTGGCAGATATTTCCCTTGTTTATTGTATTGCGATTTCCGCCGCAATATGGTATAAAGTGGTCAATTGATCAAGCTTTCATCGAAGCACTCCTCTCCAAATGTACCCCCCAAATCCACTCCACCGCTACAACACGCTTGCTGCCGGCCAATAATGCATCATATTCCGAGCCTCCTGGCAATGTAGAAAGCAGATACATAGAGCGTACTGCGCCATGTGATATTTTCCTCTGACCCTTGCCGCCCAGTTCCTGTATGCATCGCGCCACCCTCTGCTTGGGTAGGCCGTGCCGTACCCCAGATCCCACGTCATATGCTCTTTTTTGCAGCTCCTTGTGTGCCAACCCTACAGCTACTCTAAGAGTCTAGATACAATGCAGGCCGCTTCGCCTCTGAGGGTAGGCTTTTTCCAATGCAGGACATCATATTTCCCGATCCGTCCAGTAGAGCAGGCTCAAGTAGGTCAGTCTAGTGCGACTGGGCAGGATAAAGGAGGATGAATAACTAAAAATGAATGAAGAGGGGTCGCATAAGGCACGCGAAAGAAACGGAGACTGAATACGAGCTCGCAGCTTAAGCGTCAGCCTGTTCTGATGAGGAGGACCAGCTACCATACAAGGAGGCAAAGCTTAGTCGTTTCCAGTAGAACACAACGCGCGATACCAATCTACCATACATTCATCACCATCGACGCTTAATACATCCACGAATAGCTTGTTGGAGGGAAAAAACAGAAGCCACCCATAAGGTGTCGAGTGAACCCGCTTTAGGCTATAACCATTCTCACCCACTTACATCAATGCCGCTGCCCAACTCCAGGTGTCATCTAAATAGGCAGCCCCCAATATACGCCCATAAATGGAATCGTACCATAAGACCCAAAAAAAGCATGTGGGGATCGTGGGCGATGCAGCTAGGAAGCCTGATTTGGCACTGACGGGATGAGATCCCCAGATTCTTGTTCGTCCCCACAGTCCACGTCCTCTCAGAGACCTTACCGCATCCCAGAATCAAACTAGCAGGCGGCCGGGGAATTAATACAACCCTGACGAGCGAGAGAGAGACGTTATCAAGAGATATGAAAGAGGTCGGTCGGGGCCCAGGATAACAGAAGATCACCTGTTCCACCATCGACTAGACACCACCCTTATCACCCGAATGACACTGCAGTGGGCTTTCTCGGAGGAAACGACGTTAGAGTAGAGAATATAGAAGAGATATGCATAGATCAGCCTGACATATATGACCTTGGCACATTCCTACATTTCCATCCATCCATTAGGATTTTCCGTGGGTCGATAAGATATAGATGGCGTAGTATTAGCTGTGGTGTACGAATGTCCATACACACCACATATAAAGAATAGGCCTCACTATAATACGGAGCTGGGGGCCATCAGAAAAGGCCAAAGACTCTCCTCGTAGCTTGCGTTCTGATTAGAGTGGAACGCAGTCGATCTTCATCCCGACCCAGCATCCTTCTTAGGGGTAGGACTCACGATCCCCGTGTCCCCGGAGCTGAGCGGTACAAAATCGAATAAAGAGCTACGGGAGCTGATCGCTTGTGCTTATCCTCCCCTGCTTTGTTGGCTCCTTTTGTTGAAAAGAACGGCTTCAGCGCAAGGCTCCTTGGTTTCGAACCCATTTCCAATAAGGGTGCCTCGACTTCACCATTGCCAAGGTCAAAATGGCTCGTGACAGCAACGTGAGGATACGGATCCTGCTCCTAGGAGCCCCAGGTGTCGGCAAGAATTGCCTAGAGTCCAGGGTAAGTGATCTCTCTCTCTCTCTCCAAAGAGGAGCCTTCGGGGCGAAAAAGGGGAAGAAAACACCAATGGCTAAAGACCACGGTCTAGTTCACCACCATGACCTATCCACCGCCGTATAACCCGGCCTTCACATCGTGCAGCCGCCGATTGCTTACTCTCGCGGCGAAGAAAGCCGAACCCTCAACGCCGGTTCTCCAGTCCCCGCCGCCGCCAGACTTGTCGCTCGGGCTATCCTTTGACAAGAACGGCAGGGAGGTGTCAGACGCGCATCGCCCACAGACCTCCTCGTCGGTGTACTCGGAGGATGACTCGGCATCCGGCGTTGTCAGGGTGCCGGGCCCAAGAGAGGCGGCTCCCTCTCGATTTGAGTCCCGAGGGACCCCCGAAACGTGCGCCGAGTGCGTGAAATCCGCCAACACGTTCATGGTGGAGGTCATCAACTACCCCACGCTCCAACTGGCGCGAGAGAGGGCGAGTGTGCTAAACATGGGCGAATACGACGCGGTGCTCCTCTTGTATGATGTTGGAAGTCGCGAGTCTTTCGACATTGTGCCGGTTCTGCATAGCGAAGTCATCCTGAGGAGCCGATTCTACGGTAAAAGATCAAGCTGGAGGTCTCAGGGTTCATTGGTAAAGGAGGAACCTATTATCGCCTTGGCCGGTAATAAAGCCGACTTCGATTCCGAACGACCCGACCCCGAGTTGACCTTCAACTTGCGCAAGTCAATGGAGAGGTGGGGACAGAACGCACACCCGACTTCTAGCGGATCGCTTGATACGATTTACAGCGACGAGGACGAGCCCATTCGATCACCCAGTTCGTTGAACATCAGCATGCACGAATTCGTCGCCGACGGGAGACGCTCGGCCATGTCCCTGGACACATCAAGCACCCGTTCTGGAGCCAAGCTGGTCAAGCGAAAATCAACTCAGAGTGTGCGGGTAAACGGAGATGGTACCCTCCCTAGAATGTCACGCCGAGCATCGAAGCGTGAGCTCGCAAACATGTGGCTTGACAAGGGGATAATGCCCCGCGAGGGCGCGACCTTGGACGAGGTTGACGAAATGGCTCAAATGGGAGGAAAGTCGTACCGGAGACAAGTAGCCAGGGCCGAGGGGGCGGACCTTGCGCGACAGCTTCAGCTCCGAGTGCCGTTCCTCGAAACGAGCTCAAAGACAGGACAAAACGTTGAGGAGATGTTTGAGGCGGTGGTGCGCCAGGTCTTAGTGAGCAAGGGCCTGAAAGTCCTTTCCACTGTGGATTGTCAAGGTTCCAAACCTTGTCGCCGAGACTCGGCAACGGACAGCAAGTTTAGTAGCGCGGCCAACAGTCCAACTGATGTTGGCCCCGAGGGTAAATTGGCCATTCACCCGTCCCCCCCACGACAAGTGGCAGGCAGCGGTGACGAGTGGCCCTCGTCATTTGGCTCAGGATGGGCTTCGGAGATCAGGGAAGAGGTTAGAATCAATCCGGCACCGGTCTCGACTAATGCAAAGGCGAAGAAGCAGGGGGTATTAAGGCGAGTGAGCAGCATATTCGGAAAGAAGAAGCAGATGTCAGTCGCAGGGGTATCAGCATGACTGGGAAAACATCGAAGGCAACCCGGGGTGTTCGAGTGCGACCTTTCGTTCGTTTTTCTTTCGCTCTTTTTAAACTTGACTTGGCAATCAACAGGCCCTCACACAATGGCCAATAATCAGAAATAGCAATTTCATAAACTCAATAACTTCATTTATTATCCCAATGTCTTATCAAAATCCGGGGAACGCCAGCCGCCGCAGGTAAAGGTGCAGGACATTAAAGATGGTTGATCTTCGTGAGCCAAAGGGGAGAAGGGGAAGAGAAAAAAAAAAAAAAGAAAAAGAAAAAAAAAAGGCAGGGTATAATCACAGGACATAATTCATGTCATTCATGGGGAAGGGTGCGGATCGCTTGCTGGCATCCGTCAATTTCTAGCATTGCCCCTGGAGATCGTTTTGTTTCCTATGGGGAGGCGGGGGGCGAGAGTCTCCGCGGATTTGCTGGGATTCGTCGTCGAGTTTCTACCAGTCCACAGCCCATCCGTTCTCATCGAGAAACTCCTCACAAGCCTGCTTTAAGGACAAGTTCGGTCGCAAATCTGAGACGTAAAGGGGTTCTCGTGTGAGGGGATCAGTTTGATGAAGGCGTAGATGTTCCAAGATGGAGGCTCTCTCATATGACTTGCCAGTTTTCGTCTATCGAGATTGTTAGCAAGAGCGGGACGAGGAAAGAAAAGGGAGAGACAAGATATTGTCCGTGAGAAGAGGCCGAATTTTGGGAAGTAATAAGGGAGCTTACAACTACTGGATCGACCATGATGCCAAAGGTAATGTCGTCGATAGCCCAGTCTGGCACTTTTCGACGCTTCGAGTCGGCCGCCCGAGCCTGCTCAAAGATCCGTTTGAGTTCGGCAATCTTCTCATCCCACTCCACCACGATGTCGTTGCGCTCTAATTCATCGGAGACTTCAGCCAATGCCTCGTCCTTTTCTCGTTCAAGAAGCCTCAGCGTCTCGTTCTCGAGTTCGGCCCCTTGGCGGATACGCCGCCGCTCCATGGCTTCCCAGCGCTCCTTTTTGCACGAGAGAACCAGATTCGTGACAGCGGCAAGGGACTTGTCCAGCGTCTTGGCGCAGAGTTCATGGGCCCTCAGGGCATTTTTCAGGGCGGCATCATAGTCCTTAATTGCGAGCTGCGCTTGAGACAGGTAATAAAACGCCTTCATATTGTCCGGCTTGAGCTCCAGACATTTTTGGCAATCATCGATGACAGAGTCATACAGCTGGAGCTTCAAACGGGAGAAGGCCCTGTTTGTGTATAAGGTGGGGTTTTTGGGATCCGCAATGATTCTAGGAATTAGCAAGGTCAGTTATAAAGATCCCAATTGAAGAAGGGGTGTACTCTTCCCAAACACTCGGAGAGGGAGATATATCAGCATGATGTCGAGACCAAGACCAGCTAAGTTTCGATGACAGGCGACAAGAATGAGAGGCACTGGCCATATAGGGCTGAGGTGAAGAGGAGTACAGAGAGACAGGGGCAAGCACACGCTTTAGAATAGAGACCTTCAGCCCCAACAAAGTCCCCCGCCTTGAAGCGTTGGTTTCCTTCATCTTTGAGGAGAATGGCATTTGCTGCCATTTTTAGTGAAATTTGTCAGTCGAATATGGATGGTGAGGAATGAAATCGATCTGAGAAGATTGGATTGGGGAACGCTTTAGGAACCCTTTATGCTGGGAACTTGAGGGGTATCGAAGTGGATGATGGTGAAACAACAGAAATATTGATTGATTATTGTCAGAATGCAGTCAATAAAAATACACAGCTTGCATGAAATGCAGTGGCACAAAGCTGGATGAAGAACCTGCAATATGAATCAGATCTATACTCTATGAGTATTTCAATCACAAATGATAGACAAGAAATGCCCCAGGCTGGAACTGGAAGAAGGGGTGATGGAGGCGAACAAGATCGCTGGGTTCCGCCTTCCCTCTAATGTGGTCCTTCTGGAAGTTTCCAAGATGGATCTCGAGCTCCACGTCCCTGACAAATTACACATTGGGACAGCTAAGGCCGAGTACTAAACTACATATATCGCCCCGAGGGAAGATGGATATCTCGTAGGATTGGCCAGGACATGTTATGGAAAAGCTTGGGATATCTCCTCGCCCTAATCTCTGCAAAACCAGGATGGCTTTTGCCGACATCCATGCCAAGTAAAGGCACTCGCAAGCAGGCTTGGAGATGTTCAAGATGAGAGGACGCGTACTCAAGTCTTGGGCAGCTGTCCGGTGCTGTCACGTTTCTGCATCAGTTGGCTCCGTACCGGTGTACAAAGAGGATGTATCCTCCGATGACTAACACAAGCCAGCAGTCGATTATGTAATCACGTCATGTACTGGGTACTTCAAGTTGGATGAGAATCCAGAGAGGTTAAACGACGAAAAGGAAAGCTGCTCACGGAGACATGAGAAAGACCCTCATGGACATACATTAGTATCTGCTCTCGAAAATCTAGGGGCGATGGGCGCAAATTGTAGCCCTTGCAAGTCGCCCGCCTGGCTGCTGACTTTGCCATGAAATTGTGAGCCAAACATGTCAGATTCGAGGGTCAGGGCTGGCACATGGCAACTTTTATGATCCTGCCGAAGCTCGCCAGCTGAGACCAGATCTTGGCGCACGCACGCCCTAAGTGACGCACTCCTTCGAAGGATTCATTAAGGATCAAGAGTCCCATCTGCCGGGACCGAAACCAGCCGCAAACTAGGCAGGCATGTCGGGGAGAAACCTGGGGCCGTGACATGGGCTCCAAGATCCCTTCTGCGGGGTGGACTGGTCCATGCGCTAGGCTCTCGATCATGATCAAAATCAGAGATCAACACTAATTCGCACTACATTCGTACGTGGGAGGCCCAGCACTCCAGCACTGCAGCAACTCAGCATGTAGAATAATCACCAAGTGTAGGATTCGGGGATTTCCAGCTTGCCTTTCCTCTGACAGGCGAGGCGCCTCCCCCCGGATCTGCCCACAATGACCCAATCAATCTGCATTCGGCAGTATTGGTGTCAATCTCCAACGCCAGAAGGGAGAACATCGAAGCCTGCACCACAATCGAGAGCCCGCTAAACCCCGTTTTGGTGGTCTCGGTCTCCGCTAGCTTCTCGGGTTTTTGGACCGTTCAGAACCGTCTGGGCCTCTCCGAGCCTATGATAACCCCGCTATTACTCACATTACCCACTGATCCCCAAACCCCACCACCACTGACTGCGGTGTCTTCCGACATTGGCCGACACGTGCGGCTTGGCGGGCCAATCTAACCTCAAAGGAGCATCATCGATCGAAATCAATCAATCATCTTCTGTCGCCGACTGGCCCCTCCCACCCTGTTGGTTGTTTGGTTTTGTCGGATCGAGGTCGTCTTTCGATGTACGGAGTACTTTGCATGTATAACATCAATACGTCACGGGCTGGCGAATTTTCACTCACATATACACTGCACACCTCCTGCCTCCAAACCAAAGCCGACGACGAAGAACGAACTTTGCAAATCCAAGCCAGCCTCTTCTATACTAGTTTTTTTTTTTCTTTCTTTTCGTCGCTTGATACATCGAGAATCAATCCAGCTGCCGATCTAGACGACACAACCCATCGCCGGTCGCGTGCCCTCACCCCCAACGGCCCGTCCGATCGAGCGGCTGTAGGATACACAGGACTCAAGCCGAGGATAACTGATCCCTCCCACCATCGCGAGCCTGCCGCGAAGCAACGCCTCCCCATCTGAGATCCGAGTCGCATATAGTCTGGAGATAAGAACCAACGAAGCCAGCACTCGCCTTGTTTCCCTTGACGGGCATTTCGCAGTCTACCTAGTGCCGCTGTCGCACACCTCGGCATCGATCGCTCGCCGAACACCGGCGCATCCTTTCTTGCCTTGGAGCAGATATCCTCTCTTCCTTTCGCAAACCTCGATCCCACAAAGCCTCAAACAAAATGTCTTCCCAACGACCTTTCTTCCTCTCTACCTTCTTCTCCGCCATCCGCCAGCAACAACACCCCCATCCCACCCAACAACCAAATAAGCACGCCACCTCTAGCTCAAGCCAAGCCACATCGACCTCCACGACATCCTCATCCAATACCGCGCCGCGATCCATCTCCTCCTCATCCCAACCCGCGAACCATGCCCACCAGTCGACGCGCAACTCATCTGGCGGCGTCGTCAACCAGCTTCCGCTCCATTCTCCGCGCGGCGGCATCCCGATCCCCATTCCTTCGGGAGGCCAACGCCGGGGCAGCGATAGCAGCAGCGAAGGCTTCAGGGAAGTCCTCGGTGCCGACAAGTGGTACATCGGCGGGAGGACGGCGACTGGCGAGGAAAAGTATTTCAAGCTCGGCGTTGTGAGGAGGGTACGGAGCAACGATGGATTCAGCCTCGATAAATTGAGTCTTTAAACCCTAGATTGGTTCCTATTTGTTTTACATTGGAGAAATGCCCGGTGGCAGATTGATCCAACTCGGAGGAAAGCTGTTGGTCTGAAAGCAAAGTAAGGGGGGAAAAAAATGAACATGAGACAACGAAGAAGAAATAAAAAAAAAGAAATGCCGGTTTGTGTCGGACGATTCGGGAACTTGGGAACTCTGGAAATGGGAATTCATACGGGGACTGGCGTTCGGGTTTGGAAGATTTTTGGTGCCCACGCAAGGAAGACCTTCCTTGGCTTCAGGCTTCAGGTTATCTTGCTTTTTTTCATTTTACACAGACCTATATAACTCAACGATACATGAACATATGCTCTTTTTGAGTAGCATAGACGATTTATTATGACAATGCTTGTTTATCTCATCGTTTCCCTCTCGAGTGATGCTAATGTGTGCATTTTCGACACTATTATACAGATTCGCTTTCTCGGGTCGGTCACCACATAAACCTCTGCAGTCGCCCTTCGTCCAAAACTGTTCCGTCCTCGGCCCGCCACTGGTAAGACTTCAGCAAGAAGATGGTCATAGTTGCGACATTGATACACGCAAACCACAGCGTCTCGAGGGATAGTCTCAAGTCCAGGCTCGTGCCCATTTTTAAGAGCGGCTCGAGAATAGGGATGTTCTTGGCCCCATCGCTAAAATCCTTCATCGACCATGCTGGAACAAGCAGCCTCCACATAACCCAAGGTATGATAAAATAACGTGGTTCGACGAGCGGCGCAGTGATGAGTGACAGGGTCGTGGACAGGAGAAGAAGGATGGCCGTAGACGACGGCACTGTCAGCTCGGATATCTCATCGTCTGTCAATGTTACAATGGTATCCGCTCCAGCTCTAGGCGCTGGTTCCCTATAAGAGACGTTATTTGTCCGAGTAACAGCTTCGGATTCCCGGTCGTAGGGGTGGTGATTAAACGGCGACGATGACCGAACGGAGACACCATTTGCGTGTGCCAATGACCCATAGACTAAGAACGCCGACAAAAGATAAGGGATGACGAGGTAATAACGGAAAAGCCCAGGTCTCCGGATCGTGTACCGGAAGACGTAAAACATATAGTGTCTGTTGTCGGCGAGTGTAAACGGATGGATGATAGTGTTGTACTTGACCACCGCTACGGCTCCCATACAGAAGAGAAGCAGAAGAGTAGCGCAAGATAACCTTCTCAAGAGAAGAGAGCTAGCTTGCTGGTTGTCCTTTTGCGTCGCATCCGATACGCGCGACGATTCCCCTGCCGCATTCCTCTCGCGTTTTACCCTCTTCAAAGTCGAATTTGGGTTGACCTCGGCGCTGGTAGAATAAGATTCAGGGGATTGAGTGACAGTCGCCTTTGGCAGCTGGCCTTTATAATGACGAGACCCAGACCAGCCGAAGGCTCTGCCAAGGACAGACAACCCCTGAGAGACAAAGAGAGGGGCGGAGAAGAAAGCGAAAAGAGGCCATATATAAAGCATCTGGGCAAGATGGAGTGTCGCGACATGATTCGACTTGTCCCCTAATCACGTTGGGAATTAGCCAATTTTTGAAACCCGCATAAAATTTGACCACGTACCGAGAACGACTCCTCCGTTCCATACCACAAATGCGCCGAACGAAGCCAGGACCACTACGTGTGGCCATACCTGCCTCAAGACCCTAAATGGGTTGGAGCACACCGCAACGCCAATGCTCACAACCGTGAAGAAGACATCTAATAAATTAGCACATGTTTAGAGAAATGAAGGATTAAGGAGGCTTCCCCTTACCGTCGGGCCAGGCTTGGCTGATAGGTAGGTCGTGAATGGCGCCTCGAGTGTACCCAGAAAGTGTCTGCTTCACAGGTGTGCCAGGGACCAGCTCTTTCGGCTTCTCAGGCACCTGCGTTTTTACAGCATGGACAGCCTCCATGCCGCCCAGATAGACGACAACCCAGAAGACGTTAGTCTGGCGCATAGTCAAAGAGAAAATCCCCACAACTACTGTCCAGATATCGTTCAAAATGGAGGTCTTTTGCTGGCGGACACGAGTCAAGTGGTTCGAGTAAGCGACCAATACTGCCAGCGTCGACATGACATCGGTATAGTAGAGGGCACTAAAAAAGAACAGGACCGGAAACAGGGCAATGTTGAAGCCTGTGTACAAAGCGTACAGAGATACGGCCTTAGTTCCTCGTTGGAGCTTGTTCTCTTTGGCCAAGTTCAGCTCTATCTGAGAGCGACAGTATGCAGCAACCATAGCAAGAAAATTGATACACCAGACATTCACACTCCGAAGAGTATGGGCAGAGCAAATATCCCCAAACCCAAGAATGCTAGCTTTCGATGCGAGAACCGATACGGCATACCTAACTTGGAGTTAGAGTGGAGGTAGTGTTAGAGTGTCAGACCAAATACATACAATCCTGGAGGTGTTGTGATCTTGTTGTCCCACTCGTTCCATTTCCCATCGCAGTACCTCTGTGCCTGGGGAATATGAAATATTTCATCCTTTAGATCAAAAATTAGATATGGACATTGAAAAGAGAGAAGACTTATTGAAAAATGCCCAACTCACCAGGTACGGCTCTGGTACATAAACGGATATGAGGGAGAGCCATATCCAGCCTGCAGCGAAAAGTAACACCGGTGGCAGCACAACAATCAGGACCTGTTAGATTCAACATATATTAGCATTTTGATTGATACGAATCGACTCCTAGGAAAGACCAAGAAACCCCAGTTGAATAAGGGGGAAAGACAGGTTGTGGGGTTTACCTCCCTTGAGCGCCATGTTGCAATGTGGTACTGAGAGGTGGTTTTGCTTCGAGTCAGTGAGATTTCTGGAAACTGTGTAGGACTAAACTCTGGGCATGGTGAACGAAGCCAGGAATTTGGAGTGTGAGGCCCTCCACTCGAGCTCTTCAGAGGGAGCTCTCTTACGCGTGTCGTGTCAGGACTGAACGAAATGAGGATAATTGAGAATGGAGAAGGCGTACTGTGCGAATATTTCACGAGTATTCACTTCATCCACCACAATGCGAACAACCAAAACTTCGATGTCCTGGAATTGCTTGGGAATTATCCAATGGACACAAGATTCTGACAGCAATTCATTTTAATTCACTTGATATGGTGCCTAGCAGCCTATTGTTTTTCAAGATACCAAAGGTAGAATGATTCCTTTTCTGAACCCGCGGCAACCTCATGCTTCCAAGCCTTTCCCTGGCCTCGGAACAGTCTTTGCTGCGCCTTTAAGTGCCATCGGAGCTTGGGGTTATATGAAGCTCTACACGCGCACTGCTGTATCATCCTGGGTCACAGAGAAGTGCATATTTGGACGCATAGTCGCACACGATCTACGGCTCCTCATCTTCCGCGAGACCGGTAGACCGCCTCTACATCCACGGGGCTCGGGCCGAGGCTCGTCAAACGATCGAGTACGGCATTACAAGTCAAGGATATCACCAGAGCCCTTCGGGAAGATCGCACCGAAGGAATAGCCAACGGGAAAGATTAGGCTCCAAGTCTAAGTTCTATTGAAAAAATGGCGTTTCTTTTGTACAACTCGCAGTATGGCACAGACTCGACACCATGCCTGCCAGACAACCAGCCGGTCCAAGAATAAATAGTTTAGAAGGGGTTATCGGATTCGGGGATGGCGGGCTTCTCGGTCAGAGGGCCAAGGACAGGGATGTACTACAGGTAGCGGCGTTAGGAGGTGGCCAGGACCAAGAGATCGGAACAATGGGTTCGTCGAAGCTTACAGAGAGGACATCCTTCTGCACCCTGGGGATACCGGAGGCGTAGAAGATGACGGCAACGAGAGCGGCGGCACCGTACTTAGCCGTGGCGAAGCCACTATAGATACACCAACGTCAGCATGGTCGTCAGGCAATCACCAGATGCGCTCGAACGATGTCTTCGGAAGCCATGGACCGCCCAGAACACAGCCCTTCTAACGACCCAGGTGCTTCGCAGACCAAAGAGTCGTCGATTCATCAAAGCCGAGCATCGGTTCGAGTTCGAGCGTAGGAATGTTGGGGGACGATACTCACACGCGAGTGAGCTGGGTGGCAGTGTAGCCCTTGAAGTTAGGCTGGTAATGGTACCTGCAGGCATAATTATCAGACGGGGAGTTCGACATCGCGGAATTATCGAGTAAAATATGTCATTTAAGGGCGATAGAGACGTACTTGGGACCATACACGCTCTTGTAAGCGGCGTAGAGACGGGGAGACTGAACCGAAGGTTAGCCAAGGTCAATCGTCGGACTCGCGCAAGCGAAGGAGTGGTGCTAAAAACCAGGGCCAGAGCAGGTCAATTAGACACCGGGTATATCGTAAAACGTACGGTAGAGACCATTGTGGCGGCTTGAGTCGAGACACAATCCAGGCAGCTAATCGTCGTTGGTGATCGCAAGTTGATGTTTTTTGTCGATTGAATCTTTGCGGGAAAAGCCGGTCATCACAACCATCAGACAATCCCATCTTCCAAGACCCACTTTAGCCGAACAAGCCAATAAAAGTCCACCTCATTACTTGCATTATTCCACAGATTTTCAATTGGGCAAGCTGATTTTGCACAACTTAGTAACCGTGTTCACACCTCAGTAAGAAGTACCTGGGTACCTCTCAAAGAAAGCCCAGCTCCAGCTTCAAAGCATCCAGGACACGCCTTGCTCTGGACAGCTTCCAGTCCAAGAATTCTCCTCGTTTTGCTACTACTCTCCTATAGAGATGGACAAAGCAATCGACACTCGCTTCGAGCGGCTGGAGCGGGCTCTAGCGAATCTCATAGATTCCGTCGCAAAATACAACCCATCGGCAGCTCAAGCTCATGAACTTGACAATGCTGACCGAGAGCTCAGTCAAGGTCTCGAGGAAGGTACAGATGCGCCCCAATATTTGCCCTCCAGCTACCCGTAGCCTTCTTCCCTTCTTGTGATACCCTGGACTAAGCCTTAGTTCCCAGTGCAAACCCATCAAAACAACCATCTACGCATCCAGAAGCTACGCGAGGAGAGCCACTCCCTCGACGACCAGATCCGCGAATGTCTCACCAACCTAGCTTCCACACGCAAGGAGGTTCTATCGATACCAACAACCGTGTTCCCCACGAAGCCGGGTTACGCCTTCACCTACGATGAGCTCCTCGGCTACGCCCGCAGAATAAGCAAAACAACAATGCCCCCTCCCGGCGTCACGAACGGCGTACTCCTTCAGCCTTCCGACGGAGCCAATGGGGATTCAACCCCCGTGATAAACGGCAACCCCGCCGGCGGAAGCGCAGTGCAAACCCCCAGCGCGACGCAGCCGGCCACGCCGCTTTCCCAGCTCCCACACGAACTGCAATCGCAGCAGACACTCGCCTCGACCAACACCTCCCTCCCCGAGGGTCTCAGTTTCCACCTCAACCCCCACGCCGGCGCCCTCTTCTTCCCTTGGCCCCTGGAAGACAAGATACGTTCGGGCGCGTTGTCCAGCAACCAGCTACTCGAGGAGCAAGGGATTAATCCCAAGAACTACGACCCCGTGGCCGAAGAAGAAAGGAAGCAGCGGGAAGAGGAGGAGAAGCGGCAACGGGAGGAGGAGGAGAGAATTCACAGGGAGGAAATGGAACGGAAGGTGCGGGAGGAGAGGGAGCGGGCCATTCTCGAGCGGGCGAAACGGCGAGAAGAAGAGGCGGCGGCGGGGGGCTGGAGGAAGGGCAGTGTTGCTGGTGCTTCTGGGCAGCCACCAGCCGGTGGCGCAGCTGGACTTGGGGAGAAGAAACAGTTCCAGTTTACTAGCATCGACGATATGGACGACGATGACTAGTAATTTCTCACCAAACTCTTACTTCAGTCCAACTATATTGCTGGCGCGGTAGCACTGCTGCTATGGAGCGCTGCTAGAATTGTAGACCAGACTAAAGAAAATACATTCTAAGTTATCTATTATACATATCCTGTCACATAAAAGGAAAAAGAGAAATCAAAAGCAAAAGCAAAATCAAGAAGAAACGGTCCAAATATCCTATGATTTTGGTTCTTCCGCCACATATATAAAACCAACTCCAATTGGTTACAAAGTCTTGCGGCACCATTCTGATGCAGGTATATCCCTAATAGTCCGGAGAATGATTGAAAGCTATGGTATTACATAAAGTACAAAAAGTCCATGCCGGTTGGGGAGAGAAGATATAAAATGGTTTTTCGTGTTACTATTCATTATCAACGCCGCCGTTCTCTGCACTCTAATCGATCTTGATAGAGGCATAAATGCGTCGGACGAACCACCAGCTGGCAAAATATCCGATGGTACCTATCGCGCGGAGACGATTAGTAAGAAGCTAGGCTTCGAGGTCACTGGGTGGTTTGACATACCTGTAAGGATAAAGAAGAGGAAGGAGATCAACGCGCTGTACCCCATGTAGAGAACAGCGCCGGCCAGGCTGCTCAGCCGCAGCTTGGTGACCAGGTAGAACATAGAGTTAGCAAAGATGTAGCCTCCAGTCATGCCAGCTGCGAGGAAGGCCCGCCATTGCCAATTGTAATTCTCAGAGCAGAGAAGGAAGTAGACCATCAGAATGGTCACCGAAGCGCATGTCATGATCATCAGGACGTAACAAACGAACAAGAAGCCGAACATGTAGTAAATCCGGCTAAACCAAATAGAACTCATAATAAAGTAAAGTTCAACGAAGATGGCCGCAAACGGCAAGAGACCAACAAGAACCATACTGGGGAAGGTCTTGAGGTAAGTAGGGCCAGGCGGGATCTGACGGGGGATCTGATTCGTTCGAACCGGTGCCGTAACAGGCGGCGACCGGAAGCCGAGCCACGATCCGACGAAAGAGAGTGGAATCGAGATGATAAACCAAATCGCAACAATAAGGAGCATAGTCGTGAATGGTACGGCACCGGAGGACTGCTTCGCCCAAAGGAACAGGTTCAGCAAGAAGAACGACGAGAACACGACGCCGGGAACGAGAGTAGGCGTCAGTGCAATGTTGAGCTTCCACTGTTCTCCTTGCATAGACTTGTAGATCCTAGCAGAGACATAACCGCCCACGAACCCAAGAATCGTGTAGAGCAGAATCATAATCGTGCCTAGAGACCCACGGTTCGAGGGGGAAAGGAAACCAAGAAGTGCGAAGACAATCGTGAACCCCGTCATGACAAAAAGCTGAGCACCATTGCCCAAGAAAACCGAGAGGAGGAGGGGCCGAGACGGGTTACGGAAAACATCTCCGTGGACCAGTTTCCAGCCCGAGTCCTCCTGGACACCCTCTTCGACAACCGATGTTCCATTAAGGTCATCCAAATCTATGTCGTCAAGGCGATTGTACCTGGCAATGTCTTTCTTAAGCGTTCGCACAAGAATCGACATGACGGTCAGGACAAGGATAACGACGACAATAGCAATGTCGATAAGCCAGAACCAGTGAATCTTGGGATCAAAGACATGAAGGTACTTGTCCCATCGGGTTGCCCAGACGGTCTTGGATTCTACCCAAGTCACGCTGTAGGTAAACTGAATGTTCAGGCCCTGCATATCTTCCCTGAGCACAATTGGCTGCGTAACTGCGTTGCAGTCACTTCCCGGGCCATTCTCGCCATAGTCCCTTGATTCAGGATAAACGGTAACGCCGACGACTCTAGACCAAACCTGCTCAGTCTCCCCGACCACCTTGTTCTTAACCTGGTGATATTCGACTTCAATTTCGTAGTGGTTGTGGAACCAGGCGCTGTCATCTTCAGGAAGATACTCTCCGAGATCGAACCCAGGACCATAGTAGGTACTTCCATCAGCGGTATCCTCCTTGAGTTGGCCGGCGGGGAGTCCGTCGACAAGCCAGTTATGCGTATAACCTTGCTGGATTCGGGTTTTGATAAACTTTAACCGAAGAGGATCGTAGGGCTGCCGGCACAGTTCCAGACACGTCTCGTTTTGACGCATGTGAAGCTCGAAGGGCGACGTCATGATCCGGTCGCCGAACAAGATGCTTCCCAGGCTTTCTGAGATGGACTCGGGGCCATTCTTCGGTCTGCAGAACTGGAACGCGGGGTTATAATAGTCATAAGAAATGACAGAGTGTAGTCGGGCAGTGTTCGATCCAGGTCCAGGCTTGACGCTGTTGACATAGAGAGGCACCGAGTCTCCCTGCTTGTAAGATGTGGGCGCTACGCCGGGAAGGTAGAAGGCGGATGATAATTGAGGGAGGGTGAGGAGGCACGCGGCAATGGCCGACGATGCCGGTAGCTCGAAGAGCCGCATTTTGAGACGAGCTACGATAGAAACGGGATTATCAGGGGCGGCGTTCAAGGGACGCGGCCGAAACAAGTGGAACGGACGGCACTTACTGCTTCGGAGAACAAATGTCTCTGCTTTCTTTTCCTGAGATATCGATCAGGTCCAACTGTCGGATTTAGGGAAGGTGCCTCTACGCAGGAGAAATAAGGGGTCATCAGCGCGCGTTGCTTTTCGCGCAATAGCTTCTTGCAGACATCGAGGGGATGCGGACGTCGCTGGCTGGACCTTCCAGAAGTCGAAATGCACCCAAAATTTCGATAATTTACTAGCCAGCTGGCATGTCTTTGCCAAGATTCGGCCTAATCAAACCAAGAATTGCAAAGTTCAAGGATGTCGGCTAATTGTCGGGGTTTTAACACCATCGGTCTGTCGGTGGTCAATGTGCCGACGTGGGGCAGGTCAAGGCAAGGAAGGACAAAAGGAAAAAGTTCAGACCCAGTGGAACTTCATTTTCAGAACCAAAAATTATTTCTTCCCAGACGCAAGTATTCCACGAGGGGACAATGGCAGCACCAAGGACCATCCCCGCCCTTTTAGAGTCATTGACTCAATCATTATCATCGGCACTCGAAATTGGCCCGAAAGTATCCGCCTTAGACCCTCCGCAAAATGGAGTCTCTCTCCTCGATATCAAGAACGAGTTGTTGCTCAGCTACCTCCAGAACCTCGTCTTTCTGATAGTCGTCAAACTACGCAATGCAAAGACGTCCTCCGGTCAAGAGGAACAAGAATCTACACAGAGATACAATGATGTCGTCAAGAAGCTCACCGAGCTGAGGCTATATCTGGAGAAGGGCGTGCGTCCCTTGGAGGAGAAACTCCGGTTCTCGCTCGAAAATATGCTGCGGGCTGCAGATGATGCCGAACGGAAAATTGCGGGCGGCGGGAAATCTCAGTCAAAGCCTAAAGCGATAGGATCTGGAAGCGACAGCGAGGACGATAGCGCTAGCGACTCTGATGCCCAGAGCGACGACGCCAGCCAGATTAGCGACGACGAAGACGAAGAGGACGAGGACGAGGACGAGAAACCCCGACGACCACAGCTCTCCGGATTCAAGAAGCTTGTCGAAGTCAACCCCCCAACGGAATCTAGTGATAAGCCCGGCATCTGGCGTCCATCAAAAACGAGACGAGTTGTTATGCCCGAACCCGAGAAGCGCGAGCGAAGGGAGAGGCAGCCCAACAGGTCCATCACGATGGAGGAGTATGTGGCTAATGAACTGGTTTCCGGCCCCATTGCAGAGCCCAGTGTTGGAACCACGATTCTCGACCGCGGCAGGACGGTCAAGACAGCTGCAGAGCGCAGGAAGGACGAAGAGAGGAGAGAGTACGAAGAACGGAACTTTACTCGTCTTCCCGCCCCGAGCAAGAAAGAGCGAGCGAAGCAGGCCAAGCTTGCTGGAAGGGGTGGACGTATGGTCTTTGGCGGAGAGGAATGGCGAGACCTCGGGGAGGGGGTTGACAGGATTGAGCGTCTTACCCAGCGAAAGGACAAGTCGACGGGCACCCGGGCTTTGCTGGAGAGGAGTCGGAAGCGTCAGCATGACAGCACGGACGGGCCGAGGCAAAGTGGAGCTCGTGTTGAGATGGGTGAACGTTTCAATAAGCGATTGAAGGTTCTTGAGGCCGGTCGGAGAGATCGGGGAAAGAACAGGAAGTAGAGGAATTATTACTAGACTGTGGTCTATACGGTGTAGCCATCTAAGAATATTGGAGATACCCCATACTACTACTACCTTCCAAGACAGTCTGATACCATCTCACTCCCCGTAAGCTAGATTCATTGACGGCACCTGTGGAACGCATTTCTTCATTGTTTGGCGTAGCGCAGTTTTGGTGCCGATACCACCTCCGTGTGGCCAAAACCATGAGGGTGCATATGCAAAGCAATGTTGTCTTCGTCTTCACGGTTAAAGTCGCCGTCCATTGGTGCAGCCAATTCCAAGCTTTCCCGGGAACTGGGGAAACCGTGCCGCTCATGATTACTATTTCACCAAGAAGTAGCAATTGGTCGCCTCGACCAAAGTCCAAAGGTCCAAATCGTCGGCCCGGAAGATACCACTTAATCAAAAATATCTGCAACCGCGGAGCAGGACCCGCTCCACAAGCGTAAGACGGGGAAACTCTTAAGTAGGAGCCGTGAAGTGAATTGAGGTCGCGCGAGACATACAGGGAGATCTTCACGTTAGGATATAAAAATGGATGAGGGCTGTCAATGAAGGGAGCTTTTCATTCTTCTCGAGACGCCATAACTCAAGACCATCTACCGCCTCCCCGTTAGCTCAGACTTTCCCACTACATCTACACTCCTAGGTCCCCCAATTCAAATCAGTCACTCAAATCAGTCTCGCCAATATGCGCCTCTCCTCTGTCCTCTACCTCGCAAGCCTGGCCCTCGCCACCGCCATCCCCGCCGAGGACGCAGCCAGCCTCTCCCAGCGCGATGCTCTCCCCGCCGAACTCGTTCCCCGCGCCTGCAGTGCCAACGGGTGCAAGTGCGTCAGGGGCTTGAAGCAAGGCGTGTACTGTGGCAACTGCGTCGTGGGCGCCGGTACGTACGCCATTTCCGCGAAGCGGGTGTCGAATCATGCATACGAGTGCAATCCTTCCGGCGGATGCTGCGACTATGGTACAGCGAGTGATTGTGGAACGTCGAGGGCGAGGTGCAAGGAGGGATCCCCAGTCTGAATGCCATAATTCACTTTAGAGCCTCACGTCTCGGAAAAGGCGGCCGAACCTGAGGATTGGTGAAGGTATCATGGTGGTTGAAAAGTTCCGAACAAGGCATGGTTTAGGACGAGGATGGATAAGCTCAGGCGCAAGCTCAAACTCGCAGCACAAGGAGTATTAGCCCACTCATATAACCCTGTCAATATATCCTACGGCCTCGTCAAGCAATTGTTCGCTACGTGTGGAGGTGGAGGTTGAGGTTGTCGTCTTAGCCCCCATGTAAGACGCTTAACACGATGATGATGTACTGGGTCTCGTATCAGTATACCTCGGCCAGGGCCGGAGTACACGCAAGTGTCAGTCACGGCTCATGGCACAAAGAGAACAGGTTGATGCTACCTTCCAATTCCAGATTACCTTGCAACGTTGTCTGGGTGCCCACTGACATTCTCGAATGCCAGGCCAAGAGACTGACTTGACACGCCGACAGGTTCACGGCTGGCAGAACCCCTCATCTGATCCAATAGCGAAGAGACCTGGTGGTGGATATAATTACGTTCACAGTCTCAACGAGCCATTGCATAACCTGGGTTGCGAGCCTCGTATGGATCAAAGACCACGTATATATTGCGTAGAGTACATGAGCGCAGGGCTCGGGCTGTTTACTGCAGTAACAGGAGCTCCCACGGCGTAAAATCAATCCAATAACCTCGAAACGCCGTTTCCACATTTGTTTTTAAATCCGCAACCCCGTGCAGTCTTTCCTTTGAAAAGAGGTTTCTCATGCGTTCCGTAGGACATCTTACAGATGCCCCCCTTTTTGGATGATAACCCGGTCTAAAATAGTACACATGCATAAAATGTCGTGCTCTCTAATCTTGTTGGTTCTCGTAGCCCTCGGGCTTCTCCATACCGTTGATATCGTAATATCGCGACGTGCCTATAAAGCAAAGAGTTAGACATCATTGCAACAAAAACGAATAGGACGTGGTGGGGATTATTTTGGAGAGGTGACGGGCTTACAAGAGTATCCCTTCCAGTCAAAGTTGTCCTTCGGGTTGCAGTTGCACTTCAAATCTAGACGGAGTTTCTCTCCAGTCGGGCAATGGGTAAAGGGCACGTGCCAGTACGAAATGTCGTTGAAGAAGTGGATTTCCTCCTTCTTCAGCATGAGACCCGCGGCAATGGAATGGACAGGAGCGTCACCCCAGCGCTCGTAGAAGAAACCGCCGTCCTGATCGAGGGACTCGAAGTAGTCGAGGTACTGACGAGAGCGAAGCCAGCTAAGGCTGCCAACCTCGAAGTTGGACCACTACAAATAGATGACATGTCAGTGACCTATGTTGAGTTCGTGCTGGAAGCTTCGCAAGTTCAATGGCCGGTGAACAGGAGCAACAGGAGCAACAGGCGACTTACGAAGTGGCATCGGTTGTATGTCTCGCCTCCGTCATCACTCAGGAAGTCCAACGAGTTACCCTCAACAATATGCTCAGGATGGTTCTTGATGAACTTCTTGGTGCTCTCCCACAAGGTAGGGATGGTCTCAATGTACTCATACAAGCTCAGGACAAAGGCGTACTTCTTCTTGTTCTCGACCATGTATCGGAAAGGATCGTAGTGGATATCACAGTAGAACTTGACGTTGGGCTCGACTCGCCAGTAGTATTCGTAGTTCAGCATGAGCGGGTGGCGGAAGAAAAAGCCCGACTCGAATCGGCACATGTGGCGGTAGCTGACAGAGTCGCCGTAGATGATCTTGCGCTCCTTCATGTCCTGACGAACCTTGGCAGCCTTGTCCTGGTCAATCCACTCGGGGAAGGACCAGTGTTCCTTGGGAATTTCGCCATAGTAGGTCTTGCCCGACACGAGTGAGGTAGTAAGCTTCTTGAATGCGGCATCGAAGGGCTTGTCGTTTAGGAAGACCCAGTCATAGTTGTAGCGACGGTTGAAACGATCCTCAACCTCTCGAATGGAGTTGGCCATGTCCCACAGATCGCTGTTTCGGGCAAGAGTGACGAAGGTCGCATTCATCCGGGGACCAGGCGCAGGCCCGTTGAAGAGGATATCGTTCCAACCCTCATCGCTGGGGGTCATGGGCATCGGGTAGTCGGCAGGGTTGTAGGACTCTCCGACGGCCGGACGATTCAAATTGATCTTGCTGCCAGACGATGACGGGTTTGGCACGCCCCCATTGGGAAGGTCGTAAGTTCCATTGTATGTCGATTGCGTAATCAGATACACGACGAGAAAGGCCTGGCAAAATGGAATGGATTAGCATCTAGCAGACCAACAATGGGGCCCTGCGCTTGACCAGGACTTCTGTTCAAGATTGATGTCCAGTCTTGCACTGCGGCAGGATCGAGGATCGAGCTTGGCGAGGAGGTGGGAGCGTACAAAGACTGCGAAAAGAATGAATCGCAAGTATCGCGTACCGCCGGCAGCCATGGTGGGCGACTCGGCTGGGATTGAATCAAAGGGGAGGCTCTGGCGGATGTCGACACCGTCCGATTTCAACTACTCGTCGGGGGTTCTGGAGTTGTTGATCTGGGGAATTTACGCTCTCGGCGAGGAGAGGGTTGAAAATCGAATGTGGCCAGCAAAGGGCGTCTCGACGTAATACGAGGTGGGCTGAAAAAAAGATAGAGTCCGTGTATCTATGGGAACGGCACGTCCATCTAATACTGTATGATAAAATAGTGGAGAACAGTGGGTGCGGTCCCGATTTAATTGAGACGCATCATTGATTGTGTGGACTGCGGACCACGAAAGGAGCGTCCAAGATTTGATGGCAACGGTAAAATGGAATGGATGCGGGAAAGGGCTAGAAAAGAAGAAGTGGAAAACCAGAAGATGCCAACTTTAAAACGAGGAAGAAAAATGGATTCAATACGAGGAGTGTAAACTTACGTGGACATGGACGATTTGGATGGTGGCCCCTTTCCTAGACAGTGGAGCAAGGTCTGGGGCGACCGATATCCGCAAAGCTAAACTAGCTCAAGTCACCCCTGACTCGTCCGCCCTGTCGAGACTTCAATGGTGAAGGCTGACGTGTTGTGGACTGGTGTGAATGGATGGGCAAGGAAAACCAAGACCAGGGGGCCAAACCAAGCCTAAGGCCCCAGACCCAACTGCAAACTTGAACACCCTGGACAAAGCTGGAACCTCACACACCCTCTGTTATCCGTCCCATCCAGATGCATCAATAGATCAATTCTGCAGTGTGCCTGTAATAATTTACCTGGGGACGCAATGCTAGGCTGAGATTCGGAACCGCGAAGACCCAGTTCTGCAGCACTCACAATCTAATCAGCACTTGCGTTGTGTGCTGAATATAGTATCAATAACACTGAAGCATCAATGACTGACATCCAGGCGAGTCATGAAGTTCAAGCTCCAAGGTAAACTATGTAAATCAAGATCCTGATCCTCAGCTCATTCCCCGCGTCACCTACGAGTAGCTCCAGCAAGATTCACAAGACACATCGGAAGCGCCATTCCGGATTAAGAGAACCAAGTCTCACATGTTGACACTCGACAGCTCTGGAGTTAACAGAGTTACCAAGTACTTTGTAGCTCGAGCTCGACTTGAAATTATTATCTATCACTTGCTCCAAGGGAAAAAAGATAGCGCCGCCAGATAATAATCCCCACGACAAACACGAGGAGACAAGCACACGCATGAACATCCTTGTCGCCTCCGCCCACGCACGAATCAACCCTGCCTGAGATGAGCTCAAGCAAGGCGCGGAATTTCTGTCCATCCAGGGACTTGGGGTCTGACACTAGCCTTAGCCAACATACATCCTCTGTAGTGTACCTTGATAGGACGTCGACTTGTAGGAACACCTCATACAGCCTGTTATTATTGATGATCCAAAATGTCTCTTGCTTAGACTTCGAAAAAAGAGACAAGAAAAAAAAATAATATATGTATCAAGAAGAACTGTCGAAAGCGGCCTGTTTCAGTCCTTATTGCGTCGGGCCGGTCTCTTTCGAGTAACGAAAATGTTGACAGGCCACGATAATGAGTTCGTCAAAATTTACAAGTCAACAACATCTATGACACTTTATCCTCAAGTTCAAATTTACAAACTCCGGCCTCGGCTCCCCAGTCCAGGCCTGTAGTTCTCTGTCTAAACTATTATGGTTTGCACGATGTGTATAATTGCCAAGCAAGGAACCCGACCGTCTCCCCGAGTACTCCCTACAATTGCAGTCTAGTGTCTTGGACATTCAATATTGATCCCGATCAAGACACGTCCTTGTACTTCGTATAGCAAACTAAATGACACCAGTACTTCGTACTTCTCAAATCTATTTTAGGCCACAGTGCTAACACAGATCACACGATCGAACAAAGTCAAGGGATCTGCGAGCAGCATACTGTGTAGCGTCGTGGAATATGCGTACACTACTCATAGTCGCAGTGTCGTCCTGGTTCGTGGGTTTGTTTGGACTGCGTGGGATGCGAAGTACACGTCTCAAAATTTGCCATTTATTTTGCTCCAATCTGATCCGCAGCATAATGTTTCTTGAAGATGTAGCTAGGGACGGAAACCAATTGCCGAGACTAGATAAAAGGTCCCTACGGCCTGGCTGGGCGCTCGAATTGATCCCATCATCCCATTCACAGTTGAGAAACAATAGTTTCCGTCCCGTTCTCAGTCTTAGACCACGGCCCGCTTTCGGCAAGGGGTGTTCCATGAACTTTTCTCTCCCCCGGTCTATGGAATTGCATGCAATCATCAGAATGTCCAAAGTAACCTAGGCACTTATACTTAGATGGTCGCTTTGGGAGACATTGCGATGGCTTTCGATTCCACTTTGACGACAAACCCACGCTCGAAAGGCTTTATCCTCCACAGATTGCGGCAGGTGGAGGAGTAGCTAGAGGGTTCTTCGATATAAGAGCTTGATGGAGTACGTTCGGAAGCTGGGGTTGGTTTTTAAGAGAACATGTCCTTTGCGCTGTCGATACGGAATCTGATGGACGACCCATCTATGGAGGCAGCGGGCGTTTCGACACACAATGCGTGCCCCCTTCACTGACGCGTCATTGCACCCCCCCCTGATTCTACACCCACTGTACGAAGCCAGTCGAGAAAAGTTGTGTGATGTCACAATGCGGGAAGCTCCTCCTTGTACCTGTGTAATTGATGCATCCTGTTCAGGCTTAGGCCCATAAAGTCACATGACTTTCAGTTGACTTATGTAATCAGACCAAGACGAGTTTCTGACATCTGATTGGAGTGTAGAACACAACCACATCCCACATCAAATCGCCATCAGGCTTTGCCTCTGCGACTTGGACCCGCCAATTGTTTACCAAACGCCAGCATCATCATCCCATCTGGCATGCATGCAAGGCATCTGTGAAGCAGTCGATTCTCACACTCATTTGGGCCGCTGCAGGTTTTTTTATCCGCCTAAGGTCTTGAAAGCACATCCTGTTAAGGTGGGAAGAATACTGCTGGCTTGTGTGTTTTAGTCCGTTTCCATCTTCATTATGGTAATTTCGAGACAACCTCTGCACACTTCGTTCAGCAATCTTTCAAGGTAAGATCTTGTCCACCAGAGGATAATCCTCACCTAGAAGCATTATCCCTCAGTTGTCTCCATATGAAATGTCAGAAAGATAGCCAGCTTTACCAAGCTATCTTTGGAGCCGCAAGGGATAGAGGCTTTTGCCCCAGCCTCACCAGCTCGCCATATCCCCGCACTACATAAGCCTACTGCTCCTAGCTCTCCCCACCTTCTTCCGTCATATATTCTTTTAACTATAGCCTTGCTAACACGGAAATAGCTTCATTTAGCATATCCTCGCCCTGTATTAATACGAGTACGTCTGCCAAGTCTCAACCATGTCTTTCTTCGGCGGGTTCAGCGGGTCCCGGCATAACACCTCGGCGCCTGGCTTTTCTCAAGCCCATGATCCTTTCATGGGCCTGTCTAATGCCGCCGAGGGTGACGACGGTGCTCTCGAGTTCGACGACACTTACGACGGGTTGGGTGACCAGCTGGACGAGACAGACGATGCGTTCAACGATGACACATTCGGCGATTCCGGTGCGGGAAACGTTGGGAAGGACTTCGACTTCTTCGGCCGCACTGCCCAGGTTTCTGGCGCCATAGAAGAGGAACACCTCCGCTTCTCTAGGCAACAGCCCACCGCAGCTAAGCCTACCGCGCCCCCCGTCTCCGCCCCGGTGCATGCTACCTCGTCCGTTCAATATCAATACCAGCCCGCCAAGAAACCCGTGCGGACCGGTTATGAAAAGTACAAGGATTCCGAGGTTGTACCCGACCTACATGTTGATCATAGTATCTGGGGAACGGCGCCCTCGAAACCTGCAGTTCAGGCAGTAGCTCAACCCGCTGCCCAACCGCCAGTCTCGTCCGGGCGAAAGGTGATGAGTTTGGAGGAAGTGGAGGCTGCCATGCGCGCGCAGGCCCAGAAGACGCCCCAGCCAACTTCGTCTCAGCAAGGCCAAGCTCAGGGAGGACAGATTCTAGTGCCTGAGAATGGCGATTTCCTCTACGCCAAGATACGGGAACCTGCCCAGCCCTCTCACGGACCATCGACTTCCCAGCCCGGCCACGTCCACTCAGTTCAGATTCTCCAGCGACCTCAGAGCCTGGATGCTAAGCAGCAAGGTCCCCAGATGCGTCAGGCGCCTAGCCCGCAGCAGCATCCTCCTTCCGGTCCTGTTCAGCCTACGCAGATCTTGCAAAATCCGAATCGCATCTCTGGAGACGCTGCCCGCATTGGCGTTCCCACTCATCCAACACACGTCTCTCACGGCTCAAGCTCGGGAATTCCGCACATCCCCCTCCAGATTCAGCCACATCTCTCGGAAGAAGAAAAGACTGCATTCCTTGAACAGGAAACGAGACGTGCAAAGAGAAACCACAAGATCTGGCTCCTTTCCAAGGATAATGGCTTGATGACCCCTCAGGATAAGAATTTCATCACTCGCATTCAGCTTCAGCAGCTTGTTACTGCAACCGGTATTGCAACTGAGGAGGGCGAGGAGGCTTCGCTTAACGATGACTTCTACTACCAAGTCCATGCCTCAATCCGTGCAGGCCATCGCCAGAACCCAAGCCAACCCCTGCATAACTTTGCGCAGACCTACCTTTACCAAACTGGCAGTCGCCACTCCGGTTCGCGACGGCATGCGCGTGCGGCCGAGAATCATGTCCAGCGTATGGAGCAGCAGGTTCAGCGCGCCGTCGAAGCCGCCAAGAATAAGCCGAAGAATCCCCAGCTAGTTATTGCCGGGAGCCTGGGCAAGATCTCTTACAGCAATGCCAAGACCCCCAAGCCGCTTCTTAATATCAAGCGGCAAGAGGGTACTGGCGACGCCCACAGGCATGCCGGTTCCAAGAAGCCCCACGGTACCCTTGATAGGAAGTCCGTCCTTCGGAACATTGAGAAGGTATATTCCACGCTTATGAAGCTCGAAGACCATGCTCGCCATATGCCGCCTCCCGACCCGTCTCTGCAGGCTCAACACGAACAATGGGTAACCACTACCAAGGCTCTCAATGCCGAGCTTTGGGATAATCTCAAGGTCCACGAACCTATTGGCGCAACAACCCTGCATCCTTTCATCGCTTTTTTGTCTTTCAATAAGGGAAAGAAGGCAATTCCTAGGGTATTCCGCCACCTGACTTTCGAGCAGCGAGCTACCATCCTCACCATGATCATCTTCCACCTTGATCAGCTAGATGTTGTGAAGGGAGCACAGGTCAACACTGGAGACACCGATCTGAATGCAGCTCTCCGCGAAAAGATTGAGCTCTTCTCAGTCGTCGTCATGCCAAGCATTTTCCAGTTCTTCAACGAAACCAATTTGGACATTGTCGATGGTGCTCTTGATCTTATAAACGACAAACTTAGTGTTGACCTTATTGCGAAGACGAGGATCGGCACCTCGATGCTGACGTTGATTCTAAGCCGTGCAGAGCTTCTTAAACAGGCAGGTGGCGGAACGCCTGAGCAGTGGAGCAAGTGGTAAGTATCCATCTTTCAATAAGGAGTCAAGCATGGGGATCGGTAAAGGCGAATCATATGCTAACCCACGACGCAGGGAATCTACATTCAACACCTTCTTCAACATCATCGAACCTACTCTGCCCCATATCTTCCCTGGAAGCATCAATTCCGGCGAAGATATCTACGTTTGGCAGCTCCTAGCCGCTATTGGCGTGAGCTCCTCTCCTGAGCAGCAGCAGCGTCTGGTTCTTGCTGTCAAGGATCGTGTCATGGGCACAGTCAACCACGCTAAGACTCTTCCGCAAGCCATCGGTGCCCAGCGGCTCTCGAACGTCAATTTATTCATGCAATCTATTGGTCTCGACGTGGAACTGCTTGGTTGAAAAGCCTGATCGTCAAAGGTCTATACAATTTTTAACTTACCCAAGCGTACTCATCCTCAAACGTATCCCGTTCATCCAGCACAGATATCGATCCATGTGCCTCCTGAGGCGGTAAGGACCCTCCTTGGGAACCTGCAACTGCCGCGGTCAGCAGGTCCTCGAGTCTACAATATTGAGACTCGCAGAATCTTGGTGTGGGGAGGAAACGTATATGGAAAATGAGTTACTTGATGGGTATAAATGGATAATTTTTTTGTGGCGCAGTTGATATGCCCTTGGTTTCTAGTTGTACGATAATTTGAGACTACACCAACGATAAGCTGGGAGTTGATAATAAAAGCTTCAGAATCCTTCTCGGCAACTCTACCAGTCTAGGCTTTGGTAGGAAAGCCGAGCTGGAGATAAAATAGCAATTTACATTGATTCAGTATCTTGAACATGTCACGGCACATTTGCTCAATACTCTTTGATTGTCAAGACTCCTAAACATTTATCTTACATAGGCCACCTGCTTTTTGTTCGTCCTTTCATGAATCGTTGCATATAGGGTAAAGGGTGCTGGGGCAGGGGGCAGGGTATTGCCTGACGAGAACTGGCTGGTGACAACCATCCTGTCACTTTTAATCAATTTCCATAGCAGTTGTGCTGCCTCCCCTCGCCCCAGTCTTTGACCTTCCTCTCCTTGCTGTGGTCGCCGGGGCCCTTGCCCGGGACCTGGCTGCTCTTGTGTCTTGGTTCAGGGGCAATGGTTCCGTTGGCTCAGGCTTCACCTTGGTCCCATCACCAGGACCGGCTTCCTGCTTTGGCTGCTCAAACGGCAATACAGCCTGCCGCCTAGCAATCTTCGCCTCGATATCATCAACGCCCCAAGGGGTCTCAAGCCAAGGAACCTTATCCAAATCAGCATTCAGAGACTTAACCTCCTCCTCGGCGTCTTCCTCTCCGCCCTCCTTAATCTCCCTCAGCGGGACAAAAGTCTGCGAAAACACATCCCACGCCTCAAGCTCGTTCTCGTCGACGAACCGCATCTTACGCCAGGGCTCGGACTGCACGGCGCGGAGGCGATCAGCCATCGTCTCGGTGACGACGGCGTCGCCGTTGTTGGCGGTCTTGATCGTCATGTGGATGGCGCGTGCGGCTGGGCCGGGACCCGTTCCCGTACCGGTGGCGTTGGCTCCAGCTTCTTTGGCGCCGCCTTGTGTGGAGGAGGTGAAGCGTTCGAGTTGGTTGTTGGCGTCGACGTGGTGGAGTTGGGGGCTGAGATTAACGAAGGCTGAGGCGGGTGTTAGGTGGAGGTCGCCTGTGATAAAAAGTCTGTGTCAGAAATTTGCCATGAAACCGTAAAACAGAAGGAAGAGTAGGAAAAGAATGGGCTCTTACCTCCTTGGAAGACGCCTATCATGTAGTTCACTGGCTCTTTCTTCGGGATGATGCCTCCCAACGTTTGGCTCCTCAGAACCCTATCCGCGCGCACCTCATCCGCCCACTCAGCCCTCCTCTCCCTATCCCTCTCCCTCTCTCCTTTCCTCCCAAGAGGCGCCGCGGGCGCTCCAACACCAAACCCACCAGCCAGGCCATGCGACCCGCCAGCCTTGGCCTCTAAAGTTTCTTTAAGCGCCCGTCCATACTGCATGCCTTTCTCGCGGTCGTAATTGTCGAGTAAGTCGAGCGGCACATCGACTTCAACGAGGCCGGAATCGGGCTTGATGCGCACTTCGGTCGGTGGTCGAGGGAAGGCGGGAGAACTACCTTCGTCGAAGCGCACGGATTGGTGTAGGGCGAGGAGTCTTTGGTTTGCAGGTAGGGCTGCATTTATGAATACATTGAAGCTGGCGACGACTGGGTCGTCCTCGTCTTGTCTGGGCGCCATTGCGGGTTCGGGTTGGGCTGTGTGGCTAAGGAAAGTTGCAGATGTTTGAGTGATGATGGCAAAAAAAGTTGATGGGCGTGTATGGTGGGGCAGAAGCTTTGGTCGGCGGCGACACGCCCCGCGATGACACACCGAGTCACAGAGCAAAGATCAAGCGTCGCCTCTCGCTTGGGCCTGGAGCAAGATACTAACCTAGAATTCTTTACTTTGCCGGTTCGAGGACCCGAAATTCGGCCCAATGCTGGCCCTACGATTTTTTTCTGATTCCCGCTCACAGTCATAACTCCATGGAGAGGCACTTAGTGGTGAGGTTAGCGGTTCTCCCCAAAACATGAGGCGCCGCGCCGTATCGAAAGAACAGAACTGGCAACTCGAAAGGTATTCAAATAGTTTTATGGCTTCTAGATGTTATAATAGTACAGTATATTATTTCGCACGAGCGCCCCAACCCTAGCTGACCGTCGCCTTCTTGGGCTTCTTCGTTCCATACTTGCTTCGACTCGTCGACCGTCCAGTAACACCTCCCTGCAAAAACAATTAGCACTTCAAGCAATGGCAATATACCAAAAGTCCAGGAATTCATCACCACATACCAAATCGAGCGCGCCACGAACCAAGTGGTACCTCACACCGGGACAATCCTGACTGCGTCCACCACGCACGAGCACAACGCTGTGCTGCTGAATGTTGTGGCCCTCACCGGGAATGTAAGCCGTAACCACTCGTCCCGTCGTCAATCGTACACGCGCCGTTTTTCGCTCGCCCGAGTTAGGCTTCTTGGGCCTCGTGATTCCGACCTTGAGGCAGACTCCCTTCTGGAAAGGGGACTTTCGCTCGGCAAGGGCTGGAGACACCGCGTGTCTCGCCTTCTTTCCTTTTCGGCAGCCCTATTCCCCAAAAAACTGCTATTAGAAACTTTCGAGATAAATTCGATAAACGGTTTGGATGGGGCGTACCCGTAGCACCTGCATCAACGTGGCATTCTGGACGGGGGTGGAGGAGAAGGAGCGGATGGCTGGTCGGAAGGCCGTTTGGAAGGTCGGCAGGAAGGGTGAGATCGAGGGTCGGGCCAATGGTTGTCGCATTGACTGCCTAAGAATAGGCGTCGCGAGATAGCGAAGAATTGTCCCGGGCATCGTGGGCGATACGTGCATCTAGTCCCAAATGCTACTGCTATGCTATATCGTGATCCATCAAAGCCTTCAATTCTGCCATCAAAATTGCTCAAGGCGGTCATGGCGCATTGTCGGCTAAATATCGGCCTTGCTTCGACCATACACACCGTTTTTTATGACGTACGATTAGACTTTCGAAAGCGGAAGTTGCCGAATCGGTATTCGGGGGAAGGATATCCTCGGCAGAAAAGTAACTGGCCTTCAGCTTGGCCCTATAACATGACCTCGATCTTCTGTTGTGGGGGAAAGATCCTGCAAGCTTCGACTTCTTTTCTTTCTTCCATCCCTCAATCTTTCGAGCCCTAGCCATTGAGCGCGAGACCGTTGATTTCGACTCGTTACCTTCCAATCCGTTGACAATTGTGCTCTGAGAATCCCTCAATCGCCACACGAGGCCGTCCGAGATGTCTTCCCTTTCGCGTACCATTCGACCCGCCCTCCGCGTCGCTGGCAGGGCTGCATCGAAAAATGTGACCGCCATTCGGGCGACTTCGGCGTTGAGGTCTTCTCAAGGATCGAACACGTAGGTTGCCAGTTTACTATTCCAGGACCTCGTGTGTACCGATGTGTGCCCCGCCGTTCACATGTCTAATATTCCAATTGTAGTGTACGGTCTTTCTCTGCTATTCCCTGCCGCCGCAATGAGGCCGTGGACATTAGCGACATCCCGCCCACCCCGATCACACACTTCACCGAGGTCGAGACGGCGATGAGGGAATCCGTTTCCAAGTTTGCCAACGATGTCATCCTCCCCAAGGTTCGAGATATGGATGAGGCGGAAGCTATGGAGCCCGCCATTGTCGAGCAGCTCTTCGAGCAGGGCTTTATGGGTGTCGAGATTCCCGAGGAGTACGGTGGTGCGGGAATGAACTTTACCTCTGCCATTATCGGCATTGAGGAGCTTGCGCGGGTTGACCCCAGCGTCAGCGTTATGGTCGATGTCCACAACACCTTGGTCAACACTGCCATCATGAAGTGGGGATCTGCCGACCTTAAGAAGAGGTTCCTCCCCAAGCTTGCGACCAACTCTGTCGGTACGTTTTTCCTTTCCCCTCCTCGTTGCCTCTTTTACTAGGCACCTAGCCTAGGGCTATGTTTATCGGCTTACACGGAGAAGGTTCGTTCTGCTTGTCGGAGCCCGTTTCCGGCTCGGACGCTTTCGCGCTCGCGACCAAGGCCGAGGAGACCAGCGACGGCTTCAAGATCTCTGGCTCGAAGATGTGGATCACCAACTCCATGGAGGCTGGCGTCTTCATTGTCTTCGCCAACCTCGACCCCAGCAAGGGCTACAAGGGTATCACCGCCTTCATCGTCGAGAAGGGCACCCCAGGTTTCTCGATCGCCAAGAAGGAGAAGAAGCTCGGTATCCGAGCCAGCAGCACCTGCGTCCTCAACTTCGACGATGTCATCGTCCCCAAGGAGAACATCCTCGGTGAGAGGGGCCAGGGTTACAAGTATGCCATCAACATCCTCAACGAGGGTCGCATTGGTATCGCTGCGCAGATGACTGGTTTGGCCCTCGGTGCCTTCGAAAACGCCGCCAAGTGAGTTCCACCCCTCAAGCCCGAAAATTCTCCAATTGACTCGTGACGTACTAATCTAACTTGTAATGTCAAGGTACGCCTTCAACGAGAGGAAGCAGTTCGGCCAGCTCATCGGTGAGTTCCAGGGCATGCAGCACCAGATTGCGCAGTCCTACGTCGAGATCACCGCCGCTCGCCACCTCGTCTACAACGCCGCCAGGAAGAAGGAGGCTGGTGAGAACTTCATCAGGGATGCCGCCATCGCGAAGCTCTACGCTTCTCAGGTCGCTGGACGTGTCAGCAGCCTTGCCGTTGAGTGGATGGGCGGTATGGGCTTCGTCAGGGAGGGCCTCGCCGAGAAGTTCTTCAGGGACAGCAAGATTGGCGCCATCTACGAGGGCACCAGCAACATCCAGTATGTTTTTATTTTAACCTCGTCGCATTTTTCATTCTACTTTGGAGCTTTTAACTAACGAATGCCACCACCACATCTCTAGGTTGAACACTATTGCGAAGAGCCTCCAGAAGGACTACTCGGCGTAAGCATAGGGAGTTCGAGGCAGGGATCTCAATCATGTAAATAGTATTAGGCCACTTGGATGTATAGCAGTTTTCTCAAAATGGTTGCGGATTTATGCTCCGCGGGTAGTCTTTAGGAAGAAGTAAAATGTTAACGAAAAAAAAAAAAAAAAATAATAACCCTCAATCTCACTACACTATAATATTGTCAGTCGGTTTAGTCGGCACAAGAGTGTTGCCCCGGAATTTTCCTCTAGAACTCCCCTGCCTCGGTTGTAGCGGCCAAACGTGTGGTGTTTTAACCCGCCTCTCTAGTGTCTTTTCCTTTTTTTTTCTTTTTTTTCTCAACGGTCTAGTGTGCCTGTGTAGTGCTTGAACTTGGCGGTCTCGTTATCTTATGACGTTAACATCCAGTGAGTTGCCGACGCACCCCGCGGATAATACCAAAACGGCCGAACCCTTGAAAGGGGCCTCTTAATTAACGGCCGAGATGGGACTAGGACGGTTGCGTTCGGGCTCTCAGCCACCGAAGCAAGCCGATTTACTAGAGGTCGAAGTGTCCCCAAGCGCTGAAGGCCTTATCTAGGTTGTGATCAAGACATCGATTGATCCTCCTCATCCTCCTGGTAAACTCGAGGATCGCTCAATGTCCCTGTCTACTTCAATGTCGGGCAGCTAGGTCGGGGATCAAATCAGACAAGTGGGTTTTGTCGTCGTATTGCAGACGGCGCCTCCGAACAGACTTCTTCTGCACGCATCAACTCGGCGCTGCGATGCCGGTCTGGATAAGAATATCAGGGAGACGATGTGAAATATGTACGTGAGTATGCAGGCTTCGTAATTCTCGAAAGCCACCATGCAGAAGCGCTGCCCACCCAGCCTCTGGGGTGTTCGCTCCAGGTTCTAAGACGTCCAAAGAGTGCAAGTTGAAGGTTCACCAAAGAAGGATACTCTGCACAATTCCAATTCTCGCATCTCGGAGGCAGCCAAAGCCGATGCTAGATAGACTCAGCCCCAAGGCCCGAAGTCTGTCTCTCCCAAAGAGCGACACCGCAGAAGCTTAATCGATGACTTCAATGCCAAATCAGGAATTCAACACAGAGAAAATGACACTAAAGGAGCATTTTAGATTCCAACAACCCCCGGGGTTGGGTGTACCTCGTGCCTCGTGCCTCCAAATTACGCCCTGAGGTGTGGCCCGCCTGAACTTTACCCCGCCGTGCCTGGCATTGGTGTGCCCTCTAAGTTCGTCGCCCGTTTGAATTTGGCGTTGCTTGGTTGCTCTGAAGGTTGAGGAGGGGGGTCGAGTAACTTTCGGGCGGTGTAAGGTCCGACTGCCCCGCCTCACACACACTCCAATGTTTGTAGTGGGGTGAACATGCTGTGCCACATTGACAGGACGCACCAAAAGTCCTAGGACCCATGGATGACTCGCTGGGGATTTCTAGGACTTGAAGCCGCCACTTTGAAAGTGCAGACATCAACAGATTGATCACCGATCCTTGCGTGTCAACGACATGCGATGTACCTCCGTACCTCCAGACTTGGAGACTTCGAGTTTGGAATATCAACCACCTTATTTGGATTGGGAGTCGCATCCATGTACATATAGAATAAATACATTGATGTCATTAATGTGGCTCTTCCCTCCACTTCCTCGCCTTAGCTCCCAGTGCGGAAATCTTTATGGCTTAAAGAAGGGAAAAAAAAAAAAAAAAAAAAAAAAAAAAAAAAAGGTTGTCTCTCTAGCATTCAGAGGAAGGGGTCATCAGCAGCCGGAGCTGAAGCCACCTTGACAAGTCGTGTTACTTCGTACAATGTTGGAGATTGCATTGAACACGAAGGACAAGAGCAATAGCAGGGGATACTTGGTAATAATAGTTTCGAGCTGGGAAAGAGAGAGAGTTGTGGACTCAGCTCACTCTTACATCAAAGTGTCCCGCCTCATGTGAAACACGAAACACAAAGGAGTAGCTGGGCCCGGGTTGTAACAGCTGTAACAGCACCAAGCCTTTAAGCATCGAGAAACATCAATTGAGAAGTCCTAAAGGACAAGACTCAGAGCTCAGAGGCAGCAAGTCGATCGTACGTCAAGGAAAGAGGACAGGTAGATATCGATGATAGATCCCCTGGCTTTGAAAGTGAGAACCAGATCCACCAAGTGGTGCTAGATACGACCTACAAGGACTAATACGACCAGACCCTCCCTGGACCCCATCAAGCACCGACGACCTCTTCGATGCTCTTTCCGATATTGGAATTATTTCTCAGGGGTTGAATTTGACGTCTGGTGACAGGTTGAGATCCAACTCAAGTCGAGTCCTCAAAGGTAAATTTGAAGTCCAGTACTTCGTAGTCACCATCACGCCCACAGCCATAGTCGCAACCGAAGCCACAGTCGCAGCTGCCCAGCGTTCAGAGCATCGATGTAGCCCTCTAGTGTAGTACGGAGTACAATTGCAATGTACTGAGGGTACACCTGCGAAGTAACTAGATTACATCGATTGATGTTGGCAGGTGCAGACGCGGACGGACGAGGTACACTCAAACTTGTATGTACAATTGTACCTTTCATGTTGTTGCTCCACACAACTCGAACACAAACCAAACCAAACCAAACTACTAAAACTGTCGAACCAGAACCAACCAGACCAACCTAGCCAAACCCCTCCCGCCGGCAAAACCGAATTGAAAAACAGACGCTAATTGCCATCAACTTGTCAACGCAAGACCAGACCGTTTCTCTCACCTCGTCTCGTCCCCTGAAATTGATGAGCGAAAATAGGGCAGTAGCGGAGAAGCGGCTTGCTTTTGCATCTTCTCCCCTCGTGGCCTACTAATTTCCCCAGCAAACCACCCCGCTCGAAGATACCAAGCCAGCACGGCTTGAGCCCCTGGCCCGTCGTCTGCAATCACCCCTCACCCCGCAGACAACGTCGCCTGGCCGGTGCTTCGACGTCGTCCCATCCACGCCCGACGAAAATTATAGCGCCATCACCACTTTTCCCTATTACCACCGAGATCACCAAATAGTCTCCTCCCCAACCGACCTCGTGCTTGTGAAACCTATTCTTTCTAGTCCCGAGCGCGCTCGACAACCGCCAAGATGAACGAGGACGAGAGGATCCAGGACATTTACAAGAAGATCGAGCGGGAGAAGGCTCTTATCAACGCCGCACATGCTATGCGATCGCAGACAAACAATGAAGCCGTTCGCTCGAGACTCGACTCCCAGATGCGCGATGGCCGCCGTAATCTGCAATTCTTCGAAGAGAAGCTCCGGGAGCTACAGATGCGCCGTGTAAACCAGGGCATGGACAACATGTCCCTTGGGCCCGATGGCCGACCCGTCAGCGGTGGCGTGTATGGCGACGCAGGTCCCGCCCCTCCTCCCAAGGACGGTGACCAGGGTGGCTACGGAAGCCAGCAATACAGTGATATTGGTGGCCACGGTGACCTCATGCCGCCCCGCCATCCCTACGGTCCTCCAGCTCCCGGCCCTTCTGGTAACTTGTCGCGACCTAGGCCAAACTTCACAAAGCTCGGTGCGTTTACCTATCACCCGACCTCGCAGAATACGTACCGAGAGTTCTTCGCTGCGATGACTATAGCCGGACTGCTGCTAACCTACTTTGCGATAATCTAGATCTCATCAAATACGATACGCCGTATCTAGGGCCCCGCATTCAGCTCATGCTTTCCCAAATCCAGTTCAAGCTCAACGTCGAGGAACAGTACCTAAAGGGTGTTGAGAAGATGGTTCAGCTGTACGGCATGGAGGGCGACCGGAAGAGCAAGGCTGACGCCGCTGCTCGCCGAGTTGAGAGCAAGCAGAAGATCGTACTTCTAAAACAAGCCTTGAAGCGATACGAAGAGCTCCACATTGATATAGACTCGGCGGATTCCCCTGATGGTATGGTTGCCTTACCCCGTTGCCTTCCGCCCTTTCTCTCTTCCCGTAGCACCGTTGCTAACGGCTATGTTTGCCGTCACTAGATGACTCCATCAACATGCCAAACCTGCGCAAGCCTCTCACCGGTCAGCTCACGATCCGTGTCATGGCAGTCAAGGATGTTGATCACGCCGCTACCAGCCGGTTCGCGAGGGGACCCGAAACTTTTGTCACCGTCAAGGTCGAAGACAATGTTGTGGCGCGAACGAGGGCATCACGCAATGACAGATGGGAATCCGAATATCACAACATCGACGTCGACAAAGCGAACGAGGTTGAGCTTACTGTGTACGACAAGCCCGGAGAGCACCCCCTCCCCATCGCCATGTTGTGGATCAGGATATCAGACATCGTTGAGGAGATGCGCCGGAAGAGGATCGAGGCTGAGATTAACAACTCTGGCTGGGTCTCTGCCGACAGGATGGTCAACCAAGGCGGCGCTGCCCCTCCTCAGTTCCCTATGACCCCTCAGCAACAGCAGCAGTACGGTCCCTCTCCGGGCCAAGGCGGCAGTTTCCCCCCTGGCGGCGCACCGCCGCCGCCGGGCCACCCTCCGATCGCTCACTCCGGTCCGATCGAAGGCTGGTTTAACCTTGAGCCGAGCGGCCGAATCCAGCTGTCACTCAGCTTCATCAAGCAAAACAAGGACCGCCGCCCCATCGACCTTGGTCTTGGCCGAAAGGGTGCTATCCGACAACGCAAGGAGGAAGTTCACGAGATGTACGGCCACAAGTTTGTGCAACAGCAGTTCTACAACATCATGCGCTGTGCTCTCTGTGGTGAGTTCCTGAAATATTCCGCCGGTATGCAGTGCGAAGACTGCAAGTATACCTGCCACACGAAGTGCTACTCGAGCGTCGTCACCAAGTGTATCAGCAAGAGCAACGCCGAGACCGACCCGGACGAGGAGAAGATCAACCATCGCATCCCGCACAGGTTCCAGCCTTTCTCGAATATGACTGCCAACTGGTGCTGTCATTGCGGTTACATGTTACCTTTCGGCAAGAAAAACAGCAGGAAATGTACCGGTAAGTGGATAAGTCTGTTTCGCTCCTCTTCCATGCTCGTCCCCCTAGGCACCCACACGGTATGTTTATGTCTTGTGTGAGCAGGCGCTAATGTAGAACAAACAAGAATGCGGCCTTACTTGTCACGCGCAGTGTGTCCATCTTGTGCCCGATTTCTGCGGCATGTCGATGGCCGTCGCAAATCAAATTTTAGAAGGAATCAGAACGCAGAAGCAACGAAAGCAGGAGAGGGCGTCCATGGCCGAGCGAACGCTAAGACAGGGCGGACCGAAGCCTGGCCAAGGGCAGCAGGGACCATACGCCTCGCCTCACTCGCCATCATATGGCACTCCGTCGCCCGAAGCCGCGGAGGCTGCGAAACTTACTTTCGCCAACCAACCTCAGTCGCAAAAGACGCAACCCGACCGTGCATCCATATCGTCCGGCTCCACGGCGGCGACCGCGGCTGCCTCCGTCGCCATGTCCGGATCCATCAGGACGTCGCAGTCTCAGGATTATGACCGTTACAGCTACGGATCGCAGGCCCAGCAACAGCAACCTGCAGAGAGCGCCTATGGCCAGGGCCAGCAATACGGCGCTCCACAGCAGCGAAAATATAACCCCGCAGACTACGCCAACGTGAATGCTCCGCAGTACGCCCAACACCCCGTCCAACAACAGCAGGCGATCCAGCACCAGCAATCGATCCCCCACATGTACCAGCAACAACTGCCTCATCTCCAACAGCCCCAACAACCCCAGCAACAGCCCCAGCAACAGCCGTTGTCGCCCCAACATCAACAACCGCCGCAGCAGCTGTATGGAAAGCCTCAAATGGGAGAACCTCTCGCGCCACCTCCCTCGGCGAGCCCCACAGATCTCTCCGTGTCACAGCGCAAGCCTCTCCCGTCCGCCACAGACCCCGGCACGGGACAGAGGATTGGTCTTGATCACTTCAATTTCTTGGCTGTCCTCGGCAAGGGCAACTTCGGAAAGGTCATGTTGGCCGAAACGAAGAGGAGCAGGCGTCTCTACGCCATCAAGGTTCTTAAGAAGGAGTTCATTATTGAGAATGACGAAGTTGAAAGCATAAGGTCGGAAAAGCGAGTCTTCTTGGTCGCAAACCGGGAACGACACCCCTTCTTGACAACCCTTCATGCTTGCTTCCAGACTGAGACTCGAGTGTACTTTGTCATGGAGTACGTGAGCGGAGGCGATCTCATGTTGCATATTCAGCGTGGCCAGTTCGGTACAAAACGTGCCCAGTACGTGACCCCCATCCCCTTCTCCCCTATCACCCTCACTATTTCCATAGTAGCTACGAAAAAAAAAAAAAAAAAAAATTTCAAAACCCAACTAACCGTGCATCTTTCATTGCAGATTCTACGCCGCCGAGGTTTGCTTGGCTCTCAAGTATTTCCACGAGAATGGTGTCATCTACCGAGATTTGAAGCTTGACAATATTCTCCTCACTCCCGACGGGCACCTCAAGATTGGCGATTACGGTCTTTGCAAGGAAGATATGTGGTACGGATCCACCACCGGCACTTTCTGCGGAACTCCTGAGTTCATGGCGCCAGAGGTATGTAGCTCGCGTTATTTCTACAGTCAGTATTTGGATAATTTTCTGATCTGGTGGAAAACAGATTTTGTTGGATAAGAAGTACGGACGAGCCGTCGACTGGTGGGCATTTGGTGTTTTGATCTACCAAATGCTCCTCCAGCAATCGCCTTTCCGTGGCGAGGACGAGGACGAGATTTACGATGCTATTCTTTCCGACGAACCCCTTTACCCCATTCACATGCCTCGCGACTCGGTCGCCATCCTACAGAAGCTCCTCACCCGTGAACCGGACCAGCGACTCGGCAGTGGCCCAACGGACGCGCAAGAGATCATGAGCCAGCCGTTCTTCCGAACCATCAACTGGGACGATGTCTACCACAAGAGGGTCCAGCCCCCATTCCTGCCAACCATCAAGAGCCCGACTGATACCAGCAACTTTGATTCCGAGTTTACTAGTGTTACCCCGGTTCTCACTCCAGTCCAATCAGGTATGTCCATGTCACGCCCCTTACCTCTTCGTGAAGTACCGCATAGTGCAGAAGCTAACAGCGAGTGCAGTGTTGTCCCAAGCCATGCAGGAGGAGTTCAGAGGCTTCTCGTACACGGCAGATTTCGAATAGGACTCTGGCGCCTGATGTTTTACTTGTTTGGGTCGAAGAGTTGAAGAGTTCGGGAAATAGTGATACCTATTGACCTTTTTTTTGTTGTTTTCCTTGAAGAATAGCATTGATGAGATTTTTTGCAGTGGTGATACCGTCTCCTCGTCTACCCACATATAGCGGGCTACTCCTGGAGGGCAACTGATATGTTCCAAGACGCTGTCGTAGAGCTGGCAGAATAAAAACAGTTGATAATAGTGCATTTTACTTCTTTTACTCTCAAGAAACACATTAAGTTCTGCTTGATTCATGGCCGTCTGACGGAATCAGGATGTAGCCTCCAATGGCAGGGGGGTAAGAGCGCCCAACCAAACAGCTCAAGTACCATATTGAGATCTGAGATCTATGGCTACTTGGGGCGCTCAAGGTGTTGGAAGATGCCATTTTCGTAGCTATGAGACCTGTGATATACTACCTTTGATAGTTTGATACCAGGAGCAGGCATTGAGAGGGAGAAAGCAGGTATTTTTCTTTTTCCCTTCTTTCCTTTCTTCTCTTTGTCTCTTCATAGGACCTCTTACAAGCCAATAGAGGGAGCTTTATTTTTGTTCCTAAATTTCTTTTTATTTCTTTGAGAAAGGTCATTTTGTAGTAGGTTTGAGAGCTTGTTCATCAGGGGGAGGTACCTAGTACCTTACTCTAGTGTTATATTCCCACGTGATCTCGTGTACCTCTGTACATGAGCCTGTGTGGTCCAACACGATCCCTCACATTCCGACACGTTGCTAGCTCCGAGCTCAAAAGCTCATTTCAAACCACCCAACTCAAACACAGTTTCCAGGGCCCAGCAAAAGGGGCAAAGAAATGGGCACCATGGACCAGAAACAATCGGCCGTGTATGTACGGGCCTATAATTTAGGCCTGGATATCGCCAATGGAAGACATCCCCTCTCCAAGACCATTGCGCCGCTCCTATGGATCTTCGACTTGGTGCTCTGCGCTCTGGTTATTTGGAAAGTGCCTTGTAAGTTATTCCCGATGGCGACGGAAGCCCCATAGCTCTTTGTTCCCGAATATACGGCGCTTTGAAGCGCGATTGCATTTGAAATGGGCAATCCGTCTAACCCGGGACCTGAAAACCACCAATAGATACCGAGATCGACTGGGTAGCCTACATGGAGCAGGTCAAGCAGTTCCTCGACGGCGAGCGCAATTACGTCCGAATTGAAGGCGGTACCGGTCCGCTTGTCTACCCAGCAGCGCATGTATACACATACACGGCGTTGTACCACATCACCGACGAAGGCAAGAACATTTTCCTGGCGCAGCAGATCTTCGCGGGACTCTACCTGGCGACCCTCGCGCTTGTGATGGCGTGTTATAGGAAGGCGAATGTGAGTTCATTTCCCCGGACACGAAACGGGTGTGCCGTTGGCCTTTAATATGGAACCTTTACTGATAGAGAGTTGGGGGAAATACTTAGGCACCTCCCTATCTCCTGCCTCTCCTGGTCCTATCCAAGAGGTTGCACAGCGTCTTTATGCTCAGATGCTTCAACGACTGCTTCGCCGCCTTCTTCCTCTGGCTAGCGATCTTCTTCTTCCAGAGACGCTTGTGGACATTCGGCAGTGTTGCCTACAGCTGGGGCCTCGGCGTCAAGATGTCCCTGTTGCTCGCGCTCCCTGCTGTCGCCGTCATCTTGTTCCTCGGGAGGGGTTTCTACGGCAGTCTACGACTAGCAATGCTCATGCTCGAGACCCAGATAGCCATCGCCATCCCGTTCCTGCTCCACGATTCGAGGGCGTACTTGGGCAGGGCGTTTGAGCTTACACGGCAATTCAAGTACGAATGGACGGTCAACATGCGCATGTTACCCGAGGAAACGTTCCTCAGCAAAGAGCTAGCCGTCACTCTGCTCCTCTTCCACGCCGCGGACTTGTTCTCGTTCATCAGCGGGCCATGGCTCGCGCCGGCGCAGAAATCGCTCTGGGAAATGATCCCGTCACTCTTGCGTGGACAACTACCATTTACGGAACAGGAGGAAGGCAGGGTATCTCTCAGGGTATCGCCTCGATTTATCCTCACTACAGTGCTCACGGCGATGAACATGGGCATGCTCTTCGCCAGGTCCCTCCACTACCAGTTTTATGCGTACCTTGCTTGGTCGACGCCTTTCCTCCTCTGGAACGCCGGGCTTCACCCCGTCGTCGTGTATGCCGTCTGGGCCGCGCAGGAGTGGGCGTGGAACGTCTTCCCGAGCACGCCTGTCAGTTCTGGGGTTGTCGTGTTCGCGATGCTGGTTGCCGATAGAGTCACTTGGATGTTGGGTAATCGCACGGAAGAGAAGGCAAGAATCGCTGGCGGGGGTGGGTCGAAGAAGCCGAAGCAAGGATAATAAAATCGGGCTGCATTTTTCCCCCTTAATCGTAATCCATCCTCAGTCTCACGCGTCGTCTTCTGAATCGCTAGGGGGCATCTTGCCAACGTTCGACTCGTCTTCGTCGGACTCTGGGTCTCGAAACTTGGGAAACTCTGCCGGCCTACATTCAGAAGGAACACAACCGTGTAAGCTAACGCACGACGGACGAAGCACCATCAAAGCACAACACTCACCAGTACGGCATCTTCCTCCACTGCTTCTCATCCACGACGATGTTGATTATCTTGGCGACGGCTTCGCCCTCGACCTCCTTGGGCGGATACCGCTCGAGCAGAACGTAGTTATTGCGCTGGACCCATATCGTCTGGCGGAAGCGTTCGTCAAGATCGACTACTACGATGGACTTGTTGGGCAGTAGGCAGTTGTACTGGCCGCGGGGTAAGGCTCTATCGACGCGGGCGATTATCTGGTTCGCCTCGAGAGTGTCGGGTATGGCGAGAGCGGTTTGGGCTCGTAAGATTTGGCCTTTTGCGCGAGGCGGCATGGTGGGCGATTTTTTTATTCGGACGCTGGGGGATGGAATGGCTGGGTGTGTTGGGAGATTGGTAGCAGTCGGAGGAAAGCGGTTTTCGGTCTGGGCTGAAAAATTCGGATCCGAAAGTCCGGCCATGTAATTTTGTTAGTGGCGGGGGAGAGCCCTTGTGTGCTATTATCCTTTGCTGAATTGATCCCGGACTTGCTGTCCTGCACACTCTAATCTAGCAACTGGTTGGTAGAGGAGCTGCTTCCGCGTGCGCCCTAACTAAGATCAATTGATCATACACCAGCCATTGCAGACCTTAAAAAAGTTAAAAACGGCCAAAAACGCAGATGGGAGACATCATCGATCGATAGGATCAGTGACAGAGTGAAGCAGCCGGTGAAATAAGCTGAGTATTGAAGCTTGGGGCTATCAAATGATCCATTCTTGATGGCGCTGACTTTTTGGCTTTTCTGCGCCTGCTTCAGACACATCTCCCGCCCTCCTTTTCCTTGTCGTTAGTTGCTTGCGTTTCCAGTGGCAAATACATATTGAAATAAGAAAAGCAATAAGATGAATATTCTCGGAGATGATAGAAGATTCCACGAGGGTTTGTCAACCATCAAAAGAAGTTTGCTTTGCCTCCCGCATCAATTGGTGTAGTGACGGCCAGGACTAGACATGAAGATTTGTCAACTGTGTGGTGACGACGATGACGAACGGCGACTGGATCCTTGGTATCGGCGTTCGAAGTCGGCGTCTTGGCTGGTCTCGCCCAGGACAAGGCAGCAGGGCGAATCTTGCAGGGCTCTTGCAGGGCTCTTGCAGGCCGTCTTCGACGCTTCTTTCCAAGTCTAAAGCTCCTCGGGATTGCGCCATCCAGGTTTCTCACAGCTGATTGGATGGACTGCTGCAATCCCTTCCATAGCTACGAAGTACAAAGTCGGCGTTCGAGGTTCAGCGTGGCGGGGTATGAAGAAGTACTGTTGCCCCGCACTTAACGGGAAGAGTAGATACGGCGGCAAGGTACGAATACCTTGTGTTGTTGTACTGGGTACTGGACACTGAGTACTGGGAGTGACCGCCATAGAGTACCCCGAGTACCCCACGGGAGCAAGAAAAACATTTGATAATTGTGAATTAGTAAACATCCAGCTCCGTTACCAGCTCTGAGCAACTTTGCCCTGTTATTTTGCTCATCCACTCAAAGTGTCAAACTGCAAACTGCGCCTGCCTATAGCATTCAATGTTCCGTAACCCATAACTTGTAACTCCAGTCTTTCCCCCCCAATTCAGACGAGCACGCACTACATACGCCATTGCTTGCCGCTGCTTCTCAATCACTCGCACCTTCCATCTTGTATGTACACGAGTGTACAGTAGCCGCACTACTTAAAAGCGCGTCTTTCTCCCTGATCCCAAGCGACCTCTTCCTTCTCTTTCCCCATGTCACAAAATCTTTTCCTGAGATCCGCAAAGCGCATCGTTTCAAGCTCAAATCCAGCTGCTTCTACATTTCGATTCTCTACCCCAATCACCAGATCTTTTCATTTTACATCGCCCAGAATGGTTGTCAAACAGATTCACAAGTACGTATTTCATTGTGCCCCTCCTTTTTCGCTGCGCCTGCATCGACCCAAGCTGTCCAGCCTTTGATACGATCCTTCCATGTCTGTCCTTGTATCACCTCATCGAGCTCTGCTTCCCCTGCAAGTCAGAAAGAGCAAACCATCCCTCGCTTTCTACATCCCTTCTATTCCTTATTCCCTAACATTACGTGTTTGTTTTTGAAATATTTGGATGCTGACTATTCCACAGCAAGCAGGAGTGGGACGCCCTCGTTGCTGAGGGAAAGCCCGTCCTCGTCGACTTCTTCGCCGTGTGGTGCGGACCTTGCAGGGTGATCTCCCCCGTCTTTGAGAGGTAGGTCCTAGCTCTTTCTCCCCCATCGTCTTGGCGCCCGCCCCGTGTGGTGGTTTGGGCTACCCGTCTTCTGTCTTCCGGAGTCCCCATATTCTATACCCCAAATACCCCTGCTTTTGAGACTCTAGTTCTAACATGCGAACCAGGTTTTCTGATGACGCGACCTTCGCGGGACTCAACTTCGCCAAGATCGACGTCGACGAGGCCTCCGACCTCGCTCAAGAGTTCGGCATCACTGCCATGCCAACCTTCATCCTCGTCAAGAACGGCGTCAAGGAGGGCGAAGTCCGCGGGGCTAACCCTCCCGCCCTTCAGGCCCTCGTCCAGAAGGGCGCCGCCTAAGCGAGTTGCGATCCGCCGGTATCGGACTGTTGGGGATGCGAATGATTAAGAAGGGAAACTTTGTAGTTCTTGTTACAGGGTTATATTTTGTTCAGGACGGGATGGCCTAGGATTCTACATGTGAAGTACACCTCCGATGCAAGGGAGCTTGCGAGATTCATAATGGGACGGTGGGATGGGGTGGAGGATAATCAAGACTGCCTTGCATGTAAACATCATGGATCGTCGATTATGATGGCAGTCACCCCATTGATAATACCCCGGGGAGCAATGGCACAAAAAAAAAAGATAATTGAATTTGGCAATTATGTTCTCCAGAAAGGCTTCGTGATTCTATAGAAATGATCTTGTCCAACTCAGGCAGGTCGGTATTCGGGTTCATCGTTATCTGCAATCGAGCAGCGATCCGTCAAATCTTTTACTACTTTAGTTCGATTTCCCCTCGATCCAGACCCCGCCCCCCGCGTTGAACAACCCCTCCCAGGAATTCCATGGCCTGATTGCTACCGTTGAGATTGAAGCCGTTGAATGCCGAGCAGGACGGTTGTGCCTACATATACAGCTGAGAGTCGCAGCTTTACCATTGTAAACACAACTCGTTGGAGCCGGCACGTAATTTATAGAAAGTAGGTAGGGGTCGTCCTTAAAACTTCAAATCGAGCGTCGAGTGTTGAGCGAGCTTAGGAGCCTTATTAGCGGTCTTCCAACGGACAACGATAAGAGTTAACCGCGCCCATCTAGTGTGAGTCGCCTGCGCGTGAATTGTTAATTGGAGCGTTAAGGGACATCAATATGGTCCAGTCCTTCCGCTCAGTTCTTCGTCCAGTAGCTGATTCTTTTGAAAACAAGACGATCGATACCACTCATCTACCAAATCAACCCTGTCCGGAAACTCAGGCTTCCCGCGCAAACATGTCGGAACCTCTTGTAGTTCTTGGCTCAGCTCCGTCTCAGTCGAAGAAGAGCCCCATCGTGGTTCTCGGGCAAGTTTCTTCCTTTCCGCCCCCTTCTCCTTTTTCCCACAGTTGCGTTTTACACGCAGGAGAAGAATAGTCGGGCTGACACTTTTAAAAACTGGTATTAGTGCCGGAGTGGTAGGTCTTACGAGCGCGCTCCTGCTATCCAAGGACCCTGAGAATGCCGTGACCGTGATTGCCAAGTTCATGCCCGGTGATTACGACGTTGAGTACACATCTCCATGGGCCGGTGCCAATGTTCTCCCGTAGGTCGTTCCTCAGGGAGGGTTTTGTAGGACGGGCCTGGAAGTTTGGTCGTGAGAAAAGTAGACATGAGCTAACTTTTGCGCGATATAAAACATGAAGAATGGCCATCGAGAAGGATAGTCGATGGGAACGGAGGACTTGGGAGCATCTCAGGAAGTTGACGGAGAGCGAGCCGGCGGCAGGCATTCACTTCCAGAGTCAGCTTTACCTACCCATTCAAACTCTTGCGTTCAACAACAGGTTCTAACTTGCCCTACCCCCCCAAAAAAGATGCTCGCATCTACCGCCGCGACAAGGACGTCCCGGACCAGCCGGGCTCCCACTTCTACGATGCCCTCTTCGCGAAAGAGCCGTGGTACAAGACCATGTTCGACCAGTACCGTGAACTCTCCCCCGAAGAAGTCCTCGCCGCCCACGACTCGGGCTGCGAGTTCAAGTCGCTCTGCATCAACACGCAACTCTTTCTCCCCTGGCTCGTGAGCCAATGTCTCAAGAACGGCGTCGTGTTCAAGCGCGCCATCGTCGAGCACGTCGCTGATGCTGCCAAGTTCGCCGGCGACGGCCATGGCGAGCAGGTAGTCGTCGTCAACGCGACCGGTCTAGGAGCGCTGAAGTTGGGTGGCGTGGAGGATAAGGCGATGGTTCCTGCGCGGGGTCAGATCGTGCTTGTGAGGAACGAGTCTCCGTTCATGGTGGCAACTTCGGGGACGGAGGACGGGGAGGCAGAGGCGTGCTATATCATGACGAGGGCGGCCGGTGGCGGTACCATTCTGGGAGGCACGTATGATAAGGGGAACTGGAACCCGAATCCGGAGCCGAACATTGCGATGCGGATCATGAAGAGGGCGCTGGAGGTGTGTCCTGAGCTTACCGGCGGAAAGGGCATCGAGGGGCTTGATATCATTCGTCATGGCGTTGGCTTGAGGCCGCTCAGGGTGGGCGGCGTGAGGATTGAGAAGGAAATGGTGTCTTTGAAGGAGGGTGGGGGAGAGGTTGCTGTGGTGCACAACTACGGGCATGCTGGATGGGGATATCAAGGAAGTTTCGGGTGTGCTGAGAGAGTGGTCGAGTTGGTGAACGAGATTAGAGGCAAGAATACCGCGGCTGCATGAAGTTGAGCGAGAGAGAAGCAAATGGTGTATTCGCCATACATATATAGAAATATATATACACCTCTATCTAAGACGTAGCCAAAGATCTATCAAGCATTCACGCATCTTAATGTCCAGTGATAACCAAAAATCGAAATCTATCTTAAAACCACTCGGCTCAAAACACCTCTAGTCGTCAGCTAGTGCTCCAGCCTCCCCTTGGCTTCCGCACTGCAGGACGTCTCTCCCGCAACGATGTTCTTGACGGTTGCGAGGATGCTGGAGAAGTCCTTGAAGGTCACAAAGGGAACATCTTGCCTCTCGCAGTAGGTCACAAGATCTACAACGACACCAAACGGTTAGACGGGGAAGGAAACTCGTGGAGATTATATATGAAGATGTCCTTACCTTTGCCCGCCTTTGCGAAGAGTAGATCTGTCTCCTTGGCGGCGGAAAGATCCGAGATGCCGTCGCCGGCATAGAACATGGTCGGTCGCTGGCCCTCGGGCAGCGACGAGTACTTTCTAATCTCGACGGACTTGTCGTGGCCATGCGGACTAACCCGATCGTCAGAACCTCTTTCTCTTCTTGCGACCAAGAAAGAAGGACACTTACGAGTCATCGAGAAAGGTAATTCTCCAGCCGCCCTCCTCATTTATCCCCTTCCCCTCCCTCGCCGCCACATCGTTGCTCACAATCTGTAACCACTCCACTTCGTCATCGCCCAAAAACTTCTTCAAGAGCGCCTTGATGATTGGCTTCATCCCGCCGCTCAGCACAACGATTGGCACGTCATTCCCACGGCACCACGTAAAGAACTCTTGGAAATACGGATCGAGTTCTACATGGTCGAGCAGGTGTTCGGTGCACTGGTCGTAGGGAGCCGTGATGGAATCCAGCATCTCGGCAAAGGCATCGCGGAAGGAGACGTGGCCGTTGAGGACCTTCTCGCCCAGGGCCAGGCGGCGATCGGCTCCGAAACCGAGGGTGTCTGTCATATAGTCATTGCTGTCTCTCTGGGTGATGGTACCGTCGAAATCGGTGAAGAAGATGAACTTGGGGACTGCTGAAGGGATGGTCATTGTGGGTGGTTTTAAGTCAATTAAGGCGGAATGGGCAGGAGGGCGAGGTTAGGTGTAAAAGTATTGTGATCCCACGATCCAAGGTTGAGCTTACACCGGGTGTTGCAGTTCTGGGAGTGAGCGAGTGACTCAAAGGAGGCGATTCACGATACGGGCGCATCTAGATGCACTAATAATTACGTTACAATTAATTCAAAAATTTCTTGGGTTTGACGCCATATTATTAACGGCTGGAAAGCCGTTGGGCTTGGAAACATTTAGCTTGGGAATTGATGCATCCTCCTCCAATCTCTCTGGCCGTGTTCGGCGCGATTATCTGGAAAATCGAAGCGTCGGAGAGGAGAAAGAAGATTCTTCATGAGTTCAATTGAGCAATCGATCAATCGATCAATAAATTCATCAAATCCGATCAATGTTCTGTGAACGTTCTATGATCTTCGATCTTCAGGGGATTGTGTGGGCCACCGTCCAGGGCTGGTTGGAGGCACAACACCCTGTGAGGGGTCCAGAGGCGGGAGTCGTGGACGTCATTGCAGGGGCCAAGACCCCCTAGCGACATCGGAATTATAGCGCCCCCGTGCCGTGACTCCCGCTGCCAGCAATTGGCACCAACGAACCAGAGCTGCGGTCCAAGGCGGTGAGGACTGCGACTTTTTTTTTGCTCAGGTGCCGAAACGGCAGAATTCGGGCTGACGGGGGAAAATCGGTTGAGAATCAAGAGATCAATTGATCCTCCTCAACCTTCCATTTTTCTTAGCGCCGCGGATGCCACAGATGCCAGCTCAATTCCTCGCCCATATCGCTAACTCTCTACCGCTGGTCTAGTCGTTAGACTAGCCATTGTACCCTTTGCTCTGGAAAAGATGGCATCCTCGATATTCCGTCCGCTGAGGACAGCGACCGAGGCCATCCGGTTCCCCGCGAGGACGGTTGCGGGTCCCTCGCAATTGAGGATGCCGAGGAGTGCTTTGAGGAGACCTGGCCTCGGGCTCCCGTCCACGGCAGCCAGGTATCCTGCTCTATTTGCTACGAAAGGATATTCCACTACGCCCCCCGACCGACCATCATCGCAGCTCTATTCCTCATTACCCGAGCCTCCGCTCGAGCAGTCACCATTGCCCTCGCCCTCGTCCTCGCCCTTGCCCTTGCCCTCGCCGCCCTCCGAACCATCTCCACTCCCAGAATCCCCTCAATCTTCAGACTCCTCTTCCTCCACAGCCTCCGCGACCTCCGCAGCATCCGAGTCCGAACCCACCACATCCTCGCAAGACCCTCCCCCTTCCGACTCCTCTCCCCACGGCGAACTTCCCTCAGCTGCCGACAGTCGGCGGTCCAAGCTCTTCGCCCGCTTCTCTAACTTCATGGACAACCTCCAAGATCGCTACGTCGACGGGCTCCAAGCTTTCAACTCGCTGACGGGGTACTCGTCCATCGAGGCGATCACGGCCAACAACGTGCGGCTAGAAAAGTCCCTCGTCGAGGCGCGAACGCAGATGCGCGAGGCTCGGGAGAGGTACCAGGACATGTCGGCGAGCCAGGTGCAGACCCAGAGAGACATGGCGACGCTGCTGGCGCGCAAGGCGTCGTGGATGCAGTCGGACAAGAACCAGTTCGCCGAGCTGCTGGACCTCGACTATAAGCTGGAGAAGGAAGTAGGGGACGCGGCCAAGGCGGTCGCCGAGGCCGAGGGTAAAGAGCAGAGCTTGCTGTCGGAGTGGGTGGCGGGCATGTCGAAGCAGTACTACGAGCACCAGGTGTACAGCGACAGGATACGCAGGGCGAGTACCTGGGGCACGTGGGGTTTGATGGGCGTCAACGTGCTGCTGTTCTTAATGCTGCAGTTTGTGGCCGAGCCGTGGAAGAGGGGCAGGCTGCTCAATAGCATGGAGGAGAGGGAGGCCAAGCTTTTGGATAGGGTGGATGGGCGCATAGACGAGGGCTTCGGTCAGATGAGGAGTGAGCTGCGCGATACGCTCGAGGTTTTGAATCCTAAGGCAGCTGAGGGCCAAGAGATGGCGACATCGAACGCCGAGGAGCAGACTACTCTGCTGCCGCCACCCGTACCCATGCCGACGTGGAATGATATTATGAAGGATCCGCGACTTCTGAAGAGGCCACTGACCGAGGCCTATGAGGCGGTGAGAGCTGAGTTGGAAGTCAAGGATATGATTGCTATTGGGTTGCAGAGTGCCATAATCGTCCTGCTTCTAAGGAACTAAAATTCCTAATTTGTGAGGAGTGGCGAGGCACGACGAAGGACAAAAAAAGATGAAAATAGTTTACACACCAGGGCAGATGGCGATTGACGCCAAGTATCGACCCTGATCTGTACAAATGTATGTATATATTAATCATATAGAGTGAAATGAAGAAATCTCACGACGCAGCGGATAGAGTATGGCATCACGGGCTGCGATGGGCTTTCTCTCAGAGGAGGACGGTGTCAGGTTTCCTTGGTGTTGCCAAAGATAGCTCATCCCAGGATGCAAACCACGCATCATAACACATCTCCAAATATCAGCCATCAAACTCCAGTTCCTTCTCTTGTTCTTTCCCTTTTTGCGATATACTTCTTGTGGTCAAGGTTAAGGGATGGAACATGAGCATCCGCACTGCCAAGGAGCACGAATGCTGCTGGGTTCGTACGGTCCACGAACGTCTGACCACCCGCACTTCCTTCTTCGCCTCTGTTCTAAAAGAGCGTCATCTAAATGCAGTCACGGGACTGTGGCACTGATACTTCGTAAACATTGACGGCAAAGAGCGATTCTCCGGAACAGCATCAAGTTTAGAGAAAGCACACGGGGCGGTATTTGCCACCACGGACTAACCAGGTCTCTATGGGCTCTTGCGTCTTCGTTCCCAGTCACCTGGTACAGAGCCTCTACTTTTCGACCCTATGGATCATTATATGGAAAGCGAGGGACGAAGATTATTATCGGCACCGGCAGACCGCCACGTCGCCGCCGGGTCATGTTCCGTGCTCTCAGAATCTCTCGGGCCAAGCCACCCCAAGCCCAATCTTTCGTTGCAGAACGGCCTCCCCCGCCAAACCCTAGTCTATTTGTCGGAAAGGCTCCCGGTCGGCCCTCGGTTTTTGTAGGGTGAACGCGTGTCTACGAAGTCTGAGATGATCACCCCTCACCCTCATACCAGGTTCATCCTTCCAATGGGTAAAGTCATGAGAGGGTTACAATACCGCAGGAGGGCCGACAAGGTGGAGATCCGAACGAAAGCCCACACGCAACACAATCTGCTATAGAGCCCGGGCTCAACGGGCTAGGGACTCTGGATCCAGGGCATTGTATATTCCTTGGGTCCCAAGTTACTTCATATGAACAAATCATGTCGCGGAGAGGGGCAAAATTGGAGAAGGATAATAAAGAGAGAAAGAGGGTTTAGGATAAAAATAGCCCACAGCCGAGAAGAGGTGTCCCGTTTCCGTTTCCGTTTCCCGTGCTTTTAACCTTTTGCTCATCTGGTCGAGGCATGTTCTCAGTCGTCAGTGCGCCTGATTTACTTTACTAGATAGTGCCGAGGAGGAAATGCCATTTCCAAGATCTTGGATGACTCGTGAAGGAGGAGAACCAAGAGATGGGCTAAGGGCGACGGGACGGATTGACTGAAGCTTAGCTGTAAGGTTCGGCATCAAGTGATGTTGTCCGTCCGTTGTGCCAGTTTGATGTTCTCCCTCATATTAAGGCTCGCCATTGAGACATTGAGACACTGAGATATTAAGACACCGATCTTTCTTGGCGGGTGTGTGCGGCCCTTTTTCCCTGTTGACATTCGTGTAAGTGCAGTGATATCAGGTCCGCAGAGTATCAAGTTTCCCATTTCCAGGAAACGAAAGAGAGACATATCTCTTTTTCGCATTTCCCTTCCTCCTCCTCCTCCTCCTCTCTCTCTCTCTCCTCAAGTCCTCTCTGTCTTCATGCCCTCACAGGTCTAGTTAATCCAGTCTCTCCCGTTTTCCGCCTCGGCGGCATATGCCCAGAAGCCCGGAATATCGCGTCAGGCTAAGGTGTGGCTCTTAATTTGTTTTTGATATATTGTCCCATCTCCTCTTTACCACTAATAGCATCAATTGGATCTTGATCATCACTGACATTCATTGGATCAATCATTTATCGTATGCACTCTCACTCACTCTCTCTCTCTCACCCTGCCCATTTTTCTTGTCATTTTTTCGCCTCCGCATTCCATCGACCCAGAAACAGAGAAGAGAAATGGAACACTAAAAGGAAGAAAAAAAAATAACTGCTAAATTGAATAAAATGAAGTCACAGAAGTAGACCCGACATTGTCATGGCCCCTTGGTTGGAGCTACCCAAGACGCTTCTTTTTTTGGAGCAACTGATGCTTTACTCTGGGCCATTTATATTTGATTCTGTTTTCATTTTCTACGAGAAGCAGACGATGCGCCAAGGGCTTGGAAACCATCTACTAAGGAGCCAAAGGAAAAAGAGAGTGAGAAAGAAAATTAAGATATTGAGGGAACCGTATTGAAAGAGGAACCCGGTCGGCTGCCTTCGTCGTGGCAACCAGCGGCCTACTTTACGCATGGAGATTTAGACAATCCAACACACGATGGTTGGCCGAGTCGGTCTATATATCATAGATTGCTGTCCCCCTCCCGACTCTTTGTCGTTGATAGCTCATGTTCTCTCGCTCGGGAAGCTTTGTGTCTATAATTGACTTTTTCTATATTCCTGCTATTATTCAACCCATCTCAACGCCAACTCGAGAAACTGAATCGAATTAGGCTGAGCTGCCTGCCTTGAAGCCATTCGCATTTACACCCAACTCCGTCCACTTACATCCATCCATACCCTTCATTCTCTTTTGCTCCCTTCCTCATTCTCACCCACTCTCTTCTCCCTCCAAAATGACCCTCCTCCGAACCGCCCTCCTCTCCCTCTGCGCAGCAGCCGCAACCTCCGCTTTCTCCATCTCCTCCATCGCCCACTCCGGCCCGGCCTGCCCGCAAGGCACCACCGTCACCTGGAACGAGAACCCCGACAACCCCGTCTTCTACCTCGAGGACTTCTCCGCCTCCGTCGGCTCCGGCCAGACCACCAGCTGCGAGCTCCACCTCACCATAGAGGACGGCACCCCGAACCGGTCTCTCGTCCTCAACCAGGTCTCCGTCTGGGGACGTCTCAGCCTCGTTGCTGACGGCGCTGCGACGTTTTATACCTCTGGTTATTGGTCCGCGACTGCTGCGACGCAGGTAAGGGTTTCTAGATGGACGAATATAGCGGGGGCGACTCGTTTTCTGCCCTCCTTCATGTGTCCCCGTCATAGACTAACATCAGAAAAAAACTCCAACAGGTCACGAAGAAAGTCGAATCCTCCACCCGCTCCTCCTTCAACGACAACGTAGCCATCGACACAAACCTCGGTCTCGCCTCCCCTTGCGTCGGCAGCAGCGGCTCGGTCGGTATCCTCAACCTGAGCTTCCGCGTCGTCTCCGAGGAGGGCAAGGTCAGCTTCGGCCCCGAACGGGTCGGCAGCAGGTCGTACGCCGTGTCGGAGCACCTTGATTTTAGCTGGGCGAGGTGCTAAGTTAAGATCGGGGCCAGGCGAAGTAGAGGGAGAGAAAGAGTGGGAAAAAGGGGGGGGTGGCATTTTAACAGAATTGAAATTGAGCAGGCTATAACATTGAAGTGATGCTTCTTCTTTTTGGTCATTTTCTTTTGCACCTAGTTTCATTTTCTTCTTCGCTTCTTCATACCTCAAATACATGTAGTATCTTTTTTTACTCGTTTTGCCTTTGTTGTCCTTCCCAGGAAGACTCGCTTTCCCTTTCATGGTTTCTCCTTTCTCATACGTTCTCCATCCCCCAAGTCTGCCGCAAGAATGCAGATAAGCCTCCATCGGCTTCATCTAGCCAAAGTATCACACGTTGGAAACGGAGCATATAAGTGCTATCAAGCCGATTATCAATGATGTACATTAATATCAAGTACCTGCAACGAGGCTCTTTCTATCCCGACCCCATAACCATAACGCCTAATACGAAATATTCCATGAGACGGCGTTGGGAGGTGTGCCTAGAAATTGAGATTGAGCGCTTTTCGAGAAAAAGGCCACAATCGTCATGCTCCACCGTGATAACGTCCCGTCCAAGATAACCCATGAAACCAAGCCATCGTGACGTAGCCAGACTCTGCTACTCCATTCCCTCTATTGATATCCCTTCCCCCAGATCGAACTAATAATATTTCCGCCCAAAAACATGAGATGGCCGCTCCAGAGGACCCATTCCTAGTCGAAATTATTCAATACTCAGCCAACGCAGTGATATGAAGCCTGCCAACGACACTCGGCATCTACAATATGAAAGGGGAAAAGCAAGAAAGGGGAAGAAAAAGGAGATAACTATCAAGCAGTCCGGTCTGTGACCATCCAGAATGGGGGTATAATGATATGCCGGTCGGCATTGTCGGGGCAAGATCTGTGGTATAATGAAATCCAGTAATGGGCTTTTGATGAGGAGCTGAGTATGGCTGGTGTGATGGCAAGGTACAACATGGCCCAGGAGCTGAGGAGAGTGTAGCAGAGATTCGTAGTTGTGGTTGGTAGCGGATCTCCGGATGGCAACGATCAAGAAAGTCGGATTTTTTTTCTCTTCTTTCTTTTCTGTTTCTCTTTTTTTATCTTCTTTTTTCCTCATATTTTCAACGTAAAAAAAGGAAAAGCTGGTCAAGGAATGAATATGGTCGGTTTCGGGACAAATAAGGAAATTTCGTAAAAGGAGCGTGTGTTCTTGATCGTTGCATCTTTCGAGTCATCCATACTATACTTTCCACCTACTCTTCTCCACCATTTTGGGTTCCATCTTACAAGAAGACAGGCCCGCTGCTCCGTCGCCGACTGTCGGCGGATTCTCGTGGCGAGATCTCGAGAATCTTGGCGCTGCCAGCACTGATGCGTTGCGCATTGTCCTTTCCGAGGTTGATACTAGTCGCCCTCTGGAGCCCACTGATATTCTCGGTGTTGACAACGTCGTCCATCTCACTGTCGTTCTCCGAGTCGGCCGAATTCAGCACGCCATCGAAACTCTTCAAATCCTCTTCCATGACGTACTCCGACGCGTGAACCACAGTCGGTTGCTGCCGTGCTTGGACCGATCCCCACTTCATGTCCCCTTCCATGGATACGGCAGGTTCGTCCTCGTCGCTGCTGGGAAGAGCTTCGCCAGTAGAATTGCGGTGCACAGGGCTAGAGGTTGTCCTCATCAGCCGTGAGGGAGTCAGGCGAGAGAAGTATTCATCTTCGGCGATGCCGTGCTCTTCCTCCACGCTGTTATTGGTGGTGGTTGCTTGGGAATCTGCACGCTCACGGCGCGCCATCTGCCTTGACCCAGATCTAGCACCACCCAGACGGCCCGAGAGCCACGATGCCTCGGAATCGACAGAGGCGAGAGAAATCGCATGCGGCTCTGGCGAGGCGTTGTACCTCTCTTGGCGCCAACTGTGACTATATCTAGTTGGGGTGGGAATATCAATGGGCGTCGGACGCGACGGCTCGTGCGCCGTCTTAGCCTCCTCTTTAGCATGCTCTTGATGGGTGGCTGCTTTGGGGGAAGCCAATTGTGGCGGGGGCGGGGGCGACTGAGGTAACTCCGGCAAGTCTTCCCTAAACCGCGACCTTGTCCGCTTCGGCGCTCCTGAGTTAGGTTTCATCATTGGTATAGGTGGGGGAGGAGGATAGGGAGGCGTGTTGGTGCCGGGTGCTGTGGTCGTTGAGGGCGCAGTGGTTATACCGGTCGCTGCTGGTGCGGCGCTGGGGGTGACAGAAGAAGGAGCGTGGCTCTGAATGGCGGCCTGCATTTCTTCTCGTGATGCGTTGGAGAATGATGATGGGCCTGAGCTTCGCCGACTAGTTTTACTCGCCCACTTGAATAGTGAGGTAAAAGATAGCCGGACTTTCTGTTGAAGACCACCAGAATGCCGTGAAGGATTCGCTTCGTCAATAGTTGCGGGAGGGGGTGATATTGTCGACCTCGACTGGGCGAGATCAAACGATGGTTTCGAGGTTGATTTCTTGTTCTTCGAGAGCCTCCCGACAGTGGGACTGGTGCGGGATGCTGGGGACGGTGGCAAGTGAGTTTCTACCCCTGGTCTCTTCTTCTTCTTCTTCTGGGGAGTCATCGCATCCAGAGGTATGCTGTTCATCCGATGAAAATCATCGACCGGAGACCTGGCCGAACTCTTTGGTGTCGCTGCATCAACTTCGTGCCCCTCTGCATGCTCTGGAGATGCACTGGTTATTCGGCGTTTCGAGGAGGTTACGACGGCGGAGGCAGGGTCGACGCCGAGTCCTGCAAGTTCCCTCCCCAGCACTCCCCGCTCCAGGTTTTGCGGAGGTGGCGACCCGTCCTTGGCGGCAGATAGCTGCGCGGCCTTCTGCTTTGCTGCCACCCGCGCCAATCTCTTCTCCGCGCCAGCTTGTTCTTTAAGCTTCCTTCGCTCGCGCCGCCGTTTGTCTCTTTCCATGAGTTCGCGAATATCGCTAGCATCGAGACCGTCCGCAAGGTCATCCACTCGTTTGCGTGCTCGCAGCATCTCCTCCGGTATTGCCGGACGCTCTGAAAGCTTCCTTCGCTGAGAGGTCGTCCGCGAAGGGCCGTAGCTAGTCGAGGGTTGCCAGCGAGGGTTGGCTGCGTATCGTAGGATTGGTCGAGGGGCCAGCGCCTCCAATGCCCTAAGCTGGAAACCACCCCGTTCCGAGTCGGTGGACATACCGGACCGGATCGATGGCACAATCGGGAGAGAGTCTTCTGTAGAAGGGTCTTCCCAGTATCTGCCAAGCCCCAAGGGTGTCGTTTTGGCTCTCTTGCTACTTAACCGCGGGGGAGGGGTAAGTGTGCCGCCCTCTCTTAGACGACGGAGAGACATGGAACTGGCCATGGCCCTTATCTCCGCCTCCCGGTCATGGTCTTCTCTCCTCCGTTTGCTACTCTTCTTCCGAATGAGACGTTGAGAACCCCGATTTTTGTGCAGGGTGGGTACTTGATCCCACCCATAGCCATCACCTATCCTTTCGAATGACCGCTCACTCGGGCGCATTGAAGGGTCCAACCAAGGTTGATCTTCAATCCTCGCCCGACCGTGACTACTCGGATACACGGTAATCATGTCTTGGCGGCCGGGCGAAAAGCTGTTGCTTCTGGACCGGTGCGTTCTCGGAGGCGGTTCAGTCCGCCTCTTCTTCAAAGTGCCTTTCCGGGGTGAGGACATGTCATTCGTGGTCCGACTTCTTTGGTGTGTTGATCGATCAGTTTGAGCCATGCCCTCCAGGTCATAAAGCGCCGTGCCGCTCCGAGAACGCTTCCGCCCCGTCCTGCGCCGAAACGGCCACATCAGGGCCATGGCTTCGCGGTAAGGGGGGTCGGTTGTGACGATTTCAATGTATTAGTTCCAAGTACAACGGCCAGCGCTACTGTCATGTTCTTGCGAGAGGGTGTACGAGGCCATTGTTGTCGCTGAGAGCAGGAACTAGTTCTGGGCGGGCATGTAAGAAGGGCCGCACCGAGGAAAATGCCCAGTGTACATTAGAACCAATAGCGTGAGTCGCAAAATATCAAGTGTTCGCGCTGCGTTTGTCGTCGTCGTAAAATACGTCCTAGTAAGTGAAAATCGAAGGTGAATTACAGCTCGACAATGCAAAAATTCAAATTGAAGCGAGCGCAAGGCATGTACAGAACACGAGGGAAACGAAGGGTAGCCAGAACCGATGGAGTCGGGCAAGGCATGTTCAATCGGGAGAAGTAGCAAATATAAGTACTGCAAGTAGTAACGAGAGACGAGGAAGGCTTGAGCGAGACAGGTTTATGCAGGAGGGGGCCGATGTGTGGGATCGAGGGCGATGACTGGGCAAGAACCGGGGTGTGAGGCAGTGGAAAAGGCAGTGGGCGGGGAGGGGAGTGGGTGTAGGAGAGCAAGGAGAGATGGTGGAGAGACGCTACTTCGTACATGAGTACCTGACCTTGACCTAAAGTACTTGCATTTGACGGATCAGATGCTAGGAGCATACGAGAGGACCAGGGTACTTTGCGGGAGTACGAAGCACGGTACGACTACGAGGAGTAGTAGAGGAAGGAGGGACACAACCGAATACGTACCACCCAAGAGTTGGTGGGGCTCATGGCCCTGCAGGTTGCAGGTTCAACCCAGTTGGCCAACGTCTTCTCGTCTCACTTTGCTGCTGGCTCTGTGCTGTATTACTCTGCTTTGTTCCACTTGGTGCTTTTTCGTTTTACTATTTTTTTCTCCTTCTGTATTTTTTTTTTTTCCAGGGCCAGAGTTGTACCGGGTACCTCAAAAGGCCTCACGCCCACTGAATACGAGAAGGAAATGGCGATGGCCCAACAATACGAAGAGACCCCATGGCAAACTGAGGACATCTATGATATAAATATCAACTGAAATTTGGGGTCATTTCCAATGCTCCTTCTTCCTTCCTCGGTCGGCATCGCATTGCAATGCTATTGATGTTGGTGGCAGCGACTCCCGAAGGGAGCCCAATCGCCTTCCCGCGTTGTGTTGGAAGTGACGAAGTACGTACCAAGGACACGGGTTCTTGTCGGCATCCATTGAATGTCCTTTCCCAATTGCTCAATATACCCTCCAGAATTTCATCAAGGATTTCAACAAAAAGGTATAATTATCCCAGAATATAACCGGCTCGTCACCATCTATTTTCGTCCGTCCCAGGCGGGTCCCTGTGGTGGATCAAGTTGCTCATAATACCTTCCCTTCGTACTCTGGACTCTCTTCCTCCTTAAATTCTGGTTATCAACTTCTTCACGCCTAAACACTTCGATATTGGGCGCAAAGGCAAAAGCGAACTTGAGGTCTTTAGTTCAATCGCCTACTTCTGAGGGCACTATTTGGGATGGGAGACGAATACAGGTCTCACATTTGATGTACTACCCTGTGCCCAAGGTAAGATTTGGTCTTATAGCCCCGTTCTGCTTTCATCCGTAGGCACATTTGACACGTCTTGTTCCCTGCGCACATTCTCCTTCCCCTCTGCCGTGTTCTGCCGTGTTCTTCTTCTCTTCTGCTGTGGCGATGTCATTTCTTACTTGTGTTGCTCGGCATGCACCGCCGTTGGCGCCGTTGGGGGAAAGCGCCTGAGGGCTTCCTTGAATTCCCTGCCCCGGTCTAGCATATGCTATTTTCCGCATCAAAAGGGCCACGGTCACCTGCAGAGACATCCTTCGTACTGAAGAGCCATGTGGCTGGCATATATAAGTGGCCTGGTGGTCGCTGAAGAGAACGTGGCTCCACTCTACGGCTTGGCGTATCCGGCATCTCGCCGACATCGAAACTAATTAAAACGCGCACTTTCGGATTACTGTATTGCAAGGATATCCTGGGTTGTCTACCGAGGGGGTTGGAATATCATCGACATTTCGACAGTCTGACACCCAATATTCGTGACCTGGCAGGAGATGCAAGACAGGTTCGCAGATGGATCTCGGGCGACAGACTGATGGAGGAGAGCATTGATAGATTTTACCCAAGTACGAAGTACGAAAGTACTAGGTACGAATAAGTCAAGTCTGTCCATTGGCGAGGGACAGGGGAGCGCTCTGCCCATTAAAGTATTGAAGGATCATTGATCAAGTGTCGTACAATTGGGGCTGGGGGGCTGTCGCCAGTGGCCAGGCCGGGCATTTGGGCTGAGGCATCTTCTATTATAAGTACTGATCCTGATCAATTGCTCCCTGAGAGAATGAAAGAAGAAAAAGGCGCAGCTTGGACAGAATCCCATGTGTTACCGAGCCCATTACGACTACCAACTGTCGCGCATAAGAATGAATGAGATCGAAGAGGTCGCTTTTTACCTTCTTTCTCTTTTCTTTTCTTTTTTTTTCATCCTGCACTCAGCGCCATTGATCCCTGCGCCACAGACGTTATCCGTGAAATCCCTTTCAAACCCGCCTCGAGGAATCACAAAAGCGTTACCCCAGGGGCCAGGGCTCTGAACTACTAGTAAGTTCGTGAGCCCTTGACTCGTCTTCTAGCGCATCCGAGCCTGGCAAAGCTCCGAAACGCCACATCCTAACCGGGAGGGAAAAAGTCTACGGGAAAACTAGCACACTGCCGGTGGCACGTTCACTAGCCAAATCAGGCTTGAATTTGTCTTAAAATCCCAGGCTCGGTTCCCCAAAACTGATGACCGACGAAATAGTACTTCACGGGGTATGCCACAACGATTACGAAGTCAATCGGAATCTTGGGTGACATGCCCTATTATGCGACCAACTAACCCTGGCCTGGCAAGCTAGCTAGCGGAGAGAGGTCGGCCCCCTGTCAAAATACTTTCTCAAGTTCCGAAGGAAGCAAATACCCTATTCTAGGCCCCATCATGCTTGCCGCCTGCCCTGTGTCTCGCGAGCTAGAATCCTCTGTTGCTTTTTTTAAATGCCCTGAAATGAGGTGTGTTGGAGGGATGAAACATCAGTCATGATGCCGAACTCAATTTGGACCCCAAAGAGGATGCCTTACCTATGAAGTACACCTTTGTACTTCGTGGAATCTGCAAAGCAAGCACTTTATCTGAGCAGATCGACCGCAAACGTCGCCTCAAGCCTTTTAGCTCGAATCTTTTCAGAAGGCTGAAATCATCAGATAGTTAACTACTCATGCCGCAACCAAGAAGAAGAGAAGACGAAGAAGAAGAACGAGGAGAGCCGCCAAATAAGTGGTACATGGAACATGCACGTCCAACCCAGGCGACTCGCGGTCCTCGACCTGATTTCGACCACATCTGATTGACGCTGCGCCTTACACATACACCTGCCAAAAGGGTCCTGGATAAATCCAACCCGAAGATCAAAGAACATGAAGCGGGAGTGCCTGTTCCAGCAAGACGGAGCCGGTATTATTTTGCCCTTTGTCCGTCTCTCTATTCTCTTGTTCTCCTGGCCAAGAAATGCAGTCCAGGATTTCGGGGTATCCGTAGCATGGTGGTACCCGAACCTGGCCGACGTGAGCCCATCGGATTATTTCTATTTTTTTCTCCCTCTGAACTCCTGATTATGTCTTGTGTTCCCCCTGAATATCGATCAACTATCAAGTCACACCTAAGGCACCCCTGTGAGGTTGCACTTTTTTTAACCTTCCATGGGCTTCAGAGCCTGGTGCCTTTTACTCAACGACGGGAAGAAGAGAAGGTATCTATCGACAGGCGGTGTGCCCTCCATCGCCAACAATAGTGCCACTATTAAGACTCGCCCAACTTTCGAGAGTTGTCTCCTCCGGCCCTTCCCCTCCAACGGAACGAAAAAAAAAGCTTGCACCCAAGAATTGTCCATGTGCCAGCCTATCATTCGTCTACGAATGCGGGACGCATTAGCTCCGGCTAGCTCGCAAGGCTTGAAACATTGAGGAAAGTCCCATTCGCGATGTGTTGTCGCCAAGCCGTCACGTCACAGGACCAGCGAGACCCTGAACGTTGTCGCCAATCATTTCTGCGGTGCGACGAGATCGTTGCAACCCTGCGAAGTGTGACCGCGATCCCAATATCATTGGGAGCGTCACTATTCGTACACGGTTGTCGTTGATATTAGATTTCCTCGTTTCCTCGACGTCGGTTCTCTGTCTCTTGACGCTTTATGCCAGCCATCAGACGGGGGCTCGCCATCTCGTCTCGTTCCGCGACTCTCCGTTCCGAAGTACAGAGGCCTTACAGAGTAATACCGGTATTAATCAAAAGCTGATTTCGTTTGAATCCGGGCAGCTTCATTCCAGATCCCGCGATCCAATCAGCAACTTCTCCCCTCTCCTGCTCAACCACATCTTCAAGCTCCAACAGCCAGCCACCCCTCCCACTAACCAGACTTTCTCTTTTTCATCAACCCCGCTTCTTTAAAAACTTGGAATCGAGTAGATAAAATGGATGTGGCACCGAGGCACCACACTGGCCGGTCGCTCTTCAGGTCGGGTCTTGTGGCGTCTTTAGTCCCATTTTCGGTCCCCCGGCTAATGGCATTGCCCTGGCTTTATTCGGCCTTCCATATCGAAGCTGCGGAGCATGGCTGTCATACTTCAGATGGGTTCTATTACGGGATGTGATGCAAAGATGCATCCTTCCAGCCCTAGTGGATGAGTAGTGTCTACACTCTCATATTTTGTAAGGGTCAAGCTTGCCGGCATGACCTCCTAGTGGACCAAGGCAGTTACACGAATCAAAATGAGACCGGAGATTTGGTGAAAAATAGGATATATTCGCCGCGGCGATGAAGCTCGCGACGGGGGACTTGTCGACCAAGAGCGGGGTACAGAAACCTCCTTCAATCCTTTCGTAGATTTCTGGAAATAGTAAGCACCTTTCTCAAGGCACATTTGCTGACCCCCCCTCCATCACCCAACGCTAGACGTGTTTCATGAGGCAGTGTCGATGCTACCATACCTATAAAACCTATAAATACCGATTTAAGATCGCTGAGAGTGCAACTCGAGATGTTCCATGGCTCTCGACATAGGCGTGATTACACAATACGTGCCAGAGAAACTCGTTCAATAAGAGAAGCCCGTGGATAGTCGAGGTCACCTGAAGAACCATGAGGAAAACCCAGGTTATCTTGTAGATCATGAATTCCACGCCGGTAGTTACGTAGATCATGTCATCATGCCATTTTTAACAAGCGGCCTATTTCGAAGAATGACATCCTCGGTGTCATCGCGAGCACACCTTTTCCATCCCGCAAGACCTGCCCAGCCACATATATGGATCCAACGGGAGCTCAATATGGGTGTCATCACGGAATTCATGCCGAGCCGGTGAAGAGCAATGGGCGTAAAAGATGGGTCGCTTCTTACAGTCTTCCATATTCAACCCCCATTGCCAATTTGAAGAAATTGCGTCATTTATCAGTCGCTCTAATGAGGCTAATAGATTGAAGGGGGCGGAAGGATGGATATGAGATGCCAGTGTCACGAAATAGAGTAAGTTCCGTGGAACTCGTCAATCTCACTTCGGAGTTTACGTGTGGATGAATGAAGTCACGTGATAATATGGAGGTCAACGTTTGCCTGGAGCGAAGTTGTCACAGTAACCAGGATAGGAATTTTGTTTATTGATTTTGGGAAAGTGGAAGTCTCCACCAGACGCGGGACCAAATTCCATCATTGCGCTCCACGTTCTCAATAAACACTCCCATCACGAATCGTCGCGAAATTTCCCAGTGCTGCCCGAAAACACCAAAAGGGAACAAACACGCAACTCCACTCGGTATCGCCATTTGCGATCAAGCCAACCCGAAAGATGGCATACAACGCGCGAATGAGTATCCTGCCCACCCAGCAGCAGTCCCGCACCCGCAAGAAGGAAGAGGAGGCCGATGCCTTCATGCGCCTGTCGGACAAGGAGATTGTGGGGTGCATCACCGATATTGGCATCAACTTCACCGTCGCCGACCTCCAGAAGCCGAACCCCGTGCAGGTGCAGATGATATTCGAATGGTTCGCCGAGCTTCTTCTAAATGCGACGAGAGAGATTATCGAGCCGGCGATGCGCGCCGGCGCCGAGGAGGTGTGCGGCGAATACTCGGACATCATCCCCGCCGATACACGCAACCTGATGGGCTTTTATGTGTCGCTTCGGAGGTTGCTGTTGGAGTGCGGGATTAACGATTTCTGCTTCGCCGACCTATACCGTCCGAGCCACGAGCGCCTTGTCAAGATCTTTTCGTACTTGATCAACTTTGTTCGTTTCCGGGAGAGCCAGACGTCCGTCATCGACGAGCACTTTAACCGCTCCGAAACTACCAAGACGCGAATTGAAACCCTCTACGCCGATAACCAAGACAAGGAGGCCCAGCTAGAGGATATGCGACACAACCGCAAGGCGATGGAGGCCCAGGTCCGGGAGAAGACGATGAGGAATGAAGAACTTAAGCAGAGACTACTAGAGCTCCGGCGCAACCAGGAGAGGGTCGCGGCGCGACTAGAGGAGGCCAAGATCAGGAAAAACGAGCTCGCGACGATGTTAGAGGAAAAGACTGCCGCGAAGCTCGCGATGAAACAAGAGAGTCAAAAGCTCAGGCCATACGTCCTCCAAAGTCCCTCGGCGCTTCAGGCCAGTTTGATGGAGTTGAGCCAAACACTAGCCGCCGACAGAGCGCATATCGACGCCCTGGACCGACGCGCACGAGGGCTTCAGACTTCGGCCAACTCATTCTCCGTGGTGTCAACGGACGTCGCCTCGTGCATCAAGATGCTCGACGATATTTCCACGGAGCTCGGCAAGGAAGAAGAGGAGAACGCCAAGAATTCCAGGCAGCGTGAGGCCCTCTCGGAGAGGGGGAACAATGTCCGCGCCGTCGAGAAGGAAGAGATTGCCCTTCAACGCCAACTCTCCCGGTGGAACGAGCGAACTGAGAAGCTACGCGAACAGAGCGCGTTGAAGGCCAAGGAGGCGAAGGAGAAGATGGAGGAGCTTCGAGCGACGCACAAGCAGCTGACTGAGGAGCGGACCGAGAAGTCGAAGGAGATGGAAAGGCGGAGAGTAAGAATCGAACAAACAGAAAAGAAGGTAAGTTGCATAGGATGTCATTTCCCATCTCTTGCGATTCCAAATCCATTTCAATCCTCGCTAACTCGTGTCTTTCCTATAGATGTTGGACCTCAAGGAAAACATCGAAAACGAAGTGCATAGCGCTTATGACGAATACCTAAAAATGGAGGCCCATATTAAGTTGTACATTACTGAGATGGAGCAGGCCATTTAGAGTCGTCGAGCTCTTGTTCTTGTCTTTTTCTGTTTGATATCCCCCTAGGGTGGCTAATGACTTCTTATGACGGACGGCTGTAAGGAAACGGGTGGAAGGATACCATGCATATATATTTCGGCGTTGGGAAGGAACCGGCGCGGCGCATGTTTGCATAGCTTGTTAGCTTAGAAAGTTGTTTGGTAGCAGACTTCTGACGTCGTTAGTGCCACTGAGTTGTTTTGTCAAGAAAACCTTCATTTTCCAGTCTTGCGCTTAACTCAACGGTCCATCATAAAACTTGAACCACCGTCCCAAGATCTGCCTCACATCAACCGTCCTTCCCGACCAGACGCCCTCGCCAGTGGTAGCTCCGCCGAGCAAGGGAACGGATTCCGAGAGCAATATATCAAGCTCTGGGTGGCCGTCGTCACCCTTGGGCTCAACGACTATGGGCGTGTAACTCGTGCGGTAGGCAGCATCCACAAGGATGCTTGCCGTGCAGGAGATGCCTTGAGCGTTCCATTCACTAGTGTCCCGATGGGCATCTAGAAATCCGTAAAGAAGGAGTAGAGGCGTGGAATACCGACTCTCGGAAGCCGCATAGCTGGGAGGGGCAGGGACCTTAGAATCCGACGGCGAAAAGACGGAAAGGTAAGCCCGGAGGTGGGAAACGGTCGGCATGAAGAGCACTCGTATATGCTTTGCAACTGCGGTCTGATATAAGGGAGCCGATACCAGGGCCTTGAGGACTCGCGTGCGCTGCTCTTGGCTAGAACTAGGGCGGCCAGCATCAGCCTGCGCCGGTTGCTCCTCGGAACTTAACGTAGAAGTAACATTGTGTAGAAGTGCGATTTGGAACTCAGGACGAGGACAGCAGACTATCAATGTTGTTGGATACGTCTGATGTGTTACAATGTATGCGAGTAGTTCCGAGGGGGTCGCAGGAGCAAGGAAGCGAGGCATCTGGGTTAAGACAGATACCAATGTGAGGCAACCAAGGAGAGAGAAGAAAGAGGAGGAGGAAAGAATAAAAAGTAAAGAAAAGAATCTTAGACGATCTGTAGTATCATTTGGTCAAAATAAGAGAAGTGCTAGCTCCCGAGTTAGATATGTATTTAGGGAAGAAGAGGCTGGAGATGTGGTTAGCCATGTGTGGTGTTCAGTTCGGCTCCAATGTTTCGACTATCTCGCTGGGCAATCCGAACAGGTCAATACGGCGAAGCAAAAGTGAGACTGCCAAAGACGCTAGAAATGATGTCCACGCATATTATTTAAGTTCGTTTAGATTTCCTTTCCGTGATGGCAATAATCCGAGAGAGTTCGCCATCTTCGACGTTTCGACGTCCATCGAGATCGGCCAGGTGTCCGCAATTGCGACCCCACGTCCTCCACAACTGACTGCATGTGTTGGTGTTGTGCCCCACCCCGGATTCCCAATGCACAATATCCAGACCACAAGACGTCACGCCCAGCCAAGGCCACCAGCATCCAGCATCTGGCACCATCCCCAACCAAAATCTGCAGTGCCTCGGCCGCCCTACGTGACGCGCAAGATGGAGTCACTGTCGAGGATATCAACGCTTCTCGAGAGTGGTATGTTGAGGAAACCCTCGATAGCTTTTTAGTCGAGGACAAGGACTCCGCTGACCGAATCTATTCCAGCTCGAGAGCTAACTCTCGATGCCGCCCAGGCAACACGAAGCTCCCGAAGCACGCGACCGCTCGACCGCAGCCAAATAAAGAAGCTCCTCGACAGTCGAAATGAGCGCGATGTCCTCGATGGCCTACGTCGGGTCCTCGCTGTGCGTTTTCGCCTGACCTGCACTGGAAGCTAGGCCTTGTTAGCTAACGCTTACGATGGCAGATGATGTACCGATCGCAAAAGACCCTCCCTTTCTTCTCCTCCGTTGTAAAGAACGTCGCATCTCCCAACATTGAGATAAAGAAGCTTGTCTACATCTACCTGATACACCATGCCGAGCAGGAACCCGACCTCGCCCTCCTGTCCATCAACACCATTCAAAAGTCCCTCTCCGACAAGGATGCTCAAGTACGAGCTCTCGCCCTCAAGACGATGTCGGGTATCCGAGTTCCCGTGATTAGCCAGATTGTATCACTAGCCATCAAGAAGGGCGTTGCGGACATGAGCCCCTACGTTCGACGAGCCGCTGCCCTAGCGATACCAAAATGCTACCGCCTCGATCCTGGCCAGGAGCCGCAGCTGGTCGACTACCTCTCGACATTGCTTGGGGACAAACAATACTACGTTGCTGGAGCAGCCGCTATATCGTTCATGGAGACCTGTCCCGATCGCATCGACCTCATTCATAAGAATTACAGAAGTCTCGTTAAGAAAATTGTGGACATGGATGAATGGGGTCAACTCGCGACACTTCGGATGATGACTTATTATGCCAGGAGATGCTTCCCGAGAAGGACGAGGCGAGTGGAACAAAACGAAAAGACGAGCCAGGATACCGACCTACAGACATTTTATGACGGCCCCGGCGCCGAAAGCAACGGCACCGAGGTTGTCCTCGACCCGGACCTTCAACTACTACTAAACGCTATTAAACCCCTATTGCAGAGCAGGAATTCGGCGGTTACCACTGCAGTAGCTAGGTGTTATGCAGAACTCGGCACCAGAGAGTATGTTAGGCTCGCTATAGGGCCTCTTGTAGCTCTCCTCCGCGGCGCTTCGGATATACAACAGGTGGCTCTGTTCAACATCGTATCGGTTTGCCTCCAATGGCCTGCAGACTTTGTCAAGTATGCCAATCACTTCCTCGTGCGCGGTACGGATAGCGCCGCTGTATGGGAGCTGAAGCTCGAGATCCTCACCCTCATCTTCCCCCATAGCAACTCGCATATCAAGAGTTTAATCCTCCACGAACTTGAGCACTTCTCCCGCGGCTCTGCAAACCCTGCGCTCGTTAGGGAATCCGTGCGCGCCATCGGACGTTGCGCCCAGGCCGATAGCTCAATGGCACCCCGCTGTCTCCGCCTTTTGCTGGGGCAGATTGCTAGCCTCGATGGGCGGTTGGCGGCGGAGTCGCTCACTGTTATTCGGCATCTTATCCAACAGGATCCCGAAGGCCATGTCGGGACGGTTGTGCGACTGGCGAAGAACCTCGATAGCGCAACGGATCCACAGGCACGTGCGACTATTATCTGGCTTGTGGGGGAATTTTCCGGTCTCCGCGGCGAAGACAATATCGCTGCAGATGTCCTTAGGATCCTACTAAAGGATTTTGCGAATGAGTCCGAGGCGGCAAAGCAACAAATAGTGCTGCTAGCGGCGAAAGTATACCTCCACCACATCAACAGAGTTAGGGAAGAACAGGAGAAGAAAGGCGCTGAATCCGAGGGAAAGAGTGATGAGCTTCCAGGCGCGAATCCCCCAGGTTCTCCCAGGGATGAGGATGATCAAATCGCTAAACTGTGGGATTATGTCCTGCTTCTAGTCCGGTACGATACCTCTTACGATCTGCGTGATCGAGCGAGAATGTACCGTGCTCTGCTCTCCGTCCCGCAGCTAGCTACCCTTATGCTTCTCGCGCCGAAGCCCGCACCGCAGGCCCCGAGCCCATCAGAAACGCGCAAAGGTTTCGTGCTTGGTTCATCGGCATTGGTTCTCGCGGGAGGCGGAGGAATCCACGGACTCAAAGGATACGCTCCCCTCCCCGATTGGGTTAAGAGTGGCCAGGAGCCCGATCCTAGGTTACGCGATACCGATGTGCCAGTTAGTGGATACGGGGAAAGCAGCAGAGGGGCTATTCCGGCGAGCCAGAGGTTGGACAGTATGGCGTCGAAGAGTAGTGGTATTTCGTCCTCGATCAAGAATGGCGAGGCAGTTGGATCTAAGACTTTGGATGATTGGCTAGCGGAGGATGATGGGGAAGAAGAGGAATCAGAAGGCGACAGCGAAGAAGAGGAGGAAGACGAAGATGAAGAAGAGGACAGTGAAGATGAGGATGAGGATGGAGATGACGAGGAGGAGGAAGGCGAGTCCGAAGAGGAATCAGAGGAAGAGGGTGATGAAAACGATAGACTGATGAAGATATGAGTCCAAAAAAAATGAAAGCTCTTGCATAGGAAAGTAACTAGCATAGAGGGGGGGGAGAGAGAGAGAGAGAGCTTTACCATCATGGACAGCTCTCATGACTTGGGAGCATCAATTATCAACAGATCACGGCCGTAACACTAGATAAGTGGAGAGCCCTTCATGCATTTTGAACTCGCTATTCCACACGTATCTTAATCCGGTCCCTCTCACCTGTTTCTAACTCACAAAAGATAAGAACGCCAAGTACGCCGCCCGCTCAAAGAAACTGTTTACGCTGACCATCTACACATCCAACTACTCTGTGGCAGCGCCCTCGGAAAGGACGCCATCCACTGCAGTTGTATTCTTCTCGGAATCGCTCTCCTGTTTCTTCTTCGCCAAGTTGGTGGCCATTTGGGGGAAATAGAGGCCCGGCGCGAAAATCGTGAGAAGCCATACGGCAACGAGGCATAGACTGGTGAAATGTTAGCTTTCTCAATCGCAAAAGAGAGAAAGAAAAAAAAAGAAGAAGAAGAGAAGAGATTGGGATGAAACAGGTAATATTTCCACTCACCATGAGTCCAGAATTACAAACGAAATCTCATCCTGCATAATGTGGTTCCTAATGGGCAGAGTCGTCAGTCGAAAAGCTCTCACGAACTCCCTTTCAGGATAACACAAAACTTACCCCCATCCACCAGCCATCTCAGCAATTCTATAGTCACCATAATGATCAGCCTCAGCGACTCAAAATGTCGGTCTTCAATAACATGGTAAGGGGTGATTGGCAAGGTGCAATCCAAAACTTACCGGTAGATGCACCGACAAAGGATGGCAAGATAAGCAGCGGATGAAGCTCTCAAAAACGTCCTAAACCGCTTCTCGAACCACAAACCCATACCCAACCTCTCCGCCTCTTCCCTACCCAGGCTCTTGATCTTGCGGCGGACACGAAGGAGATACCCGCCCGACACGAGGCCAAATAGCGACAATACGACAACCTGGAGACAGATGCCGGCGATGATGGCGCGATTCCCGCCATCGAGCAGCTTCTGGTTCGTACTTCCGGCCGCGGCGGCCAGGGATCCGCCGATGGCCTGGATGAGGAGGCAGGAGACGTCGGCGGGCAGGAAGAAGAGGGGATACCACTTGGGGCGAACGCGAGAGAGGGACGGGTCGACGTTGAGAGCTATGTGCTTGATGATGAGGTAGATGCCGGCGCAAATGACGGTGGGGCCGAGGATGATGACGCAGATTTGCATCTGGAAGGCGTCTTTGTTCCAGGGGTTCTTGCTCATCGCAGCTCGACCGGCGTAGCCTGGGTTTTTTTCGTTTGTGTTAGTTCGACACTGCTTTTTCCAAGTCGCCGGGGATTGTGAAGACCTCGCAAAAAGGCCACGGGATTATCCATCAAGAGGTGTTCTCGAAAGGAGGGCCTAGAGGGAAACAAACCCATCGTTTCAAGACCAGCACCAAGCGCGACCGCTGCCGTAAACGTCCATGTTTTCTTCCAAACACCAATCCCGATAGTCGCGAACAGGGCGATGCCAAATGCGACGGCGAAGAAGACGTTGGCGCCGAGATTCGGTGTGTAGCCCAGCACGGTGGCCTCGACCGGGCAAAGGGGTGAAACTTCCTCGCAGGCTATAAACGAGGCTCTGAGGTCTCCATTTCCAGACATGATGATGAGGCGCGAAAGAGAGGAGCTCTGTAATGTGATGCTGAAGCGACGGAGTGAGGATGCGATGCGGGGGGCGACAAAATGCGATCTCGACTGCGGAGACGGATGCCGAACTGGGTTTGGGATTTTGCGATCCTAACAGTTGTAAAGGGCTCGGGATGCTCTGAACTTAAATCGCAAGCTCTCAGTTGATTCCCTGATGGACTAATGGAGGATTCCTAGTAAAATTTATCGCGATACGACAAGGCAGAGTCAATAGAAGCACGATGTATTAGAAGGTGGCACATGTTTGGATCGCAGCCCGCGGTTTGGCGAGGACGAGATATTACAAATTAAGCACGACGGACGAGGCCAGAAATGGAGCTAAATCGATAATGCTACATCGCTAACAGGACCGAAGATGAGTCTGGGGGAGAATGGAGGGGAAGCCAGAAGGCCAAGAATGCAAATGGCGCTCACTTGCGCGCCAGGAGCTCGGCTCGAGCGCCACCCCGTCGTATTCGGGTCCGGATGGAGGGTGAGCCGGACCGTCTGTTTCCAAGGATGGAAGGCCATTCATCGTTGGGCCAAGAACCATTCCATAGGACGAGGCGCCTTTTAGAGGGCGAGGAATCCGTCTATATCATACGACTGCATTGGGCATATTTGGTTATTTCGTGGAGGGATGGTCACACCCAAGGAAGCAGGGAAATGAGAACGCGTGAATTCTTTGCCAGGTCGTTTTGGACATCCTCCGACTAGGTTTTCTCCAGAATAGGCTTGGATGTATCAGAGGCTCTCCAACTTACATCGTTGCGTCTCGAAATATAACACCATCACCGGTCTGATCCCGGGGCCGAAGTTGACAACTTCGTCATCTGCGCCGTCCCGGGGACTCGGAACCGATCGACGGATAAATTAGTATAAGTCGCATCGCATTCTTATCAATAACAAACCAGGAATTTTCTCCCAAGAAGGAATGTTCTAATTTCTCGGCATATATCGCACAATTTATAAAACCGTCCTTCCCTTTACCCCTTTACTCTTCCTTGCCACCAATATACCTATACACGACCGAAAAGTCCCTGCCTGCGCACTTCTCATCCGCCTCCACCGCCTCGTACAGCTCCCTCGCCTTCGTCGCCAACTCTAACCTCGCACCAGCCTCGTCAGCCGCAAGCATAGCGAGCTTCAAATCCTTCTTCATCAGCGAAACCCCGAAACCACCAGCATAGTCCCTGCCGGCGGGCGCAGTCTCCACGACGCCCTTGACGGGGTTGTTCACCTCGGACGGCCAGCACTTTCCGGTGCTAACGTTGATGATCTCCGCTAGCGTCTTGGGATCGAGTCCCCATCGGATACCCAGGTTCATAGCCTCGGCTGTCGCAATGTTGTTGATGGCGAGGAGGTAGTTGTTGGCCAGCTTGGCCGAGAGACCGGTCCCTTGCTTACCGCAGTGGAGGATGCGACGGCCCATCTTTTCAAGGACGGGCTCGACGCGGGGGACGAGATCGGCATCGGCTCCGAGCATGAAGGTTAGCGTGCCGGCAGCGGCGCCGACGACGCCTCCTGACATAGGGGAGTCGACGAAGTGGCCCTGCTTGGCCTTCGTGACCCAGCCGGCGACTTCTTGGGAGGAGGAGGGGTCGATTGTGGAGCAGTCGATGAAGATGCGGTCGCGGGGAGGGATGGAGTCGAGGAAGGAGGAGTAGACCTTTTTGACGTGAACGGGTTCGGGGAGGACGGTGATGACGGTGTCCTATTCGAGGTTAACCAGTTAGCAGGGCGACGCTTGAAATATGCGGAGCGAAGAGAATGCCCAGGTGGAGGTTGAAGGCTGATGTATCAAGGGCACGTTTAAACGTAACCAGCATACATATAACCATGCGACAAGAAGATATCGCACGCTGATCGCAATAGATTGAATATCACCGCAAGGAGAGGGGGACCGAATACTCTCGATTTGTAAGGTTTAGGAGAGGGATAGCAACTTACAGCGTCTTTAACGGCATCCAGAGGACTCTCCGACACCTCGACCTTCGCGCCACCCTGGACCTCGGAAACGAGCTTCTCCGTCACAGCCTTGTTGATATCGAAGACCCGTATCGTGTCTGTCGGCGCCGCCTTCTTTTGTAGGTTTTTTACCATTTGGTAACCCTAGATGAGAATCATTCCAATTAGATCATGTCCGTCTGATGATATGCCCCGTTACACGGGCCGCAAGTGTCGGAGTCTTCTTCGCCCGCGAAATTTGAAATTCGGGTCTATCATACCATCTGACCCAGTCCAATGAAACCATAGGTATCAAGACGGCGAGCGGTAGAGGCGAACCCACGCCTCTGGGCGGGCACTGCCCTCAACAATAACCTAGAGACAGCCATGGCCGGTTTATTCCTTCTTCGATCGTGGAAGGGACTATGCGGTAAGTCGACAAACGCGAAGGGTCTCAAAGCAACAATTGATAGACGGCACGACCTGTGGTCGCTACCCCGGGTCTTATATCGTGACCGCTTGCGGCATCGGCTATTGGCAGGCACAAAAACACACCGAGTTCCCGGAATGCGGGGGGAGAAACAGTTCGATCCACAATGAAGCCTCGGAACTCAACTAGCCGCCCATTGCCGGTCCTACCCACCTCTCAGGGTCCCAGGGTCTCAGGGTCTGTCTCTACCGAACCAGCTCCCAAGGCAAAATCAATTCAAGCCGAGACCGCAATGCAAAATACACCAAGGATCAAAATATCAAAATCCTGCTAACCAGAAATGAACAATCAGTTACTACAGCAGCGGTAAGAATCCATTACAAGATGGGAATTTTTCTTTTTCCCTTTCTTTTTGGTGCTATGAATAGCGAGCGGCATCTGTATCCATCATCCATATCATCCCCCACCATTCCATCCAACCCGCCACGCATCAAAGGCACCAGTTTCGCGTCAATTCTACCCTAGACTCTTCTCCAAACACCTCTGTAGACACTGATATATTTATGGGCCAGCGAGCCTCGGAAAAGGGAACGAGAGGGAGGAAATCAAGTTAAAACGCGTATTTAAAAAAGTGGCAGGGGATGTTGTGGGTTCTTCTGCGGTATGAAAGAGGTGGACTAATTCGAAAATAACTCTGCGCCACCCAAAGGAATGAGAAGTGTGGAAAAAGAGGGGATCATGACAAGGGGGTATGTAAAGGAGGAAAAGAGAAAAGAAGAGGAAGAGGAAGAGGAAGAAAAAGGACAACATGAACAAAAACGAGAAATAGATTCCGAGGGGTGCCTCATCATCAGCATCCCTCGCCCAAAACACCCACAACACCTGCCTCGACCATCCGCCAGAACCCTATCCATAAAAGGCCCGTGTGTTTTGCCCCCAAAAGGAGGCATGCGTGGTTCATGCTTTATATGATTCCGATTAGCCAGGGCATGATGGCACTGGGAAGATACAGTTAGCAGATTGTTTCATAATTCTAGGTTAAATGAAGTGAACAGCCAAGAAAGGGAGGATGGGAAGGGGAAGGAAAAGGGAGATGGGGGACAGAGGGAGAAAACAAAAAGAAGAAAAAAAAAGAGGCTTCTTACCCCATAGCGACGGCGGCAGAAATGCCCACAAGAGCGCGTTGCCTGACACGTCCTTTTTGAAGCTCAATCTCCGTCTTCACCTTCTTCGCGGCGCGCTGCTCCTCGGAATCCTCCTCCTGCTCCTCACCGCCCTCCTTTTCGTTCGGTTCGTCAGAAGTAGAGATATCCTGTGCCTTGCGCTTGCCCTTCTTCGACTCAACCTCTCCATTTATCGCCGGAGCTTCCGCGGAGACCTCGTCCGATGGGGATTCGCCGCTCGATGGGGAGGCGGTTTCCGCCGCTTCCTCGACCATTTTCTTAGCTTCCGCCAACATCTTCAGAGTCTCTTCCTTGGACGGGGGTTCGCCAGCACTCAGGAGATGGATCTTTTCCGAATCGGCCGCCTTCTTCTTCTTCTTGGACTTCTCAGAAGGCTTCTTCTGACTGGTCTCCTCATCTTGCTCCGCAGCGACTTCTTCTCCGTTCTCCTCGGCCGTAGCCTTCGAGGGCTCCTCTTCGACGGATTGCAGGATAACTAAGGATTCTGCCTTGGCCTCGGCCTCCTTCGACGCACGCGCGCTGGCTTCCTCAACTTCTACGGACTGGCTGCGGCTCCTAGTTCGCGGCGGATCGAACGATTCGGAGGACTTTACCCTTGTCGAGCGTTTGCGAGGAGAGGCAGTGACCTTCTTGGGCAGTTTTGAAGGGCTAGCAGAGCGGCGGCCGCGAGATCGAGCGAGGGACGTCGGGGTGGGAGGCGCGAGGTTGGGTGTGACGGTCGAAGCGATGGTGGTCGCGTGCTTGGAGATGTCAAACTTGGGAGGCGCCGTGATGTTCCGGGGAGGGCTTGCCGAGGAGCTGCTGCTGCTCGAAACCGCGATCTTGGCCGGATCAAGAAGGGCTCGAATCCAGGTCGTGATCTGATACTCTTCGGCGAGGATCAGAGCCTGCTCGGGGGGCACCCAGATGTTGCCAGCAGTCTCTTCACGACTCGTGGTGGGCAGAGTCTTGATATACTGGCGCTCCCTCTCCTCCTCCTCCGCCTCGGCGTAGGGGAACGTCGCCTTGAACATGCCAGTCGCAGATACGTATCCGTCGTGGCTGCGGCGCATCAGGAAGTAGCTGTTGGGGCTGGACTTGAAAATGCCCGAGACGATGCCCTTGGGCATTGGGGCGCGAAGATGAGCATAGTCAAACGCGCCGAGGGTCGTGGTCTGTTCGCTCGCACCAGGGCCGACCATCTTAGGAGTCAGCTGAGTCTGGCCGAGTCGGCGACGCGCGACGAGTTCGGTGTCTACAATGGCGTGAGTTACGGACGCGAAAAAATCGACGACGCAGGATGAGGCATACATTCGGGGATACTCTCGATTAACAGCGGATTAATCTTCGTGGGAAGACTCCTCTTGTCGGTGGGCGCCATTGTGATCTGAGGGTGCTGCGACAAACGCGACTTTTGGGCGTCTCGTTGTGTTGAGGTAAGGAATTGATGACACTTAATCGGTTTGAAAGAGCCAGAGGCAAGGTCGGTCGCGACGAGGGCGATAATCGACTACTTGTCCCGTCCCGATCACACAAGCAACGTAAGTTTTGAGTTGTAATCAGACCTGGAAGAAGCGCAAATCAAACCTGGTTAGAACTCTGTTCAAAAATTGGGCGCCGTGCCACGCTGTAATGCTGGGCAGAGGAGGTGGAGAGGGATCTGGGCGAAGCGAGAGAAAAAAAAGCTTGACAGCTGGCGCATTTGGTTGCTGGATCAGAACGCGACCATTGAACTTACCAAGGTACTTGGGCAATTAGTGACATCCAAATTCCATTTACGGAAGGAATGTGTATATATCGAATGAAATAGACAATAAGAAGCGCAAGAAGGAGTAATGCCGCAGAAAAAGGAACAACCTGTAAAATGATGATGGAGGGCAAGGGAGGGATTGGCCGAGTGTGTTGGAGAAATTCAACGAGGCAGAGGCAAGTAGAGGGTGAAATTGGGTGGTGACTGAAAACGACCGCGCAGGGTGCCGAGCACTTTTCCCCCAATCGACCTTGCCGTTCGTGGGATGGGTGTGTGTTCTGGGTTGGGACTCTGGGGGGCAAGGGGGAAGGGACGGAACAATTGAAGACGGGACAGAGACAGAAGACGCAAGGATAAGAGGAGCACAGCGCGATTGATGATGGATGGGGGACGGCGTCAGGGGGAAGGAACTACGAGGTACGAAGTACAAGACATTACGACCTCGCCGGAGGCTGGAGAGAAGTGGTCTATGCGCTGGCAGCAAATCTGGTAGTTGGAGGTTAAGAAGATACAATAAATTGGCCGAAAAGTAATAGAGAAGCGCTAGTATTCAGCTAACTCTTGGCGTAATTCCTGGCGGTCCATGGAGCCGAGTGGACAGGCTGAGTAGGATACACGCTCTGATTCGGCGGTTTGAGCGCTACTTCGCTACATTGGTTTGTCCGAGTTAGGGAAGTGTCATGGAGCGTAACCACAATTGTACATAGTACGTACATGAACCTACAGTATTTGTAATGATAAGCACAGTGATACATATCCACATCAGTCTTCCCCAGCCCAACCAAGCCCTCCTCTCCTTTTAGCACAGTACTTCGTATGTCCAGTAATACCTCAGTATGTACTTAGTACGAAGTACATTGATCGATTGATTATCCTTCACGCACTAGTGCACTTCATAATGTCGTTTGATCAAATGACTTGGTACTTCGTACCTCGTTCATTTACGAGAGTCGATGGGGCTAACCCAATCTGGGACCGTGCGTTTAGTACGAAGTACTGTTGCACATTGTGATGATAAACCCAGCTTCCTGGACTCCTCATTATGGAGGAATTCCACGAACACAGCATTCGCCATCGGCAACCATTGGTAGGGGTCTCATCCACGAGGTGTCGGGGGCGAGTTAATCCTGGGCGGGCCATGCTCCAAGAAGAGGGCTGCTTCGCCTGGCGAGCTGAGCCTGGTTGCCTCTAGCACTGATGTATGTACAAAGTAGGTTGCGCTTCGGGTCAGGTTCGTTGGGCATACTGCTTGGGAATCAACGTTGGATTGTCAAGGACAGACAGATATTATTGATGTTTAGCGAGGAACAGTTTGCGGTTGGTCAGCTCTTCGTTGGTCGGTCCACTCAGTGTACTGTATAACCTTGACCATGCCCTCTGTGAGTCGTGTCTTCGACATTAAGCTGTCTATTAAAGATGAAACAAGCAGTTGGGTCTTGTCTGTCTTCCGGCCAAGCTCTCCCGCCCACCCACACAGCTCAAGCTGAGTGTTAGCCGCCCCCGGTCCCGCCCCGTCCGAAACGGTTGTATATATTCTTGGATGATGAATGATATGGAGTCTCAGGGGGTGCGCCAGGCCAATTGATGTCGTTTTGCCTCTAATGTTATTATGCATTGTTTTCTCTCAGGACCCAAATACCCAAATAGTATGGCAGCATTGCCCCTTCCCCGCCTTCGCTGGCGGTGTGCAAGTAGAACCCAATTGAATCAGCTGTCCATGTCGCTGGGTGGCCCTGGTGGCCCTGGCGACTCGTAACCCCACCAAACCTTAGGATGCTCCTGCGAGTCCGTCCCCTCCTTAAACACCCATCATGAGCTAATACCCCTCCTACCTGATTCCAGCCTCTGCTCCTGTTTATTTCCTCTATCGATCTCTCAGTAATTCTTAGTTGGACAATATTCTTGTTCAGCAATCGGCCCTTGAGATATTCTCCTTATCTGCTACATCTTTTTGAACGTCATTTAGAGAGGGGAATCATAACCTATCGCCGCCAACATGGCTTCCCACGAAGACGACACCATGCCCGAGGAGACTCAGGGTTACAAGTTGACCCAGCCCAAGCAGAGTCTCGCCGACTACCAAAACATGGGTAAGTTCTGAGTTCCTTTACTCTGACGAACTCGTTCTCGCCTTGCCCTTGGTGATGATTTGCAATTGTCCCCTATCGTCATCGCTCTGGGTGCGGGTGGAGGTGCCCCGCCTGAAGACAGCCGTGATGACCCTTCCACCCACTTCGGGATCCGAAGACCCTGGTGCCAATTTTGCTAACCCTCCGGCAGATGCCAACGACGAATCCCTCCAAAAATACAAGGAATCTCTCGGTCTCGGTGGCGGCAAGGACCTCTCCGATCCCAACGATCCTCGAGTATGCATCATCCTCGCCCTGACCATGGAGAGCCCCGGCCGCGATCCCGTCCGAATCGATCTGTCCCAGCCCGGCAGCGAGCTCGCCCTCAAGGATAAGCCCTTCAAGATCAAGGAGGGTTCCAAGTTCACCATGGTCGCCACTTTCAAGGTCCAGCACGAGATTCTCAGCGGTCTCCACTACGTCCAGATTGTGAAGCGCAAGGGTATCAGGGTTAGCAAGGATTCCGAGATGATTGTATGTTTTCCCTTCTTTTATCAGTGTCGTCAAGACGTGAAGCTACAGCTCAGTGTGCTGACATACTCTTCAGGGAAGCTACGCCCCCAACACCGACAAGGTGCCTCTATACGAGAAGAGATGTAAGTGTTTCTAAAAGTGATCCCGGATGTGAAGAGAAAAGGGTCGGCTCACTAACCATGTGTGTACTCTCTTGCAGTTACCGAGGAAGACGCTCCGAGCGGAATGCTTGCCCGTGGCCATTACAATGCCATCTCGACCTTCGTTGACGACGACAAGAAGAAGCATCTGGAGTTTGAGTGGAGTTTTGACATTTCCAAGGACTGGTAGTCGGGTGCTCCGGTTCAGTTTCTTTCCTTTCTTTTACTTTTCAATATACCAGAGAAGCACACCCTTGGATTTTCAAGTGGCCGGGCGAAGCGGTGTAGATATACCAGAGATGCCGAAAACACAAAAAGCAAAGTGTGGAGGTCGATGGGGGGTTACTCGCCTCGCCATTGTTTTTTTTTACGATTACGAAAGTCTTTCAAACCGAAACAATACATTTGGCCAAGGAACCGTGTTCCATGCCAACGATCATCAGTTCACGTTGTGGAAATCTTGACCATAGTCTCGCATGAAATTGTATTCTATGGAGAGTTTCCTTATTAAGGATGTTGAATATATCATAAACTTATACATTATCTAGATGCCGGTCTATCACCGTGCTAGCTATAGGAAGTAATCGGGAAGTGCGCTTCCGTCTGCAGACTTGTCACCGCCTAGGTACAAGTCTTTGTGTAGGTCGTTCTCGGGGGCTGCCGAGAATACGTTGAAGAATCTCTCTCCGGTATCGCTAACTTCGAGGACGCTCGCCATATTACCGCATCTGTAGCAGTAGTTGGGAGCGCTCCAGACCGTACTTAGCTGGTCGTCATATAGCACCTGGTATCCCTCCTGGCAGAGCTGATGGGCGCGAAGGATATGGGACATGTTGTTGACGGCCAGGAACTTCTTCACAACCTGGGCGCCAAAGGTATAACCCGCACCGCGCGGGGAGAGCGAGAACTCGTCTCGATCTGGATCGGGATCGGACCATACGAGGTCGGCCATGGGGCCCTCGTGTGGGATTTCCCGGAAGCGGTCGATAATCTTGATTTGATCGATGGAGTGTATCGAGGGAGATAGACCTTTAAAGCCAGATTAAGATTAGCCCAGGTTATCAGGACAATACACCTGGGGAACAAAGCACACAGGGTTGATTACCTCCATGAACGCAGAAGATCTGGTCGTTAATGACAACACTCAACGTTAAAAAGTCAAACATATCCGTGAAGTAGTGCCAAACGTTGGCGTTGCCATATTTACGGGAGCATTCAGTATAAAAGCCGTAGGACTGCGTTACGCCTCGAGACTCGTGGTTTCCTCGAATCAAATGCACGCGAGTTGGGTATCGAAGCTTCAAGCAGACAAGGAGAGATATCGTTTCAACGCTAAACATGCCGCGATCCACATAATCACCTGCGGAACGAAAGGACAACGATGTAGTTAGCGATCATATCCGGAACGCAAACGAGCTTTCAATGCGCTGCAGAGGATTCATGGCAAGTATCTACTCACCTAAAAAGAGGTAGTTTGTGTCAGGGCAATAACCTCCGATCCTGAAGATTTCTATGAGATCATAGAACTGTCCGTGGATGTCGCCAACAACAGTGATCGGGGCCTGGACGTGGATGACGTTGCTTTCCCGCATCAAAAGCTCCTTCGTTTTCGCGCATATCGCCTCGATGACGGACTCGGCGAGAAGCTCTTTCTTGTAGAGGCGGGCGATACATTCGTCCAGGTCGACTGACGCTATTGCGCAGGATATAATGAAGCGTTAGCTCATGGTCGACGAGACCTGTGAAACGAATGGCACGACACGCGCGAACTAACCTGGTAGGCTGGGCATTTTTGTGACGTCGGGTTGAATATAATTTGGTCGCTATTTTGGAAATGCTCGGGACAAACAAAAGGGCGCGTGCGAGCCTGGTCGCCTCTGCGACAGGTAGCTACGACACTCAATCCTGCCTTCTCCGACTTCCACTGGGGGCAAAGTCGATGCTCAGAGTTGGTGGTGGTGGGTGAATTTTCACCAACATATTCGAGACTTATGGTCGCATCGGATATCGCAGCTAGAAAAGGATACTCGGCGTTCTCGGGACGGGGTGGGAGAAGTGACGAAGCCGTTGGGGGTTGCCAGTAGCAGTATTGATTTCTTGTGAGCGAAGGAAGTTGGAGGAAAAGTGTGGCCCCTCGTCGTCGATATCAGTGCTCCGCGTGCCTAGCCTCTGCTTGTTTAGCACGCAAACGGTCGCTGGTCACTCAAGCTCCTTCCCCTGCAGAAGAGCAGACGAAGCGAAGCGCCGAAGGGTCTTGGGGGATTGATTACTACTGTGTGACTCTGTGGCCAACAGCTGCCTCTAATGGGCGCACATCAAATACTTCACCCACCCACTCATATCACTTTAAGTTGAAGCAATTGGTTGGTACGAGACGACCTTGCATTTCTTGCAAAGTACACAGGTACCTTTACCTCTAAGTACAGCCCCTACTGCCGTGTGGTTGCAGCTTGGGGTGGATGAACAAGCATCAGAGAGCTTGAGACTTGACAATTTGCACGGTACGGCTCTTTGTGTATCCAGCGGACATGAGTGACTTGATCTCCACCGAGGATACAATTTGATTGTATATTGTCTTGTTCCGTGAACTAATTTTTGCCGCTGACATAAAGAGTTCTGGGTTCCAGACCCAACAACAAATTCTTCTCACAATCTGCCATCCCAACTTCAAAACTTCACCTCGAACCACACACATTTCCTTGCTTTCTCCCAGGATGGTTCACCATTTGGTTCTATCCCTCCCCTCCATTCTATCAAATGGTCATTCTCCAATGATCTTTAGGTAATGCCGGATCACTTTTCCTCGGGATATTCTTCTCCCCCATTTCCCCGAGAGTGCCTACAAAAGGGCAGCTTTCCAGAGGCGCTCTGCTGTTCCTCGAGGCTCGATAGACCCCTGGCATTGTTTCCTTCAAGTTCCTCTCCTTCATACTCCTCTTATCAACTTTCCCCCGGATCCCGATCCCAGGATTGGCCTGATTTCCGTGCTACCTTTGGTCTTTCTATATCATTATCTTCTCAGTCAGGTCCCGACGCCTCTCATCTGCACATTGAGGCTGTTTTATTGGACCTCGCACGGTTACTATCGCGGATATCCTGATGGCGAGTGTCCTCAGGTGGATGGGCATCGTCGAATCGTGCTGGGAGCCCTCATCATGCTCATATCTGTTGTCATTTTCTTCCCTACATTTCATCTATCATCGAGTACTATGTGCTTGTCCTAGAATACAATATCAATACTATCCATCAATGAACACTGAGGAATCATCCTTCCATTACGTTCACATACGCCCATGACTTGAGCATGCGGATTTCTCCAATTTCTCCATGTCCGTTGCAGTGAGGCGTGGGAGCTGTTTGAACAGTAGGCCTCAGCCTAGCCTGCCGGAGACCCTGTAACCCCCTCCACTTCTGATGCCGTGATGCTATGTCCATGTCTATATCTTCTGCAGTTTTACCGACGTTACGAAAGGCTTCGCTCTCCAAGAGCTCTCCAGACACAGAAGACGGACCATGCCATCACCCTCAGGCTTCCCTGATTCGTTTTTGTCCGAGGGATTGGAACGCCTGTGGACGACCCGATTTGCCGACTATTAGCCGAGTTTGTGCCAGGAAACGCAGCACCTCACCTTCGATTTTTGGTCATCGCAGGATAGTTCATCCAAGATTCACTTCCGATGGAGAGCCTCAAACAGTAAACATGGCTATCTCCGCGATATATATTGCCTGCTGACCACCGCTTCGTTTTTCGTATCACCACGCGCTTTCTAAACTTCGTGGTGCATCCTTTCCCCTCTCGTCTTCTCAAAGCGGATGACCTTGAGGGCCGATCAATCTGTGTTCCTCTGCCGCGACCAGCGCGAGGGATTTCTCTGAACTGAATCGATACCTGGCCGGTCTGAGACGCTCGACAACGTTTTATCCCCTTTCAATGGGGTCGTGTGTCTGGGATGTTTCTTTGGGAGCCCTGAAGTTAAAGCAGGTATAGTATTTGCGCAGGTGTGGAGCCGATCCAACTCGGCCTATCCCAAGATGTAAGTACAGCCCAGAAACTCATTGAAACGGAATGGGTATAAACATATCGACCATTCGATCCATTTGCTTTCCCTAAATATGCGGCTATAGGCGTTCGATATTCTGGTATTTCTAAGATTTGACTGACCTCCGAGATAGCAATTACACAAACCCTAGCCTAGGTGTTTTAATATAACTAGGCTCTGGCAAACTCCCTAGGTTATGTGACTGGGAATGAGCACTTGGGTGTTTTCAGCTCAGCCTGTGATCCATCTCATATTGAGGCTGGTCTGGGCGCAGTGAGCCTCATTGTCCTGGGCTGTCAAATCACTCTCTTTCCCACTGATTGCAAGTGAGAAGAGCACTTGGAAACTTAAAAGGTTCGGACTTGTGCTCCTGCTTTGTTTAAAGACTGTGGCTCACCTTCCCTAAAGGGCTTTTCACACCCGTTATCTTTTATTACCGCCTGAGCAACATCCAGGAGCTAGGGAACAACTATTCGGTTTAGACATCTGGAACAGGGGCATTACCCACCTCGCGACTTACTATTCCTAACCTCTCTGCTTTCATTTTGTCCTGTTCTTGTTTCTCCTCAGTCGACAAGGATACATCCTATCCTCAAGGGTGTCTGCCTCTGGAAAACCACTTACGGTGTTTACATCAATGCTATTACACCTCGCCTTATTCATTCCTTCCTATGTCTAGCTCGGGCCAATCTAGACTGCCCAGTTGCAAAAACTGTGGCGCTGATGGGCACTGGACCATCGACTGCTATGAGCCGACCCGGAAGATTCCTGCGTAAGTAGCAGGTGGAGCCTTCCTTACTCCGAGAATGTTACCTAGCAACATTTATACTGACATATCCAGCAGAGTGCGCAAAAGAAAGCTAGAGGAAACTCCCCGAAATGGCGACAGGAACGGATTCAAGAAAAATAAGGGAGCCATCATCAGCAAGTATGGCCCGCCACCTGCAACGCCTTATGCAGGTCATCCAGCTTCCTACCCAGGAACCCCGCCTCCCCCAGTGCCGTATGGGGCATATCATCCCCCTCCTCCTGGACCACCATATCCAAGCTATGGTGGTGCCAGTGGCGAGCACCCCCCAGTGGTTCAATCTCCCCACGGCCATTACAATCCTCATCCTCCGCATGTGCCCGTTCCTCCGCCTGGAGTTGTGATTCCGGGACCGCCTTATGGTGGGCCAGCGTACAGTCATTCATATGGGACTCCGGAGGCGTATCCAGGACACCATCCAGCACCCACACCGCCGGGTCCTCCAACGTATGGCACACCTCCAGCCGGCCCCTATTTCCCACCCGGGCCACCCCCACCGCAATCACATTACCCGAACCCACCTCCTCACGGCCATCACTATCCCCCGCCTCATCAGCCATATCCTTCATCACATCCGTACCCCCCGCAGCCACCACGGCCCTTACCTCAACCTCATCCTTCGCTGCCGACTCCTCCGCCACATCTGAGAGCTCGAAGCCCGCATCATTTCCATCCTGGGCCCGTATCTGCTGCTCCACATGGCCCACCGGGATTAGGCGCCGAGTCATATCCCCCGCCTTATGGTGGTCATCCTGGGCCCCAAGGAGGCCAGTATCATCTGCAGCCCCCACCGCCTGTGCCTCATAGCTACCACGGCCCTGCTTTCCCCGGCTCACCAAATCCGGACCCCGCTCTCCCTTTCGGTCCTGGATCAGGTATTCGGGTTCTCCCTCCAAGACCTACAGAAGAAGTCACACCAAGCCATCGGAAGGACAGAAACCGCAATTGGAAGAATCGAAAGTTCAAAGATGACAGGTCTAAACATGGCCAGTCCGCATCCAAGAATGATAAACACAAAAACGCACACAAGAGAAGGGATGGGAAAGATACCATGCCGGAGGAGCCTTCAGCTAAACCTGAAAAGAAGGCCAAGAGTGGACATGGGACGCGAGAAACGAAGCCCGATATCCCGAAGGCTGCCAGCGGAGACGACACTGACGCAGATTCGGCGTCCGTGGATAAGGCTGAGGAGGGTGAGATCTTGGATGAAGACGCGCAATTGGAGTGGGACGAGAAGATGATATTCCAAGAGCACAAGGAAATCCATCTAGCGGATGCTGTTGCTGGGCCGCTTCCATCTGAATACACTGAGGATATCCTGATACCGCCTGCTTGGGACGCCGAGTATTTGGTTTCGAAGTTCGTAAATCCCGATAATCGGGGCGCCTACTGCAGCCCAGCATGGGGTACGCCGCTCTGGGATAAGTATAAGGATACTGCTCCTTTCAAGATCGCAACCCTTAGCGATGACGGCACAGTGGATTCTGCTCCTCTACAGAGGCTCCTTGCGACTCGTCGCAGTAGCATGAATCCCGGGCCCAGGCGGGAACCTCAACAGCCGAGCAAAGAGCCCCTGGATGAGCACGGTGCCCTCGACACTGGCGGGAATTTTACAGTCGGGGACGCCAGCATCAACGGATCTACCCCGACGCCTAGCGAATCACCTGAAAGACGCTTTTCCAGTACCCAGAAGGACCGCCGTCCGATTATCGATAGCTACCGACCAAACTACGGCAAAGCAAGCGGGCCTAGCACAGAGCGAAGGCGGAACGGGCAAAGCAGGTCGCCTTCTGCTGCCCGTCGGAACTCCTCTGATGACCAGACCCAGAGATTCCAAAAAGGTCTTGATGAGCGTGGCCGTGACCATCGTGAAAGTTCGGTTGAATCGGATCTCAACTCACTCGAAAATGAACTACTTGGTATTTCTCCCAAGTCTTCTAGTGATGAAGAGAAGGAACGGGAGGAAGAAATGGGGAAGAAGAAAGAGGACGACAAGAAGCGACCCGATGAAGACGCAATTCCCAAGATTAAGCGCCGTCGTGTCAAGGTCGATTCAGCATTCAGGTTAGTCCTGCACCCAACTCATCTTGCTTGTTCGCTTGGAGATGTGCTTCCCGTTCCATATGGTCTAATACTAACAATGGCATAGCCGACGATGGTGAGTGGTACCGGTCAAGCAATCTCTGGCCGCATGGATTGCAACAGCGATGCCCACTCTAGACTATGGCGGCACTTTTAGGGGGGATTCTCTGTGCTTTTTAACCCTTCAGTTTGACATGACATAGACGTGTACATTAAGATTTGTTTGCCATGTCGTTGACTCGGCGTTTCGCCGGTGTGATTTCTCATTCTTGTCTTTGTCATTGCGAGGGATGAGCTTTTGCATTTCGGATGGCATTGGCATTGGCATATGTGTATGAGTGAGTTTGGTTCGGATTCGGAGTTCATTGATTTTTTGTCTTCTTTGAGGGTATTAGATATCATCTGCGTCACTCGTACTCATGCGCAGGTTTACAGTGGGACACGAAGCCTCACGAATATAATAATGCTAATGCAGCTGACTCGACTCCTGGATCACAACACAAACTTATCCAATCGCCTGAGGAATGACGGGATAGCGGGGCGGACTTCGTCTCCTCAAAGGCAGTCAAGTTGAATAGCCCGCCGAGTTTATCTCTCCAGCGCCGCACCTTGCTGGTAGGGGATCGGCAATATCGATGTAGGCTGGTTTCAGCTGTCAGTCACTTCAGAGGTCGCAGATACAGCTTCTGAAGCACTAGTGCGTCATGGAGAAGTTCCTGGCATTGAATGGATCCTGGCAGCTAGCCAGTAGTCGATCCTGGTTGGGAGGGCGACCAGCATTGCGAGCCCCCCACCGAGAAGCCACATCGACGGAACTGCATGATGTTTGATCCATCCAACTGGGCGTGCTCTTACAACAAGGACCAGGCCAACCGGGAATCAGAACCCCGCATTAGATTAATATGATTAATGCGTGTCATAACGCTCGAGGCTTGTTTGTCCAGCGTTCTGCGATAATCGTCTGCACTAGACAGACACGCCTGTCGCACAAGCTCATGCGTGTTTGCGTGTGGGTTCGAGTCGCTTCCGCATCCATGAACAAGTTTTTTGGCTGGGATCGTTCACGAACCATTACACCAGTATGCCCTGTACTCCTATCTCCTGTCCATTTTATCCCACCCCGTTCGGATTTCAAGAGTTCTCTTCCTACCTCCTTCGCTACTTCCAGTCTGCGCAGCCTGTGTGAGATGTACTTCGTACTCTTTGTCATGATGGGAATGTAACAGGACACATACTCGATAATACTCGATACACTGATGCATTCATCTATCCGATCTCCCTTTGGGCTATTTTCTTTGGGTGGGAAGGTACGAGGTACAATTGTACCAGTGTCCAGTGTAATAAATTTGATGTTGTGCTGAAGTTGAAGCGGCAGGCGCAATCAGTGATTGATCAGGCTTCAAATTGTCACAGGTGCAGCGCTGCACTGTTGATTTGACCCCACCATTGAGATACGTCGTTTCGTACCGTGGAATTCAGAAAGCGCGACAACTTTTGCCCTCTCTCCCCGCCTTTCCGTGTTTCCACCCTTCCCACCTTTGGACTTTTACCTGACCGACTCTGCCTCTTCCATCCGTCAATCCACCACAACACAGAGTCTCGCTGCATACGAGGACCGCCACCATGGATGACGAACTCGTTCAGGTCCTCACCAACACCCAATCTCCCGACCAACCAGTCCGCCATCAGGCTGAGCTAGCTCTCAACCACGCCAAATCTAACCCCGCCTTCCCAGTCTCGCTTGCGAACGTCGCTGCCCACACATCTGTCGATACCTCCGTTCGCCAGGCTGCTCTCTCCTCCCTTCGATTGTTTATTGAGTCGAACTGGAACCCCGATGATCAAGATGTCGAGCCCGTAATTGCCATTTCAGACGAGGCTCGGGCCCAGCTCCGGCGGATCTTGCTGGAGCTCACCCTGAGTCCGGAGGAGAACCGAAAAGTTAAAATCGCGGCGAGGTAGGTCTCCTGTTGCCAACGCGTTTCTCATATTTCTACGCGTCCCCACGTATCAGATAGCTAGTAGTTTTCTAACGTTGCGTCTTGCAACTCTTATAGCTATGCGGTCGGCAAGATGGCGATTCATGATCTCCCGGACAAGTGGCCCGAGCTGCTACCGAACCTTCTCTCCATAATACCCACCGGTACCGATGCTCAGGTCCACGGTGCGCTAAGGACCATCTCCGATATCGTCGAGGACAGTTTGAGCGAGGACCAGTTCTTCTCCATGGCCCGCGACATTATCAAGGCCCTGACTGTTGTTGCCCTCGACGAGAACAGGACTCCTACCATCCGCTCCCTTTCTGTGTCCGTCTTCCGCTCGTGTTTCGATCTGATGGATATTGTCAAGGAGGAGCACCCCAAGGAGGTCAAGGCCTTCGGAGATGAGCTTTTGAAGGAGTGGGGACCTTTCTTCCTCCAGGCTCTCAAGGCAAGGTTACCCAACGAGCCCGTAACGGCGTCTTGTCAGCCCCAGTCCTGGAATGGTCTCATTATGCTCAAGCTGCAAGTCCTGAAGACTCTTCTAAAGATTAGGACGGTGCTCCCTCAATTGATCTCTGCTCAGGCGCTTGACTACTTTAGTGCCGTGTGGGAGGAACTTCTGGCTCTCCAGGGACCCCACAAGGAGCTATACCTTGATAATAACGCCCAGGACAGACTGGAGGACATCGACAACCTACCCTATTCCCTCGACTTCTTGATCCTCGAGGAGCTCGATCTTATCCACCAATTCCTTCGTGCACCCCCTGTGCATGCCCAGCTTGATGCTCAGCTCCAGGCTCACCCCTCGGCCCAGGAGACCCCCTGGTTGACCGAGATCATGAAGACTCTTGTCGCTTTCTCACGCATCACCCAGGAAGAGGAAGGATTGTGGGATATCGACTGCTCCCTTTACCTTGCCGAGGAAGCATCAGCTTCGGCCAACTATACCTCGAGGACCGCTGCGGGAGATGTGCTGATCAAGCTCGGCGAGACCTATAGCCAGGCTGCTCTCGACGGCTTGTTCGGTTACACGCAGACTCTATTCACTGGAGAGGCCGCTGGCGATTGGAGAAGTCAGGAGGCCGCACTCTATCTCTTCAACATGCTGGCCAGCGACTTCGACGATATGGGCAAGACCATTCCGGAGCAGACGGCCCGCGCTTACCTAGCCCTTGTCGACTATGCCATCAACCAAGCCGAGTGGCCCCTCTTGCGCGCTCGGGGCTACTTGGTTGGTGGTACCCTAACGCGCTCCTTCGCCACCCCAGATACGCTTATTGAGCGAATTCTTCAATGCATCAACAGCGAGGAAGCCGAGGTGGTCAGAGTTGCGTGCATCAAGGCCGTCGAGCATCTGGTCCGCGCCAAGCGTGTCACTCCTGAACATCAAATTCCCATTATCCAAGCAATTTCCCAGTACATGCAGAACAAGGATCCCGAGGACATGGAGGATGCCGATGAACTTCTCGTGACCATCGCGGAGTCCCTGCGCCTTGTCATCAACGTGGACCATCGGGTTGCCTTGGCCACGAATGTACAGCCCGTTGACATTCTTTTCACTCTCGCCAGACACGGAGCTTCTAATTTCCAGGTCACTATGATTGTCACTGAGTCGTTTGAAGATATCGTCCGTAACCTGACGGATCCGACCTCCTATACCGCCCTTAGTGCCAAGGTGCTTCCTATTATTACTGCTGCATTTGATGTTGCAAACCTCACCCAAGACGATCCCCTGGTCACGGTTAGTCAACAATAAAGGCCGATCAACATCCTCAGCGATGTATAGTTTGTCCCATGGCTAACAAAATCTTGTCTTTTTAGGTTGCCGTAGAGCTTTTAGTCGTGTTGATTCAGCACGGTACCGAACCTCTACCTCCAGGCTTCATTTCCGCCACTTTGCCCAAGCTGAAGAGGCTCCTCATGGAGGCTGTTGAGGGCGAGGTGCTGAGGCCTGCTGCCGAATCGCTGAAGTACTTGCTCATGCATGACCACCATCAAGTCTTCGGATGGCACGACGAGTCGGGTCAGAGCGGTCTGGATGTCTGTCTTCTGGTGATCGACCGCCTTCTCGGATCTGCTATTGAGGATAATTCGGCGTCTGAAGTTGGCGGCCTGGCAGCTGAGCTAGTAGAAAAGGCCGGACACGAGCGCCTCGGTCCGTATCTGCCTCAACTTCTTCGAGCGGTCGCGACTCGACTTTCCACTGCCCAGGCGGCGCCCTTCATCCAGTCTCTGATCCTCGTCTTTGCGCGCCTGTCCCTGGTCGGCGCTCATGACGTCGTGGAGTTCCTTAGCCAGATCCAAATAGGCGATCAGAGCGGCCTTCATGTTGTACTCGGAAAATGGCTGGAGAACTCGGTCAACTTTGCCGGATACGATGAAATTCGTCAAAAGTATTTCCCCCCGGGTCTTTGCCGATCCCTCCCTGTTTCGTTTTAGCGGCGCGATAAGTAAAACTAACTATCTGATAGTGTTATCGCGCTCTCGAAGCTGTATTCACTGAATGATCCACGGTTGTCACAGACTATGGTCAAGGGAGACCTCATTGTCACAGACACTGACCGTATTAAGACGCGCTCGAGGGCCAAGCAGAGTAAGTGCATGGAGGTAATTACAGTTTCAATGTTGTATGCGACGCTAATCGTAGTAGACCCAGATCAATACACCATCATTCCCGCTTCGCTCAAGATCCTCAAGGTTCTGATTCAAGAACTCCTCTCGGCATCGGGTAGTGGTAGGGCCGCTGCCACTGCTGCCGCGTTGGCTGCCGCAGCTGAACTCGAGGAGGACGACGGCGACGACAACTGGGAGGATGAGCCCGATAGCGTCGATCTCGGCCTCGGAACTTCGAAATCCGACCTCTACGCTTTCATTGAAAGCAGCGGCAGCCGCCAGCAGGATGACGAAACCCAGGCCTACCTCACCGAGTTCTTCGTGTCTGCGGCGCGTGACAATGTAGCCAACTTCCAAGAGTGGTACACCATGCTCACGGACGAGGAGCGCACCAAGCTGCAGGAGCTGGCGTCGCAACCTTCTGCCTAGGGAGACGCCGCGGTGAGTCCCCCTGGTGGGACCCAAAGCGCTGGTGATGCGAGGACACGTACTCTCCGAAAGCATCTCTGGGGCTGAGCAATTCTGGGACGAGACCGCGGTCAGATCGAACTTTTTAAGGGAAACTTTACTGCGGGTCTGCTCCCCTGGTGAGAGCAGACAGGATCTGGGATGGAAATAGCCGTGGAAAATGGAGGAGGAGAAGAAACACAGAGATAGATACCAAGTCGGCGGAGGACATACGGAAAAGGAAGTTCTAGCTGCAGAAAGGGAAAAGGTATTCAAGGGGGTCAACTGCTAGAGATTTCAGTAAACAGTAACAAAGGGCCAGAAGGAAAAACGAACTAACCTCACAAAGAGAACCAAAAAAAAAAAAAAAAAAAAAAAAGAGGAAAGAATTGTCTAAAGTGTCCTATTCTGGCGTTTGGAGAAGTCGACGGAATTGGTCGAGGAGGGACGGCGTCGTTGGATGTTCAGGTTTGGCCGCCGGTGCAACGTTGACGTTGGAGATTTCAAGTCTTCTTTCTTGTCCAGGTCGTAAGAGGGATGGGAGAGAAAGAAAAAAAAAAATGTCGGCAAAAATCTACTTTCCCTTGAAGTGCGGACATGTCTAGGAAGGGGGAACCTCGCGCAGCGTGATGAGCGCTCTTCGAAGGAATGGTTTTTCATGACAAGCCACATCAAAGAGGAGACCGAGCATAAGGAAAATCTTGATATTATTTCTCATACTACCTCATTAAAGCCTTGATATGACGGTTTGCCAAACTTCGTAAGTCATTACTAGCTGTTGTACAGATGAAAAGAAAAAGCCCTGACGGGTAAAGGCTGGCCCTGCATTTATTCGTTCTTCCTTTTTGCATCGTTCAAATTATGTCGCCGCCGAAACCACCACCACTTGGCCCTCCTCCAAAGGGATGTTGTCCACCTCCCTGTCTCGGCCTAGGGCCGCCACCGGGTCCCACAGGATCCCACCTCGCACCAGGAGGACGTTGCGGATCATGGAAGCTGTCCTCGCCGGCCTGCCCGCCTCCAGGGCCCTGGAACAGTGGGTCATCAAAGGTGGGATGCATGCCGCCGAACCCTCCGGGTCTGCCTCCGGGTCTGGGAAGACCGGGTTCGCCGCCGGTGAAGTACGGGCGAATGGGATCGTGGGGGCCGAGGCCGGCGGGGTAGAGATCGTCGTGGCCGATGTCGAAGGGCCCGGGGCCCGGGGGAACGGTGCCTCGGGGTCGGGTGTTGATCTCGTGGGGGTCTTCGAAGCCGGGAGGGGGAAAGTCGCCTGGGATCGGGCGGCGCGGTGGAGGGGCTGCGAGTGGGTCATAGAAGGGGTAGGGATGGCCTGGTTGGGGTGGTCTGGGTTCCTCGAGAGGTGGGCGGGGGCCGAGCTCGCCTGGTCGAGGTCTGGGTTGCTCTGATGGTCCGGCGCCTAGGTCTGGCGTCTCCTCGTAGCCTTCTACCTGGAGTTTGGGGATAAATTTTTGAACAATCTTGACTTTGAACTCGTTGAGAACATCTATTTCATAGTTAGTGTCTAATTACGAGGAAGGCGAAGAAGAAGAGGGAGTGGAAATTGATCATACCATCAATTGCCTGATCGGAGACAAAGAGTTGCCTCAACTTATCCCTCAAACCGCTTCGATCCTCTGCTCCCGCCTCATCCAAAGGAATCCGCACAGGCAACCCAGCCGAGCGCACAATGTCCCGGATGTTCCTCTCGAAACGGTAGATCTTGTCGTCGCCTACCGCGAGACCCCGGATCTCGACTTTGTTCCCAAGCCTATCGACCTTGACAACGAATGTCATGGCGGACTGCTTGTGCGCGTAGACGAAGCTATGGGAGCCAAAGGTGTCGTTCCATGACGGCGGGAGGCGTGGTGCTAGCGAGGTGCACTCATCCTCTGAGGATTTCAATTTCAGTTTTAGTATTGGAATATGTGAAAATCATAAGGAGATGTGGATGGGCGATGAAGAAACCATACCTATCTTCTTGTCCTCGTTGAAACCCAAGAGCCGAAACTTGAGGGCTGTCATGTACGAATGGATGAGCAGAGCCAAGACCTCATAAGACGAGCTAAGATCAGAGCTCGAATCGCCCTGCGGATGGGTTGGGATTGCGTCCGCCATCCCCTGCAGGATGGCCTCTTTCCGAAGAGATTCAGCCATTGTCGTGGCGAGTGATGGCTTTTCTTTTTCAGATGATTACCGGTGAGAGTATTCTCTCGAGTGTCGATGTTCTGATGCTGAATCTAGCTGCTGATATAGCTCAACTGAGGCAACAAGAAGCTGCGTCATTGAAATGGAGGGGCAAGAATCGATAAATGAATAACAGCTGTCTCCTTCTCCAATTCCAAGGGCCAATATGCAATAAAGGAAGCAACTGCCCCTCCTTGACTCCGTCACATGATCTCGCGTGTGCTTCCTTCCTTCCACAATTCCACCCCACGTCATCGACGCGTTCTTTCCCTTTCCCTTTCCCACTCTAAGTAAACCCCACGATCGTCATCAGTCGTCGATCATCACAAGCGTAGATAGTCTAGTCTTTGGCAATGTCGCAGCTCGCCATGCCCCCAACATCCATCCCCCTCTCCCAAGCCAAGACCCTCCTCGCCCGCTTCACAACCTTCCTCACAGCCGCCATCCACACAATCCTCTACCACCGCCGCATCTACCCCCCGGAAACCTTCCTCACAACCCGCTCCCACAATCTCCCCATCCACCAGTCCCGCCACCCCGCCCTCTGTGCCTGGATCAACGACGCCGTGGCCGCCGTAGTAGCGCAGATCCGCTCCGCCTCCGTCCGCCGCGTCGCCCTCGTCATACACGCCCCTCCCGACTCAAACGCCTCTAGCGTAACCGTCGTGGAGAGATGGGTCTTTGACATTGAAGGGTGGCCGGCGTTTCCTGAAAGCATACCTGCCGATTTCAAGGGCAAAGGGAGAGAGAGGAGCGGTGGTGGTGGGAATGAGGACGAGGAGGAGAACGGCGGTGAGGTCGGCGGTGCTGCTGCTGAGGGCCCGGGTGTTAATTGGGTGGATGTTCAGGAACAGCTGAGGGCTGCGCTGAGGAGGATATCGTATGCTGGGGAGAAGCTGGGTGGGTTGCCCGCGGGATGTACGTTTACAGTTGCTGTTGAGCTGAACGATGAAGCGCCTGCGCCGATAGGGGTATGTATACCTTTCCTTTTTTTTTTTTTTTTTTTTTTTTTTTTTTTTCAAGGTCTTTGCATCATGTCGTGACGTTTTTATGATTGCTGACCGGCTATTCCTAGCATCCCCAAGCTTGGATCCCCTCGGAACCAAACCTCCAACCACCGTCGGCATCCAGGGAGCAAGCGGGCAAAGACGTCGGCGGAAGAGCCACTCCCATTCGCTCCGTCGAGGCAGGCCCACTCTTCTTTGAATGCTGGGTCGAGGAGGGCGATTCTGGGATCCTAGAGAGCTTGAGAACACAATCCTCCCAGCAGACGGAAGATAGCCAATCTATGCCCCTCGCGTGACCATTAACATTAAGAAAAAAAAAACGAGCATACCCAGAGAGAATGCGCTGTGATGTGTGCACTTAGAAGCCTCACATCTGTGACGCTTTGAACGATTTTCTCGAATTTGGAAAATGCTCGGCCAGATATATATGGACATGCTCATGTCGGCGTCTCCAAGTTGTATCCTTACAAATGGCTAAGCCATCCTGCCATGCGACAACCAAACTATTCACCCCTTCTAATCCCATCATATACTCATACAGAAAACCTCATCATCACTGTTCCCTTCCGGTCATAGACCATAGATAACTCCCTACCAACGCCAAGCGCAATGTGTAAAACGTCCGAATATCATGACATCTCGCCCCATCCGGTAGTCCCGTTCAGCCTACAATCTGGAAATCCTTTCCTCTCCAACTTGTTCTTTTCAACTCTTCACTCCCACACCCACTTAGTTCTCCGAAAGCCCCTTCATGGCCGCCCTCAGACTAGCCATCTCCCTCCTCAGCCGAGCATTCTCCTTCTTCACCCTCGCCGTCTCCTCGCTCTGCTCCTTGAGCTTCGCCACGAGCTCCTCCTTATCATCCCTTCCCTTACCCTTCAAAGCCTTGACGATCTTGCCGAGCTCGGAGTTGAACTTCTCGTAGAGGAGCTCATTCTCCGCCATCGCCTCCTTATAGAGCTGATCGATCGCCTTAACTTTAGCCTCGGACGCCTTGAGCGTCGTCTCCATGTCGCTCTGAATAGCTTGGTGTCTCTCCTTGAGATCCTTCATCGCAGCCGGCATGCGGTCCTCGAGCGCCTGAACCGAGGCCGATAGTTTGCGAAGATCCGTGGGGCCCGTCCTTCCTCCGAGCCCGCCATTAACTCGCGCCATATCCTCGGCAATCTTGGAGAGCTCCGACTTCAGGGACGCGTCCACCTCATCGGCAGTTTGTTTCTCCGTCTGGAGCCTCTCGCGTAGCTTTTGCGGTGACTGGAGACGGAGCCTTTGGCTTGCGCCGGCCCTAGTTGGGCTGCTTGTCGGTCTGGAGGCCGAATCGCCGGAGGTTCCTGTGATGGTTGGCCGTCGCAGCGTGGGGATGTTAGAGGACGACAGCGTTTTCGAATGCGACCTCAACTTCTCGGGCTCCGAGGGGACCGCGCCGGTCGCTGGAGTCGGGGTTGCTGTGCTGCCAAGTGATCCTCCAAAGTTCTCCTTCTGGCGGGACGCGCGCAATGCCTGGGAAGAACCCGGGCTGATTGGGATTCGCGATGGGGACGGGATCCTAGGAGCCGAGTTAAATTTCTCCGACGTCTGCTTGTTCAAATCGAGGGGCATCAGAGTCGTCGTGCTATCCTCAAGCGACGCAGCCGCCATAAGGCTTCGCAGGTCGGACAATGAGCTTCGCCTCTTCTTCCTCGGCGCCTTGGCGGGCGGCGCGGCAGCCTCGACTTCCGGCTCGCCGATGGTCTCGAGCCGCGACTCGAGACGGTGGGAACTCGCCGGCCGCTGAATCTCGTCAAATGCACCGGCCACCGGCGGCCTATCGCGCGACCCGGGCCTTCGGAGTTTATTTGGCGACGGGCCAAGGTCAATAGACTTCGTCCTACCAAGAGAACCCTTGGACAAGCTGGAGGTCTGACTAATATCTCCAGAGAGCGCGTTGCGGTTGTGCTTGCTGAGGCTGCGCCAGACGGATCCGTGACCGGAATCCTTGCTGTTCTGCCGCAAGAGAGTGTCGAATCCAAACTTGCGCCGCAACGAAGACGTGTTGGAAGTCAGCGATCCAGTATGCGACTTCGCGCTACGGGTTGTCGAGTTCATGGATTCATATGCCGAGTTGCCAAGGTGGATGCTGTTGCTGAATCCAATTTCTTCAAATATCCGATCGCAGTCTTCCACAAGCCTATCGAGCAGGTTAATGTAATTGTGGGCCGTTCCATCTGTGACGAGAACCTCAGCAAAAGCGAGGGTCAGCGCTCCCCGATCACTATCGTTCCCGCAACCATCAAGGAGATCGGCGAGGAGTTTCATCAATGCCGTAAACGCCCGGCGATTCTGAGGTGCCATATCACCAAAGAGATAGTTGACGAAATCGGCAAAGTCTCCGGGGACCCTCTTGTTCGCCCTCGCCTGCAGCGTGTCGAGAGCCTGGATGGTCATGATGGGGCCCATCTGTTCTGACCACGCAATACGCAAGAACTTTTCAAAGGCCACAAAGATCACATCCGCCGTGAGTTCCGTCGCGGCATCGATGTCGAACGGCGATTCTATTAGGCGGTTGTACAGATCATTGACTGCGAGCTCGTCCACGCCCGATCGGTTGAGGAGCGTACGGCCGATGATAGATCCCTTCCGAGCCTGTAACGCCGCGACGTACCCAGTGAAAGTCTGCTCAAGACGGACGAGGGGGTTCTCTGGCTTGCCGTCGTCGAGAGGGATTCGATCCTTATCGCGTGAAGAGCCGAATATGGAATGCGTACTGTTAGTTCTCGGGAGAGGAGGTGGCGGAAATACTCCGGCCACTGGGGCGCGAGAGTATTTCGTAGGGCTTGGAGGCTCAACAGTGGTGGAGCTGCCGCCGCCGCCGCCGCCACCCCAGAAGCTTGATAATAGCTTGACCGGCGAGGTCGCCAGGAAAGACCTGGACTTTTCGCGTCCGACCGCGGTAAGATTCATCGCTTTTAACGTCTTGGTGTGATAAGAGATGAGCGCCGATGAAATCCGCAGATTCGAAACGTCGAACTGAGTACTAAGCAGTTGTATGACTAGAGAAATGATGTCAGTAGACTGGAGCAAGAGAGGAGGTTTTGGGGGGGGGGGGGGGGGGGGGGGGGGGTTCTGAACACATTTTCAAGTTCACATACTTCTTCGCGACATGGTTGGAAGGAAATCTTCCAGCGCCACCTCGTCTACGAAAACCTTTCCATTCAGCCCCACCGTATTCATAGAAATCCGCTGCAAGTCATTCGTCTTCACATTAATGACAATCTCGACTCCGTAATGACCGACGGGCGCACCCTTAGTTCCCCTTTCATGATCAACAACTACTCGAATGGGCGCCGGCTCTTTCCTGCCCTCGATCAGTTGGTCGATCCCTTCCTGGAAGACCGCCGCGAACAGACCCAGGTTGTTATCCGGCATGCGAACGGAGCGGAGAGTCCAGCAGGGGTCCTCCCTCTCGGTCTCGGAGAAGCGGCCCTCGACGCGAGCCTTGACAATGTCCTCACTCCACTTAGCAGCCTTGTTCTCGTAGGACTCCTGAAGGACGAAACAACGAGAGGTAACACCTGTGCTTTTGACGTAAGGACCCGCGTGCGCGCCCTTCATCTCCTGAGTTGACGTCATCCAAATCATTTGTCCATGGGCCGACTCGGTGAACCGAACGTCGGCGAGGTTATGCCACCCAGCGAAAGCGAGCTCATAAGAGGCTGGGCCACCGGCGGCGTTCGTCATGGACATCATGAGTCCTGCCGCAGAAGGCTTGTCGAGCTCGCGTAGCAGGTCTCGGCCGGTAAGGCCCAGGACCTTCTTCTTCAAGATTACGATGCAGTCGGAGAAGAGAAGGAACATTCCTGCACTGTCAGCGTCGCTGGGCTTGGGACCCTGGTATGGCGGGAGAACCTCAACAAAGTCAGCAGCCAGGATCAAACGTCCTTGCGGTTCGAGGTCCAAAGGCCACGACTCGATCATGTTTCGCATACGGGTAGTTAGCTGGGGCTTGTCGGGAAGCGGGTCATCCATGGAGCAGATATTCGTGATGATGTCCCTGGCTTTGAGCATGGGCTGCAGCGCGGGATGGGTGATCGGCAAAGACGAGACTATCTGATCAATGAGTAAACTGTAGCGGGGGAGTCTCTGAACAGGCTCGATGAGAATGGAGCGTATCGTCTGCTCGCCTGCCTGGTTCACCCGTTGCCTGAAGGAAGACTGCGTCGCAAGGAAGCCGTTGAGAAGATTCGGAAAATGCTGGCTAGCTTTGATGTAGTCTTGGTAACCGTCGGTAAACTTGGGAAACCACTCGAGGAACAGCTTGGCGACGGCGAGGGCGCCACTTGGGTCTTTCGCGCGGGCAGTACCACCTAGCTTGGATCCCGCGAAGGCCACAGTGGGTGTTTCCATATCCTTCAGGGCGTCCTCCTCACTATCTTCCATGATTTTCCGGAGTTCAAGGTGGAAGGCCGAGTTCATTTGGAGGATTCGATCTGCAGAGGTAGGGAACAATCGCTTGAGATCCTCCTCGGACGGGCTCAAACTGCCCTGGACCTGGCGCTTGGCGGACTGGCGAAAGTCGTCGGCAATGTGTTTTACAAGCTCATTGAGCTTCATGACGTAACGGTCCTCGGTATCCAGAAGTTCCCCAAGCTTCATTCTCAGCTCCATTTTCTGATCCTTAGTGAATGACTTGCTTCTGTTCAGAGACGTCGGTTTCGAAGGCGCACGGCGCAGCTTGGCGGTGGGAAGGAAGATTGGCTCGCCAAAGAGACGTATCAGCGGTGTGTAGCCCCCATATTGCCTTAGCGTAGGGTCGAGTATGTCGTCCTCGTCCTCGGGGACCTCCTCGTAGTCCTCGGGCTGTAGGGGTAGAATGGCGCCGGGCGGTAGGACGAAATCGATATCGATATTGCTTAGGTGCTGCGTTTGTAAAGCATTGTGAAGCTGGTTGACGACGTCAGCCGTTACCTCCGACTTGACCATGGCACTCGCGAGGTCGGCAGCATGTTGCTCGCAGAACAAGGCGGGAGCCGAGCCGGGGCGTCTTGCCCGAGTCGTTGGGTACTGGTTCTTCAGGTGATTCTTCACCAGGCCAGGTAGCTCGGTGAAGTATTTGAATAGGCCAAAGGCCAGACCTCGGTAGATCTCATCGCCTTGAAATTCGCGCGGCAGATGGTTCACGACTCCGTAGAATGGCGAATTGGGCGATATCGTTATGCGAGGGTAGGATCGGAAACCGGCGGGGCTGTAGACGTGGACCTGGACTCTCGAGCTGTTGAGGGTATAGTTCGCCGTCGTCGAAGGGCCGTGGAAGATGAGGACGGGAAGGTGGCCGAGGAGAGGGTCGGTGGTGTGGTAAAGAGTGACATGTTGGGCCGAAAGGGCTAGCTCTTCTGTGACACGAACCATTGTGGCGGCGGCGTTGCCATCTATTAAATCAAATTAGGACCCCAGGATGGAGGGAAGACTTGGAGAGAAGGGCCTCCCAGAGGGGCGCAAAGTTCATCCAGGTCGAAAATACGGCCGCAGGAGAAGAAGCGGTGTTGATGTGGGTTGCTGGGTTTTGGAGGTTGCAACAAGGAGGGATATTAGAGAAAGAAAGAGAAATTAGGCTCCTGGCTCCGCGCAAGATCGTAGTCGACGTGAGTGAAGGATAGTAAACTTGGGGCAGAGGCCGGGCGCGTGTTGACGGGCGGAAAGATGCAGGAATTTGGGCTCGGTGTTTATCTCTTGTGCGCTGCAGCTAGAGCGATGAAACTTCGGGAGACAAGACGGGCGAAGGAGGGGTCCGGCTAGGGATAATTGAGGGTAGAGAAAAAAAAAGAAAAAAAGAAAGGAAAAGAAGATGTAAAAAAAAAGAAGCAATTGGAAATATCAAAAATAATGGGCGACGAGAAGTGAAGTCTGAAGTAGAAAATAAAACTCAGGGAAGTCGCGGTGAGAAACAAATTTTGGGGGCGGTCTGAGTTCAACAACTCGAGGATATCTCCAAGATCTTCAACGCACCCAACCAAGACCCAATTCGAGATGGAGGGTTGTCTCAACTCTGACTAGGGATGTAGAGGTTTTGCCCAACTCAATTGTTCTAAAATGTCGGGCTGTTCATACGGAAGAAGCACGAATTATTCCATTGCTTTTGTACTCGGAGACCAGGATTTGTGCCTTGGTCGCATTCAACTGACAACTAGCGGTACACCACACTACACTATCCACTGCGAAGTCCTGTACTTTTGGCTGACATCTGCATCTGGGAGAACCTGTTGGTGCTATCGCAGTAGCACTAAGCCCAGTAAGTACATAGTTGTACACCAGACTGTAGTGTACGAATAATCCCCAGAATTATTGATGCTCGACGTGATTTTAACACGCGTCTTGGTCTGAGCTGACCTTATGTAAATAATAATACGAAGTACTTGTCCGCGTCTCGAGGTGCAACCGCAACCGTGGTCCTGTGCAGTGCCTTTCTGAATTGGTCGATCTTCTCGGTAATTGGATAATTCCTGTTAAATCCATAACAGCACCCCCTTCATTCTCACCATCTCCAACAACCCGTTTTAGCCATATTAACTGCCCAAGACAAGCGATATCAAATCTCGAATCTCGAACCACCACCCACTTGTTGCGGCTCCTTTTAATACCGGGACCTGCAATCGTCTTCGTGGTACTTTTACATTGTTGGTGCTAACCCCGGAACGCGAACCCGGTACGTGTCCGTGCCGTTCATCTTCTCCCAGATTTCTCCAGCCGAGCCTCAATCAAGCCCAGAGGACTTCGTAGCAGGAGTCCTCTCCATTGTCTTCTTGGTCTGCTTGGTTGTCTAGCTGGGACACCCTAGCCCGGTCCTCCAATATCACAACCAGAACTCATCAAAACTCATAACCAACCATCATGAGCTCCGACACCGCCCCGGTGCCAACCCGTCCCGGCATCCCCCTCACCCACGTATCAGACAGCAAAAGCTACCGCCTTCTCGAACTTCCCCCAGAACTTCTGGCCCTTCTTGAAAACGACTCTCCACCTCCGTAAGCCAAAACTGTCCACGTATCTTTTCCCTCCCCTCAGTCCCCTTTAACCCTACCGCAAACGGAAAATGGGACCCTCCCCCCAACCTACCGACTTACACGCACCTTTCTGGAACTGGGCGTGGTCTTGGCTTTGTTAACATGATTCCAGACTCCATCTCGAGCCAGGCAAGCCCCACGCCGTCCTCGTCACTCCAGACAAGAGATACATTCTTACCCAGCGCAACACCTCCAACTCACTCATCCTCCTCGAGCCAGCCCCAGAAGGTCCGGCTAACCAGAAACCCGGTCTGAACATCATTGGCACCTTACACGAGTCTATCGAGCTGGCGCCAGAACCCACTCGGAAGTCTTAGATGTGCCGTTTGCAGTCTTCGTTGAGGAAATAGATTCCATTAACCACTTGAGAACCCTCCAGTCCATGTACGCAATGTCGAAACTTTCATTTTATTTTATTATTACTGCCGCCTGTATTCTTCAAATGCTCACTACATGCCGGTCCGTCTAAACTCCGAATGAATCGCATGATGTGACCCCCCTAGCCTCCCAACAGATAGAATAACCCTCAACTCCCTCGAACAATCGCCATGATGTGAAACGAATAAGAACGAAAAAAAAAGAAAAAGATCTGTTCTCCCTTGCCAATCGGGGGAAATTCGAAGAGGGCGGGCTCTCCGTCGAGGAAAACAACGAAGAGTAGTACTATTTAGGCATCAAGGCCGTTCATCTCACCGGGCAAAGTGCGACTAGTCGCATATGCATCACGTCCAGATTGGACTTCACACTACCCTCGGTGATTCTAGAGCACTCCACAAGCTCTTCTTATACCCCGTCTGGAAAATCGCCGGTGTTCAAGGGTAATAAGGGGCCACTGGAAGGGGACTTGGGCTCCGGAACTTTTCCGGAACTACCAAGCGGGGCAGGCCGCGGCCGGTATTTCACGTCGCATGAGGCGCCTCTATCATGCCGACGCCCTCATCGCCGTCGTCGATGATGATAGGCTGTTCTCGTGAAGCACCGGCCTTCCAGAGAGCCCCGGTAGCTGCTGGCCTCGGCAACACCGGAATACCGGTTGCTCGTTCTTGCGGGCGGCGTCTCGCCTGCTGCATCACGGGTTGAAGTATAGGCCAGATAGGGTTTGCAGCAGCCTGGTTAGGTGCACGGATGGGAATAGCGGCTACTCGTTCTTGCCCCATGGCCTGTATGTGTCCACCCTGCAAAGGAGGTTGAAGGGGTCGAGGAGCTCCGGGTGCGTTAGCTCCCGCAGCTCCCACGGCACCTTGAGTAAGATTTTGATTCCCGTGCCGAAGGGGAACATGAGGCAACATTGGTGCTCCTTGCTCGCCTTGGATATCCCAGAATCGCATGGCAGCGTCTCTAAAAGCGCCAATCTGACCCTGTCTATCCGTGGGAACCTGGCCGAGGCCTTCGCCAAACTGGCCAAGGTAGGCTAACGGATCGATGCGAGTTTCCTCCGGAAATCGGGCCATGCCTGGTACGTTGTAACCCCCAAGCGGCTGAACACCCGGCTGAAGAGACGCGCCGTAGTGAAATCCCGTGGTCCCCATGACTCCTGCGATATTCGGTCTCGCAACGGGGAAAGGAACAAAAGGAACTGTCGGCGGGGGGTTGGCATTTACAGGCCCTGCAAAGTTGCCCGTAAACTCTGCAACATTGGCATTGAGTTCGGCATTCGGAATTTCAGGAATGGGCACTGCACGGTTGCGACCCCGGCGCCGTGGTGCTGCCCGGGGCGCTTGCCTTGGTTTCGCTTTACCCTTGCCGGCCTCGGTCCCGGTTACCTTGTCAGACATTTTGATTTGTAGAGTTGTCTCATCAAGTTCGGGGTGCTCCTCGAGAACGGCTTTCCTTGCAGCTGTTTCCGCAGCCTTCGCTTCAGATGCATGGCGGTTTTCGATGGATTTTTCGTGTAGTGGGCAAGATTTGCCATCAGCGCGCATTTTATTAAAATGGTTGTAATCGCAGTTCTCAGAACAGACGTAGCATTGTATATTGCCACATCCAGGACTGTAACAGGTCATCTTGTTACATCCGCTCAACTTGACGAAAGGGACTTTGCCTAGATGTATAGAAAGAAGTTGAGTCAATCGCTTACCCACCAGACCGGGGGCCCCGGGGGGGGGGGGGGGAAGGGGGTAGAGCTCTGCAGAGAGCTTTGGTAGCCAAAAAGGAGCGTCTGGAAAAGTGAGCGGTAATGCAGGAACTACTCACATTTATTACATGTTCGGATCACTGCCGCGGACATAGCCTCCTCGATCTCGCGGCGGGCCGAGAAGCCCTTCTCCTTCTCGGCCTCCTCACAGGACATTGGAACGTGGCTCTTCTTATTGCAAAGACGGCAACTGATGATTCCGCACTCGGGATTCTCGCAGCGGAATTCCTTATCCGTCTCCGGTGGAGGACATTCTGCAGCATAGGGGCAGAATGGGCAAGAAGCCAGGTCGTCTAAACCAGCCATGCGTATGGAGGCTTGCTGTTCGAGGCGATCCAAGGTAGCGGACGTCTTGGCGCTGAGGAATAGGCTGCGTTGAGTGACAGGTAGCTTGCCTGCGCATCCTCCCATTGCCATGCAGCTTAGATCATAGCGCGAGACTGAGATCTGCGTCTCCGCCTGCTTCCGAGCGCAGTCATAACAAAAGAACTATTAGAATAAATCGCGTGTTAGCTTTTCCATAAACGGGCGAAATGGAGCGATGGCTCAGCAATTAATGGTAATGTTCGAGTGTACGTACATGCTCAACGTCGCCATCGCAGCTGACCATGCGATCGGCGGCATGGTCATCATAGCAACAGGCGCATTCCAACGTCGGGATGGGAGTTTCTTCATCCCTAGTAGCGCCCGTACTTGTGGCAACTTGGCGATTCGGCTTCTTGGTCAAGCATGCTCGAATACGCCTAGCGGCCTGGATCTCCAGCGCAATGTTGTAGTCATGGTCGGATGGTGCAGCGATCTTCAGGGCGTAGTCAAAGTTGTCGCCAAGCTCGTCCTGGTCGCGAAGAGGCCGATCTTTTTTAGGCAATGACTCAACGGTGCCAATCCGGTCTTGGCAAGTGAGAACACTATACGCCTGTAGAAGAGAGTGGTGACAAGCGGCCAAAGTTTGGTACGCACGATAACTAGACAGATCGGGGAAGGCATGTATAAGAGCGTCATGGCTGTCGGCCATGGGAACGTGAAGTTAGCAAGGTTTCAGCTGCACAGATTGAAGGCGGCGCATGGCGCTCATCATTGAAAGGCCATTAGATCGAGACGCCGGAAGGCATAGAATGGCATGGCCAATAGGCTAAGATGAACATACCTCAGCTTCCGATACGCGGTGAAGGGGATAGTGCAGTTGCGCCACTCGACGCTGTTGAAGTGATTCTGGAGCGTTTCGACATCGGCAGCAGAAACGTCTCCTAGCGGTTTTGTGAGCAAGTCAAGAACAAAATCGTCTGCTCGCTTACGCTTCCGAGGGTTTGGACTCAAAGACTTCTGAGGGTACGCAGAACTTTTCTCCTGTAGCTCGAGCAGTGCGTCAATAACGGCCGGGGTACTGTAACCATTTTCGCCGGTGAGCTTTGTGACATAGTCTGGACAGATGTTGGGGAAAATGGCGGTGACATTCTTGACACAATCCGCCAGCATAGCTGTTGTGTCAAGCTCAAGCAGAGCGGCATCTTGGAATCCACCATAGGCAGGGGAGGCCTCAACACCACCGGTCCCAGCAACGGCATTCATCTCATAAGCCAGTACTTGATTCGGCTTTGGATTGATGCTTATCCCATCGAGGCAGGCCTTCTGCAACTAGAGCGTCAGCAGTGACTTGGTAAATCGAGGGATGCTTATGCGTACTGACTGGGCGCCTCGCGGGACGGTGAGAGGGTAGAAAGAAAGAAAATGGAATCTCAGAGGTCTGGGATTCGGGGATTCAGGATATGGTCTTTGGAGAGCGGAGAACGCGGAAGGGAAAAAAGGCAACCAGTGAATGTAGATGAGTGAGAAAGATCAGCAGCTATGGATATACGAAATAGATCTATTAATCGTCGTTCGGCAGGTTCACTGCAACCACGATTTAGTAGACAAGTCAAACTTGCATGGGTCAGTTTCAGGGAAGGTGCGTCTGTTGTTTGTGAGTCGAGAACAGGACAAAGGCTGAGTGTCTAATACAGCTTCAAGAGGAAGGAGTGAGGGAGGGATAACTCCAGTAAGTGAGCCAGGCAGAGGCAGGAGCAGGCGAGGGAGCAGGTTCGAGGGTGGAAGGTTACGGTTGACTTTAGAAGTCACGAGATGATCTGGGCGGCTGCTCGGTCTTCTTCGAATTGGTCTTCCCCGATTCGCATCAATGGTGCTTTGCGTAATATGGAATTGGGTCGGTCTATGCTGGTGTCGCCTGGGCGTGCCCGTCTCAGGAAGCGGCTTATAGATTGTGACCGAAGCCTCGCAGCCTCAAGTCTACAATCATTCGATTCCCCGCGATGGCGCACAAGGCTCACGAATGGGCATGGGAACCAATGCTTGAAGAGTCAATGCGGTTCCCGACCCCGAATTAGGCCGCCAAAAATCGAATAGGGCGCCGTATTCCACAACTTGCAAGGGGCTCTAGTCGTCTTGGCAACTGTCTCCCAAAGGATCCGGGGATGGGTTGGATGTGGGTGTAGATGATGGATGGCGGATGGCGGATGGCGGATGGCGGATGGCGGACGGCGGGTGACGAGCTTTGAAACGTCGACGGGAAAGTTGGGGAGTTATTGAATATACACAAAGCTTCTTTCGAGACTAATATGTCGAGGCTCGCATGCAGGAACCTAAATATGGTCAAAAATCCCCCGGTTACGTTGGCGGCCGGGAGGAAGCTGCCTCTCGTCGATGAGGATAAGTTCGAAGGCGGGTAAGTTTAATTGACCTCGAGTTGAGAGACAAGTTCGTTCCTTAAAGCTGCCTTGCAGAATGCAAACGTTTGCTCTTGCCGCATGACGGCGTTACGACCCCGGAGGACAATGAACGGGCTCGATCGAGGTTATTATTACTCCGTACATCCGCGGTTCGAACAGTCCTTTCGAAGTGCGAACGCAGTAAGAAGGAAAACAATGTTTCAACTCCTTCTGAAGACGAACAAAGGCCCACAATCAAAATCGCCGCCGTGGTTTGGTCGATCAGCGTCCCTTTTACGGAGTCAAGGATGTGGCACACCACTGCACATTACGCTACTGCAGTCCCTGGCCTCATCTTCGAAGCAAGGACAGGGATTCGGCAAGCAGACTGGCCCCAGGCTGGGAAAATCGATCCACACACCCCGGACCTGTGATTTATTCCCGACGCTCGGCAATGGCTTTCGCTGGCTTTCGCTCAACCGCCCCATGGAAAACCAGACCCTCGGATTTCTAGTGGATTCCCACACCCTCTGGAGCCTGGGCGCTCTCTTTGCTCCGGTCCGGTCGCTAAGGACTTGAGTGGAATGATGCACCAATGTTGTATTGACAAGTTAGTGCCGCACACTTCTCCATGCAAGACTCTTAAGCTTCGACCGTGGTCCTTTTGACTGCAGCAGTCCATTCGAGGCCCCAAGCAGCTTCGAGGCCCAACACCTCAACCCTCTTCTAGCGCAGTGTATACCTGTGTAGCAAATTTCATCCAAGTCTAGACACATGTACGAAGTACTTCTTCATCAATCAGATCAGATGAAGCTTCAAAGTTGCGTAAACTACAACTTGTAGCACGACCGAGTCCCTGCCTGCCTGTTGGTGGTCACCTCTTCCCTCCACCGTATGAAATCTCAATATCTGTGACCACGACTGGACACACACGACCCTTCATAAGCTGAACAGGCAACAATGTATCTCCATGGTATTCCAATATATCACATACATGTAAAGCTTCAAGGGTGTCGGAGCAATAGGCTTGCAGCGGTCTATCCTGTCTGTTCGCGTGCTGTGGTACATGGGATCCTGCCTTCAGCATCAATGAATTCTGTACAACCGGTCTCGGTGAGTGGCGTCGCCCTCAAGAGATCAATTCCATCACCTCGTTGGCTTCCGTTCTGCCCGAGACCTACCTCTGTTGTGGTCTTTCCTTGCACCCTTCTTGCCCGGGGCTCTACACACAAGTGCATGTAGTGTAATTGATTTGTTTAACACTTCTACAAGTACTTCACAGAGCCAATCGACGCAAATAGCCCGGGGATAGACTGGCTCCACACTAAATTGTATCTCCAGTGCTGGTTGCATCTTCGCATCTCCATCGTGCCAGTTGTTTCCTCGCCCGGCGCTATCCTGCCTCGATATCTCCGGCACCAAAAGAAAGAAGGAGAAAAAAATAGTAAAGGGGAAAAGAAGAAGAAGAGAAAACCCTCGATTCTATCCAAGACGAGATATTGTTCTGATATTCCCTTCTCGCTGGCAACGATCTTGGGAACCGCAATATAAATTCCCTCTGCCACACATGAAATACTATGTTCTCAAATACTCATCAACACACCCACGGCGTGCCAGTCCGCCTCTTTTCGGGCTCTGGTACCCGCCCGTCACCTGCCTTGCACGACCACACCGCCACCCACCGGATTTGACGGGCTATGTCCAGCACTTCTGAAACAACATGTCTCAATCGTGCCATGGCTGCAGGCAACCCGCATGGAGGACGAAATCACTTGAATTTTTGTCTCTAAGTCTCTAGCCGAATGCAGGAGCTTGAATGCATGGTGGCTTTGAATATGGTTGATAACATCCAGGTCATACATTCATACCGTATTGTGCTCCGTAGATTAAATCCGGTATACTTTGTACATGAAGCAAAATAAATCCAGATCCTCCACTCATAACTCCGGCGCATACGCACACACACACCAACGCCCTACGCCCAGTCATCTTCGCCAGCGTCATCTATCTCGCTAGCTTCCGAATCCTCATCGATATTCTCCGGTCCCTGATCCTTGACCTCGGCCGCCACCTCCTTCACACGACGTGACGGCTGTCTCCTAGTTTGCGTAGTAGGCGTCAGAGTCTTCTTGGCGTGAGACCTCTTTTTAAATTTTGTCTCTGTGCCTGGCCTTGCGGTCATAGCCTCCGGCACTATACTCGGCCTCTCCAAGACGTCAGGTATATCCGCCTTTATTCGCCCGTCGTTATCTTGGCGATCGTCCTGCACAACCAAAGGGTCCTCCCCTTCGTCGTCTTCATCCACGACCGGAAAGAAGCTAGACGTGTGGCCGGTCACCCTGTCATTATCGTCCTCATCATCCACGTCTTCCTCAAATCCGGCCGGGAGGAACCCGCCCCCCATCGATGCCTCGGCATCCAGTAGGTTTTCGGCCCGCTCCTTGGCAGCGCCAAAGCTGTCTTTGTAGTGTCCAAAGACCTGTACCGACTCGTCTATCTCGCCGTATTCATCCTGGATCCGCTGCGCGATGCGCATGCCCATCAGCAGCTTTCGCCACATCCCTAGCGCCGCCTTCTTTCGCTTCTCGTCTTCTTTCCTTGCACGTTCCGCTTCATCTTTTTGTAGCTCTTCCATTACTTTGTCGTAGTGTTCCTCCGGAATGACAACGCCTTGGATGACAGGGACAGCCATTCGATGGCCGAATTCAAAGTCGATAACGGCTTCAGCAAAGTCAACCTGCAGCCTCTTGCATACCCTGACGGCGCCTCGGTACGGGACATGCACTGCGCCTTCTGGGCACATGTGCTCTACGAAGAGATCGATGTTCCTAGACAAAAAGTCAGGAATGTTATCTCACGTGAAAATGAAGAATAACAAGGGAATAGACGAGAACTCACCCGTATTCGTTCTTCGGGATTATCCCGTCCTTTATGGGCGGCGGGATAATCCAATCGGTCTGTTGGAGACTGAATAGCCCCTGTAGCACCTTTTGCCCGGTCGCAGCTTCTGCTTCCGCCAATTCCCTCTGTCTATTGATCGTTGCCGCTCTATAAGGCACTCGCTTGAGAGGTCTCTCACCAGGAATCGGGGCACGTCCTTGCTTGTGCCAAGTCTCTGCGCTTTTTACCTGGACAACATCAGCCCTAAGGTAGACGGGTTCTTCCGTAGCTGTACCCTTCGACTTCGATTTGAACGTCCTGACTGGCCGCGCGTCAGGTTGAAGCGCTTCTTCTCTCTTGAGATGCCTTTCAAGGACGTATTCTTGGGATGTCTTGTAGTACTGTAGTGTTTCCTCACCCTCCTTGACCTCCCTCCTCTCAACTTTGGCCGGTCTCAGGTCGGTCATATCTTCATTTTGGTCTGCTTCCGTCAAGGGGTGCTTTGGGCCGCCACGCGTATAACCCGTCATGACACGCCTAAACCAGTCATACTCATCATATCGCTTGATTTTGCCGTGCCTGTTGTGAACGGGTAATTTCTTGACGGGCATCCGAACCCCTTTGGTTTTCCCTGGGAGCATCTGTCGTTTCAGATATCGAATCGTGACATCCTTCGCGGTGCCGTCTCGTGAGAATCCCACGACATACGCCATTACTTGTCGTTTCTTCTCAGCCTTGCCGCCGCGGGGTTCGAGAGATTCTATAAGCTCCCTATTCGTACCCACGAGCTTCTTCACAAGAGCATCAACGGGTATGTATTTGTCTGTGATCGGGGAGCGCACTTCCGTCCAATAATGGGGGAAGTCTAGGTCCTTATCATAGGACCGTGCTGAATTTTGCTTGGCAATATGGGACATCTCCACAACTGAACTGTCATCACTGTCGGACAAGTCTGATGTGGACTCTCCTTCGACAGAGGTTCGTCGACTCTTGGCACTCTTTTGGGCACGTCCAGGCCGGCCAGGACGGCGGGGGACAGAATCGGCGGTTGGGTCGGCTGAGATATTTGAGGCATTAGGAGGGCCGTACCCTGCCGTATGAGTCTCCTTTTCAGGATCTGCCTCTTCCATCTTATTCCACCCGAAACCTAAGGGCTGCAAATTGGCAACCATCCTAGCATCCATTCCTAAACCACGCAGAAGCGCAGTGAAGAGCTGAGCCCCCACATCGCGACTACCCTCACATTTTTGCGCACTGAGACGAAAGGCCTCGAGATTCTCAAAGTGCTCTCCGAATTTGACGGCATTCCTTGGATCAGCATGGTGCTCTTTTGTAAGCCGGTCTAATCGTTCCAGGGACATGTAACCCCATTTACGAATGCCCGGTGCGGTGACTCGAAAGCGCTGTTTCCACCAACCGATAAGAGACTGCATAAGCCGAAAAAGAGGGTCTCCGTGGCTCATGTTAGGGACGCCCTCTTCCAATTTCTTCGCCGCGGAGCCCCAATCCCTCGCATTCCCATTGCCTTTCGGGTCGCCTTTTCGCGCACTTCTGCGTTCCGGCGGTTTCTTCTCCAGACCACTGTTACGTCTCCATCGATCGATTTCATCCCATAACCTCGGAGGAATATGCGAGACCATGATCGCCTGAAGCTCCTCATCGCAAAGCCAAGCATTTCGAATGGAATTATGCCAAAGTAAAAAGAGTACATGGACACTGTGGGTCGCAATCCGAACCTTCCTCTCGATCTTGGAAGGGCCTTTCTTCCCAAATGCAGCTGTTAGAGATATCCGGTTGTCTCGTCGTAGGGTCAACTCTAGGTCGCCGGAAGGCACGGGAACAGGCGCAACTGGTACCGCGACATCTTCAAATTCTATATCCTCGTCATCGTCGTCGTCATCATCGCCCTCGGACTCGCCCGTCTTTTGTCGCTTCGGTGCGGGAACATCTTCGAAATCAACGTCGGATAAAGATGTCAGATCGGATTCGCTCTCATCACTACTGCCTTCCGCGTGTAAAATATCTGGAAAGGAATTGTCCGGGGTCCCTGCGGCATCTAGATCATCAAAGAGTGTACGCTTTCGGGGTGTCAGCTTCGAACTAGCTGCGCTCTCAGGTTGCGCAGGGCTCGATTCGGATGGCTTGGATGACTCGCCACGCAACCTCTTCCGTGGAACATGGGGAGGCATGGTATATGTCACATTTGGATCTTGTGGGTTGTTTCAAAGGAAAACGCCATCTCATGGGAAAAGAGCGCAGCAGGCAGGTCCCCCTTCCCCTCCACCATGAGACACCAACCACGGTCTTTGTCAATGACATAAGATGGCGAGCTGTCGCGAAAACGCGGGATCACGTGATTACCAGGGGTCGAACTGCTCCTTGGATATCAAAGAGAAAAGAAAAATGCTGGTGTATCTGCCTGTACTTCGTAAGGTTTTACATATACGTTGTGTAGTTTATATTTAGAAGAGTAAATAGAGCTGCCATTACATGCAAAAATATATGCAGTCGCTGTCCATGCCGTGGTCCCCGAAAAAAAAAAAAAAAAAAAAAAAAAAAAAAAAAAACACCCAGAACGCCTTCAACATGCTACCACTCGGAATTCGGAATTCAACTCCGATGTCCCGCGATAGAGCTACAGATCGATGAGATCCGGTGGGGGTCCTACACCCCTGAGCAGAACAATAGTGTTGCCACTGACAAGCGAGGCTCCCACTTTCTCGTTGAACTCTAACAGACGTCCTCCTTCAACGTGGAACACCCTCAACTTGTCGCTTTCCTTCGATGACTGGTTGTTGACGTTTTCCACCTGCAGACTCTTCGCAGCAGCATCCAACACTCGTCCAACCACCCAGTCCTTACTGTAGAAAAAGGCTCCCTTGGGATATTTTGCTTTGGCTGTCTCGGCCTCGGCTTCCACATAAAGATACACTCTCTTCTCCGGTGCCAACTTGTCGTCTCCCTTGGCAGTCTTTTTGAGGTTGTTTACAGCGACGAGTCTTTGGGCGGCCGAGGTAGGTTTCGGCTTTGGAAGTGCTCTGCCCATTTCCTCCTTCCTAGCACTGCCCCAAGCTCGCAACTTGGCGAAAGCACCCCTGGTCCTTTCCGCGACGTCAACCTGCGAAAGTGCAGGCCGCGCGCCTATTGGTATAAGATTCTTGCAGTTGTGGTCTTCTTTTAGTCGATGCGTGTGGCAATAATCTCTTCGACAGGTTTGGCAATGCACGCCAGGGTTCCTCGCCGTTCCTACGGTCGTGGAGCACGATGGTGAATCGCAGGGTTTCGTAGATACTCGGTACTGTAGTTGTTTTCCAGCGCCGATGCTCGATTTCGCCAGCTCAGCCTCGCGCCGTCGTCGTGCCCAAGCCCCGGGATTGGCGCATTTGTGCGAGTCTTCGGTGCGGTGCTCTTGACAAAAAGTCTTGTTGCAGCTCTGGCATAAGAAAGGTAGGAAATCTATTTGGTTGCAGTATTGAAGTTGGCAGTGTTTGCCTACTAAGGTCGCATCGTTGTGGTCATCCATTTTGCGGTAACTCGTTGTCTCGTCTGAGACAGGTGTAGAGGAGGAAGACGCCATCTCGGGCTAAAGTGGAGGTGCTTTTCGCCTCGTTTCTCTTTATACACGACGCTGTATTCTTGATTTCAAATCCCGGCGTTGGGGGCGCTGACAATGACAGGCGAAACGAAGCGCTCGGGGTGAGGCGAAGAAGACGAGGAGTGGAGGCGCCGGATGATGTGTCCAGGCAGCCTCGAGTGCTTCTAGAATCATCAGGGCGTTTCTCCCCTGGCAGTGGCGGTTCCTGAGCAATGACGGCATTCAGCTGATAGCACTTGACCATTTGGATTTTCTTAGTCATCAGCCTAAAGAATGGTCAAAGTGTGTCAACAAAACCATACAATAATAGCCAACCAGATTCGAGAATGAAATGACCCAACCAATGCCACCGATTTGATTTCATCCCGTTTTTACATGCCAAAACAGAAAGAGCGCCAGTTTTGTTCACTGTTTGATCTTTGTTACAGTTCAGGAGAGTGTCAATTCACAGTGAATACTCGTTATATCTAACTTCCATCTTCGAATTATTCATCGCTCTCTTTGGTGGGCTTCTTCCCCAGTAAGTGCTCTCTTCCAGTAGTTGGAGCTTGGCCCACATAGTCGGGACCTCCATACGCCTTGAACCCTTCATGGAACGCCCATTCGACAGCATTCTCAACGGGCTCGTCGAAAATAGCCGGAAGGAAGGGAACTACACCAAGTCCCAGACCAATGGGTCCCCAAGTCTTGAGCCTCTGGTTCTTGAGCGATTTCATAGCTTTCCCCGAGTACTTGACCACTGAGTGTATCGTGAAAGCGGGAAGGCCCATGCTGGCAAGACTCTGGAAGACCGCTCGCTGAACCATGACGGTTCGGTAATCCTGCAGCGGGGAAACGACTCCAGGTACGCCCGGTTTCGAATCGTTTGTTCCGTCCGCGGTAGGAAGTCCTCTGAGTATACGCTGGTTCTGCAGATAGGCTTTGTAGCCTTCATACGAGACGTCACCTAAGATGTAGAGCCATGATACACCGTAGGCCGCCCGGACGAGCCCCGGGTGCGCGACTGGTCGAAATGATTCGCCGATATCCGAGGTGTATGCGACATATCTATGCGCCGACGACAGTACGGTTCTTATACGGTTGGTGTAGGCTGCGTATCTGATGTTGCTCTCCGTCGAATCGGCGGTGCTGTTATATTGCGTAAGACTCTGGTGTTTCAAAGTGCCAATTGAGGTTTTCGCTCACTGGCCCTCGGCAATATCTTCCATCAAGTGGTCCAGCTTGTCCACCGATGGTGTGTGGCTCGTCGTATCCGTTGCATCGTGCGCTGATGAAGGAATTGGGGAATTCGGAGTGGTCGGAACAAGCCCTTTCTCGTCTTTCGAATCAGAGTCTTTTGTTTTCGAATTCCACCAACCCATTGTGCAAATCGCGCAATGTTTTGCGTGTCAACCGTACCCTCTGATCGCGGTGCTCATTCTTTTTTTTGTGGAGGGGAGGAGCCTGCCTTCCTTCCGATCCGATCCTCCTTGAGAAACTTCCTCGGATAATTCAGGATCGCTGATGTCACCACGATAGTATTTACCGAGGTTTAGACGAACGTTTTATTGTGGCCAGAATTATTAGGCGTGGAATGCTGGTTTTACCGAGATCGAGGATTTCAAGAGCTTTGGCAAACATTGACCTTTCACACCAGCGAACACGAACCTCAAATCCGCCCCCCTCCCCGTCCATCGAACCAATTCCTATTCTGTGGTTCGTCACTCGTCCCAGCCGTCAAAATGGTCCAAATGTACACTATCCTCGGCCGCCAGGTCGGCTCCCACTGGGTAAGTGACTGCCCCGGTTTTACGTCCTTTGACCCGGTGTGATCCGAGGTGACGATATCAAGCCGTTTCTGATCTGATCAATAGCTGGCGATTGCTACCCTCTCGACCCTTTTCACCGGTACCTACCTTGCCTCGTCCGGCGGTAGCAGCAAGAAGCAGTCGACGACCACTCCCCCTATCAATGCCTCGACCCCCGATGAGGCGGACTTCATCAAGTGCGTCATTTTGAAAGAAACGAGAGCCATTGAATCTTAGACGTCCGGCCAAACTAACGAGGTATTAGGAAATTCTTGGAAGAGGCGGACGGGAAGAAGGAGGCAAAGCATTAAGGATGAATCTATGAACCCAATTGTCGCGCGAATGATCCAGGCCGGACGTAACGGCAATCCGGTCTGATTTTCCCTCTGTATTTTGCGTCTTGTGGACGGCTCATGGCCGAGGAATTGCACGCCAAGCGATTTCGCACAGGCATAGTGTACATATAAATGACGGCCAGACATTGCGACACCTTCTTGAATGCAGATCTAGGTCTATTCACGACCCTTGGAGCCTCTGTGACCCCGCCTCCCATAACCTCACCCGAGACGGACTTTTGCGATTCCAGGCATCGAAACATACGCCAGCTGCCCAATTGACCCCCTCCTCTGTATCTGTGAATTCTAGTCGAGGCCAGCCAGCCTTTGCACATTCTGCGCGGTTATACTTCACGATTGGCCGAGCTTTCCCGCCATTATAAGTTCAGCTTCTACACACCCTCGGCATCGTACCTGACGAGGTCCAAGCGAAGACGGTACACCCAGACTTCGACGAATGCTTCACATGCAACACACATCACGGTGTAGGCATTAAGTCGTAGAATTGACTATCAGCAGTATCTATTCAATTCCACGGCAATCCCACCGCCATACACTTGGACAATTCAGCCAATAAATATTGCCCAGGGCTGACGACTAGGACATAAATTGGCTGTCAAGGACTCTCTCTCTCCCCCTTCTCGCAGCAGCTCAGTTCTTAAGGTGCGCCAGCCTAGGGGTTGCTTGCTTGAACCCAAATCTACCAGAAAGTATACCGTCCTGCTCTTAACGTTAGCTTTCTTAGAGCGAGACAGATTGAAGGAGCAATCGTTATGGGAAAGGACCTACGAGAGCAGTATGCCAGAAGAAAGTGGTAACAAACCACCCAAAAAGACACTCGAAGCCGGGCCAAACTCTGGTGCTAGGCCACCAACTAAAGGAGTTCTTGACAACAGATTTTGCCAACTCCTCGGGGGTTGCTGAATGAATGTTAGCTTGTGATGTCCTCTTCTTCCCATGTCGGGAGATTGGGCGTGGCGGCTATGACAAAGCGTACTCAAGAAGATGTCTGTGGTGCGACCGGCCAAGATTGGTTCGAGGATATCCCGAGCAGCTTCGTAGGGGGACCCTTCCGGGAAGTCATACTTGGGCGCATTCAGGAAGAATTTTGTCCTGACGCCTCCGGTCACAATCTAAGTCGTGGAGTGGCATTAGCTATCTCTCGTTCCATGATCTCTCGTCCCATGGCTCTTTTGGGGCGGAAGGAATCCAACTCACATAAATAACCTTGACGCCGAACGGGGCCATTTCAATGCGAAGGGTATCCGACAGCGAGTGTACGGCTGCCTTTGACGCGTTGTATAATCCCTGGAGCGGCAAGGGAATGATACCGACGAGAGAGCCGATGTTGATGATCTGGCCCTTGGCCGCGATCACCTGGGGAGCAAAGGCCTGAGTAACCTCGACAAGGCCGAATAGGTTGACGTTAAACATCTTTTTTGCCTGTTCGAGGTCTGTATCGAGGATGGTTGCGTTGTATCCTAGATGCATGGAATTTAGACCATCTCGATAGCTCAAAAAGGGGGAGCGAGGGTCTCTTCAGGCATCACTCACCACATCCCGAGTTATTGACAAGGAAGTCAAGCCTCCCCTCTGTATATCTGTTGACTGCTACGGCAGCTTCCTTGATTGACTCGGACGACTCCACATCCAGCTGTACTGTCTCAATACCCAACTTCTTGAGGTGGGCAAGCTTTTCAAGGTTGCGTCCGGTCGCCAGCACGCGGACCCCGCGGCGATGGAACTCTTGAGCAAGAGCATCGCCGATTCCGCCCTCGCTGCACCCAGTAATCAGCGCGGTCTGTTTCGAAGAGTTGGCCATCGTCGCAAATTTTTCGGGTACAAGTAACTATCAAGATTTTTCTCAGGCCGATTCGGGTACTTTTCTTTCTTTTTGTGTTATGGGCTGGGAGATGAGCACGTCAAGATGCGTGTAAGTGTAAGCCGGGCTCGCCTGCGGCGCAGCGAAGCTAACATCGGCGGCTTTCAGCCCGGTTGCCACCTCAGCTTCCAGGCATACAATTTGAGAAGTTTGTGCAACATCAGATAATCTCGTCCTATTCAATCTTGTAGTTTGACAATCGAATATTAATACAATCAGGCTGGCGTTCTTTTTCTCACGCGTGCCATCGACCGTCTAGGGTAGCTCAGACTCTACCCACACCCAGAACAGAGCTCTCTATCAATTTAGATAAGATAGGCATTACTGATATTGCACTATGAAGATGAAGAGGTATATGCATCTAGCAAGACGACTTGCTAATTACAAAGCAAATAGCGAAGGTCCTCGACAATGGCTTAAGCCCCGTCCAAACGCATGAACCACGCTTGGAGGCTCGAAACACACCTGCATGAAGGACTCTCTTTCGGCTCCTCGCTTAAAAGAGACCTTCATCCGATCTGACTACCCTTGAAGCAGAGAAGGTTTAAATTGTCCTAAAGGCTGAGTACGTAGATCTTACAATGTCGACGGTCGAGGTTGGGGAGAGCTAGGGGTCTTGAAAATAGCCGTTTGATTTATCCACTCGTACAGCCGGGTATTTGTGAAGATCAGAACTCTTGGTGTGGAACATTGTGGTTCTTGGCGATGGGAATTGCCGGTTGTAGCGGCACACCTATTCCCACGTCCAAGTCCGCCGCAAGTCCCATTGATATAACATCGAAGCATTAAGGTTTGGGCAGGTTTTAGCGTTCCTGGAGACTGGGCCGATCGGTTCTTGCCGGTGTCAAGGCTGGGGACAAGACCAAGGGAGGAGAGAAGGGCGGGTCGGGGGCGAAACAACAGCAAGCAAAACCTGGAGAGCAAATGCTCAGCCCACGGCGATCAGTAGGACGCATTTCGGTTTCATCCGGCCGAGCTGTCAATGTCAGCCTTTTTACGAAGAGAGTTTTCCCGCCCATGTCCAGTCCATCCCATACCCTGTCGCCCCATCATTACAAGTTTGGCGTCTCAACAGCCCCAGTTCATCCTCATGACGATTAATGCACCCCGGTGACCTAGCCTCCTCTATTCTCAGGTCGTCTGCGATGAGATATTGTATCACGCATTTGAGAATCTCTGTGCTCCTCAAACCTCTATGTTAATCATGCCGCTTATACTCAACTGTACCTGGTAGCATTGTATTCATGCAATATCCCAGTGATTCTGGCGTACTGCGCCTCTGGGTCGTGTCTCTAACTTCAGCTTTAGTAGATGCGATACATAGAAGTCCAGATGATAAAGGGTAGATCTGGTGCGTCAGAATAGCTCGAGCTTCGAGACATGAGCGCTGGGCGCATCAAAAGATCGGCAAACCTTGTTTCCAGGTCTCTTCTCGAGTGGCTAAAATTCATGCCCCCTTTCTCACGCAAAACGGGCGTGCTAAGAACAGCATGATATAGATTATGTGAATAAGAAAAATCGATGAGGATGAAGGGAAGAGGGGTCCCGAGGATCCTTGGCCGGGGGCACTGGCTCCTTGATATGTTGATAGCCTAAGTTCCCTGTTGATTTATTCCGCAGAATTTCGACTGCCTCTGTTAGCCTTACAAAGCAGTACACGTACCCACATCGAGGAGCAGCAAAATAGTTTACCAAGAGCCCATTCATCATTTCCTTGAGATGGGGTGCAAGCACAGACACAAGTTGGTTTCGTTCTGCAAAAGAGCACGAAGTACAAATGCAGTTTAGCCTCAGGCCCTCGACTGGATTCAGTGTTCCTCTTAAACTTTAGGTGGGGTGTGTTAAGCCTTAGCGGCATTTGATCGGTGTGTCCAGGCCGAAAGTGTTTGTCGGGTCGCGTCTTTAACGCGTCTTGGAGAAACCGCCCCTCTTCGTGTCAGAGATCTCGTCACTCTGTTCCCTTCATCACCAAGAATGTTCGAATCCTCCAATTGATCTACGCAGTTCCAAACTTCCCCTTCCAAGTCGTAAAGTAGCCGATCTCATACGAAAACCCTTGTCGCTCTAGATAATTACTGCATTGCTCTCGACCCCGAATGTCCCCATCAAGCGAACCCCCGGGGCCATGCCCAGGTGACGTTTCGGTCAGGAAGAACAAGCCCTCCGAAGCCAAGCGACACGAGGAATACCAGTATCTAGACCTGGTGCGAGAGATTCTCGACAACGGCGAGCATCGTCCTGACAGGTGAGCCAAAGAGAGTTGTTTCCGTTACACCCAGGTGGATCATCTATCGGCTATGCATGTAGTTCACTGCGCCGTCTTGTAAAACGATGGGGTGCGCATGCATGAGCACACACAACGATATGCATCATCCGCCAAACTGGATAGACACCTAATCTGGGGAATCTCACCAGGACCGGAACCGGCACCTATGCAATTTTCGCTCCCACGCCCCTCAAATTCTCCCTTAATCGCAACGGCGAGCCGATCCTTCCTCTCCTCACCACGAAACGTGTCTTCCTCAAGGCAGTAGTCGCTGAGCTCCTCTGGTTCGTCGAGGGTAATACCTCGTCGCTAGCATTGAGCGAGAAGGGTGTGAAGATATGGGATGGCAACGGCTCCCGAGAGTTCCTCGATGGCGTCGGCCTGTCGCACCGTGAGGTTGGTGATCTAGGCCCCGTATACGGCTTTCAGTGGCGACACTTTGGCGCCGAGTACGTAGACGCAAAGACGGATTATACCGGCCAGGGTGTAGACCAACTCGCTGAGGTTGTTCACAAACTACGGACGAATCCCTACGACCGGCGCATTATTCTATCGGCCTGGAATGTTGCAGATCTCAAGAAGATGGCCCTCCCCCCTTGCCACATGTTTGCCCAATTCTACGTTTCTTACCCGCGGGACCGGACCACAGCACCCCCAGGACAACAAGAAGCGGAACGACCGAAGGGCCACCTGAATTGCCAGCTCTACCAGAGGTCTTGCGACATGGGCCTTGGAGTTCCCTTCAACATCGCTAGCTACGCCTTATTGACACATATGATTGCGCATGTCTGCGACCTAGTCCCGGGAACTTTCACGCACGTCTTGGGAGACGCCCATGTGTACCTGGACCACGTCGATGCCTTGCGGTTGCAGTTAGAGCGCGAGCCTCGCGACTTCCCAACACTCGAGATTACGAGAGAGAAGGGCGGGAGCATTGATGGATGGCAAGCTGAGGACTTTGTGGTGAAGGGCTACGACCCACATAAGAGTATAGCTATGAAGATGTCGGTGTGAAGAGGGATGGCGTAGACTTGTCGTATAGAAGTGCAGAGAGGCTGCACCTGTGGTGATCTCGGCTCTCTTGGAATGCGCTGGGTTATGTGTTAACGAATGGGAAGGACTAATTGGGTACGATGTTTATATTTTTGCCGTTCTCTGCAGGGTTGCTCAAACATCTCCCGCTGTCAAGTCATTAATCGATATTCAGCAAGTCTGTCTCTGCATATCTGTCTCCCCGGGCCCAGCAGATCGACCCATATTATTGAAGCTTGCTGCCGGAACAAGTTGCCCTGTTTTGCCAAAATTGATGGCCAGTCCATCTATCCTTGTTTCCTCTCCCCATCCCCACACGTCAAGCATTGGGTGGTGGGTGGTTCTTCGAAGGGCTCGAAGAACATTAGTACCATGGGATATCAATCGATATACTCGGTTAACGTCAATCCTCAAGCCTGGAACCTTATCCTCCGTCCTCGTATGGCAGGCACCTGTCATATGCGATTGAAACGACCATCAAACGGCGATTCTGAATTGTTCCTGAATCCAATGCATGCTATAAATCAAGCTGCATGGGAGCCAGCGACATTTATTTAATGAATTCTTCCCCTATTAAAACAAGTCTAGCAAGCTTTACGAAGGAGCAATCCGACCCGAATTCTTCAAGGGAATAAAAGAAACCAGCATCTCAAGTCCGCGTCCATCTCTGGGATATCGGGCTGCTTGCATCCGCTCTCAGCTCCTTCTCTCCTCGGGAGTGAGGTCCAATGCCTTTTTCACATGCAATCCGCCAGTCTGATATCAGTGTTTTGAGGGAAAGCGCCACACAGTCCAAGTTCCACTCCCAAAGACGCACCTTCCAACCTTCCTCCACTGGTCTTCCTCCGCGTTTCACAGTGCGGACTGTGCCTTCAGGCCGACGCCCGAGAAACAAGGCATTCACTAAACGCTTTGTATCGTGTATCACGTATCTCACCGCCCCGCCACCTCGATTTCTTCTCCCACTTTTGCCTCAAACGAGTTTCCCACCTCCCCCATTTTACATTTTTCTGGTCTCCGGATACAACGATTTCCCTTCACTATTCATCCCATCAATTGCATCACCATCGCGACCAGGCCTTTACCCCTCGGATAATAGGGCGACATTATCCCGTCGCCTTCGTTATCGCGTTGGTAATTATTATTTTCCTGTTCTAGCTTCGCCTACTATTTGAAGCCTCGTCAGTCCTGACTCCGGGGTTGGCCTTCGCCAACTGGGCCCTCCTTACCGCCCCTAACCCACGACCACTTTCCCCATCACCTCAAAACCCTCGCCATGGCCGATACTGATCATGTTATGGCCAATGGCCTTCCAACCTCACCTCCCGTCGCAGTCGCAATCGCGGAGACTTCTCCCGCTCCTACCACCATTCCTCCTCCAGTTTCCACGCCCACACCCGCTCCACCGCGACCGCCTCGCTCATCGACGCCTCGCGAACGCCATTCTTTGACCCTCGACCAGAGACGCGCCTTACGGCGATGGGCCAACAGTCAACAGACGCGCCCCAGTCACCGAGCCTGCATCGAGTGGTTCCAGCGCGAGTACGGACAAGTCATCAGCCAGTCCACAGTCTCCCACAGCTTGTCTCCAAAGTACTCGAGGCTCGACGGTGATAATCCCCAGCTGAGCGGGTCTCGACTGCGCTTTGGAAACTGGCCCGACGTCGAGCGACTTGTTCTTCTTTGGTACCAGCGGGGACTTGCTAGCGGCCGCCACCCTACAAATGAAGAGCTTGCCGAGAAGGCAAAGAGCATCTTCGCCGCTCTACCTCGATACAAGGATGAACAACCTCCCGAGTTCTCGCCAGGCTGGATCCATCGATTCAAGAAGCGCTACGGTCTGCTCGTGCGACGCCAACGCCGCCACGGGGATGTTGAGAACCCAGCCGAAGACATTGACTACCTTGCCGAATGCGTGCCCCGATTCATGCCTATTGTCGCTGATACTAGCCCGGCCGCCATGAGAGAGCAGATTGTCCGTGTCGTTGGCGTGGAGCCATCGCTCAACACATGCGCGCTTGTGCGCGACGAGATTATCCGACGGCAGTCGACGCCCGCACCTTACAGCGGCGCTGCTGCTATTGTCGCCAACCAAGCTGCCGCAGCCGTCGCAGCAAATGGCGGAGATGCTTCTCCCCATCCCCCGATCGACTCCCAGCTGTACGCGGATAACGAGGATGACCCCGAGGTTGTCCTGCAGAATGCTCTTAGGCAACTGCAACAAGAAGAGGCCGAGGCTGAGGCTAGCGCAGCCTCTGTTCGCCAGGAACGGGAACGTGCCGAGCAGCTTGGCCAGCCTGGAGTATCTATCAATACGCCGACGCGCCAGAGCAGCTCGAGGATTTCAAACGACGAAGATTTGAACCTCAAGCCTATCAGCTCTGCTGCTCCAGTATCGAATTATGATCGGCCTGTGCTCTGCCCCTTCTGTGTTAATCAGCGAATGCTTCGCACTATTAAGGAAGCAGTGGAGCATCTCTCGACGCATGTTGTGGTGTAAAATTACAACAGAACAAACCCAACAGACAGAATTCTCAGCTTTGTGGCCTCCCTTTGTCTGTTTTCCCACGCATTTCCCCAACAATCATCAACACTCTAATCAGACCTGTCTACCTCACTGTCTCCCCATTCTCCCCCTGGGGATACCTATCAGTATGGGCTATCCAGCCACTCTACCCAAACAAGCCCCAAGTTTCACATCACGATAACCCGGATACGACGTCATGGTTCTCTATCTTCCCCGACCAGCAGTTTCTCTTTCATAATCTCTTAGAAATCATACCCATGGCGCCGTCCGGATTCGAACCTCCCTCCTGTCTGAGATGACACTCACAGACAAAAAATTAAAACGAAAAAAGGTAGCGAGTCTACGCTGTCTATCCGAGCGGCAGGCCTTCGAAGCCGTAACCCGGAAAGGGTATGTTTTGTATGATCATGTCTGGTCATGGGAAGGTTTTGTACGAAAATACTTGAAGAGTTTTCACATCATGTTTTCGCCGTCCTTTTCTTTTCCCCCCCTTTTCCGTTTTCAACTCTCGGTCGTTTCCTCAAATCATCCTGAGTTGTCAGTCTTCGAGCTTTCGTATTCGTTATTGGGGTTCCTGTCCGGTCCCCTTCATCTCCTTCGGCAAAGCTGGAGTCTTTTCGTCTTTTGATACGGTTTTTTTTTTTTTTCTTTTCGGTTTCAAGGTTTCCGGTTCGGGTTCTGGTCTGCGTATACCATTTTGTTTTCACACAAAAAAAGGTGGTAAGAAGGAAAGTGAATGCTTTATGGATGTTACGGGCTTTACTTCCACCTTTTTTTCTTTCTTTCTTGTTTTCTTCAGGCAGACCCTTTCTTCCTTTCAAACATCTAATACGTAGCAATGAAATGAAATACGTGTGGAAACTCGAGCCTTGCGTGTTGTCCGTTGATCTGTGTCGAGTGGTTTGATTGAAGGACTCTCGTCCGTCTTACCCTTGGTTTATCTCTGTAGCATCCGGTTGACGAGATGGCGAATATGGGCGTTCCATGCTTCATGAACATCAATACATATACCAACCAGAAAGGAAGGGATTGGGAAAATCATTCGTTGTCGTAAATTGAGCAAGGCAAAGACAGGACTGGAATATTCATAGACCGAAGATTGATTCACATACAATACATCAAGGCACCCGAGGAAATAAAAACAAAATGTTCATTTTAACTACTGGGTTTACTCCCCGAAACGCCGTTTCCTAAAAACATGAAACAAAAAAAAAAAAAAAAAAAAAAAAAAAAAAAAATGAAGAAAGATGAGAAAGATCCTAAACGTGTCCATCACTCCGCTTTCTCCTTGACCAACTCCCCCTATGTCACAGATAGAAAAGAAGAAGAAGAAAAGAGAGAGGAGTGAAGGTCTGGTAAATCGGATTTGAGAAAAGGGGGAAGGTGGGAGGGGGTATGCAGAATGGTTCGTTCGTCCACGGCTTGACAAAGTCTCTATTTTCAAAGTCGTAGGACTCGAGGCATCAAATGCGGTACTAGAGCCGCAACGGCATCATACACTGAATAGGTATCGAGGAATGAAGCAGAAAAACATCAGAGAGGAAGCTAAGTTGAAACAAAAGGTGGCGGCATTGGGGGCGTCTTCAGATGACCCGTGCCCCACAAGAAGAAAGAGCGAATTGGGTATGTAAAGAAGAGGTATAAAGGAAAACAAAAAATAGGGCAAAGAGAAGAAGAGAAAAGACAAAAAAAGAACAAGTAGAAGAAAAGGAAAGAAAGTAACAAAAAAAGCGTTGGTATAATGGGAACAAGGGGAGGTTTTAGAAATGCCTACCCTTGATTGCCTACTCTTAGTCCATTTCCAGCCGTGTCAGCATTCGTCATATCCCGTCAGACTCATCATGAAATTCAAAACTTTGGTTGATGCCGCGCAGAATGGTTGACAAGTATGATATCGTTCGTCTCGCCGTCTAAAACTATCCGGCGTCCATAGCTTGCATCGTAGGTTGAAGGAGGCGGGATGCATCGTATAAGAGGTGGTTGTAATCAGTGTAGACGGATAACCTGTCTCTGGTCCCTCCCTTCTGTCACTTCTAACACGAAAGTCGTCTTAATGTGCGAGGGAGAGAGCTGCGCTTCCGGGGAAGGGCGCCAGTTCGGGCTTCCATCCACGTGCTCGGGTATAAGCCAACCTCGCACTTGAAGTAGATGTCAGGACTGCGGCTAATGGCATCTCGACATCTCGGCATCTTGCGCAGAAATCTAGACGAGCTCGGCGAAGAGGAAGAGCTTCTCGTTGCGCTCCAAAGCCCTGTTAAGGTCGTTATCGCTCAGTAGGCTCGGCTTGTCGTTCGTTTGCTCATCTTTGTATGAAAGTTGAAGTTCGTCGCCCGGCGGGATCCGAAGTCGCTCGCAAACCTTGTCGTACAGCTGCTGGAACGATACGTCGGTTGGAACGCGGATCGCATAGAGCTCACCGTTGAAATGGAATTTGACCTTCATGGACGGTGTTCCCTGGTTCATGCCTGAAGACAAAGGCGCGTAAGAAAGCTGCTGCGGTGGCAAAGACGGGATTTGGGGAGCCATACCTGGCGGACCGTTGAATCCTCCACTGCCCGGTTGGCGTGGCGTTGCCGAACCTACACCATACGTATTTCCGTTGAGGTTGTTTCGCGACGATTGACGGGAAGCCGCGTCCCCGGGAGATTCGGTCGAAGACTGCCCAGAGAGCCTGTAATCGTCATTTTCAGGGTTGGGCTCGATCTCGTAATCACCTTCCCGAGGAGCGAAGAACTGTTTGACCAAGTTGCACCTCGAGATATGAGGGGGTTGGGCAAGCAGATTCTTGACATATTCGTCGAGATTTCGCAATCTTCCCTGAGTAATCTGGTCCGTGACGTAATTTACTGGCCCAGGCATGTAGGGCAGCGTGCGCTTCTGCGCTGGGGTATTTCCAGCCTCAACAGGGAATTCCGTCAACAGCGCAATCTGGAAGTCATAGAAATCCTCGTAATACCGTGACAATTCCCATCGCCGGCCATTTTCGAGTTCGGCTTCGATGACAAACCAGTACTTCTCGTCCGCGAAACAGTACTTTGGAATCTGGGCAGCCACAGGAGCAAAGAGCTGCGACGCGCTCTTGAACCCGTACATGCTGTTAGGGTAGGCGCCAGCTTGTTGCATGTTGTTTGTTTGCTGTTGATATCCGGGAGAGGCCATTTGTTGCGGGGGCTGGAAATGTGACCGTTTGGTTAGCATCCCGGGTAACTAAGAAGAGCAGCCGGGTTGGAATGACTACGGTGAGGAACAGCGGGGAGAAATGGAGGGTTCTTACATATGCGCCGTTCTGAGGGCTCATCAACGGAGGTTGCTGCTGGTGGGGTTGAGCGAATTGCTGTTGGGGTTGTCCCTGTTGTTGCTGCAGGCTTAATCTGTCCATCCCTTGCTCAAGGCCTTGTGAAGGTGGGCCGCCAGCCTCGAACTTGCCCAAAGTGATGCTACTATTCTTGTACTCTGCGGCCATCTTCTTCCATTCCTCAACCTTGGGAATGCCTGCCTTCTTAACTGCCTCGTGCGGGTTTGGAACGGCCGTGTTGGTTGCCATGTCTCGGATTTCGACAAAAGTGACGGGAATGAGACCTGGGCCACCAAGTCTTCCGATCGGCTTGGCTACGAACCACTCGGGGTTTGATTGAGCGATGACTATGATCGCCTCCCCAGCCTTGGCTTCGAGTTCGTCCGCACGTTCTGCCTGAAAGTCATAAAGGACGATGCCGTATACCATGGCCCCAGATTTCCCCGTCTTCGAACTGCGTTGGCTCTGCGCCATTGGGGGACTGCCCATACCTCCTACGCCTGGCATTGCGGCCGCGCCATTTTCCGAATACCCCGAGTCATGTTCTGCTTTGGGAACGGCGGGTTTCCCGCCATCTGCGCTCTCCCGTTCGGTTCGGCCGAGAGCTTGGAAGAAGGCGACGGGGACAAGGCCACGAGCATCGGGGAGGGCTGGATTGCAAGCTTCGTACCATTCCGTATCATTCTCCCTTCCAATGACATGGAAAAAGTCTCCCCTTGAAAAGCTCAGCTCTTGGCTGGACCGCGCAGAATAATCGTAGAGGGCTCGGATTACCTGAGTTGGTACAAATAGAAAGGGTTAGCATTCAAAACAGTAAATGCTTATATTATAGAGAGCCACAAGATACGCAGGAGACGGCATCGTTACCGACTGGTGCCTTTGCGGGATGGGAATGGATAGACTTGGCAAGAAGAGTCTGTTCTAGCCATATCCTCATACCTTCTTAGGGGGGACGATTGCGACGGCAGACTTAGGAGTTATGGATACTTGAGGTTTATCCTTCTCACCCTTAATGGATCTCCGTAAGGCCTGTAAACCCCAATTTCTTGTCAGCATTCCGGTGATTCAATCAGTAGGATTAGTTTATAGGAGGTAGAGATAGAGAGGTAGAGATAGAGAGGTAGAGTAGAGAAATAGATCAGATGGGATACAGTGAGGAACGAACGTAAGGATCGATCAGGTAACAAAGAGAGGGATCTAGAGATAACTCTCATCTGTCTAACCCCGTTCATCCCGGAATGTCCAGGGCAGAGTTAGGATATCAGGATGGAGAGTGGTAACCCCGCATCAGAGGAGACGGACGCATCACAAACCTTCATCGTTATGTGCAACTATGCCTGCCAATGTGCAGACTTAGAATTTCAGAGGTGTCTTCTTCGCCTTTTCCTTCTGTTTCTCCTCCCTCAAAAAAATTCCGCTCCCCAATGTGCCAGTGTATGCGGTTTCCGACGACCTGAAGTCGAGTCGAGTCTGCTTGCCCACTTCTTCGTACTGTATCGAGTATCGCTCAATAAATAACCTTTAAAGTGCCAGTTCCCCTGCACACAGGTTTCACCGAAAAGATGAGGAAACTTCCAACAGCTCGTGGATGGAAGCGGACACGGTCGAGATATGGTAGGTCGGTGACTGAATGCGAACGGAACCGAGGCTGGGCGTGGGCGTGTGCGCGGGCGTCTTTGTCTCGAGGATCAATGCTTGAAAGAGCCTCTAACCTTGCCGAAAGTCGTAAGGTGTGGGAAATTGATGTGTGTGATTATGAGAGTGGGAGTCGGGTGGAACGGGTCGGAATCGAAGGGGACACGATCGCGAACAAGACGGCGATGGAGAAGTTTCGATATCGACGATACAGCGCTTCCGTTCTGAGAATTGGTAATGCGCCTAAGACAGTCCAGCGATGGCAGGCGCTATTCGTGGGTTTATTTCGTAGGGAGGCGACAAGCAATTCGAATCCTTCTCAAACCAAGTCCTCGGTTTACTTGCGCCAACAAGGGTTGATATTGGTGACTGATTAGGCGTGATGGTGTGGTCGAGGGAAATTAAATCTCGCAAGTCGACAGGTTATCGTAGCGATTAAGCGTTGACCAGGTCCCAGTGATTGACGACAATGAATCCAGGAGAAAAGGAAATATTCCAGTGGGAATCACGCGATATTGAAAAGCGCATTAATGGCGTCGTGGAAGGACGAAGAGAGATCAACAGGAGAGGAAGGTGGGCGGATGTGGGTGGGCGTGGGCTGTATAGGAGGGACCGACCAGGTCTTGAAAGAAAGTTCAATGATGGACAGTCTACCTTTGTCGGACTCCAGTGTAACCAATATCGATTAATGTACCGCACTATTCCTGGAGGAGAAGGAATAGGGTGGTGCTGGGCAAAGTGCTCGGCGAAGTGCTGGTGCTGGTGCTGTGAAGACCAGTAATGACATCGATGGTACAAGGGATACAAAGGTTACGACAGCATCAGGGTCTGGGACCGGAGTGATATTTGATTGATGGAGGGGAAAGCACTGTATGGATGGTTTATGCGCCGGGTGCGTGGGTGTGGGTGGGTGTGGATGCCTTGCCCCAGTTCGTACACGGTATTGATTGAATTGATTGATTTGATGGAGTCACTTTTGCTGGATGAACCTTCCCTTTGGGCGGCAGGTGGGTTGGGGCGACTTCCATGTGGTGGAGGGATGTGGTGGAGGGGGAAGGAAGGAGGGGAAACATACAAATGTTTGAGGTAACCGGTGGGAGAAGAGCAGGTACTGAGGGGTACAGACAGGGTTTGAGGGGACGGTTGGTACAATTGTAGCGATATGGGGTACTGAGGTACAAGTTTACAACACAAGCCTGCCTGGCTGGGCGGGGAATGTAGACCTGGGCCAAGGCTCTCAGGCTCTCAGGCTCTCTGCTCAATCAATCGATGAAGCTTAGGTCTGACTTCACAATTGACTCGATTCGGGGTGTAGTTCCTCTTACATCGGCATGATTCATCTTCTATGAACTCTTCCGTAAACAATCCACAATGGAGGAGCTTTTCTCGATTAACATCACATATCATCGAGAATCCAGGCCCAGGCAACCTTCCTGCTGTACGACCCAGACCTCATTGATTCAATGAATCATTGCAGGCTCAGGGTGGGGATCCATCCCGCCCATCCACTCTCGACACGCAATGCTGTGGTTGTCAGGGGGTTCACCAACTCCATTGATCAATCAATTAATTACGGTTGCAGTGGGAAGGAGAAAAAAAATTGTGCGAGGTACAGTACGCTACTGCAATGTCTATCAAGCCAGTTCGATGTCGATAAATGATCGAATGGTCCTTTGGCGACTAGCAGTCTGGTGTGGGCAGAGACTGGTGGCGATTGGTTTCGGCAATATTGATGCCATCATTGGTATTCGCTCACTGACACTTGGTGTTGGATTCAGCTGTCCCACCCCAAGTCTGCCTACACCTGACACTCCATTCACTCCCCAAATCCGTCCATCAATGATGACACGACGCGGCGTAGCCTAGGCTCTGGACCGTGGTAGTCGTGCACGCTAAACTAAAGTACTAAAGAGTGTGTCCAGTGCGTGGTCCCTGGCAACCTTGGATACAAAGTCCAAGTCATCCAAGGACTTCGTAGACTCCACCACACACTATCGAACCTGGAAACCCTACCACCGAGAGACATTGACTTCGATCCGTCCAGAATAGCGTGCAGTGCCTCGCGGGTGTTAGCTCTGAGCTAGTCACATTGAATCATCTTAGCAATTCCCTAGCCCAATGGCGGCCCTCGATGGGCGGTCCCTTGAATCGGAACTCGTGCGGTCGTTGCCTGACAATGGGGCTGGTCTCCAATGCTTGAACACGACCAGGCCGGCTAGTCCGTACAACTTAAATCCGTCAGGACGCCACATCGAAGACTCCAGCCCTTCCAGATCGACCACCCCGGTCCATCCCCGTTGATGCTTCAGGTCAGGTTTTCGCCGATCCGTTAAAGCCCGAAGATGAGCAGACGCTTGAATAAAACACAGTTTGCGACTTGTCGCCTGCTTCTCTAGCTCCCATGCCTTTAATTAGTTGGAGCAAAGTTCTTCTTCGTTGAAGCAAATCGGGGATCGCTCATCGTTCTCATCCAAGATGTGTCCACGAGACATGGCTGACTCTGCATGTTCTACTCGTTTCATTCAAGCTCCATGGTTTATGTTTCCGGAATCCAAGACAAGGAGCCGGCCGCCTAACACAACATCAGATATTTAGTAGGTCTCGAAAACGGACCATCTTGCGAGTTCACGCCCCCAAAACTAGTCAAGAGAAGAGAACGAAAGCTGCTTGTTCCGGTTTCTTTCGTTTGCCGGGCATTTCTCTTCCCGTACTCTATATAACCATTTTCGGAGAATGGATCTTCAGAAATGCCGTGCAGCTCCAAGTCATTACTAGCAATGAAATGGACCGGCGCGAAGGCGAAGGCAAAGATCTGGGGCCATTCACCAAAGGCCCGCTTGACCTGAAGAGGTGTATCATCATACATCCGGGTGTGGGCATTCCGTCCGAAAGAGCCTCCAATTCCATCAAATCTGAACATGAGCACTCTGGCTTGGGACACCGGCTATTTTGACTTTACTTCGTACTTCGTAATGCCAAATTTCATTCGCAGAGAAAAAAGAATCGAACACCAAAGACAGGCGCGTCGAGCGAGGTGGGTACCTTGCGTTGCTGTGTTACTTCATCTGTGCTTTGTAGGTTGAAGAAGGCTCCAATGTTCCTTTCCATGCCTGTCCAAGGATCGACATGAAACGCCCACATTAGGAATAGGAAACAGCCCCCATTCTGCGATGCATGCTTCAGACGCTGCAGTACCTGTTAGTAGTGCTACCACACTCATTTGTTAGTTGTGCCGGAAAAGGCCTGCGGAGTGCTTGGCTTGACGACAATTTCATCATTCGCCATCTCTCATCCCACACCTACAACTCCTTTCTAGGTCGACGCTGTTTACCACACCTTCACAACACTTTGACAGAAGTTGTCGGCTGTGCGCGGTAAGAAAAGAAAACGCGGGGAAGCAGAGTTCGGGCACCTTGGACGATCCCATCCCCAGAGTGCCAAAGATATCGAACCCACTATGAAATATCAGAGATGCGCCCAAACTACCGGCAAATCAACAGGGTTCTATCGCTCTCGGGGAACCGCCGTGCCCCGTGATCATTACTTCACAAAGGTAGAGAGTATGAGGTACAAGCAGAATAAAGAGTGACCCAGCGAATGTGAAGGGCCTACTTCCGCCTCGGGCATACATTCGGTTCCCGTGAATATCAAACTTGCCATGGCTCAGCGAAAATTCGTCGTGGTATCCGCTTCCGCTTCCGGGACGGGGAATGTTCTAGGCGACCTGTCGACCTGGTTCGGGAATGGATGGATGTCTGGCTACGTCAGCGAGAAGATTTTGTTTTTTTTTCTCTCTCATTCAATCAGGTCTCGTGCGAGATCGTTGCTTCTTCGGCTCCCTAGCCTCACGCCGATGACTAGAACCGCCGAGGAAGCCTCCACTAAATGCTCTATTTGGTGATGTGATCTCCTTTTGTGTCCAAGTTCCCTGGATAAAGTCATTGACATTCCTGCTGGTCAGAAACACCGAGACCAGGAATGCCAAAGAAGCAAGGAGGGGGTGTGTTTCATAGTGAAAACTTGGGACGAAGACTGGGAAGCATGGTGAAGTAGCAGCCAGTCCAACGGTGTAGTTTGTCTAATTGGCGTTGGACGGTTGCCACTACCCGCCTTCGTTGCCGCCCGCACTACTGAATCAACCCAGCCCGAGTTTTCGCTTCTAGATGAAGCCAGGCTGGGCCAACCAACCGTCACAGGCTACTCTTCGTGGCCACTGACTACAAAGTGCAAAGTAGGGCATCGAATGTCATCCACAGCTACGAAGTAGAGCTTTCAAGCTGCCCCTTTAAGGCTGCAGTTTGATTCTACCCTCCTTCGGTTTTCCTCGCCCGCATATCTTGTCAGACCAGGGCAGTCCTTTTCGGTCTTGTCCTTCCGATTCAGGGAATCTCGCGCCTCCACCATGAAAGTCCGAGGTCTAAGATTGGACCCATCAACTTATTCGCCTGCCATTCAGGGCATCCTTGACAGACCCGTCCCTGTTATCCGGTTCGAGTGCTAATTTGAATACCGCGACCCGAGTTTCGGAATCCCTGCGAACCCGTGTTCTAGAATCCCCACCTTTAGACTTGCCTTCGTAATGTTTGGACCCTGGTCTGCCTGTCTGCCTGTCTGCCACCAGCCTGTGCTGGTTCTCCCATGGAAGGACAATGTTGGTTTCATCCATGGACTGGCGACGTCATCGTTGTTCACGCTGAAGAGAACCTTCCAACAGGGTAGAGAAGCCCATTGCCTACATATCTTATCGAACACGTCCTGGGTTCCCGAATTAGACATCTCTGCCTGCACAGTTGCGCCCTGAGAGGATCGCGCATAGGAGGCCCCCGACAGACGCACCGTTCCTTCCAATCTTATTCTGCAGGCGAATATTACATGAAAAATTGAAATTGATCAATGTCAAAGTTTACTTCGTTGGAACATATGGGCAGGCATATATGTCTATCTGCCACTCTGATGCATACGCACACCTCGGGTCCTCCGTTGAACTTCAATCGCAGCAAATCGATAAAGATAGCTGATTCTTGAAAGCATACGGACTCGAGAGAACCCGAACAATGCAACGCTCGGTAATGCCATTTCTTTTTTTGGAATTCCAAATTCCCAAGTTGCCCCCTCCCCTGCTCACATCGGAAGGAGTCCGTCCCGCCCCAACGTCCAGGCAACCTGAAACTTCTCATTGCATAAGATGCCACCTGCCAGCCCTAACCACCCTCTTCCATCTTGACTGGATATCTACGAAAGGGGATGAATACAAGTGAGAGTGTGGGTGCCAGTCAAGTCCCTCTTTTCCTTTCCCAGCCAGCTTTTACGCGCCTTTCCGCCATACCTCCACATCAATGATCAACAAACTCATGTGCCAAGAAGTGTGGGATGCATGGTAGAATTCGTTTGGGTAAACCATCGATCTTGCTCGTGAACACTCATCATCGTATTCTCAATTTCGAACTTGCGCACACTCCAAGCCGCTATCACAATGTGACCCAAGTGCAGGCACACACTCGTAGAATGAAGCTTGAGTTTGTAAAACATGGTGAACACGCGCAGATGGAAACTTTACGGAAAGGTTGAGAACATATGCATGTTATTGAAGTATCTGAAGCCGAACTAGAAACATTTAAAGGACAAACTTTTGTCCTGCTCCAAGAAGCCGTGACCTGAGCCGGTACCCACCGCGCCGTGAAAGACTCTCCATAAAAACAAACGCCAAACCCATAAAACCTAGCCGAGCTTTGCACTGAAGAGATTTCAGTTTAGAGCTCAGACCCGAATCACAATGATTAATGTTGCGTCCAGTCCCAATGCTAGCTGTACGGATGAGCCGTCATCCGACGAAAAACCGGTAACCGAAACGGTCAGAAAGAGATCAATGAGAACGAGAAAACGAAAAGAATAAAGAGACGAAGAAAGTAGAACAAGTTGTCGCCCTGACCTAATGCCGCCTGTTGTCCCAGAAACGCGAACGAAGGGCATTCGAGTGGCCAATGTTGATGCGATACTCGTCTAACAAAACTGAGGTTGGATGAGCTCGAGAATGGCTGAGAAAGTGCAATGAGGGCAGGCGACACTAGTGATAAAATGCCCCCAAAACAGGGTCGCTTAATTCACTTCCGAAAAGAAACAGGATGCTACGAGGACGGAAGGACGGCAACCGAAAATGAGAAAGAAAAAAAGAACGCCTTTTAGCCGTGGCATTTTGTGCTTGACGGTCTTAGAAGAGGACGTCGATCGATCATAAACCATCGCGGTTCGTTAGGTGTTGAGATGAAGGGAGGGAAATCGCCTGTATCCCGGATCTAGAAGACAGGACGCCTCCGCGCAATGTCTTGCGCAGGCGTTGCAGGTCTATGTAGAAAGGGATATCAGGAGGGTCGTGATGGTAGGAGACGCGTAGAGGGTTGCAGTGGTTAGAAGTTATGGCATGGATGGCGTAGCATGATATGGGCCCTCAGATTTGGCCCTTGATATCTACTCTTTGGAAAGCGGCAGCCTTCGGGCCTTCGAAGAGCCCTCCGGCCTTTCCGGAAAGGAACACGATCGATTCACCTCGCTCCTCCAGTAGATGTTGGCCATTGTGGTCAACAATAAACTGGGCGGCGTCTGCGTCGGACTCAAAACCCAACTCCTCGGTGATAAATCTTAACTTCACATCAGGTTTATATCTGGGGACAAGGTTTGGGTTAGCTCATGTTGCTGAGAAAGAGGGCAAAAATGAAACTAGGTGTAAATAGGGACGAGAGTGGAACAACGTACGATTTGCAAATATTGCACAGAGCGCTAAGACGCTCGCGCACGACGAACATATCCATAAGGTATGCTCCCATGTTTGGAGTGTCCAGGTACAGCTGGAAAAATCTGTGATAATTTCCAAGTACAAGGGCGGAACGGACTTCAAGAGCATGCTTGATGGGCGGCTCCTTTTTCTCTGCTGGGGTTAGATCTGCGATGGCCTCAATGAGGCCAGTGCGATTCGCGGTGTGGATAAAATACAAGATACGATACGCCTTGAACTCGATGGGGTTTCCCTTCAGGCCAAGCTGATACAGCCATCTCAGCTGTGTCTGGCACTGATTATACTCACCGAGGTCCCCCTTTTCCAAGGCTATCCGGGCGTGGATCTCATAAACCGAAACAGTGAACTCATTCTTGATCCGTTGAACTGTCAGGTCCTGGCGCATCGACTTGAACTGATCGCAAATATACGAGTAGTTGCTTTCCTTCCTCCACTTCTTCTTGAGAAGATCCAAAGTTTGTCGAAGGATGTACTCTGGTCGAACTTTGGACGCCACGGGCGGAGCCGTTAGACGGAGATACCGCTTCTCCAGGTCCTGACAGGTTCCAACAACAGGACCATCCGAAGGAGGCGGGCTTGGGCTTCGATAGGTCGATTTGTAGCCGCCTTCGAAGCGACGGAGGCGCTTCTCTTGTTGCTTCTGAAACTTACTAGATTTGGAAAGGGGCTCATCCAGGCTGGGGCGCTTCTCTGGAGCCCGAAAAGATACGCGGTCCTCCAAGGCATTTCGGGACTGGTTAGTAGATCGCCAGGGCGGGGGTGGTGAGGAACGGGTGTCAACAAGCGCGTCCGATGACTTGCGTTTCTTCGAAGTTGTGTCGGGCAAAACAGATATCGAGGGGGGAGATGCAGCATTGGTGGATGGGGATACAATACTCGTCTGCCGCCTTAGCTCCACCTCGCGCTGGTCTCTTATTAAGGCTTGGGGGAGGGGCATGTTATCCCAGTTTAAGGTGTAGAGCTGGCCGTTGTCTTTGGCATGAGTGATGACTTCCTTGAGCTTGGCTTCGAGCTCAGGTTTCGCAATGGTAGAATCATGATTTCGTTCAAAAAAGGTTCTCTGGACGTATGAGCGGACCGAGTCCGGCCAATCAATCTTCTGCTGTTGCGGGGGGTTCTGCGCGCTTGAAGGAGCCTGGGCCGGTGCTGGCTGCGAATGTTGTGCTATTTGTGAGGGTGGTGGGGGGATGTAGCCGTAGTGTGCCACAGGCTGCGAAGCTTGCTGACCAAAGCCATGCTGGACCTGCACGGGGATGAACGCAGGCTCTGAGGAGAAAGTTAGTTGATCAAGTCCAGAATATGCTCGCTCCGGGTTGGCAAACATACTATTTGGGTAGGCGTAGCTCATCGTCGTAGTAGTTGTCGAAGGGTGGCCTGCTGTTTGGGGGGTGGCAGCCTGCCAACTTGGCATCATGGTGGCGGTGTCTTTCAAGTTTGCTGGATGGAACTAAGGTGGGAGGATTAGCATGACAATAAATCGAGGTTCACTTGCTAGGACCACTGCGATATAATCAAAAGAGGTATCCTAGTAGACTTTGGTTGAGGAGTCTTGATGGATGTAAATCTGGTCCAGGAAGAAGTGTTCGTGTTGGGAAGATTTTGGAGAGGGTTGGGAGACTTCGGGTGTGGAGGGTGAAGAAGGGCAGCGGCAATAAGTGCCGATGATGAGCCGCTGACATAATCCTGCAATCTGCAACGGGGAGAGAAAGGGGAAATTTGTGCAAATCATTCGTGGTTTTCTTGTTAGCGGTCCGGCAGGCCTTTTGCCAGTTGGCGTAAGCAGCTGCACTTTACCCAAAGCGGCAATTTTATCGAGATGTATTAATCGGGGAAAATGAATGAGAGGAAGAAATAGCTGGTGCAACCGGATGTACTTCGTAACAAGTACAAAGTTCATAGTCGAGAAACCTGCCAGGTGCAATCAGGTGGCCTGATATTCTTCCCCTCCATCTTGTAATTAGAAGTTGAACTTGGCCGACGTCAATCTACCTCTGTGGGGTTTGAGACGAACAGGGCACTCCAATGGGCATGAACCAACCTAACCACCACCTCGTTCACATTCTAGGCTTTCTTCACGAGACCTCGCGCCGACAGACTCGAGTTCTAAAGGCGCCACATCAGACATGACGGATGTTTCTTAAAAGTATAGACCTCACCACCGCACTTCGCCCTTCGTATCTCCCCGATGAAGTGCTCCTCTTTGTCCAGGACAATGTTGGCCTCTATGAGGGGTATGTTATTCCACGAACAGTCGCCTCGCTCTCTCGTGCCGGGGCAAGGGCTAACATGTCGTCACGCGTCCTAGGAAATACAAACTTCCCAATCATCAGAATGGCCAGGTCTATCTAACGTCTCATCGAATATGCTACGTAGATAGGGATCAGCCACGGAAATACTCGGTTGCCTTGGAACTGAAAGAGGTTGAGCGCTATGAGTTCTACGTAAGACCCTACACATTTTTGCCTCGCCAAAGCGGAGAGGGATAGAGGACGAGGGAAACCAATAAAAGACCATGCCGCTAACAATATTTTCTTCGGTAGGCCGGCTTTCTTAAATCTTCGGCGAAGGTGACCCTGGTGCCGAAGCCGCCAAAACGAATAAAAACGTCAACCCCAAGTTCGTCGCTTGGCAGCCGCGTAAACAGTCCACGATCCCAACAGCCAGAGTTGCCACCCGTTACAGCTGCGACTTGGGTGTGCGTCATTTGCAGCTTCTCTAACCCGGTTCCTTCCAACTTTGATCCTACCACCGCGACTGCACACACGCCATTGCCTCCATGTCTTGCATGTGGCATTAAGCCGACTCTTACACACGTGCTAAAAGCTGCCATCTCGAATGCGAATAGTCGGAGTTCGACACTGTCAGCTTTGAACGCAGCGACCCCGACCCTGTCTCCCCGGCCGATACCTTCAAGTCCAAAACCAACGGCTCCTGTGCTCAATCACCGTTCCTCGAATGCCGGCGCAAGAGGTCCAGCTGCCGACACTGGTGCGTCGTTTGAGTGCCCCCGTTGCACATTTCTGAACCACCCGTCACTTCTTTCGTGTGAGATGTGTGGTGCGCCGCTCATTTCTCAAAATGCTGCAGCGTCGATACCTTCCGTTGTAGCGAGGACGGAGTCACCGGGACCGGTGCTAGTTAATGGGCCTTCGAAGTCCGACACGTTGAATCGCATCAAAGTGTCCTTCCGCGGCGGCGGTGAGAAGATATTCTACGAGCGATTAAAAGGAGCCATGACCCAAAGAAAATGGCTCTTGCATGGAGCGCCCCCGATTCCGAAGGGCACTCGAGGCGGAGACGAGACCACTTTGACAGCTAGACCTGGACCGGGAGCTGATGGAAGGCCCGTGACCAAAGCGGCGGGCATCGCGGCACTCGAACAAAGGGGACTGGATATGCGAAAGAATAACGAGCTTGTGATTGGCGATGCGTTTGAGGACCTCGAGTCCCTGATGGCATCCGCCAAGGAGGTCGTGGCGCTGGCGGAGCAATTCGCGAGGCAGGTTAACGGCACGGGCGGCGGCGCCGCTCTCGAAGCCAGTGCTCTCGTAAATCAGCTAGGCCTTGTGACAACCAAGGACATCGTCGGCGGAAGCAGTTCCGAATCCTTATATCTCTCCGAACTCGCCCGCAACCTCGCCGAGTTCTTGACGGATGATTCCCGCGGCGTGCTGAAGAAAGCGGGAGGAATCATCAGCCTTGTCGATCTCTGGGCCACATTCAATAGGGCGCGAGGGGGCGTCGAGCTGGTTAGTCCCCGCGACTTTGAAAAGGCGGCGAGAATGTGGGAGACGCTCAAGCTGCCGGTGAGGCTGAGGACATTCAAGAGCGGCGTCATGGTGGTCCAGAGCCACGATCGTACTGACGAGACTACTATCGCGGCCATATTAGAGTGGGTGCAAGACTTGCACGAGTTTCCTCCGGAGAAGGAGGTGTCGTGGGATTGGCATCAGTTCGGCGTCGGTGTTACGGCGCAGGATGCGGCCCAGCGCTTCGGTTGGAGCCTTGGGGTGGCTGAGGAGGAGCTCGAAATGGCGGAGGAGAAGGGGGCGCTCTGCCGAGAAGAGGGCATAGAGGGTCTGAAGTATTGGAAGAACTACATCGATACTGGTGATATAAAACTTCCAGATCCTGAAGAGGACATGGCCAAACAGTTCGAGAGAGCCCTACGAGAAAGCGGTATCCTATAGCTGCAGTTGGCACACATGTGGACGTACAGTCTACGGCTCAAGAGGCGATAGCGAGTAGATACCATTATAGAACGCGGGCGTCATTGATTAATCCCATCCCATATTTAACGGAATATCGACGGAGAAGAATTCCTCTGATCTGATGCCATCAATTGTGACGATCCAGACATGCGCTCACAGTACTTCTTCATGCCCTGCCGGCAAGATCTCCAAATCACTGCAAATCCACGGACGAAGTACAACCTGCCTCTCGTTCGCCGGATAACTGCGCAGTACCTCCCCGAATCCATCTGAACGACAAGCAACATGCGCGTTTGATCGTCGGGCGGTGGTAACTTCGACGAGGCGTACGTAGATGGATTCCATCAAGAACTGCAATTGCCAGCAGTCTACCTCGGCAGCACACGGTCGTAATAACGAATTGCAGTGTTAGCAGCGGAGTGATTATGGTTGTAGCCCGTAGCTTACACTTTCGACACTTTCGCACGCTGTGTTTAGGCAGTCGAATCGTTTTTTTTCAGCGCCTGCTTCAACGAGCTTGCGTCAGCAATTGCGTCCTTCCGTTTACGTGGAAATACGAACACAGCACTTTTGAATTCATCAAACTGACCTGCCTCATTTATAACGAGCATTAATCCACGGCTCTTCTGTCTGCCCATTGCAAATGCACTGAATTCCCAACTGGGGTGGCGCAGGTCGTTCCATTTATTGATCAATTGATCCCTAGAGGAGTACAAATCAGAACTCAGCCCCCTCCTCTCCAACGTACTCACTTTCTCATCAGCCTCGGATCAGCGCGTTGACCGGACTCCTTCTCGGTCTCACACTTTAGACATATCATATTCAACACATTCCTTAGGAGAGGTAAAAGATGCGCATCTCCGAAAAGTTCACACCGGAGGCAATGCTCGGCGCCCCGCGTCGAAGCCCAGCCGTGCCAAGCCGGAACGGGACCCTCGCGCTCTACACAGTCTCCACTTACAACTTCACCGAAGGGAAACTGACCAAGGAGCTCAAGACGCTAGAGATCAAGACCGGACGCTCCGAGGTGCTCTCGAGCGACGAGAACATCACCGAGGCTCTCTGGGTCCCCGGCAGGGATACCGAAGTGGCGTATCTGCAGAAAAAGGATAAGGGCCATACGGAGCTAGTGGTTGTCGATGTGGAGAGACGGGACGAGAGTAGACATGTGGTTTTCGAGTTCGATGCGCCCGTCAGCGGATTGAAGCTTAAGCCTCTGGACGACGAGACGTTGGCGTTCGCTGTTGCCGGGCTTGTGGGTCCGGATGGGAAGCTATATAATGAGACGACGCAGGAAAAGAAGGGATCGGCTCGGATATTTGATAAGCCCCGAGTCTGGGTGGTAAGAACGTGTTTGCCACCTCATAGATGTAAATCCTTTCTGTCGCATATGCTGACCTGATCTTTTCTCTTTTCTTCTCGCAAAGTGGGATTCTATCACGAAGGAACAAAAGTATACCCTTTGGTACTCTCAGCTCACCAGACAAAACGACCGCTGGACCCTACAAGGCGAACTCAACGACCTTCTCCAAAACACAACTCTCGAGATCGTAGGGGTCTACGACGTAGACGACGTCAAAAACCACTATGACCTGAGCACCAAGGGCATCCTATTCAACGCCTCGTCCCTCGGCCCGGACACCGACGTTCGACAATGGGACTCTACTCACGTCTACTTCGCGCCCCTCACCTCCTTCGCCGCTAAGACGACCTCGCCACCTCAGAGGCTCCAGATGGAACATCCCCTCCGCGCAGGACGATGCTCCAACGTGAGATTCTCGCCCGACGAGTCCCTCGCCGCATTCGTCTATGAGTCCTACGAGAACAGCATTGACGCACGTATATTGCTGGGCCACATCGACGCCCTGGCCGTCATCGACGTTTTCAAATTCATCGTCAAAAAGGAGCCCACTCTTCCCCCTTCTAGTTTCGAGTTCGGCAGCGAGCGCGACAGTCTTCTTCTCTCCACCCTGGCATGTGGGCGCACGACTATCCAGACCCTCTCACTTTCGCAAGATGCAGTACCCGAGACTATTTTCAACAATGGCTCGGCCGGGGCGTACTATCCCCTCGTCGAGGGTCAATGGGGGAAACTCCTAGTCTCGAGCGCTAGTTTCCTAGACAGTAGTCTCTGGCAGATTATTGATACCAAGGGGGAGACCGAGCCTGTGGTCGTCTCGTCCTTGACGAGGCACGGCGCCCGCTTCGGGCTGACGCATGCCATGGTATCGGAGATTTGGTACGAGGGGGCTGATGACAGCTGTATCCATGCTTTTATACTTCGTCCGAGCAATTTCGACCCTACTAAGAAGTATCCTTGGGTATTAATGCCCCATGGCGGACCTGTATCTGCATGGAATGATGCCTGGAGTACAAGAGTCCGTTGTATCCCGCGTCCGATTGAAACGTACAACATTGCTAATCCTTGCCCATAGTGGAACATAGCACTTTGGGCCGATCAAGGCTATATCATAGTCTGCCCCAACATTGCCGGCAGCGTAGGCTACGGACTTGACTTTACTGCCCGTACGCTCCTCCTTGCCCCCTTTACCGTCCTATCTTCGATCTCTCAATCTCTCTAACCTCGCTCGTACATGTCAGGAATCAACGGAGAATGGGGTGGAGCTGCCTACAAGGATCTCGTCAACCTCGTCCAGTATGTCGAGCAACTCCCCTACATCGACATCACCCGCGCCGCCCTCGCCGGCGCCAGCTTCGGAGGCTACATGGTGAGCTGGATCTTCGGAACCGACCTCGCCAAAAAGGTAAACTATCTCCCCTTCCCACTGGGCCAACCTGTGTTTTCCAAAAACATGACTTCTACTAACAAACCTAACAGTTCCGCTGCGCCATCTGGCACGACGGCATCCTCCACCTCAACGCCCTCGCCCTAACCTCCGACTTCGGCCTCCCACCCGCCCAATTCGGCAATCCCCCTCTCGCATGGGACCCTGCCACCGCCGAACAGCTCGACAAGTGGAACCCGGCCCGGCCCGACCGCCTCGCGAGGTGGAAGGACGCACCCCCGACGCTCTTCATCCATGGCCAGCGTGACTGGCGGTGTCCTCTGATCGAAGGGCTCGCCGCCTACCGAGTCCTCAAGTCTCATGGCGTGGCGAGCAAGTTTTTGACGTTCGAGGACGAGGGTCACTGGGTGCTCAAGCATGAGAACTCGCGTGTGTGGCATCGGGAGGTGTTTGCTTGGATTGAAACTTATGTTGGGAAAGGTCCTACGCCGGACTATTAAGAGGCAAAAGCTATTTATTTTCTTCTGCAGACTACTCTTGGAAATGTATGTATGAGGAACTTTTAGCCTTGGATTTCCTATTCTGTATGATTATGCTGGCTATGCAAATGGTATTGAACAAACTGGGTGCTTCCAAGCCAGACATATGAGCTCAAGAACAAAAACAAGATGCAAAACAAAGGTATATGCAGGTATTTCATGGCCCATGACGGTCGTAAAGAAGTTTGGGAGATGCATGGAAAATCGCAAAACGTAGCCGCTTCCTTGACAGACGCATCATGACTTGAATAAAAAAAAAAGCAAAAGCAAAAAAAAAAAGAAATGCAAAACGATCCTCCTCACCAAACAAAACACACCACACCTTTGCGATACCAAGACGAGACCAATACCGTCATGGCCAAAATGCCACCAGTCCGAGGGTATAACCATTCAACCCAGTTTCAAGTCAGTCATCCACTTATTCGTCATCGGGCTTCTGGTCGTCGTGGTCCTTCTTCTGCTCCCGTTCCTCCTGTTCCTTCGCTTCTCTCTCCTTCTTTTCAGCCTCCTCCTTTTCCTTCAACTCTCTTTCTTCCTTTTCCTTTTCTTCCCTCTCTTTCTGTTCCCTTTCCTCCCTCTCCTTCTTTTCCTTTTCCTCCTTCTCCTTCAGCTCCCTCTCTTCCCTCTCTTTCATTTCTTTCTCCTCCCTTTCCTTCAGCTCTCTCTCCTCCTTTTCTTTCTTCTCCTTCTCTTCCCGTTCCTTCTTCTCCTTTTCCTCCTTTTCCTTCAACTCTCTCTCTTCCCTCTCCTTCTTTTCTTTCTCCTCTCTTTCCTTCTGCTCCTGTTCCTCTCTCTCCTTCTTTTCCTTTAGCTCTTTCTCCTCTTTCTCCTTCTTCTCCTTCTCTTCCTTTTCCTTTAGCTCTCTTTCCTCCTTCTCCTTCCTTTCCTTCTCTTCTTTCTCCTGCTTCTCCCTCTCTTCCTTTTCTCTCTGCTCTCTTTCCTCCTTCTCCTTCTGTTCCCTCTCCTCTCTCTCCTTCTTCTCCCTTGCCTCCTTCTCTTCCTTTTCCTTTAGCTCTCTTTCTTCCTTCTCTCGCTTCTCTTTCTCTTCCTTCTCCCGCTGCTCCCTCTCTTCCTTTTCTTTCTGCTCTCTCTCCTCCTTTTCCTTTTCCTTCTTTTCTCTCTCCTCTTTCTCGCGCTGCAGCTGCTGTTGATGCTCTTCCTGCTTCTCCTGCATAGTCAACAGAATTAAAGTTAGTCGGTCAATCTTGCTCGCCATCTCGTTCACCCTCGTCTCCATCTGCGAGAGCACCAAGCTCCCGTCATTGGCCGAGCTCTCCTTGGCGTCCGCCTCCGCAGATTTGCTGTCCGCTGAGGACGGCTGCTTGTGGAGGCTCGCCCGCAGCGTATCCTCCTGGCTGAAGGTGGGGCCCCTAAAGCCGGCGAACTCGTCCTGAATGTTCCTGCAGCGGATCGACTCATACAGCTTGATAACGCCGACAATGGGGAGGTGGGTGATCTTGAGCAGGGCGATGCGGCCGGCGCGGAACTTGGTGGCTGAGTGGAAAAACAAGCGAAGGGGTCGGAAGATGATGAGGGAAACCAGGTTCAAGGGCGGCAGGAAGTGGGTCAGGCGGTTGCTCGTGGACGCCTCGAGCACATAGATGCTGTAAACGAAGAGGTATTCCGACCTAGCCTGGGTAATGACGCGGGAGAAGCTATTGGACAGCATACCGGTGAGGGAGCCGGTAAGGAGGAAGGAGCTGAGACAGATGAAGAGGAGCATGAGCGGCGGGCCGAAGACGGGGTCAATGTCGTCCATAATCTCGATACCGGTTCCGCTCGAGCCGAAGAAGATTTTGGTAAGAATCATGGTCATATTCGCAAAGGTAAACGTGTTTCGCCCGACGAGGGAGAAGGTAGTAAGGAAGCCGCAGTAGATGATGATGACCAAAATCATGAATTTGACAAAGTCTTTGCCCATCTCCTTGAAGCAGGGAATCAGTGTGCCCCAGTAAGGGCTCAAGCTAAGGAACGAGCAGATTCTAGGCACCATGAACAGAGCTTCCAAGGCGAATATGTCAAAGGCAACTTCGACTGCCTGCTGATTATGCGTGATGATACCAATTATCTCTGCGAAGGCAGGTTAGTGAACCATCTTCCTGCGCCTAGTGGAGTAAATGTGGAAAAAGAACAAGAAGGAAATAACTTACTGAGTATAGCAAAGGTGATACCAAGGCTAATCATGATCATGTCAAATACGTTCCAGAGGTCGGAGGTGTAAAACATGGAACCGGCATCGTTCCAGGCGCTGATCTCATCGTACAAGAATGCGGCAAGCCAGATGTAAAGAACATATTCGGCGCGAGTAATGACGTCGACGTCACGCTCCACAAGTACGGTGTAGTAAATAGCCATGAAGCCGAGGAAAAAGACGATCTCCCAAGCCTTGAGATATTTAGGGACACGCAAGCGGGAGAAGGGGTCAGCCGTTGCAGGGTTATAGTACCTCGGCTTCTTGACGGCCAAGACGTCGAGTCTGTCCCAGAAAATTATATCACCATTCCAAATGGCGGTAATAATCTTCTGGACAACGGCTTGACCGAGGAATTCCTTGGAGTTTGAGATGGCGGCTATCTCGAGGGCATTGAGGCCGCGGAAGGGTGCAGTTGGATCCTCTTCCACTTCCTCACCCTCCTCAACACTGAAACTGGCCGTCAAACGCGAGAGGGATTGCAAAAGTTGACCGCGTTTAACAGAGTTGACAGTGGTGGCCATGGACCGTCTGCCGTAGGAGCCACCATTGGAGCGAGGAAGAAGAGGAGAGTGTTCGGTACTAGTGGACTCCTCCGGAATGGTGTCGGGAATGGGTTCGGGTTCCTCGAGTTCGGGGATCTCGTATAGACAGTAGTCTACTGCTTCTCTCTCGGACAGACGAGACAAGAACCTCCAGGCGACGATCTCACAAGCATGTGCGCGAGACGCGCTGAGGTCGCGGGTCTTGTCGTCGGCGACATAGTGCCATTTCAATGCCCTTCATAGAAACCAGGTCAGCATCAATTGAAATTTACGGAGAGACGCTCATCTGAAGGCCCGCTGTGTTGAGGTGAGATCGATCGGGGTGACCATAAAAGATGCATAGAAGTGGGGGGCAATGCGTTCTGCATGTGCCCCACTACCACTAAAACAGAACCTGCCTCGTGATGCTGCTCGCCCTAGCTACGAATGGTGATGGTGATGGGAAGACGTGAAAAGGAAGATGTATCAAGAACATACAGCAAGGCATTCACGATGGTCGGATTGGAGCAGTTCAAGGCCAGATGGTCGACTAGCGAACGAAGTTCACTTGAAGAAGTCCTCAACTGCTCAAACGTGTGCGGCAGAGTGATAATAGCAGAGAAGTAACTACAAGTGTTAAAGACGTGTCAGTATAGAAAATAAATGAACCAAATTCTAAGAGAGGGTAGAATTGACTAACCGAGAAAACTTCTTGATAACATCTCGGAAGCTATCGCCTTCACGAATGTCAGGCAGCTCGACATAAACAAAGCCAGACGGGCCGGGAGACGGCGCTCGGGGCGCCGGTAGCTTCTTTAGCTTAACGCGGATGGGCATAGTTCCTCGGTCGGGGCAGGTTTTCTGAGGCCAAGAGGAGGTTGTAAATCCTCGACGAAGAACACGTCGATGTTGCTTAAGAGAGGAGCTGTGTTGAAGGAGAGGAGGAGCGGGGGAAGAAGAATGAAACAGACGAAGGAGGAGCGGAGGGGATCAAATTGATGGCAGCTGGAGACGAACGATCACGGTACATTGCGACAAACAACCAAGGCCAAGGAGAAATTACGAAGTACACTATGTACAGTCTGATACCGGTCTTGGACGAACTAAGTCGGCACAATCGCTGAATACGTACTTCGTAGAAGTAGTAGAGTACTACGGCACTATTCCCAAACCAAGACCTCGTCAATTGAAGATGGAGTGTAGTGTACTTTGTTTGATGTGTGTGGATTCCAGGCGGGCAAGGATCATACATAGATAGCCTGGTCAGCCAAGACCCTGGTAGTTCGTGCTCCATCCTGGACATCATTGCATGTGGGGGTTGGGGAAGCTACTAAGGATATTGGATAATATTGGATTGAACAAGGCATAAAAAGGGTCTAGGGTGCCTGCCCGTGGTCATGTAGGCGCCCGCAATTACATCAAGCTGGCCAGGAGCAGGAAGTGATGGACAGGCGGGTTACCGGGCTGGATCGATTGGCAAGCTTGATTGGCTTGGAGAAGGTCGCACAGCAAGCACGCGGCGAGATCGTGGTCATGGATGCCTCCAATGGCCAATTGACATCTTGGCCACGAGAGGAGAGAGGGGAGAGAGATGGCGACAACCCCTCTGTTGAAGGCTTACATTATCTGTACATTAAAGTATGAACTTGGTAGTAAGTAATTACCTTAGTATTCGTACTTTGCACGAAATACTTGTGGTTGGTGGCTGGACTCTGGAGCGGGGTTTCCAGAGAATCATTTCAAAGTTCATAGCTCAATGTCCAAGCCCATGTTCAATGCTCCTGCACAGCACTGGACTTGAGCTGGCGTGTGCGCGGTACAATGCCGACGTCGTGCCTCCTGACTGTCGCTAGGCCAGGCGTACTTGTGCACAGCCTAAAAAAAAAAAAAAAAAAAAAAAAAAAAAAAAAAGAAAGCCCGATGCTCATTCTAAACTAAATGGAAAGCACAAAATGTGGACTCACTGCGGCAACCCATTATCACACTAAAGTGCGGTGACCCGAGATAGTTCGAAGTTCAACATTCGATATTGCTTGCTCGACCGCACAGCCGTTCATTCGTATTAAACCGGCTTCATCTACTACTAATACTCTAATAAACTACGACGAGTACAAAGAGTCCCTTCCTGGCGTGGGGAACGCAATCTCCAGTGCTGCAAGATGCAGGGTCGGTTTCGGTTTCGACAGGTGACACCTGATACGAAAGATTTTCCGTTTGCCTCTTCGGCTCTGCGAGGTACACGGCACGATACTACACGATATGAAGATGGTGCAAGAACGGTTTGTCACTTGTCGAAGTATTCTGTGCCGTGCAAACGGAATGTTTGACTTGTGGCGGGAAAATCAAGGTAGACTCTTGTCTTGAGGATGGGAGAGATGGTTGAAAAGAGTCAGATAGCCCATGGTGAGGCTCAGCGATGTCCGTCCATCAAAATTAGCATTGATCGAATCAATGGCACTTGCAGGGGTCTTCTTCTTCTACGACGTCAGGTCGCAGGGCCACTGACACTCGTTTACTTCACACTTTGTAAGCCCGAGCCTCGCTGGAATTGAGATTTGACGCAATGGACGAAGTAGTTTACTGTACGAAGTACCTGTTTGAAGATTGCACTAAATAATAATACGTTTCAAGTGAATAACTTCTTCGTTCGTCCATCAACCGCATGGCATGTACTTCGTACCTGTGTACGCTTTATGAAATGACTCCGAAGGAGTGGGTCAAAAGTTCAAAAATCCAATGGCCATCGAACGAGGAGAGTTTAGTTGTCGATTGAACATACCCATCCGACCACCCTCCAGACTGCAACTGGGCATTGATCAGGCGTCTCACATGGCAGCATTCACGCAGCTTCCTAGAAATGCCAGAGAGGAACACCAGCAAAGGCAGAAAGCAGCTCAAAGAATCAATTGGCACGGTTGCCAACATTAATTAGTATCCAGTGAACAACTTCGATTTGGAACTTGTATGAGGATCCATGGGGGGCGAAGCTGCCCTGGAGCTCCTTCCCCGAACCTCGAATCAGTTCAACACCATCCGTTTGTTCTTTCCCAGGAAATCCCTTTCCTGCTAAACAACGTTCGTTCCCATAATAAAGGACAATCAATTATAAGAAGGAGCAATCTTAAAGAAGAGCTCAAGAGCCGCATTATTAAGCCGGATCCGAATCTGTTCGGTCCATCTCAAACGCACATGCAGTCTTTATCAATTCGTCGCTCCCTCCCTTGCATTGACGTCGACGTATTTCGTAAGGCCTGGGAGTTGATCGTGTCCAAATGACGATTGCAAACCCTGAATTTCCTTTGTCAATGGCTCACGGATTCTCGCCAAGCCTCGTCCACGCCGACATCTCATTCGCCATTCGCTGCATTGCTGCATTGCGAAACGATGCAACCGCTGTGCCTCATTGGGCCTGGCAGAACCACGTTCGGTCATGACGCGTCGGAATCCGGTGGGAACGACATCCACATAAGCACAAGCTTCTTTTTGCACTAAAACCCAAAGCCTTCCACACCTAAAATAGGCGCTGTCATCTAGCACCCAGGCCTAACCAAGGGTCATCATTATCCCGAGGCGAACGAATAGCCTCGAACCACTCCCAGCCCATACACTGGTAAAACCCTCTAACTACGAGCTCCCTTGCGTGGACGTCGTGTTTCGGCCCGCACCGCAAGAAAAAGGAAAAGCGCCCAAAAATTCATCTGCGTCTGTGGCTGTTGCATCAGGGTAAACGTGCCTGACAAGCCTCTCTTGCGCCATAAGATCTTCGGGGCCCGACCTATGTTGCTGTGCTAGACACACCGTAAATCTTCGTATATGGCTGACGCGTAAAAAACGACTGGAAACGAGTTGACAATAATCTCACTTTCTTGCCCAATGCTAGCTATGGATGAGTCGAAGGTGGCAGTTGCTGTATGGCTTAGTTCTAGAAGGATATTACTCCGTTAGAGATCTCTAATCTCGTCTTCAACGAGTATTAATATCTGGGGATGCCTCGAATAGTTCGAGCCTGAGATCATGACTTGAATATATCCCAACATCACAATCCTTCTCTATCCTGGTATTCATCTGAAGTGAGATCCACCCTCGTCTTCGCCTCCTCGTGTGTTCTTCACCTCGTTGCTTCTAGTCTCCAAGGCCTTCCTCCCTTTTCACCATGGCCACTCCTTCTCCCACCATCGCAGATGCTGCCACTGGCACAGCAACCTCAACATCTTCTCCGTCCTGCATCACTGCTGTCCCCGGAAAATATGGCGCCGTCCCCATCGATGCCTGCAACAGTAACTACCTGGTTGTGCCCAACTTTGGCGCAAACCTGGCGTTCGCTGTGTTGGTAGGACTAACTACTTCTGTCCATATCCTCCAAGCTGCTGTGTATAAAAAGGTACTACTCCTGATCCCGAACGAAAGATAAAAGTCTTCTTTACGCCCTGGAAATGCGGCGACGTTGTAAAAAGACGTGGGATCAGCATTCGCTGACTTATACGTCTAGAAATACTGTTGGGTCCTCATCATGGGCAGTGCCTGGGAAACTGCCGCCTTCGCTCTCCGCACAGCCGGTACTCGTGACCAGCAGCAACTCGCCTACGTTGTCATGGGCACGCTGCTTCTCCTTCTTGCGCCATTGTGTAAGTGACCAGTCACCGAGTTGTCCCGAGGAGAAGATCTTACCAGACTAACACCATATCTAGGGATCAACGCCTTCCTCTACATGACCGTAGCCCGCCTCGTCCACTACATGCTCCCCAGTCAAAAGGTCCTCGGATTGAGAGCCGTCCTCCTAACCAAGGTCTTCGTCGGGCTCGACATCCTTTCTTTCCTCGTTCAGGGTACGGGCGGCTCTCTTCTTTCCAACCAAGATGAAGACAGCCAAGATATTCAACGTGCCGGCCAGAAGATCTACATGGTCGGTGTCGGCATCCAAGCTTTGTTCATCATCGCCTTTAGCGTCTTGACCGTTGCCTTTTACAAGAGACTCGATATAGAGGGTCGACAGGATCGCAACATTCCGCTTACGAAGAAACTTGTTTGGGTTCTGCTTGCCGATTTTGTCTTCATCATGGTAAGAGTCGATCCGCTTCATCCCCCAACCCCCCCTTTCTATGCGCTAGATTTTGCCTCTAACATCAGACCTGACAGATCCGAATCATCTTCCGCCTCGTCGAATTCATCCCCGGCGCCAACGATGATAACCCCATCCTTAAGAGCGAAAACTACGTCTTCTGCCTCGACGGCCTTCCCGTTCTCCTCGGCCTCATCCTCCTCAACGTGCTCCACCCGGGCCTCGTCCTCCGTGGCCCCGATAGCGAATTCCCCCGCCTGTCCCGCAAGGAGAAGAAGGCTCTCAAGCGCGAGAAGAAGGAGGCCAAGAAGCAGCTCAAGGCGGAGAAGAAGCAGCGCAAGATGGAGAGGAAGGAGGGCGGACACGGGTGGCAGCAGGTCGATCTTGATGATACGTCGGCGAGGGAGGGGGATGACTCGAATGTTGAGCTGGTGGAAAGGAACTATCCCAGCTATGATCATTCGTGGAGAGAAAGGGAGGCTAACTCTAGGGTCTAAACGGGACCGTGGGGGCGTTCGTCGATTGGTGTAAACTTTTGAAGTTTTCATTTGTCTTGATGATTGGGTCCATGGGGAAGTTATAGAGAAAGTTATGGATCAGGGTGGATCACCGCGGACTACATGAATGGGTATAGAGATGGATAATAGCGTCGTCTGAAATTTGGGCTTGCATTTAAGTTACATAGTTTGATATAGTTTGGGCTTAATTTCTTTTCTTTCTTTTCTTTCTTTCTTTCTTTCACCTGACCGCTTGTTACTTTCATCTTTTGAACCGCTCACATCGGCTCCCATTCATCACTCATCATAAAGCATCATCAAGCCAGAGCCGCGATGCTCTGCCGCGGCTCCTCCACTTCCTCTCCAAGCAGGCTAGCCGTCGAATGAGACATTCTCATGGCCACACCCAGTCTCAAATGAAGCATCTAAATACCCAAACTTCATCCGCTCCTTGGCCTGGTTTATATTTCCACGGATGGCCAGCGCTATGTTTCACAGCCGGCGTCTTTCCTTTCCAATTGAGATATATAAGCGAATCTCCTCCCAGATCATCCTCCACAACTGATACCGCGTCGGCGACGACTGAGCAACGAATACTCCTGATAACGTACAGTTGCATCCCGGCGGCAGAGAGAAACTAAAGGAGGACGGGCCGACATGGGTCTTCCATGGATGTGGTGGAGAAGGCTAACGACTCTTGGGCCCCGGTTCTTAGTACACCTCAGAAGCATTCCTTGTTGCTGGACTAGGCTCCCGATGGCCAACAATTGCAGAATAAAGAAAACACTAGCACGACCTTCACCAGCTGTTCCGGTTCAATATAATAGCCTCTTAGCGTTATCCTTCTTCATAAATTCCAACTTCTTGCTCTTGTGACATCGCAACTCGAACCCGTTCGTCTGCGACACAATTCTCGTCACCAATAAATGTCTTTAGTTTTCACGGGGCGGCGTACTAGCTATGGGGACTTGCTGACCACGGTCTTGAACCACTCGCAAATGTTAGAATGGCAGAAAATTGCAACATCTCTAACTACCAGGTCGATATTATATTTCTACCTTTTTTGTTTTCTTTCGTCTGGACATTGCCCGTCTGAGGGGACTTATGATGGCATTGGTGGACAAGAAGTGTCCTGCGCTCTAGCGACGATTGATGTTGCTGTGTGGTGTCAACCTCATCATTGTAATACTAGTTTAGTGTTGCTACAACGCTGCGCTGCTCCCTTAAGACAAAGGATCCTGTCTTGCCGTTTCCCTTCTCTGGCACGAGGCAGGATAAACCTGAGTTGTCAGGGCTCGAGACCTAGTCTGTGAATCAAAGTCGCTACCTCCCCTTCAGGGGAATGATTCCACCTGACAAAGGTCAGAGGTTTCTTGACGTTAGACAAACCGCAGCCAAGACATTCGTGATATGGTGGTCCATATGTCAAATCCTGGTGCAAATATAGACCGCGTTGCCCCCACTGCGAATCCATCCACGGCGGCTCATTGTTCAAGATGTCAGCAAAAGCCACGCGGCTACTATGATTCCGCACGCTGGTCCTCAAATTAGCATCTTCAATAACAAGTGCCGGAGCGAGTCCATCGTCATCCATGTAATTTCCATGGGAATGAAGTATGCGTAAGCTTCAACTTCTGCCCTGCCCCCATCCATCTATGTGGTTTATTATCTATTTGAAACCTGGAAAACGGCCCGCGGTGGCTGGGGATCTTTTGCGCCCCTCTGAGGAAGGAGGAAGAGAGCGGATCCGGTGGAACTCGGTATCTTCCCGTCAACAAAGGCCTTCCGGGCTAGAACATATCCGGCAGAATACCCACATGTGCGAACGCACTTGGAAACAAAACGGCGTAAACAAACCTGTGCCATGTGGCAAGATATGAAGTGGCGAACAGAACGGTTCTTGGAGAGTCTAATTACCTCGAAGTTGTCGGCTTGTCTTGACACTAAAGAGAGGCGCCTGCCCAATCATCTGGGACAAAACTCAGGGGAGGGTGTCATCCATGCCATGTTGGCGCAGCGCATCACAAACACCATCCAGTGTGCGTCGCAATGACTTTGAGATGATTGTTAAAAATAGAATCGATCCAACACACACTGTATAACACCGCCTAATTTATTAGGGGAACATAGTGCGGATATCTTCCCGTCCTGCTGCTCTTGGCGGCTGTGCGTTCAAGCGCTCGGCGCCTGGTTGGAACAGACTTGACGCTTCGCATTGGTCCTTGGGGGCGTAAGGGCTATTTAGCCTTCGGGGTTTATTGAGGGGCTGGGAGTCGAAATGGTCAGCGCCCAGAATGATGAGGACGAAAAAAACCCTTGCTCGAGAAAAGCGGAAAGAAAAGTAGTGCAGAATACCTGAATGTGGTGGCACTGGAGCGAAGAGTCGGGGTTCGGAACCATCATCTCATCGTCTTGTCGTCTCATCACACCATCGCCTCATTTTCTCGTGGCAGCTCTCAACATCATGAAAAGCTGCTGGCAATGCGCTGGCTCCAATACGAAGAATTTCCAGCTTCGCACAAATCAAGGTCGCCTGTCGATGAACCTAAGAGAAACGAAGAGAAACACTGGGCATCAGTCATACGGTTCGGTTAATCGCCAGATGCGAGACAATTTGTCTGTCCCACATTCAAAGATTGACGTCCGGTCCGTATATGTATTATAAGTAATCCTAGAGTACGAAATCCTAGAGTACGAAGTAGTCCGTAGAACCTATATAACATGCTGATATTTCTAAAATCGGTTGCCCCCCATCAGGCTCCCCTTCGTCGGGAAGTTGGGATCGTCAAACGGCGCGCATTTACTTCGTGCGAAGTGTTCTTCTCTGATGGGCCGCCGAGAGCATGGATATGTGTAAATCTTGTCCTTCGTCGACCAGGTGAAAAAAAACCTATAAAGAGTTGCACGGCAACGGACGACGATGGAGAACGATGGTCGGAGTCGTGGAGTCGAGAGCTCTTAAGCGTCTCACTAATGGATTCGGTGATGGCTGGAAGAGGCATAGCCTGTGCCCACAGCCCAGGAACTCCAAGATGAAGAGGGACAAGACAACCACCGGATCCTGCATTTGGCCCTGCCAGGCCCAGTCCTATTTTCAGCCACACACTCAATAAGGTTACTTCGACTGGTTCATCCTCTCGGCAACCGGGCTTACGCCCATCTCCACCCATGGTCCAAGACCAGGACCAGGTTCCAGAATTGTTTGCTCTTTTCTCCCTGGATCTTGGCTTTGCGCTGCCACCCTGGATAATGCGTCTGGAATGTCCATCAAATTCACAAAGCCATTCAGTGCGGATTAGTCTTAGCATTAAGACAGCGCACACGCAGCACTCCGTGATGCCAAATACTGATCAAATGCCGGTACGAAAAAAAAAAAAAAAAAAAAAAATCCACGCAGTACGGCAGAATGGACCGGGCCAATATCAAACTAAACATGGGCTGGTCAGCCATCCCGAGAGCCAGGCGACATCATGTTAATGATCAAGGAGCTCAGGGGGGGCAAAAATCAGCTCCTCCCCCCCCAGCCATCTGTTTCGACACGAGCATTCGTTCAATCGTTTGCCATTCTCCATTCCTCAGGAGCCAAGCAGACGACAGAAAATAAATGAACATTTTCATTCAGATCTCGTAAAAAAGAACTGCTGCACTTTGTGATACTTCGGAAGTAGCAAGGTCAGGATGACGCTCAAGGGTACTCAAGTCTGACCTCCTTGGATGTACACTCCGCCTCTCCGTGATACCAAGGTCCGCCTCAGTCGATCCCATCCGAATCCCACCTTCAGACCCCGGGTCTTCGGGTACACAGCAGGGCTTCCTTTCTTCCATTGTACTTGTAGGATTGTCATTGATGAGTACGTACTCCTGGCTAGGTCCATTGTCCTATCCTGCCGGGTTGAAGACGCTGTGGCTGCATTGGCTGATGCGACTCTGGGCCAATGCGAGATCGAAACACAGCCCGGGACCTGCAACATCCTTCAATGATCTCCTTCTTTTTCGATTTCCATTTCAATCTTAAACTGTCACTCTTCCTCCTTGTGTACATTTCTGCGAATCCTATCGCTACTTTCTAATCTCGATTCTTTTTTCTCGCATCTCCTATCGCGAGCGCTGGTTTCTTTATTTTCCTGTCGTCAGCGTTGCCTTTTCGATGTTATGCGCATTCGGTATTATTCTCTCAACTACTGAACTTTTCCATCCTCATCAACTTCAACTTCAATAGTACAACATCAAATGTTGGCTCCCGACTTCTTCCAGCGGCTCCCAAGCCCGACCGCCTCCCTCATCCTCGCCGCACTCCTCACACTCACAAACGCCCACGCCCTCCCCCGCCAAACGAAAACCGTCCAACACCGCACTCTAAACGTCGAGCTCTGGCCGCCCGCACCCACTGAAGCGCCGCTCCCCCTCGCCCGCGCCCAAATCGACGCCCTCCTCCTCCGCCGACAAGACTTCAACACCGTTTGCGGCTTCCTAGAAGGCAATGCCGACATCCCTGTAACCTGCGGCGCCGGCTCGCACTGCGTCGTCGACCGCGACCACAATGCTATCGGTTGCTGTCCTGACGGTGAACCGGCCTGTACCACCGGCGTCTTCACGGGCTGCGTAGATTTCAACAGTGGGCCTCAGACCGAGGTGAACCCCTACGTTTACACATGCGCCGGATCCGACGTGTGTTACCGGAATGTTTTTGCGGGCGGGTTTTCTCAGTACGGTTGTGGAACGGCGTCCAACCTAGCCGCGAGCGTGGCGACCGCTGTTTCGGGGCTCTCGTCAGATCTTAGGTTTTCGCAGGTGACGGACCAGTTTACGGCAGAGGTTACGACCGTTTCCGAGCCTATTACTATTAATCCTAGCACGGGGACTCGCTCCCTCACTGCATCTTCTTCCTCGACGACGGAATCCACCACAACGAGCAGTTCTACGACGACTTCGACGTCCAGCGAAACGGCTTCTTCGACAGCCGCGGCCGGCGAGGCAGGGGAAGCCCCCGAAGGCAACGGATCCAAGAACCAGACGGGCGCTATTATCGGAGGCACCATTAGCGGCGTGGCCGTTCTCGTCGCGCTCGTGGCTTTGGGATTCTATCTCTGGAAGCGGAAGCAGCGCAATACTCGTGAGGGTCCGCCTACCCTGGACACCAAGTACATAAGGTACGTGTTGCTTTTTTTTTTTTTTTTTTTTTTTTTTTTTTTTCTTTCTCGTTTTTCTTCTCCTCTTTCCCGCTCCCAACGCTTCACGCTTAGTACATTTCACGGGGCCACGCAAACTAATTGTGCCACTTCTAGCCCCATGTCAAACGGCGCCGGCTTCACCCCCGTCGCGCCGAGTCAAGAATACGCCGAAACAGGCTTCTACCCCATGCACGCCGCGGCGGCCGCTCCGAAACCCGCCCACGTACCGGCGGTCTACGGTGTAGGCAGCTCGACAGAACGACCGGACCAAGTGCCTCTGACGAGGGAATTCGACGACTTCCACCGCGGATTCAGCGAGGCGCTGGAGAACATCAGGGAAGAGGACGAGACAGCCATGACGGGTTCTCCTGGAGGACAGGCCGGAGCTGCGGGACAGGGCGCGGGTCGTGGGCAGGGGCAAGGGTATAGTAGCGTGAGTACGGAGACGGAGACGCCGTTGTGGCAGCAGAATCGGCGGCAGAGTAGGAATATGATGTGGATGTAATCACGGCCGCTGAAGAGGAGGCGAATCAGTGGATGGAGAAAGAAATGAAGAAGTGGATAATCAATGTATTATGCATTTTGGTTGTGCTTCCTCTTGATTTCGGACGAAGCTTGTATAAACTGGAAAGGATCAATGGTTATTGCATTAGGAACCGAAAGCATCTCTTGACAACGGGCGTTTAGGTAAAGAGGGAAAAGGGACAGAAAACGACTGCAGGCGAAGGGAAGGGCATCAATGATGAAGCTTTTCTGAAACGCAATTTGATCAGTTGCGACGTTTCCATGTTGATAAGTTTCTTTTTTTGCGATCGATCATGTATATATGAATGCGCATCTAGTTTCGAGCAATCGAGGTCCGTCCTCGGCTGCGCAAAGCAAGTGTGCTCTCCGTACGTCCGTACGTCCGCGAAAGTTAAATCAAGCAAAGGACACCATCGTCTCCTCGCTGTGCCGCAGGCATCCCCGCCTTTTCAATACAATTGATCGAAACAGCAAAAAAAGAATGGCGGGGACCGGTGAACTCTACAAAACACTGTGGAGTTCTCCCTGGTCCGTCCTGCATCGTCAAAAGGCCCCGCCAATCTTGGAAAGTAATCCATCATGTATATATATATATATACGTACCAGGCCAAGGCGAAGAAACGCCACTTCACCTGGAAGGGGTGTGAAGGAGACAAGAGCCTTGGAGAGAAGGTCCCAACTAATAGACTCCCTACTATAACCTTCGAAGCCTAGCGGCGCCTCGTGACACAAATACGCCTCCCACCGATAGACCGGATCGAGAAAAGAAGGTCCAATCGTGGCATGGGCGAATCCTAAGGGGGGAATGCGATGCGGCTGCGTGACCCGGGGCGTGTGCGCAGTCAGCACAGGGTCATGACGGAATGGAGAGGAAAGACTGGGGAAGCGTCGGCTGAGATGATGGCTAGCGTCGCAAGATTCATTCGGGTGCCCGGGGTCCACAGAATCGGTTACATCATGGCAATGGGGTAATGGGAGAGTGGGAGAGACCAGCGGCGAGAGCCCGTTCATCGCTGTTGAATTGAGGATCAGAAGATCGAGATATTATCACGACCGGAGCTTGACTTGGGCATCCCGAAGCAGGAAATTTGGCATGAATCCAGAAAAGAAAAAAAAAACCAGACGGGCTATACTATTTTGTACTAAATACGTTTTGAGAAAAGAGGTCTTTCTTTTAAAATAAGAATTGAGGGCCGGTTATCAAGTACTTCCCCCCAAGAGCCCCAGACCGTCTCTCTTTTTCTCGGGTCCGGTCGGTGCCAAAAACGGCGCCTATCGTCGGCTTATTTGGGTCCAGCTTCCGCGACAAGCCCGCCGCGATCCGCCGCTCCGAGCCGTCAATCACTGCTGCTGATTGCGATGACGCCCGTATTTGACTGGTACCACTAACACGACAAAGACCAACCGCCGCAGCACTTCAGCCATTGAATGGTACACGCCGCGGTCCACGGACATCCCCCGAATCACAATAGGCATGCATAGATCAATTGATCCTATCTTTTTATTCCGTATACAGATGCCCCGAATCGCGGGGAAACTCTCCCTTGTTCGACACAGGGCGCACACATGTGATATTGCAATTTAAGGGCGTAGGCATGTGGGGACCCGGACTCCCTTAAGGTTCCTTCGCGAGTTAGGTCACGCTGGCCGGCCCGTGGGAGACCACCACTTGGAGGAGAGTTTCCGGAGCCGGTTCTCCAAGTTTTCTGCTTTAGGGCCACCAAGACGGGTGGCTAGCGTGCTATTTTGTAGACTTCATACAGTGGATGTGCTTTGCTACCTGGAGTAGATCCAACAGTACCAGAGATTCTAGACCCCGTGGAATCTTATCCTGGTTCTTGTTACGATATAACAACTCCACGTGTCCCCAGAGCCTCCGAGACTTACAAGCTCCTTCTAATCACTTTCGTCAACCAAGTATCTTTAAACTTCAATCTTCTTATCACACAATCGCCCACCCCTTATCTTGGGTTGAACAGGATAGATTTCTTCACAACCTAGATCAGCACAAAAAGATAGGCTCATGACCACCGCGATGGGAGCACCTCAGGAAATCGACCTCCCCCCGAGCTCCTCGCCATCCCTCATCCTCACTGAACCGACCCCGGCCGAACGTATTCAGATATGGACTCTCACCCAAAAGTCGTGGGGAAGAGTCCTTGGCGTTGAAGATTACGTCCATCGAGAGGAGTATCTCTTGACCGTTCCCGTTGCAAGAGGCGGCGGGGTCACTCAGTGGATTCTCACCATCAGATCTCTCCCACCTGGCCAGAGGCCAATCCTTTCCTCGTGCGATTCCATTAGGAAGACTGCGCTCGTCGGTTCCTCCCCGAGAGGCTCCAACATAGAGGAAGTGATTGCCCATAGCATTGGCTCCGTCTTCACGGACCCCATCTATAGAGGACGTGGATATGCGTCCAAGATGCTGGCCCTCCTCGGAGAGGAACTGAAGAAACACCAAGGCTCTCCAATGAAACCTGTCACCAACGGCACCAAATCCGAAACCTTGGTGCCTACCACCTCCGTACCTTCTCCGAGGACCACCAGCCTCACTCCCGTTGCCTTTTCCCTCCTCTTTTCGGACATTGGCAAGACCTTCTACGCAACCCGCGGCTGGGCCGCCCATCCAAGCACCCACCTCTCATTCCCTCCTCTTCTCCCCTCCACACAGCCCACAGAGCCTTTAACAAACGGCACGGCCTCCTCATACCCCTCTGCGAAGCCAATAGGCTACCACCAACTGGCCGAGCTCTGCACCCTAGACGAATCCCTCCTCCGGACTAGGATGGCCCGCATGCTTTCTTCTCCTTCTTCATCCTCCTCCTCCGCCGCCACCCCCGGTACACCCCACACCTTCGTCGCCCTCGCACCTAACTTGGATGCCATTCTCTGGCACATGATGCGTGAGGATTTCATCACTCACCGCATCTTCGACCGCACGCCTACCGTCAAGGGCGGCGTCTTTGGTTCCAAGGGACAGCGTATCTGGGCCGTCTGGACTCGGGCTTATTCGAGTACTCCGAGTTTACCACCTTCTACTCTCGAGGAACTCAAGGATGGGAATACCTTCCATGTTTTGAGGCTTGTAGTTGAGGATGAAAACTGCTCGGATGAATATCTCACCCAGGGGATCAAGGCCATTCTTGATCTTGCAAGGAAGGAGGCGTTCGAATGGGGAACTAGTCACGTTGAGCTATGGAATCCCGGCCCAAGGTTCCAGAGCGCCATCGACAAGACGGGATTGGACTACAAAGTTGTAGACAGGGAGATGGATAGCATTCCCTGCCTCAGGTGGTACGGAGACGGTCCGGCAGACGGAGTTTTCTGGGTTGCGAATGAGAAATACGCTTGGTACTAGTCGATTGGCGTTTTTTGGGATATGTTTGGGAGGAAGAAAGAAGGAAAGAACCATCCGACCTCGCTCCTTCCACGGATCAACGAAGAGAACTGTAATAGTTTTATATACGAGTTCATGGCAAGAACTCCCAACCGAGCAGCTCAAGCAGCAAGACTGCGACCAAATGGCCAAGTGGTCAATTGGAGCGCTCAGAAGGTTAGAAAATCGCAATTTTCGTAGCCCGTGGGAAGCAACCAGGATCGAATCCTAGGAGCAACCCGCGGGCGAGCTTTTTGTCTTTTTTTTTTTTTTTTTTTTTTTTTTTTTTTTTTTCTTTCTTTCTTCTCTTTTGAACTTCCTTCTCTTTCTTTCTCTTTTATTCTTCTTCTTTTTCGAGCTATTAAATTCCCGGAATCAATATATCTAACCATTCTCGGGGAACGGTTTGAGACGCTGATCAATCTTGTGATACTGGCTTTTGCCCTCCGTAAACGAAGCCTGCGATTAGCTCGAGTGATGTCATCTTGAGCACTCCCCCCACGATTTGATTTCACAGAAGCAGTGCTGAGCCTCCGTCGCGAGCTTAGGATAATGTAGACAGACTGACCAAGCCGAGATACAATAGTATTGCATGTCATGGCAACCATAACTCTTATTCTTATATGTCTTGGACCTATACATGATTTTTTGATTCAAGCTCCCTAACAGCCTTTTGCGGCATGACCTCTTTTAAAGTAAAGTAGCTCCTAATCATTAAACTCCTCCAGGTACCCAATCCCCCATCTAATGATCATGATCGTCCCTATCCTCCTTTACCTCCGGATCCAACGTAATAAGGGTATCAATCCTCATAATGCTAATACAAGCCTCCACCGCGCTCTTTAGCTGCTTGATCTTGCTCACGCTGGGCTCGAGGACGCCAGCCTTGACCTCATCCACCACCCTGCCCTTGGTGAGGTCAAGTCCGTAGTTCTTATAGGCCTTCCTGCGCGCTAGAGACTTCTCGTCCTCGTTGGCATCGCCCTCCTGAATCCTCTGGGCCCGCGCGTGCCTGTTCCTCAGCTGAGCGACGAGGTCCGAGGCGTCCTTGGCGGCGTTGACGGCTAGGGTCTTGGGGATGACAAGGAGGGACTGGGCGAACTCGGCGATGGCGAGCTGTTCTCGGGAGCCTACCGTGCTAGCGAACTCTTCGAGGTAGATGTGGAGCTCCGTCTCAACTGCGCCACCGCCGGGAACAATGGTACCGCTCTCGAGCGTCCTCTTGACGGCGCAGAGAGAGTCGTGTACCGACCTCTCCATCTCGTCGAGAGAGTAGTCGTTGGGACCTCGGAGGATGATAGAGGCGGAGGAGTGGGCCTTGGTTCCCTTGACTAGGATGCACTCGTCGTCCGAGATCCTCTCCTGCACAACCTCCTCAGCGTAGCCAAGATAGGAAGGCTCAAACCTCTCATCGCCGTTCAGGTCGGAGAGGGTGCTTAGCAGGGTGGCGCCGGTTGCCCTCGCGATTCTTCGAAGATCCTCCTTCTTGCATCGTCGCACCGCCATCGCACCGCGTTCCACAAACAGCTTCAGGACAAGGTCATCAATACCCTTGGTTGTGAGAATGACGTTGGCGCCGGCCTTGAGGATAAGCTCCACTCGCTCAAGAATCATACCCGATTCCCGGGCACGAATCTGTTCTAGTTGTTGAGGGTCATCGACGGTGATGTTGACTCCGAGCTTCATCCTCTCCTTCTGAAGGTTCATGTCGAGAACGGCAATCTTGGCATCAGTTATTCTTGTGGTCATTGCCTGGGAGGCAACGGTGCAGTTGAGAGCATATCCCTTGACGAGGATAGACTCAAGAGAGCCCTTGCCGTGGGCCTTGAGGATGTTGACGGCCTTGACGGGGTACTTGGTCTCGTTTCGGTTGTTCGTTGACTTGACGGCCTGGATAGCGTCGACAACCATATTCGCGAAGAAATCCGAATCGGCACCGATGATCTTGCTGGACATTGATGTTTTGGCGATGTTGAGGAGGGACTCGCGGCCGAGGTGCTCGACCTTGATGGCGACGTTCTCGTTCATGTATTTGACAGCCTCTCGGAGAGCAAGTCGGTAACCCGTAATGATAGTCGTGGGGTGTATGCGGTTCTTCATCAGATCGTTTCCACGGCGGAGGAGCTCAGCGGCAATCAGGACGACGGATGTCGTTCCGTCACCGACTTCTTTATCTTGTTGTTGGGCGAGGTCGACCAGGATCTTGCCGGCGGGATGTTCTACATCTAATAAACTAAGAATAGTAGCGCCATCGTTTGTGACAGTCACATCCTTTTAATGATCAGTTAGCCGTCGGTGAGGGTTCGGTGGTGAGCTTGTGCTTGTGCTTGTGTTTGTGTCCGTGGGGGGCCTGATGTGCTTTGGAGGGGTAGGTCAGGAACTTACGCCGATGTCGTCCACCATCATCTTGTCGAGACCGCTGGGGCCGAAGGAACTCTTGATGACATTCGCGATGGCTTGTGTAGCGAGAACTGGATAGATGGGGTTTGCGATGAGCTTCTGTTCTTGAAATAAGGGGGATTCTGAGGGGGGGGTTCAAACTTGGACGTGGGACATGACAAACCATTCTGATCTCGAATGTCGGCGCCAGAGATCTTCTGGCCGCCGAGGAAAAGAGTTCCGTTTCGAGGCTGTTCGAAGATAGCCGCCATGTTCGCGATCGATTATGTGTATGCAACCAGGTCTTTGGGGGGTGTCGTAAAGTCGGTGATGCTTTGCTGGTTGCCTGGGTGGGTGATGTTCGAGAGCTTTCTACTATTTTTGGCGGTGCGGCGAACTTTTCCCCAATAAAATCAATGACTTTTTGCCCCTTCTCACAGTGTTAAAGTGGTCATCAGTGTTTGCCAGCCTGCAGCAAAGCATCAGCCACAGATCTACAGGTCCTTGCCACATGCACTACCCCGCCCTGGATGTGGCTGACATCGCTAGGTTTGGGCTGGATTGGTCTGGCCTAGCGCGGGGCGCAGGCGGGACACTGGAAATATGGAATTTACCCCTCCACCACAGCACTACAATCCCAGAGGTCAATTCGTTTGGCGCTTGACTCATTTGACTCCCTGAGACAAAAGTGACTCTTTCCGCTTGTCTCAAATAGGGTTTTTTCAATATTATACTTGGGGGCTAATTGATAAATTCCGCCTAACTTTTTTCCCTCGCCCCTGGATTTTTCGACGGATGCCATCCCTCGTAGTTTCCCTTTTTATTCGCAAACTAGAATCGCGTTGTCAGTGGTCACTAGACTATCGTCGATACCCCGGTCGCCTCTTTCCCCTCTGAACATTTTCTGCCCTTATCGTCAACTGTAACCCCACCTTGAAACCCAACCTTTAACACAACACGAGTCTCAATCCACCCACGCCCTCCCTACCGACACCATGGCCGACGCCGCTGAATCCAAAGGCCCTTCCAAGAGCGCGCTGAAGAAGGCAGAGAAGCAGGCCAAGATGGCTGCTGATAAAGCCGCCAAGGTCGCGAAGCAGGCTGCGCTCCCCGTGCAAACCAAGAAGGCCGATAACATTATCGGTATCACGGTCTCCAAGAGCGATGACTTTCCCCAATGGTACCAGGAGGTCGTCCTAAAGGCCCAAATGATCGATTACTACAACGAGATCTCCGGCTTTTACATCCTACGTCCCTCGGCGATGTACGTCTGGGGTGTTATCCGAAACTGGTTCCAGGACCGCATCGAGGCCATGGGTGTCGAGGAGACGAGTTTCCCCATGTTCTTGTCGCAGACGTCTTTCGAGAAGGAAAAGGATCACGTTGATGGTTTTGCTCCTGAGCTTGCCTGGGTCACGAAAGCGTACGTTTAAAATCCCACCTGGCACACCTAACATATTCTTTTTGCCTATTTTCTTTTTGTTTTGGGGACGAAAACGCTAATAGCCTCATGTGTCCTAGTGGCGACAAGGATCTCGAGGTCCCCGTTGCTGTTCGTCCTACCTCCGAGGCCGTCATGTACCCTTACTACTCGAAGTGGATCAGGACGCATAGGGATCTCCCCTTCCGTCTGAACCAGTGGAACAACGTCGTCCGATGGGAGGCGAAGCAGACTACCCCCTTCCTCCGTGCGCGAGAGTTCCTTTGGCAGGAGGGCCACACCGCGCATCTCACCGAGGAACTCGCTGGCAAGGAAGTCCTCGAGATTCTCGAGCTCTACGCCCGCGTCTACGAAGAGCTTCTCGCAGTTCCCGTTGTTCGCGGCCGAAAGACTGAGAACGAAAAGTTTGCGGGTGGTTACTACACCACGACGGTGGAGGGATACATTCCTTCCAATGGACGAGGTATCCAGGGTGCCACTTCTCACTGCCTGGGCCAGAACTTCAGCAAGATGTTCGATATCAAGGTCGAGGACCCTGACGAGAAGGGCAAGCATATAAACGTGTGGCAGAATTCGTGGGGTTTGTCCACCCGAGTCATCGGTGTCATGATCATGATTCACGGTGACGACAAGGGTCTTGTACTTCCCCCTCGCATCGCCAAGATTCAGACTGTCTTGATCCCCCTCGGTATCACGAAGAATACTACTGCTGAGGAGAAGGCGAACCTCGAGAAGAGGCTAGAGGAGATCAGGCAGACACTGCTCAAGGCCGGCGTCCGCGTCGAGGCGGACTTGAGGGAAGGATACACCCCTCCCTGGAAGTTCAACGACTGGGAGCTCAAGGGTGTCCCTCTCCGTATCGAGTTCGGCCCCAAGGACTCGGCCAAGAACGTCGTCAGCTGGGCGAGGCGCGACACTGGTGAGAAGGGTACTTTCGCCATCGACGAGGTCGCCACTAAGGTTCCCGAGCTTCTCGAGACGATCCAGAAGGACCTCTACAACAAGGCCGAGAAGGCCTACCGCGAGCATCGCCTCAAGATCACCAACTGGGACGAGGTCGTCCCCGCCCTCGATGCCAAGAACGTCGTCATCATCCCCTTCTGTCTCGACGGCCAGTGCGAGGACAGAATAAAGGAGCTCACGGCCGGCAAGCCCGAGGAGGGCACCGACGCGAACGGCGCTCCCAAGGCCCCCACTATGGGCATGAAGAGTCTTTGCATTCCCTTCGAGCAGCCCGAGGGCCTTGTCCCCGGCGAGACGAAGTGCCTCAATCCCGAGTGCAACCGGAAAGCGGAGAAGTGGTGTATGTTTGGACGCAGCTACTAATCTCAGGTTGGTAGCAGCGAGAAGGCGTTACGGAGGGAAAGCAGGCGGGGAAAAGGGGGGATTTATCGGGCAAGTGGGGGTGTGACCATGCACGTTAACGACGTTGACGCTTTGTTCATTAGCCGACTTGTTCATTTCAATACCACGACTTGTGTTTACATAGCTTGATATCCTTGCCTTGTTCCTTGTTTTTATAAACATGAGTTTCAGCCCTTCCACCATTCTCCGGCAGGTTTCGGGCCTCTTGACAACAGTAAAGTCCAAAATCTCTAGCATCTATCGCCCAAACAGCCCACCTTCTAGGTTGCACGATGCTCTGCTCCCTATCCCTGTTAGCCCGGCGATATTGGTTTAATTGCAATCCATGCCCCAATGGCGATATAGTGGGCAGTTTAAAGAGACCACCAGCCGGACCTGGAAAAGTGTTCCAAACATACGACGAATCGCACGACTACCCACTCTACGTGTATGGGTTAAAACTGCGGACGGAAGGAATTAGGGTCAAGATCTCGTGCCGCCGACTCCATCTTAGCACCAATATTCAAACTTTTCCGGGCGGGGCTCTCTTTTAGAGTGTAAGGAGTAAGTCGTCTCGCGTATTGTTTTATAGACTCGGTATCTTCACCTCCTGCATGTCCGTTCCCGTCCTAGGTGTCCCTTTACGCCGTCCGCGTGATATACTCGTAGCAAAGACTCGTGTATTTCTCTCGATCCCATCCTCCGCCATGGCCATTCCCAGGAAACCCCGAGTCGCGGAGATATTGTTGAAAAACTCTGTGTTCCATCGAAGGAGACAGTTCCGGGTGCATCTCCCTGATCTCGCCATCCACGCAAGGGAGCCAGTTTATCTCGTTGATCTTCTTCTTGCAGAACTCGCCGAAGAAGTACTTAAGGTAATAAGTTGGCTCATGGACCAGCTCAAAGTCCTCATCCAGGGCGTGTCTCGGTGAATCTTCGTCGAGGACCCTGCCCATGTCGTAGTCCCGATTCTGCTGGTCTCCTTTGTTGCTATACCAGATGATGGTGCCATGGGTGACGTTGAGAAAGACGCTGTAGGCGTGACGTCGCCCGTGTGCCAGACAGACGCAATCGGGAGGTGTGGATTCGCCCGGTTCCACAATCCATTTACCACCATTGTCCTGGATAGCGTTTTGAACGGGCTCGGAAGTGTAGTCCACGCAGTTTGTTTCTGGGAGAATGCTTGGTTCATTACCGTTTTTATCACTGACATATGGCAGGTGTTTTAGGAGGTCGACGACCTCATCGGCCCTGTTCAAGGATCCCATGGGCTCTGCGGTGATGGAAGGCCAACCGCCCCTGGGAGGGTAGATAATAGATTCGGGTGAAAGATTAATACGGCTGAGATATTGGTAATAGTCCGTCAGGACAGCTACGATTTCGCCGCGCGTGTGAAACATGATGGGCGGATTTGCTGGCCAAATATGTCGAATCTGTGGATGCTGCTCACGTAGCCCATCTATCCAGAAAGGTGGTGTGGTGCCTTGATGGATTGGAGTAAGCTTGGATGAGAGCATATTCATCCGTGCCACTCTCCCTCGTGCCACTCTCCCTCGTGACAGCAAGTTAGGCTTTCAGAATTCGTAAGTTACAGTCCTGTAACCCAAGGATCGCACAAACGGCATACCCAAAGGATCTTGTCCCGGAGCGTTAGTTGAGTGTTCATAATCACCATGTTGCCCACCTCCCTCTCGCTGGTCAAATTTCAGGAACCAAGCTTTGACTCCTGTAATACCGGATTCCCTAGAGGGATAGCCCGCCTACATTTCCGTCATGCTCCCTGGTAAGATCCTCTCAGGGGCTACTCATGCGCGGCAGATCTACAGGCCGCTCGGCTCAGAATCTCTGCTATAGTGAGGGAGGGATAGGTACACAACCACAACTACTGTTGGATTTTGGAGGAAGAATGTCTTGAAGAAAAACGTTTCCATTACCCAATTTTACAACCCTCCACCTAGAGACGTTAAGATTGGTTGTCTCGACATAAAAGTCCGTTTACCTCATCACTACAAATACAAGTACGAGGGACTTGGGAGAACATCTGGCAGATAGTCCCCCTGCTGCTTCTGCAGTCGCCTCTTTCCTGTTGTTGGAGCCAATTTGCACTCATTTTTTTCTCTCTCCGCTAAAAGAAAAGGTTGAAAGGAAAAGAAGAAAACAGGTTAAAGAAAAGGAACATAAAATAACGCTATGAGAAGGGAAAGGCGACAACTAAGGTTAGAAAAACAGGGGAAAATGTATATAAGAAGGATGAAAGAGTGAGAAACAATAACCAGGTAAATTGACTCGAGTTGTTAAGGCCACTCAATCAAGGAAGTTATGGAGAAACAAGAAGCCAACGGCTTAGAGGCCGAGGGCGGCATTGAAGGCATCAGCTGCGGCCTGGCCTTGTTGTCCCTGAGCGGCAGCCTGGCCAGTCTCGCATGCCTGAATCGTGGCATCATCAGCCTTGCAAGAGTCTCGGAGCCTTCCGCAGATGAAGCTGGTGATGATGTTGATGTTGAGAGCGGAGCCCTGGCTGAAGTCACCCTTGTTGTTGGGGGCGAAGGCAGCCTCCTTACGACCGTCGAGACCCTCGGCGAACTGGATAGTGGGGTCAGAGCACGAGCCAAAGTCAAGAGCACCGGCCTGTCGGAGCTTGACAATCTTACCGCGCTTGACCTTGGCAAGGTTACCCTGGGCAAGGCACTGATCCTCCTGAGCATCGCAGTCAGAAACGCTGGCATCAATCTGGCCAGAGTTGGCAGCATTGGCACAGGCGTTATGCTGGACAGCACAGGATCGCTGGATGGCAGCGCCAATGTTCTGGAAGGTCACTCCATTGGTCTCAAAGGGGCGGTTGGCATCGCCAGAGTCGCGGACCTCGGGGGCAGCGCCGCCGAGGTTGCCGCTGAAGGCCTGGAGATTGCCAGACGCAGAGGCGCTAGCACCATTGCTGGCACCGTCGCTGGAAGCGCTAGCCGAAGCCTCCGAGGAAGAGTCTAGTGACATTAACAGTGTTAGTAGTGAACAACCTCGCCATGTGTATGTCTAAGCTCTGAGCGTCCTTACCAGAAGCGGCAGCAGAGACTTGACCGGAAGCCATCTGGGCAGCCAAGACGTCCAGGTTCTCAGCCGCATCCGCGTCGGCCTGAGGAGCACCAGCACCCATGGCGTCAGAAACGGCCTGGTTGATCTCATCAATGGTGGCATCAGCGACGATCAAGTTCTTGGTGAAGATGCAGCCGACAGCATCGTCGTCGTCGCAAGTGTTGCCAGCGCCGGTGGGGTCGTTGACCTGAATGTCATCGATTAGCTCGTTTCACTTGACTCGGGGGGCGGGGGGCGGGGGGAGTAATAGCAGCTACATACATCACCGGGGGTGAAAGTGCCGGACAGAAGGGCCAAGGTGGGGTCAGCACCAACGCTCGCGAGCTGGACAGCGAGGTTGAGGACGATGTCCTTGTTGATCTGCTGGGCGTTGTCGGAGGCAGGATCCTGGTGCTGAGAGATGGCAGCGATCTCTGCGTTGTTGGCAGTCTCGTTGCAGTCCACGCTAGCAAGACCGACGGAGCCGGTGTTCTTCTCAAGGGCACGGTAGAGCAGGGCATTGGCGAGACCAGTGATTCGCTCATTCTCGTCGTCGAGCGCGAGGGCGTTGGTGAAAGCCTCGTCGGCAATGATCTGCTGGAGACAGTCCAGATTGGTCACGTCACCAGCACCATCGGCGGCGGCGGCGGCACCGAGGAGACCGAAGACGGGGTCAACAATGTTGAAACGGTTGTTGAGCTGGAGGATGTTCTGGGTGGCAGTGATAATGGACTGATGCGACTTCTCCTGAGGGACCTCGGCGGCGGCGAAGGCCACAAGGGCGGCCAAGATAGCGGCAGACTGCTTCATTGTGAGGACTGAAGTTGGTATAAAATAAATAAGATAAGAAGTAAGAGGGTCCAAAAAGGAGAGGCCGGCCCTGCTGTTTGAACAACGAAAGGAATGGAGAGAAAGAAAAAAAAAAAAGTTCACAGAACTAAGCGAAGAAGAATGAGAGAGACTGGGCCCGAAAACGACAGGAATGAGTGACTGGTGGAGAAGAGGAAAGAAGATGTGAGGCTTGAGGCGATCGCTGGCAGGACGGGAAGTCTTTATACAAACCTTATCGAGACACGGGACAGACCCTGAGATGAAGGGAGCGCCGGATGGCGGATCTCATGGCAAGCGAAACGGTCTCTTGTACAGGTGTCTCATGACGACCCTTGGCACGGCTCCGCTATCCATGAGGTCCATTGGCGGCGATCATAAGAAGGCAAGTGGACGAGCGAGGGGGGAGTGTTGATTCACTTGGCATTTCCTGGACTGAGGAAGTTGGGGTGGGGATACATCGGCTCCTCCAGCTCCGAGGGTCGCCGTCGCATCACTGACCGCGTGCGCATGCCGCCAAAACTTCCTACTCGTTCCTACTCGTAGAAGAGAATGTTCCGTGCGTAAAGAGGCAAGCTGAGAGATTGATGGGCTTTAGTTTTGGCAAGACTTTGAGCGACTATATTTCGCAGGTGTAATAATAACATGGGCGCTTGCCATTGACCTCGACCCGAGTCAAAATGATGAGAATGGAGGCCGATCACGGTACTCCATTGCGAAGACCCCATTAGTATTTCGAACCTATGTCGTATATCCACGAGATATTTCTCGAGATGCCGGTCTCCCGGTTGTCCCGTCTGGTCGCTTCCAGCTGAACAGGCATCGTCAAGAAGAAAGCTTGGCCACGGCGAAATATGTACCCAGTCTCCTCATCAAATTTGTCTCGGATTGGTTCAAAATCACTACTGGCAGAATAAAAGTGTGACCGAGAGTAATCCGTAGGCAATCCGTAGCTTGAAGAATTTTGAGGTTTCCTAAGGAAGATGGGAGGAAGACTCTTCGGTTCTGTCGGAGATCTTGTCCGATCAGACGGTGTTTCGTGCAACAGACGTCTCAACAAGCTCAAGCCGCTTTTGACTGGGCGTGTGATTGGCTGGAAGCCCGGGGCAGTTCTGGACCTGCAGCTGCCACAATTGATCGAGATTCCACCGCACCTTCTTCGAGCGGATTGCAACCCCCGCACTGTCGTTTTGTTGGATTAGTATGAGCCGGAGGCACCTGCTGAATAGGTAAACGCTCTTCCCCAGCTCCTCCATCCAATCCTTGTCTCCATACAAGTACATCGCCCTGGCCCTGGCCCCGGTCTTGTCAATGGACACTCGGGCCTTCGTCTCTCCTCTTGTCTGGAATCTGCAGTTTCGATCCAGTCTTCATCCTGACTTTGTTGGTGCCAGGTGCAAACATTCGCCGAAACACTCGGAGATTTCTTGTGACGTCCCCTGCAACACTCTCATCCCACCTCAGAATGCGCACGATGACAACGCAGGCAGAAACGATAGACCGTATTCATTGACTCACTTTCTTCATTCGCCATACAGCCGGTTGAGTCGTTTTGCGAAGTTGAATTTTGGCGGTAGAACACTTTTCCCCTATGTGCACACAAAGAGGTCAAGGTATCTCGAGATCTCGGGACCCGAAGCCGGACCCTTCCTATCGATGGCGACCTTACCATCCTCATCATGATCTTTTCCGAGCCTCAATAAGGCTTCTACGCCTACCACATATCAGCTGATGACGTCAATCCCTCTTTGCGCCCCTGTACGGCATTCCCTCGAGCATTGACGCATCCCACAGACCCATCTGCCCTTGGGTAGACGCGCGAAAGCCCCTGACCCAGGAACAAGTCCAGAACTTTCTGGCGTTGCCAAGGCTCCTCATTGACCCATAAATTGTGTTTCCGTCCATACTTTATCTGTCCCGTTTCTTTGACCAGGCCCTGTTTTGTCCAGGCTTCAGAAATATGTCCGTGAATCCGTGCTCCTTTCCTCCACTGCTTCTGACCCCCATCTTGATGGTTTCGATACCGATACCTGGGGTAGGGTTGCTTTCTTCAAGTTGACATGGTTCGAGGGAAGTGGAGGGTCGTTCGCAGGGGCCATCGAGTACGTATGTAGCCTTATAGATCTGATGAGATTGACTGCTCCTCTGCCCATAGATCCTTGGGACCCAGCAAAATCCCACCTCGTACAAGATTCCCTTATGGGACATGGACCCTATCATGCTCTCTTGAGGTCGCACCACATGTTAACCAGCGTGTAAGAGGATGATCCTAATATGACTAGATGGGCGGAAGAGCCCATGCCCCAGATCAACTTCCCCAGACGCTATGCCAGCCTACCTACTCAAGTCTTGACATGGTCCTGCTAATCTAGGATAGATACTTCCCCGGTGTTTCATTCTTTCGTCTGATCTAGATGATACTGTGACCGGAGAAGGGTCTTCTCGCCTAAATACGTTAGCTTTGACGAAATCGTGTATACCAGTCGCCAACGAATCGCTAGAGCCATGGACCAGAGATTCCGTTCGGGGTACCTCGGTAATGTTCGATAGTTAATAGTAGTCTCTGGACGGATGCCATCATGCCTAATGACGTGGGGGGAGCTAACCCTGTCGCACGATAGTGCCAGGGCATCAATCACTTCTGTTGCACAATAACAGCCTCATCCTGATCGACATATAACCCGTTAGATCCAACCCACGCGTGTGAAGCAGCATATTTCACTTCTACTCTCTCTAGCCCCCTTGACCCGTTGAAAAGTAGACTCTGACTAAGGCCTCTGGTTCGAGCTAGCCACTCTCCTCTCACCCTGCACTTCGACCAGGAGATTTACAGGGACCCAAAGAGAAGAAGGCAAAAGGTTAATAGGATCGTTTGCGTCCTCAATTCCACTTTCCTCTGATGTCTGGGCCGGATCTTCCTCGGCTGGACGCCTTCAGTTTCATACGGCAATGCGTCAACCCCTGCCCAGCCATTCATATTCGAAAGAGAAAGTCCATGACCACGCACTTGCTCACATCTTAAGGATAAGGTTTAGATTTGACCGCGATCACTGATAGACCCAGGTAAAACTCGAAAGTGGTTTAAGATTCGATCTCTTGTAGCATGCTTAACCAGAGCCGTGGGCGACTCGACGACCTTGAGGGCATAGATAATACTTATGCAATCATCTTGGCTTGCAGAGATCGGCAAACGAACATCATCAAATCGATAGGATACTACTTTCCATCGGTATCGGTGTCGGTACGAAATCAGTCGCCAAGCGACAGGAGGGTTGTAATCAAATATGAAAATCTCTTGATGCTCTTGAAATGTTCAAAGGTCAATAAGAAAATACATCCCGCAAGGTTTATACAGTCCTCGCAGGGTTGTTAGTATCCACGCCTGAGTCTCGAAAATAGATTTCGACACATGCCACCACTCGCCATGTTTGTGTCGTGAGATCGAGAAAAGCTGGTTTGTAAAGACAATAAAAAAAGGAAAGCTCTATTCGCAATGAAGTCCTGGGAGATAAGTCTTCCGTTTTTGACAGATATTATACAGCGATGTCTTTTTCTCTCTTAACCAATAACCAGCTTGCCGTCCTCGGGGAACTCGTACTCGGGGATTTCGAGGTTGAGAGGAGCGGGTCCCTTTCTTATACGTCCGGAGATATCGTAGTGAGAACCGTGGCAAGGGCAGAACCAGCCACCATAGTCACCAGCCTCGCCAATGGGCACACAACCGAGATGGGTGCAGACACCTATGAAGAGGCGGTATTAGCATCACGTGAAAATGACAAGTTCAAAGGGAGGTTCGGCAGGAAGTGAATCTCTCGCGCAATCAAGTTGCTCAACGGAGAAGAAACACCATCTAGATTCGGAAGTGAAGCAGGAAGCGTTTGTCCAGCAACATTGCCTCACAGGAACCCGTGAGTCGAGGTGGACAGAACGGGCGACACCGCCGAAAGCAGATCGGACAAAGAACCAGGGCGACATACCCAACATCACAAGCCACTCGGGCTTCTTGACACGGTCGGCATCATTCTCAGGGTCTCGAAGGGAAGCGATGTTGACCTTGTTGGCTTCGGCAATTTCGGACTCGGTTCGGTGTCGGATGAAAACGGGCTTTCCTCTCCACTTGATGATGACCTGAAGCGAAAAAAGAATTCGGTGAGTAAAACAAGTCCGGATGTGATTGATTATATTGATAATTGGTGGGATGAATTGTTGCCGTGACTTACGTTCTTGCCCTCGGGGATGGCATTGAGATCGACCTCAACCTTGGCCATGGCCAAGACATCGGCGGAAGCGGACATATTCTTCAGGAACTCTGTCAATCGCAAATGAAAAACGCACGTTAGCTCCCGAGTCCATTAATTCACCCGATGCATCATCAATTGGCTAGCTTGCTTCAAGCTGTGATGCCAATCCATTCCCATCACGCCACCTACCCTCAACGGTCGACTTCGCGCCGGCAGCCGAAATGGCACCCAAACCACCGACCATGAAGTACGAGAACAGCTTGTTGGTAGCGGGAGCCTTATCGGACATGTAGTTTCCGAAGTTGGGGATCTGGGCGCCCTTGCTCTGGCCCTTGAACGTCGCCTGGTAACCGTACGCGGATGGCGCCGCGGAGTCCTGAAGGCTTGCCGAGGTGGCCAGCGCTCGTACCGGCACCGAGGCGAGCGCCGTCTGCTTCGTCATGCCCCGGAGGCAGACGCGGGATGCGTTCGTCAAAGTCGCCATCGCGGACTGGGGAAGACGGCGGGAAGGAATTGGTGTTGCGGGGGGGTGGGCTTGGGGAGCGTGTCGTCCGTCGGTGGAAGGTTTATTTGGCTTCGATGAGGTCTTTTTCCCTTTTGCACATCGAAAATGATTTGGATGATGATTTTTGGACCTTGGTGCCTGAGGCATGTCAAAGCTCACGAATTGAACGCCTGTGATTGGCTAGGTTTGTCGTGGTACGATGCAAATCGAGACGAACCCGGATATTTCCGGCTAACAATTGGACAAGACCTTCCGTGCTGCCATAAATCCCGAAGATTTGCCGCTCTCAAGTCTCCATTTGTCCAGCTGACAGCTTCAAGTCAGGCTTCAGCTTCACAGCAGTGGGAATTGGGTTGCTTGAGAGAATAATATCTAAGAAAGCTCGGGAAAACATTCCGTTGCATAGCAGCTAGACTGTTGCTCCCCGAATCAATGAGGTCAGTCGTCATGGAATTTAGTGGGTTTAGTGGGTTTATTCTCAGAGGCGGCCCTTGCCCAGCAGGAATACTCAGACAGCGACGATATTAGCTTGGGTTCTATTGAACATCTGTTGCTTATGATCCGCTGGTTGCCCGTGCTTCTTCTATTAATGAAGCCGCCGTATTTCCTCAACAAGATTACGCATATCCTCCACGCTGGGACCCAAACCCTCACAGACCAATTCTTGTGTTTCCTCACTCATATCTAGGAATAGCTCGAGGAAACCACCATCCACGAACCTGAACGGGCCTTTATGTTCAGTTCTCTGCCTCGATTCTCTCCAAGAGGTGAAGTTTGTACCACCAGGTGACTCAACGAACTTGGCCAATTTAGATTGGAAGGCTAGAAGGAGGTCTTGATGCTGAGGGGAAATAGTGCCGAAGAGATAGATCCCGCCATCAACCTAAGAAGAAGAAACATTAGCAACATGGAACTCCTCACACAATTGCCTTTCATAAAAGTCAACAATGGGGCCCGCCTCTTACCGTTCCGAGGAAGGCTTTCGGCGCGATGACGGCATTTTTGCTCGACATAACGTTCAACGGTCGGATTCTGTTGACCTGCTCCCCAAGGTTCAAAGCACTCGTGATTTCCATCCTCTGGCGATCCTGTTCTAGGACCGCATCCGTTCTCTCTCTTAGCACCATGAGATTGCCGGCCGAGTCGGATTCTAACCAGGATTCATCCTCAATGTGGCAGACCGCCGTAGCCCATACTGGCTGGAGGTGTCTCGCTCGAAGCTGTAGTTTTGGTGGCGTTTTTCCAGAGCCGGGCTCGAAGTCGAGGAGCGTGAGGGACTTCATAACATCCGCCACGCCAATTATATTTCCGTTTATGCATATATCGATTGGATATGTGGATGCTCGGTACGCAATCAAGGATTGGAGATGTGCAGACGTGCTCGATTCCTCGATGTACCGGTAGATGATGACAGAGGTGGACAAGCCGGCGACAATTCGGTCTCCGAGAACACCTAAGGATTTACAAGCACCTTGTAGGAGTTTGGAAGTCACCTTAAAGAGCTTGCGATCACTGTCGACCCCCAGGACAAGGATTTGGCCGCCATGGGCAGGGGCATTGCCTGTTGTCGAGTCTGCGGAGATGCTGGTTCCTACAATGAACCGTTCCACCAGCTCTCCACTGGCATCTGGAAGCTCTGCCCGGATGATGCATTCTGGAAATTCATGGCCATCGGGGGTAGGTAATAGGTATGGCTCCCCAAGGAGCTCGAACATAACCTCATCTACAAGGCAGATACGAGTTTGCACAAGCTCCTCGGGGGGGTCTGTGGTTAGAGTCCGTACAAGACATCCCAGACCGAAGGCTTTGAGCGTGGGCGAATAAGCGAGCCGTCTCACCGTCTCTCCAAGCGGAAACGCATTGATCTGCGTCCTCCTCTCCGTATCCAGCTGTGATAACTTCAAGTGCGTGCCAGTCGCAATAATTATCGACTGCGGGTATGCCTCCGCGTCGAACGGCACCACGTATATGGCATCTTCCGCCGTTGTAGCCGAATATACAAGCCGGCCTTCCGAGCTATGAATCAAGCTAGCATGTTCAGTTGTCGCGAACACATTGGAAAATCCACCAGCCTCAGGAAGAATATGCAACCGAGGTGGCTGCGTTCCCAAAATAACAGATTTCCTCCCAGAGAGGGAGAAATCCTCCTTGGACACATTGAATGTGACAACGTGCCCATCGGCCATTGCAACGAGAAGCGTGGGTCCAGACACGTTAGGCGGGTGTACTTGCACCAGCACAGCGTCTCGGGGAACCGATGCGCTGCCTTCCGTCCTTGGTATACTCTCACCATGTATTGGCGCTAGGGTTTTCAAATCACACAGAGTGATGGACGCTGATTTCCAGAAGCCCACAACACCCACGTTTGGAAGTGTGGGAGATGCGTGTAGACATGCTATCTGATCATCCTTTTCCGACCCAGTGATTGGACTTAGCGTTTTGCTAACCGCTTTTAATTCCTCTCGCAGGCTGAGTGAAACGAGCTGCGTGCCGTTTACCGACAACAGAAGCCAATCATCGTTGGCGGAAGCAGTAGTGATCTCGGTTGCGTCCGGCGAGCCCTCATCGCCCCCCGTCTTAGGCGGCTCCCAGGATGAGGTGACAACACCACTTTCGGTGTCTAGTAAGATGACTTCGTTGCATGTGACCTGGAGTAACTGGCCAGAGGGCAAAGCTGATACCAGAATGGATCGCCGGTCTAGTTTCAGACCGCGAAACGACGTGAGCTCTTCAATCCCGCCGTCTTTATCGAATCTAAAAACACGGGTGTCGGTAATAGATGAGATGATCAAGATGTCTGTTTTATTTTCTCTGTTTGACGCCAGAGAGAAAAGCCCTTTGACATGGTTGAAGTCGTCGATAATGCCCAGGTCCTCAAGGCCAACACCGCTCCGAATGCTTCGCAAGCTTCCAGATTCAAACACTCCGCAGCCTGCAACGAGGCGCGCTTGTCCAGAAGAAAATGAGTTTCCGCCCTGACTGTCACCTTCCCGGTTACCCATATCCATAATAACAAAATCTAGTATGGGGGCATTGTTTGAGAAGGATGGGGGCGTGGCTGCCGGTTCTGCTTTGAGAGCATCGACATCAACGCGAATGAATTGGGAGTTACCATAGTGCGAGCCTACAAAAAGGAGGCAATCGCCCAAGTAAACCAGACTGGACGCCCTAGAAGTGGTAGCAGGGCCAAGGGGAGCGACTTCAATTCCGGTCACAACTGAACCATCGGTGGTAAGTGTGAGGAGAAATAATCGGCCGAAATCATCAGCCAGGAAGTACCTAGTCACGTCATAGGATCCCCAGGCAATAAATAAATCGCCCTCCGGCAAGGGGGACTCTACAGTAGTAAAATCCTGGGAATCGACGTAAAGTACACTGGTCTCCCCAACAACCAACACACCACCGAGATGCGGCTGGGCCCGTCTCGAAGATGATACGTTCCGGACATGGTACCGTTTGTTTTCATCTTCGACGATTGGCACTGGAATTAGAATTCTCGAAAGTTTGTCCGGGACCGTGAGGTCAAGTTGGCGCTCCCGAGGCTCGAACTTGGCGGCGATGGCGTGCCTATCATCGGCAGTGAGGCGATATATGGCAAGCTTCGAGTCCTCTTCGTCAATGCGGGTTTGGTATAGAAAGGCGATCCTCGGGCCAGTCTGGCTGTAGAGGAATGTGCTCGACTTTATAAAGAGCTCGGTCAGGCGCACTTGTTCCAAGAACTTGATGAAATGCTTCGAGTCTCCTCGATCTATGAGGCGGCTGATATTCAATACACCTTCCCAGACATGGAGCGCCATGAACCTTCCAGACGGGTCGACGACGCATTTGAATTGGCATTCAGCTTCTCGCATGTGGGGTTCGGACTGATCATGAAGTTCCTGAACGTTTTCGAGGAGCTGTCTCGTGGGGTTCCAGGCCAGGGTAAAGTACTCCTGGCGGTCGGTGCCCACAAAGAGAAGGTCGGTTTCGGACCCTTTTGGGCGGAGACGTTGAAGTACAGTGACGACACCAAATATGATTTTGGAGTGAACCAAGACCATGCCATCATCCTCGACCTTCCATATTTCGAGCCGATTCGACTTCCTGGATAGCACACGCGCGAGGAGTTAGATTAAAGAGCTATAGAGCCGCAAGAGCGCGAATTTGAGAGTAGAGTCATTCTGCGAGTGAGACTTACGCTAGAACCAGGCTCTTTCCTTCTATACCGGGAAGCAGGGCACTGATCGCATGTCGAATGCTGGTGGGCTTGTGGATTGGCGCAACATACGCCATATTGTCGAATATTGGAGATAGGGTCGGTAGGAATCGGCAGGGTGATGAAGATTTAGGACATCCTCAACTCTAGTGGAGGGGTCCTGACGCTAAATACGGGGCGCGAGGGGACACAGTCGACCTTACCGTTGTCTGAATAATTCAAGGTTCGAGATCCGCATCACGGATCGCGGTAGATGTGACGTCGGAGTTAAAAGCTTCAGAAATGCAATAATCCGATATTTGCATACACACATCCATTCGATTGTAACGACCACGCTGCTTCAACAAAATCAGAGCGAACGCTCTGAGAAACAATTATTCTAGATTTCGTTTGTAAATTGTTTAGATATACACCTATAATATCTTGTCGCTAGTGATCTGCCGTAAACGCATTAGAGAGATCGAGCTGTGTTCGAGTTGCGTAGACTCAACCGTCCCTCATCGAGGGCGGGGATGGTGTAAGTGTGGTCAGTTCCTGCCTCATGGAATCATCCGGGTCATGCTCATCACCTCTTAACGGCTCGAGACTAGGTGCCTACCTCAAGGCGACTGTTGCCTCTTAATTTCTACCTTGTGTCGATCTTTTTCTTCATCCAACCCTTGCAATTTCATAATAATTCAGCAAGGGTCCATCACTACTTATCATTATTCCAAATGGCACTCCGTACACCGTCCGAGTCTTCAGGCTCAGATGGCCATGCCTTCAGAGAGGATACCATTTCCGGATGTGCGACCGAGAGGAAGGATTCCCATCCTGCTCTTGACACTGCTCTTGGTTATGCCAGGCGTCACGATCTTGTGGTAGACTTCCGTCAAGCAACCTCTCAGGCAGTAGAGACAGTGTCCGAGTTCTTTCAACGATGCTACCACCCAGTTGACGATCACTCACTTACTGCCTGTGCAATCCCTTTGGCCGTTATAAACGATTCGCTCACCGAGGAGAGGACCAAGAATGGATTTCTCGAAGGTGTCCTTCAATTTACGGCAACTACGCCTGGCCTAGGCATATTACATGCCAACCTACGAGGGCAGACCACCAAGGCTTTATTATATGAACTTCCAATCTTAAGGAATGATACACCCTTAGATCTGATCCAAGAGCTAGACAGTATAGCCCGCAGGCGTCGTGTGAGATTGGCTCGCACGAGGTTGCCTTTAATACCCATCGATGAGACCGCCGATGAGGGACTTACATTCCCGCCCTGGGCTGACGGGCTCCAGATACATTTCGACAATAACTTGCAGACCGAGGAATTACAGAATATTATAGATCTGGAGTATTATGACTTCGGACGTCACTACGATACGCCTCGGATGGCTGATGCCATCTTGGAACTTATAAAGACAGGAGACTTGACTTCCAAGTTAGAAAAAGTAGGCCTCCTGGAGTCTCTGCTCTAACGATATGGCCACCAACTAACAACTGATAGCACCGAGTCAACCTCTTCACTCCCCCACTGGCACCATTGTCACCTAGCCGTAGCCCATTCGTTCCAGACAATGAGTCCTGCAAGGTCGGCTGCCTTTCAGCTCCACAATCGCTCCTCAGCGAGGATCTTATGCTTGTGGAGGAGCATTTGATAGCGCAATATGAACACCAAGGCCTGAATGATGCGGAAATGGAGAGCGTCTATGCGCCGCCGTCACCCCTTCTTCTGCCAAAAACAGACACACCCAAGCTATCGGATCTGAAAGTAGAAGTCCCATTACCGATGGTACAAACAGCTCCGCCAGCCGACACCGTCGATCCGTTAGTGAATGCATCGACACATGCAGTGGACGACTCAAAATCATTTCCCCTTAGAAGCCCAACCTCACAGTCTCCCCATTCCACCAGAAATGGACGGCACTCGGGCAATGATGCTCTTTCCAAGGAGGGTATAATTGGCCATCAAGTCTGCAGGATTGGAGAGACGGTTAACCGCCGCGCGATGCAAGAACGCCTATCCGATCTAGAGAGTCATCAGAGACTGCTCGTTCCTGTTTTAGACTTTGCCATCCCAGCCCCCGCTTGGACTAGTTTTTATGAGACACTGATGGCCGGCTTCAGAAGCAGGATTCTAACAAGTAGTCCGTCCTCATCAACGCATCGCCTGGCAGGACCTAAGTTGGAGAAGCTTCTCCGCTGGAATCCGTTCGCAAATTGCATGACCAAACCCAGTCTTCTCGACGAATTTCATCCGGGTGAGGGAGCAGAGCCATATTTGAACCCTGAAAAGGCCTTCCGCTTGATTTCGAAGACTGTCTCCAATCACAAAACTCTGATATTTCTGGGTGGTACTTGGGATCCTGGCGACGAACTTGCTATGCCGGCCCGGAAACTGGACCATGCAAAAATCTCGGGTCTTATCGTCACCCCAACCCGGAAGAGAGCCATATCGGATCCAGTGCCAACTCTGTCGCTCTCAAAAAGGATGAAGCCTGTCGAGCTGACAGGCGGGGTAAGAGAATGGAAACGACAAGAGCAAGAAGTCACGGAACAATTATTGTGTGACAGTAATGACTGTGGACCTCAAAGCCTGTTGGCTAGTTACTTGCACCATCGCGCACCCGGGAAGGTATATTCGACGAAGAGTGACTCCTTCTTCACGAAACTTGCTCCAGCACTTGACAACGGGAGGCATTCAGCAAATGATACTAAGAAAGCCCACCACAAAACTTATAGCCCTTTGCCGTTTCCCGACGTCGATTCGAAGGGCCTCGTGGGGAGATACATTGTCTCTATCACGCTCGGCAAGGGTGTACTTCATCACATTGAGAAGTTGGCTCCCCACATAATTCTATTCGATAGAGAGTTCAGTGACCAGTCACAGGTAGAGAATCCAAGCGCGCCTCCCCAGACGGAGGCCGACATCTCTTTGTCACCTCTCACCGGAATCATCGTTGCCAATTTCATTCAATTGCGACAGAAGCCACTTCCTGGACAGGACCAGGGAGCGCAAATCCGCGGAAGGATAGAACGAGCGGCGAATCTCTACCAAAACTTGATAGTTCTCATACCGGTGGACTACACTCCGCTTTCGAGTTTAACGCACGACGATGCTAAAGCTTACGCTGATTTCATCGCTTTCACAGCAACCGCGGGCATTTCCATCAACGTTTATCTGGTTGCAAGCGGAGACGAAGCCTTGGCCGCATGGATCACGTTCTCCATGAAGAAGTTCAGTCATGAGACGGATCGAGTATGCAGCCATCTTACCTTGGAGGAGAGTAGCTGGGAAAGGTTCCTCCGCCTGTCGGGTATGAATATTTATGCCAGCCAAGTTCTGGCCGGGAGTCTGAACACGAAATATGGAGCCAGGGGTCTGGCTAAATTTCTCCAGATGACAGTGGAGGATCGCATTGATGCCTTCGCAGATTTATTGGGCGGGCCGTATCTGATCGAGAGGACTGGCCGCTGGATGGATGAACGATGCAATTGAAAAGATCTTAAATTGTAAGATATGGTGTGGGCGTGATGGGTATCTATTTGTATGTACTTTCTGCTTGTTGCAGCTTCTTCTGATCAGCTCTGTTCTTTGCCATTTCATGACCAGTCGTACTCCATTATGAACTCAGACAATCAGGAACGAGGTATTTATCAGATAACACATTCCCATATTCGCAGGCTAGTGTCCGATGTAATGTTGCACGGAGGCATCTCAGGCACACCGTTGCGGTCGCGCCGTCCAACGTTTGATTCTATCGTGGCCTCCGACGGAGGGTCCCAGGTTCCCGCACTCGTAACAACGACAGAGCCTGATGGGTGAAGTATAGTGTTCGTGACCGGGGCATCGTGGGCTTTCCATCCCTTGGCCCTGACCGGCGTGATTTCAGATAAACCCCCGACATTATCCCACATCTTCACGGTTCCGTCTACCGCGCCTCCCCAGATCTCAAACTGACCAGCGGCCGAACCCTCAAGGGTTGACGCGAACGCGCCACAACCGAGGCGCATCTGCGTCATGGCATTTCTCGGCCCCAAACTCCCAAGCATGCGAGAACCTTGCCTGATATCGTAGACAATGAGACCGTTAGAATTGCGCTCGTTGAGAATGAGGTACCGCCCGCAGGGACTCCACAATGTCTGGACTATACCGCTGCCAACTGGCGCTTCTTTAGTTGCCGGATCAAGAGAGTCCGTCAAACACCAGTGAGAAATCGGTGTCGGAGTGCGGCGGTAGTCGTACAAAGCAACCCAGCGATTCCAGGATCCCGCGGCAACAACGTGTCCACCGCCGTCATCGGGGGACGCAGCTAGAGCCGCGATGGTTCCTTTCCACCCATGTATAGGACGACCTCTGGCGGAACGGTGTTCGCGCGGAATGGTTTCGAGAGTCATGTAGTGGCCATCCTCACCTTCGCGGGCGACGTCGAAGACATCCAGGCGGTTCGTCGAGCCGCAGAGGAATACAGATCCGGGTTGAGGCCATAGCATGGAGTTCGGTGCTATGTAAGCCTCCGTCTTGTCGTTGATGAGTTTGTAAGAAGCTATCTTGGAGCGGTTACGCTCATGGGGAAATAGGTGGTGTAGCTGGATGGGGTGGTCGATGGTAGCGACGAGGGCTGACTGGGAGGCGGAGTCGGCGAGGGAAAAGTTTGGGTTTGGGGCTAGGGAACGGATAGGGGCCTGGAGTCGTGTGTCTCCATGGGAGGAGAGGTTTTGGCAGGGAGAATCGTCGTCGAGGAGCGTTTGCGGCAGAACATAGGTTGCGAGGGAGTGGTCCCAGGTTGATGTGATGAGTGTAGTTCCGTCAGCGGAAAACTCGACCGTCCTGAACAGTTGTGGTACCAGGCTGTGACCATTATCTCCCGGCGGAGAGTCAGGGAATTCATCAGGGCATTCTGAGGGGCCCGTTGAAGCTAGGAGTCTAGGCGTTGGTGGCCTAAGAGTGTCGCCATCTCGAGCTTCCTGCCAGGATGGATCCGGCAAGCTAGGATCCATATTCCTTGTATCAAAAAGAGAAGAAGACAAGGCTTGATCTCAACCAAGCGTCACACACGCGCCAGTATACGACGTATTGATGATGGGACCCCTTGACCGAATTTAGTCCCTTCCTTCGTTTACGATCTAACCTTCGTGAAGCGACATCGTTGTCGTATCCTCTGGGATGGTGCAACCTGTGAATCTAGCGCCACATCCAACTTCCACCAACAGGACTGTTTCCTGACAAGAGGTGCTTCATACGCGTCTGGTACTTAAACGTTGTTTCCAACCAAACGGTCAAAGAATTGACTGTTAGTGAGTAGTGAGGTGAAGATCAAAGTGAAATGTCACATTTCCTTCACAAGAGTTCGTACTTTAATAATTAGTGGGCTTTTAGTGCAGGTGAGGCTTTGCATGCATCAACGGCTCAGCGTGGTGGCTAGTGAAAATCGATTATGTGGCGCCTATAGTCTCCACTATCATTTTCCTAGTCTCCCTCCGGAAGATGCTCCGAGTCGGTTGTGGGGCACCCTTGGCATCGATATGGTCAGTGCGTCGGTGACTCAGCGGAGCTAGTTTACTGTGCAACTCTGGACTGAGTGCGTTTGATCAGGAACGTCATAGGCCAGCTCCAGCGCCCTGTCACCTTTGACTGTGTCTCACTTTCAGCCCAGGGCTGCCAGGCTGCCAGCTCCAACTGCTTGGCCGGCAACAATCCACCACATCGACCTGTCGATTATTTGCTGACGACCGAGAGCAATATTTTTCTCCTCCATCGGGAAACACGACTATATTTACGTGGACAGTATATATTGTCCTGTTGCCAACGAGGCACCCCGAATCGTTGCCGTTTACCCCAAACCCCTCCGGCCTTTCCCCAATCATCGCCTTTCCAATTGGGCAGGCAACCTTCCGATCACTCCGGACAACCTGAACATACATCAATAAGACTCGAAGGGCTTCAACACACTTCTCGCTGAGATGGCTTCTCAAAGCCCCACGGTAGAGCGTATGCTCTTCGACGTGGGTGATAGATGCGCGAAGATGAGGGATCCGAACTACGTCAACCTGGTTGTTTCAATGTACGCCCCATCCGCCCATCTACAGCCCCTTCCACAACCCATGACCGACCTTGAAAACAACTCCAGCCCAAAAGACGGCATGCTAACAAGCTGGCAGCATTATCCTCATAGGTCTTCTCATATCTTACCTCCCTCAGCATTATCGAATCATATCCCGTAGAACCGCCGAAGGCATCTCACCATACTTTGTCCTTTTGGGAACGACGTCGGCCACATCAGGGTTCGCGGCAATCCTTACCGTGGAGCCCTCGCGGCAAGATATAGCGTGTTGCAAACACGTTGAAACGTTGGAGTGCTTGGCTGGGCTGCTGGGCATTGCACAGTTGGGTGTGCAATGGATCTGCTTCTCGCTAATGTGAGTTCAAACAAATCCACCCCTCTTTTCCCCTCTACACCTGACCACGTCCGACGCATTTTCCTCCTCCCTCCCCTCCCTCCCACTCGCGTCTTTCGTGGCGTCACCGTTGCGCTGTTTCACAGCGTGTGCATAGACTAACTTCTCTGTTCGGTAGCCTGGTTCTCTTCCTCGTCTTCTTCCGATATGACGAGGCTCGGGTGCCTGATGAGGAATTAGTTGAGGAACAACCGAAATGGCAGACGGCCATTTTCGTCGCTGCCGGTTGCCTCGTTCACGGTCTCCTCGTTATCGCCATCACAGGAGTCTTCAGCATTGCACTCCCAGGGAAGCTTCAACTATGGGCCAATTTCCTCGGAATGATGGCCAGCGCGTTGGCTGCTGTGCAGTACCTACCTCAAATACGTACAACATATACCCTCAAGCACGTAGGAAGTCTGAGCATTCCCATGATGTGCATCCAGACGCCAGGCGGCATCGTGTTTGCTGCCAGCCTGTTTACGCGGCTGGGCTGGGAGGGTTGGAGCACCTGGTCCATTTACATCCTGACGGCTATCATGCAGGGCATTGTTCTTGTGATGGGAGTCTACTACGAATACAATAGGCCTTTGGAGATTCTGACATCTCCGCCACTCAGTCCCGTGTACAGGCCCAGGCGGCCTGGTCCAAGCAGGACGTATTCGGAGGGTTGGGAAGAGGGACTGCCGGGCCCTTATACTGCACACCCTGAGCGATACGCAGACACGCCCGAGGAGTTTGAGCGTCTCCAGGCCAGGGAAGACAGGCAGGTGGAGCGGGAAACTCAACCGTTGCTGAAACCGGGAGGTATTGGGCACGCGCATAAACACGGAGCATCTTACAACTCGACACGGAACTGAGCGCTGTGTTCCTCTTTTTATAGTCGTTTTTATTCTTTCCTGTTTTCTTCACTTTGTACTTGGGGAGTCTCTTTTGCAATTCTCCGGAGCGGATAAACCTTATTCATCATGCTCGAATCGGTTTTTATTTTCCTGTTTGCGTCGTGTCTTTGCGATTTGCCGTCTTCTCTCTTTCTATAGTTTGAGTGTGAGAATCTGTGGGATTTCCCCGAAAAAAGATTTAAGGGTGAAGATCGGAACAAGACATCTAGCAGTGTACTATATAACTTTAGAGCTCTGGGAAGTTTGGGAACTACGGTTGATTAGTTTGGGAAATCTTTAAAGCGAATCTAATTTTCTTTCATCCTCTTTTTGCTCCTCTTTTCGCCCTACCACTTGAAGTTCTTTTCTGGATCTGAATTATCAATGATGTTGTGCTTGATATCACCAAAGCCTGAATCTGGCGGCAACTTGTGCTTGTTGCCATCTAACTGGTCTTGCAGATGTACCAGTATGGACCATAGTCCATCCCACTCCGCTCTTGATTTTCTCGAGTTCCCTTGACGGAAACATTCGATGGTGGAAGAGTGCCGACTCCTGAATCGCCTGGAAGAACAGTCATTCTTTATGCACTTTAGCAACATTCTCCTCTGTCCCACGCAGCTTTTAAATGCTGAACGGCCGGTCTCGGTAGTCCGAGCGCAAGGGTCGAGCTCTACTTCGTAGAAGAAGCTCTATAACTTGAATTTCCTGTATGAACTTCCCCAGGATCCCAATTCTAAGGCGGGGGGTGGACGTGGATTGGAATTGGGGTTCCAGGATGTCTAGAGTCCAGCAGTTGCACCGCTCCTCGCGTGAGACTCCCTCGACTCAACTTTGAGGGATAGACAGAGGTACTATCCGGGGGTGTGTACACGTCAAGAGTTGGGCAAGCAGGGCTACCCTCGCCTAGCTTGCTAGCTGGAGTGTTACTATCTGACAGGCCGAGAGAATTGACGTCCCACCTGAACCAAACCCACGGGAGGCGAACAGGAAGCGAAGTTCCTTTTGGTCCATTCTTTTCTGTGTCTTCTCTGCATTGCCCCTTCGTCCCAGGACAAGGTAACATGCAGGTATTTGTCTCTGCAATGTTAAAGGTAATGCTGGGATCAGGGTTGTGCTGTGTTCTGCGAAGTAACCCTTTTGCAGAACTGCCGTTCTGGGGGTCGAAGCAATGGGGTCGACGCCAAGACGTCTGTTCTATAGGAAGCTTGGGAGAAATATCAAAATGATTTGAGATGGATTCGACGATGATTTGAACTTTCCCTTCGCTGCCCGATGGTCGTGTACCAAAGTGACCCGCGATCTGGTTGTATGGCGACTCTTATTGCTTCCAATTCATTCGCGGCGAGCATGCAAATCCGGAGAACACACTGATCAATTAATCCCATCCCTCAATCACTCCATGTAAGTTGGCATGACCAGACATCTCCCATCTCTGAATCCTGTCTTGTAATATCAACTTTTCGCCTCCATTTCGCCCCCGATTTCTAGCGAAGAAATTCTTTATTCCATCATCTATTCTCTGTTGCATATGCGTACGAAACATCTACATTCCTCGGAGCCCTCGAGTTCAACTTTTCGGGGTCTCGCACATTCCGCCCTTGGCATCGTGATCGTCCGGCTTCTAGAGCTGCATTAACTGTGGCTGGCTTGGCGTCAAGAGTCCGCTACACTTCCATCAAACCTCCCACCCCAGAAAAGTGTCGCTTATCGAGAGATCGTCCTTTCTTTCTTCGCCTTTTTTTTTTTTCTTCCAATGTCAGTGTCGAAATCAGACGTAGGCCCGCCATTGTCGGATCGAAACATTCTTCTGTAATTCCCCGTTTTGTCCAGTACACACAGACACAAAACGAGCCAGGGGTTCCCTTGATCAGCCTTAACTGCGCACATCCAACGCCTCAGCCCCTCTTGATCGACGTGGTGGAACATGGACGCAGGAACGATAACGTCTCAAGGCTGTTAATCCAACCAACCACGGAACGCCGCAAATAGACGGACCCGTCACACGGCACCAGCCGATCTCGTCTCGTAAATAGGGCGCGGTAGGCCACCGGCCGCCCCAGTAGACGAGGACATTACGAGCAAAGAAACGTCCGGAAATGTCAAGTGGCGGGGTGTTCGATGCGGGGACCGTGGGGACCGCTGGTAAGGATGGGTGTGAGTGAAGTGACGATGGCCACAAACCCCCATGTCATCTGGCTCTCTCCATTGGCTTCAGGACATCTTTTATCTGTTTCCTCCTCGGTTCTGCACGATTGACAGGTCATGTCCCGAGGGTGTGAGCGGATCGGACTTGAAGAAAAAAGAAACTCCCTCCCTCGGGATGCTTCAGGCTCCTCGCAAGCTCGTCTTTCCGTCTTGGTACCCTGAGAGCATCTGGGATACCATCGAGGTCTTCCTCTCATTTGATCTCTCATCCCTCTTTTCTTGGTCCCCACGAATATTTGGCGCGGTTAATTGCGTTCATTCGCTTCCGTTTTTGAAGAGTTTCAACTACATCCCCATCATCTAATGCTTCGTTCCCCAGAAGGTAGATCCGTCACTTACATCCTGCACAACCACGGTTGCACATCTCGTTTAACACCACCCATCGCCTCTCCCTTCTCCCCCCACACACACTCTTTTCTCTTTCCTCTCTTTTCGTTTGTTAGATTTTTTTCTCCTCTTCCAACTTTTAGCTTCTCTTCTGATGCATACTACGCTTCTCACGTTCCTTACCTTCGTTTTTGAACAAGACTATTACTAGACCGTCGGGGTTTTCTAGGTCGCCCCATTTCAAACATCTACTTGACCTACCTTCTTTCTTTCTCTTTTTTTTTTTTTTTTTTTTTTTTTTTTTTCTTTTTTTTAACATCCTAGCCTTCAACGTTCTTTCTGCATCACCTTCGTTCGCGATGCGCCTGGAGCGACGCAGCAGCCCGCCCTGCCCGGGAGCCGACGGCCAGGAAATAGGAACCACCGGGCTCAAACTAGTCCTGGCGTGCGGAAAGACTCTCGACGGCGAGGTCATCGGCACCCCCGAATCCACGACCCTGAGCCAATGTGCCGACTTCTGCGGTACTTTCCACCCGCGATGTGAGGGATTCAACTATAGCGACGCTGACGGGTGCCAACTTATCGGAGTACCTGCCTCGGGCGGGGATATCCCGGTGCGACAGACCCGTCTCACAGACTCCGGAAGGGCGAGGTACCCCACGTTAGCGCAATCCTCATGTCGTGATGGTAAACAGCTCACGCAGGGGAGTGCCGGTTCGTTCGACGCCAAGTGTGGACAAGTTATCAATGGCGGAGACCTTGTTCAAAGACATCACCCGACGTTTGATGCGTGTTCGGCGGATTGTGGGGCGACGGCAGGTTGTGTGGCCTTTTCGTACGAGGCTTCCATGTCCAGGGGATTCAACAACTGTTACCTGAAGAGCTCGGTCCCGAGCGGTGGAATGAGCTTCGTCGATGGTGTCGATACTGGGCTTTTTGCCGCTGCAGTAAGATTATTTTCTCCCTATCTAGGCTCTAGGGCCTTTTGTTTTCGATATCATAACTATGTACTATGTCGACTTACACCTTTTTCGTGTCTGTAGAATGCCCAAGCCCCACAATCGGGCGTACCAGCTCCAAGCGGCTTCATGACCATTGTTCCCGCCAACAACGCAATCGAAACGCCCACCGGCAACCTTGCGGCCAATCCCACCCCTGTCACTCCTATCGGAGATATCTCCCAAGGAGGCAGCCCTGTAGACGGAAACCCCGTCGTCAGTGTCACCCAGGTCGTCACTTTGCCTGCCGATTCCAACAACGACGGGGGCAACGGCGGGTCCGCCAGCCTCTAGTGGGTAGCCGCACCCGTTGTAGGCGGCATTGCCGCTTTCCTCGTTGTCATTGTGCTGGTCATCATGTTCCGCAAGAGGAGAAACAACAGCCGGGGCTCTTCTTCTGGAGGCTCATGGAAATCAGTATTCGGACTCGGCAGTGGTAAGAGCAGAGCGCCGCCCATGCAGGGTGGGACGGGGGGTATTCTGGGTTCTTCGAGGACGAGCTCCATGCAGAGGCTAGGGTCGAGTGACGGCAGATCAGTCCCCGTTTACGAGGTCAAAGGGGGGAAGGTGGCCTTGAGGGAAACCACAACGGAGGTGCAGAGGCCGATGACGGGTCTTTTTAGGAGTAATTAGTGAGTGAGCCCGGGAGATGTCACGGACATGACGCTCTCGGTTTGTGTGTGTTCGTGGGTGCGGGTGTTCTTTGGTCACAAGATTGCAAAGTTAGCGACAGGATACCAAATCGGCGGGAAGGATGGCGAAGGGAGTTTGGTTTTGTGTTTCCTTATTGTCGTCGTCACCGTCATCATCATCATCATCATCATCATCTTTCTCATTTCTTCTTCTTCTTTTTCTCCCATTCGTCCCGACGTCGCATATTTTATACGTCGGGAATGTAATGGGAGCCGGTCTAGGGGGTACACTTCATGGCGCTTTTAATGGATCACAGCTTGGCCTGGGCGGATCTTGAAAAACACCAGTCTGGAGGGCGCAAATCCCTCATTTTGTCTCTTCACTTCCTTTTTCCTTACCATTTCATTTCATTTTTTTCTCCCTTTGTTTTTTATCCACTTCTTTTCCACCTCTTTTTTTCTCTTCTTGTCTATCACTTGTTCCTTTTTTTTTTCCCCCCCTTGGCTTTCAATTGTTTGCTTTCCTATCCCCATCTGGAGCGAGTTAGGAACCTCCAGGTAAGAGAGGTAAGAGGGCTTGGAGGAGGAAAACCTGGCGCGTGGAGGATACCCCTAGTTGTAAATAATAGTCATGGCACTATTTCTAGTTGCATATCACTTGCGAATAGCGGTTCCAGCGCATGTATAGATGAAAAAGATCAATATCACCGATTAATGTCGATAAGCCTCAACTGCCTCAACTGCCTCAACTGTAGCATTCTCTTCCTCAAAACGTTGAAATATTGATATCAGTGAGACAACGTGAAATAACTCGACAATTCTCTATAGATATTGTCACTTAGAAGTATCAGTCATATTTCGAAAACTTCATTCTTCGCCGAGGGAAGACGGCACCGATAACTTCACTCAATGGCATCAACTGAAGCCTCTGAGATCGGAGATTACTAAGGCGAGGCAGTGTGGAAATGACGTGTGGGACAAAGAAGCAACAGGACGGAAAAGCACTGCATCTGTTTCTCGACACAACCCCTCCCCGAAAAACAGTGGCTGACTTAACAGAAAGGTCTATTAATACAGGCCGTTTGCATTTCGGAGGTGCGAGAGTGAGAGCCGACTTGGACATATATCGAAGTTGTCTAAGGAGCCATCAATATTAGTCTGCGGCTGAGGGTGAGGCAACTTCGGCGCATTACTTGTCCCGAGGCAGGCACAATTGCAGCGTCTCGTTAATTCAGGGTCTCCAGATCGAGGGTTGTGGCACTCTAAAGTGCGTGCATGGGCGTCGCGAGGGACCCGATTGGCCGAAGCTTCCTGAACAGGGACCAATTTAGAAGTTGTGCGGGATTACTCACATGCTTCGTAGGGTCGGGGTTTGATTCGCTACACAACCACAACCCACACTCATAATGTGACATTCTGATCGCAAGTTCCATCAATACGGATTAGTTTGACCTTCGCGACGTGTCCATTAACGCATCGAACACGCCCAGGTATCCAACGTCGCCTAGCCACAAGCTTGATTTGGGGCTTTCCCGTGTTGCTGCACTCTGTATCTGTCGTTTTCGCCCCCACATACGTCTTTACCGTCTCCGCTTCGCTTAATTGGCGCCTCCCTAGCCACATCGTGCCGTCGGATAAGTTGCGCGCTGAGCTTCAACAATTCCCTCTCGAGTTTCCTTTCGTGACCACAATCTCGACGCACGCTTTTCGTTTTGCGAATTTGACCCCAAATACAACATGGCTCCAGGTCACTATCGTGCTGTCCCTCCTCCTGCCTCGCTCAACGCGAATCTGATCATACTGGGAGGACCTCCCCCGCAAGCCCCACAAACCCCGCAAAGCCAGTTCCCCACGACTACAACCCCGATTGATATCGAGGCCTGGACTGTGTCAGCCCTTGCTTCTCTCAGTGTGTCGCCCATAGCCCGCGGGACCGGTACCCCGCTGTCTATCTCTCTTGATGAGCCTTCAAAGAAGCCCACGGCGCCCCAGCGTGAGGATGGAGATCGAGTTCTACCGCTGCGGAGGCCACCTTCCGCTAGGGACAGTTTGAAGCGTCGGGAAGAGCTACGTAAGGGCAAGGAGGGTAGCAGGCAAAGGAGGAGGTGGGAGAACGGTAGGAATTCGTTTTCCGCGGGATATGAAGCTTCGCGTTCATCTCCTTGTGATGTGTCGTGGCTAGTGGCACTGACTGGGTCTGGCATATCGGTAGATCATCTCGTCGGCGTTCCCAACGCGCAGCCACCGTTACCGGTAGATTACTTCCCTCGCGCTACTCATCCCGTCAACGATGTCCCTTACCATATCGCGCAATACTGGGACAAGGGCGTGCGCCAGCGCATGGAAGAAAAGACTCTGGCTTTGCAAGCGGCGCGCAAGCGGCAGCAAAGGAAGAACGGTAGCGCAACGGGTCTCTGCCCCGGTGAGGTGTCCAGGGATCTTCGCGAAAGTTTGAAGAGGTTACCAGTTGTGAAGATGTGGATTCGCTCTCTCGAGGATCCCGTGAGGCGATTCGTCATTGAGCAGAGGGGTGGGGAGCCAAACCTGAGCGAGGACGACGATGGAGAGGAGATCCTGTTTGCTGGGAGGAAGTCAATGACGATAGATAAGGAGACCGGCTGGAAGAGAGCGAGGAAGGAAATGCCGAGTGGAAAAGTCGAAGCCGGCATGGTTTACGAGTCGCAGTGCGATGACGAGACGGCAGCACTCAAGTATGTTATTGTTTTCCATTATGACCATCTTTAGGACCCGGCTAATGTTTCCTATCTATAGACGATGGTTGACGCACTCCATCTCAGACTACTACGGGCTCGAGTCAAAGTCTGTAACCGTGGGAAACCCTGGGCGGCGAGTCGTTTACGTTGGGCTCAAACCTCCTTCTAAACGCTCGGGGGCTAGGCGGATTCCGGACCTGCCACGCCCATTATGGGAAGTGTGCTGATCAGCGGCATTATTTCCCTCCCTGGCGTCAAGTGCCTTTCTCTGACATACACAGTGTCTATTTGTATCAAATTCACATTTTCCTTTTCCCCTACCCAGTCCTTTGTCCAGGAGTTGGAGGTTGACACTCTGGAAGGCTCTGGCGTCTTGTGGCGCCAGAGGACAATGGTGTTTCTGGTCTCATAGGTGGGTCTTCTATTATTTTGTTCTGATAGAAAGTCTCAGTTCTTCCCTTGAAGCAACCTTCTCTTTGTCTTGCTGGGGGGGAATGTGTCAAGCACACTTTAGCCTGACATTCATCTCACTCCTTCTAGAAGACCGCATGTAAGACCCGAGAATCAAATGATTTTTTGATCCTGCAGCCAGCGGTTGAGTCCCGAGGTACCTGGCCTCTGATCGGATCTCTCTACTTTGCGTGTTGATGTTAAAACTCCTTCATCCATCACTATATACTCGAACATTTGTATCGTTAAGACGGAATCACATGAAGCGCATCTAATTGATGATGACTTCGTTTCTCGCTGACTTGGTGCTTCCTGCCACATGCAAATTGTCTTGTCAAAAGCGCCAGTGGGGGTCATGTGTCTGCCCTATTTCGAAGCGGCCAATCAGAGCACATCTCAGGGCGTTAGTGTCCGCGGCCGTTCAATGAAACCACATGCCGGGACGCTCCTGCCGACTTTTTCGGAGCCGGCGCAAAAAGTACTTTGGTACACCCGCCGACTGCATCTGTTTAAGCCGCGTCGTGTAAGTGCGCAATTCTTCATGTCTAGAAAACTGAGAACTATTATTTAGTTCGAGATGTTGGATTTCGTGTATTCCGAGAAACATGTATCATGAAACTACAACTTGGGTATTTGTTCTAGCAGTGTTAGCCGTCGTTTCCCAGTCATATACGTCCTCTGCGGTTGACTCTCCTAGCATGTGGTTTGCCAACTTCGAGACCGGCAATACCACATCGATAACCAACTACTTCAATAGACCTTATTGATCCTATTGACCCTCTGGGAATGAATCACTTGGAATAACTGGCCTAACTAGCTTCGTCCCTTCCTCCACGGGGCGCGTCACGCTTCCTTCAGTGACGCGTGGATGAGAGCCCAACTGTTCCTTCCATTCCCTCCAGAACTAGACTGATTCTTGATTTCTTCACATCATTCCATCTCTCCTCTCGCATGCTTCCTCGCCATTCTTCTCATTTTTACAAGTGAGACGAAAAGAAAACATCTCTTCTTCGAACATCTCGTCTCTTCCTCCGTCTTCTGCGCATTCTTCCAACATCTCTTTCAACCCTGCTGCCTTCACTCTCAAACTGTTTGAACTTACCCTCGACCCTTCAAACCGGCATTTTCATTCGACTCTCCGGAACCAACCCATCGATCCTCCATCGGGAGCACGACAGTTGGCTCCTTTCATCAACTTGCGTCGCGCTTCCATCAGAAGTAAACATCGATTCTTAAGCAAAGGATTCAACATCATCTATCTAGCCCTTGAGCTAAGTTTTATTCGACCCATTTCCATCGCGTCGAGCGACTCGCCAGTCAAATCATACTCGAGAGCTCGGCCATTCAGAAAGGCTCGCTGTTAGCCTTCCCTACCTACCCAGGGCAGGAGCAAGCCCCCACATCATCCTTCTTCGCCAGAGCGACTCTCAACTCGCAAAAAGCCGCCTCACCGCGTCGCTTCCAGCCGCTGTTTGACGAAAGCAGCAATTATTCTTTCTTTCCCTATCTACAACTTCAATCTCCGAAGTTCCTTCAAAGCACACACTACCCTACTGCATCCATCTTTTTTTTTTTTTTTTTTTTTACCCCCTCACATCAACATGGCTTCTGATCCATTGGTCACCCACATTCTGGGATATGGCCTGGTCAGGGTTTTCCCCTTCTTGAACCTCCATGGCGGCGCCCAAGTGACCCCATACAACGCTTATCACAAATGCCCCGACGAGATGGCCCACAGTGAGATCTCCATCTACGATGACGCTTATGTTTCCTATCACCAGGGAACCGGCGTAAACGCCCAGAATGACTCTGGAGACGCTGATGACTGTATCAGCCTGGTCTTTACCCAAGCTTTGACTCGCCAGTGCGTCAAATGCGGCATCCGAGACCACGCCCACACCATGCATGAGCTTGCCTGCAGCCATCACCTCTGCCGCTCTTGTCTCATTGTCAGCGTGGGCATGGGTGAAAGCCACTCCATTTGGTCCCCAAAAAGGATATGGGCCGCCAGTCTCGCTCTCTTTGACGTCAATTCGCCTCATTACGCTGCCACCATTAAGGAAAAGGGCGCGGTCATCACCGAGCTCTGGTTCCAGTTCAACTGGGCCTGCTGTGGTACGGTCATCCCTTTTTCAGACTTCCTTGATGAGCATGGTCGCGCTTGTCTCGGCCGAGACTGGTCGAATGCCCTGGTTCGTAGCTGGTCCTACGTCATTCGGCGCATCGAAAACAATGGCAGATACATCGTTGCCAACCCTACGGGCTACCGTAAGGTAGATGCGACACTTGCCGACCACACTCAGTTGCCGATCGGTCATGAGCCTGTGCATGGCTCCTCGAATGCTCCTAGCGACGGTGAGCAGATTTCGATTGGGGGCAAATTTGGAAGCAACCGACCCTCTGGAGGTAACGGCCAAATCATTTCCCCTCTTCTTTCGACTACCTCTCTTGCCTCGGAGACCATTCGACCACTTGCCAAGTTTAACTTGTCGAAGAATGTTCGCAAGATCTTGGCAGATGTGCCTGGCTTTGAGTACATGAGGGATTCCAAATGGGAGAAGTACCAGGCCGAGTCCGAGATCTCCTCGCCGGAGAGTCTCAAGACTATCTCAGATTCGCCGACCATTGCCTCGGAGGACCTGGAGAGTCCCCCTACCTCCTTTGCCGACTGGCAATCTGTGACGATCAAGGGTGTCTATGGTAAGTGTCTTCCAAATCAAGAAAGCAATAGTTGGAAACACATAGGACATGAGTTTGTTGCTAACGGATTGGTAGATCTTGACAATGACGCCCAGAGCTTCTCTAGTGACGTTGTAGAGACTGGAGATGAGATTCAGCACCCGGGACTCCTCGATGGCCATCTTGGCCTTAAGCCCCTTGTCCCCTCGGACAATCTTGATTCTCTCTCTGAAGACAGTGGTGATGATGGAGACTGTGAAGATGATAGTGAGGATGACAGTGAAGACGACAGTGATGATGACCGTGATGATGACCGTGATGATGAGAGCGATGGTGACAGTCACGAGGAGACCGACGATGACGAAGATGATGACTACGATAGCGAGGACGGCGAGTATGACGAGGACGAGGAGACCGAGGAGGATGTTGGCAATAGCCCACAGTCCTCTCCACTCTTCTTTTCGGACGAGGAGGCCCACTAAGCCTGGGCAAAACTCCAAACGGTGATGTATATCGGCCGATACAGAGGCCAACGCGAATTTTTGTGCTGGCTACAGGACCGCAACTTACAAAGTCGATCAATTACCGAACGCAGCTCTTTTGCCAGCTCGGTTTGCTAACTAATCACTCTTGAAACGAGAGGCATCGACTCCGAGGCAGAGGCCCCTGCCATGACGCAAATTTCTTGACGAGCGATACTGGCTACTTCCGACTAGCCCCCAGTTCAAAAGGATGAGGAGTACAAGACACCATCCAAAAGACACAACAGCATTGTGAGACTGGTAGTGCAATGGAATATGACGAGACATGAGATGGAAAGGGGAATATCACTGATATCTATCGAGAAAAAAAAATGAAAACATAAAACAAGAAAAAAAGAAAGAAAAAAAAAAAAACTGGAGAGGAAAGACTTCTTGCTGCCTCATGGTTCACCGAGATTGATAAAAAAACAAGAAAGGGCGAAGTGACATCTACATAAAAGGACCGGACGATAGGATGGCTTTGATGTACCGCCTGCGAAGCGAATAGTGCAGTAGTGGCACCAGAATACAAACTAAGTTTTATGAACTCCCCTCGTAAATGCTTCCATAGAGCAGAGGCCTAGCTCCGAGCCGATCAAATGCATTTGCCTTTGAGAAGTAAGTCTACTTTGGCCAGATCTTCAGCATGATGGAACAGTCAGGTGAGCACAGGGTTCAGAAGGATTGAAGGAGTTAGGGCGAAAGGTAAATAGGTAGAAACAATCATTGATCCTAGGCATCGATAACCATCATGATGGATTCTAGGGAGCAGCCTTCTTCCCATTGTCCGGTCCGGCCAATTCAGAACAGAAGGGCGTATCTATTGATGCCATGTACTTCTCCATAGATAGAGGCTATTACCATAGCGACTGACGATGGACATGATGGCAATTGGGAATATCATTAACAAACGAGTTGAGGGCAATTGGCTTCACAATTGCCATTGTCCAGATCGCGTCATCAGATGGGTTGAGGTCAAAGTCGAAGATGCTAATCGCTGAGGTTATGTAATCCTCGGCAACCGGGCCTAAGTTTGGGCCGGACCGCCAAGTTTGAATTGTCTTGACGCGGTAACGGCGCACTAATAATGCAGCAGCACACACACAAGATGGCGGATCCCACCTAACAACATAGGCGCTGTCATCTCGACCTACGACAAGCTTCAAAGCGCACACCAGATGGTCCGTCGCTCCGGTAATGGCTCTCCCATTGCCTGTTGGCCTTACTCCTCCAGAGGTCGCATTCCTCTGCGAGATGGAGCTGGTCACTGTCATACCTCGCCAGCGACTAGATAGCATAGATTTACTCGGGGTACGTCCTCCAAGATGCCTTCAAAATTGCCCCTCAGTAACCCCGCCACGACGCGAACGACGCGTCGCAAACTCTTCAGTCAGGTCGGACGCTCACGTATTTACTTCACCCAATTCTAGGGAGCTACACCCGAGCTACGGCCTCCGCGACGAAGCGACATACCCCTCTGGCTCGCTCTTCTCCTCAAAAAGCAGCGGCGCGCAAACATCGTTCCCCCACCATGGCTCCATCCAGACTCCCTCACCGAGATCATCCACCACGAGACCAAGATCGACCCCGAAGCCTTCTCCCCGCCTCCGCCACCCCCAGTCCGAGCCGGCGGTCGCGGAACCACGAAGAGGGTAGACCCCGAAACCACAGACCCCGCCAAGGAGCCAATACTATCCCCTCCCTTCCTCCCGTCGTGCACCGCCGACGCGCCTCCGTCCGCGCTTCCGTACCACTGGCTCGAGCTCTCCGAGATACTCCTCGCTCACGCGGCGGACGACATAACGGCCGCCACCGAAGTGCGCACGTTATTGCGCGACTTGAGGGAGGTGCGGGCGGCTAAGATGCGCGCCAGTACGGGGCAGCTTGAGAGCGGGGTCGCGGGCGTGATGAGTCTCAGAGGCGTCGGCGCGATGGAGCTGGCTGAGAACAGAGGGTTCGTACTTAGCGTTATGGACGGGGTAAGGAAGCTCGGGGCGAGTGCTGAGGCGAGTAGGAGGGAGGAGGAGGAGGCGGGTGGCGGGGCTGGGGAGGAAGAGAGTGATGAGGATATGGAGTTATGATGGGAATTGGCGCTGGGCTTTTGTTGGGCATATGGCATATATCATGGATTTAGGGTATTTAAAAGCATCGAGAATTCGTATATGAGGATTAATCACGATGAATGTGTCCGTGGGATGCTATCGTGCGCTTGACAATCTTTCCTTCAACACACAGACGCCCGCACCACGTCCTCCGTCCTCCGAGGATGGACCGTGGCCCAAGACGACAGACCTTGATGTGTGAAGGTTTATGACGTTGGATCTATCGTATGTTGCGTCTTGTTGCGTGAGTTTCAGTATTTCTCTTTGGCAAAAATGGCGCCCAGGCCACTACGAAGGTGACGGCATCAGCTGCATTGATCCCCCATCCTCACAGATTGTCGAATGGTTAGACTTGTGTCTACCAACTTCAGAAGGGAAAATCGCATGAGAAAAGAGTCTCTCGCCCTTCGCCTCGTGACGCAATTCCAAGCCGGACTATACGCCTGCGCCAACGTCGACTATTACACCATGATCTCCATCGGGGTCCTTTCTTACTGCCTGCAACCTGCTCAGGACAACTTCGCAATTGGACCGACCATTGATCAATCGTCGCCAAGTGAGGCTTCAATATGCCGACAGCGCCACGAGCGCCCCAGACCGCACCCCACCACCACCACGGCCCAGCGTCCCCTGCACGCCCCAATCTGAAACGCTCAGGGCCTGGAAAATAAGCTTCCCCATTCTGCCCCTGACATTCAGCACTGAACCCAAGCTTTTTTCTTCAATGCATCGTCTTCGTAGCCTTACTTCGTACGACATTCCGACCGGAAACTTGACCATCCGGCCACGAGGTCCCCGTAACTAAGCCGTTTTTCTTCTCTCTTGCCAAGGTTCGACTTCTTTTCCCCTTCCTTTCTTTTTTCCTTCGGAAGGCCGGATGATCGCTCTTCCATTCCCCCCCCTACCTTTCTTTTTCATGCCCAACTCTCTCACCCTGCCAATACTCCCAAGTCTTGCTTTTGTTTCCATCTCTGATTAGTTCCTGTAAGTTCGGGGAGAAGGAGAACGTCAACTGGGGGAGGTTGGTATATTGTCGAGAAATAGCGGAAAAGAGAGAAGGAAAGGGGATGGAGGATGCCAAAGTTTTCGTCACAAATCAAGGCGCGCAGTTATCTATAGAAAGAAAATATGACATGAAAAAGATTACTCCTTTTGCCCAATTCCATTCATTCTCTCATCCCCCGACCGAGAAATAGGCTATGAACACTAGTCCTGGAAGGGCACGCGGATTCCCAAAATAAAAGTTCGCTCTCTGAAAGAATCCAAAACAAGGAAAAATGGTTGCTCTCTCTCTAATCCGCCATTCAAATCCTCCCCCAGACTCCAAAAGACCCTTCCCCAAGTAATCCCGCCGCCAATCCCTATCGTAACCGCTGTGGAGACAATTAGAGGGGTGTGGAAGCGTGAGGCGCGAGACAGTCCAGGACCGGCGCTCCGCTAGGAAGCATCCAAGTACTTGACTGCTGCTCCTCACACTTTCCCCATAGTAGCTAAGAAGAGATCAACGGCGCCATCGCCAGAGACGATTTACTCCTTGAAGACGCCACTGCCGAAGCCGAGGCTGTTGAGAGTGCCGGCGGAAAGGACTGTAAAGAAGTGTGTTAGTGATCTGTTGCGATCTACTATGCTGCAGTGGATCATTGCGGGATAAACTTACGGCCAGTGGGCTGAACGAAGCTGGTGATCTGGGTGGTGATGACCTGGTCGATGCCAAGGGAGAATTGGCTGAAGGGGGAGATGAAGCCGCCGAGGGTACCGAAGTCAACGAAGGGGACGACACCACCAGCGAAGTTGACACCGTTGATGAGACCAGCGTTGCCGAGCCAGCTGAGGAGGAGAGCGCTCTGCAGGCCGAGAATGTGGTTGAGCTGGAGGAACTGGTTGCCGGCACCGAAGGCGAAGAGGTCAGAGAAGGGGTCGAAGGCAAGACCCTGGTTGATGATGAGCGACGAGAAGATGTCGTTGCGGAAGCCGTTGAAGGCGGCGAGGTAGGCGATGTTCAAGTTGTTGAAGGCGAAGTTGTTGGCGCCAAGGACATCGAAGCCAGAGCCGAACTGGACACCAGTGGCGAACTGGTTGAATCCACCGAGGGAGAAACCGCGCTTCTCCTCAGCCTCCTTGGGGGCGGGGGCGGCCGCAGCGAGGGTGGCAAGAGCGCCGACGAAGATGCTGGTGAACTTCATTTTGATGGAGAGAGAGTGGGGGAGGGTGTTTTGGATTAAAAGTTATAAAAACAAATGAGCACAGCTCTGGATGTTCAACGAAAGTTTATAAGAAAGGAGCGAGAGCGAACAGCGAGCACAGCTATTGATGATGTTTGTTAGCAAGGCTGATCCCGAAGCTGATGGTAGTAGTACCCGAGGGGTAGTAGTAGGGATTGGGGGTAGGGGTAGGAGTAGTGGTGTTGGTGGTGAGAGTAGCTTACCTCTGAAGAGAATGAAAAGAAAGAATGAAGATTGGACTGGAGTTGTTGGCTTGAGAATGGGATGAGGAACAAAAGAAAAATAGTTGAAGGACGAGACGAGTTGCATCTTATATAACAATCGAGACGCAAAGGTCGACGCATGATAAAGTTCTAAGCATTACCAAGTAAGCGATGCCAAGCTTTGGGTAAGGGGGTGTCGGCCGGAAGTCCAGGCGATGCCAGATCCCGAGTGTGTCAGATATCAGGCGTCCCTTAGACGGAAGTAGATAGTTAAAACAGGGTAGGGCAGGGGTGGGAAAGACAGGGTGACGGGAAAGCAACCGAGTGACATTGGGGCGGAACACGCCAGGACGCCACGGTGGGGGGCGTGCGTGCGTGCGCTCTCTGCAAAGGCTGCATATGGATAAACAGCGAGCCTCGAGTCCTTGCGAGATTAAACCGCGTAGATCCTCATCGGTGTGGCGAGATGGGGAAGCCAAGAGGCGGTGGTCTAGGCCAAGAGATCCTACGTTCTGAGTCCTACGGTTGCGATCGTGAGTCCACTACGAAGTAACCTCTAAGTTGGCATTTCGGAGTGTTTCCATTGGCTCTGGGACCGCAGCAAAATGTCCGATGCCAGGATCATCAGCCTTCTTCGTTCTGAACAGCTTGGAGAGAAGGACTTGAGACGTCAGGCTCGGAAGTGCGTGTCACCGAAACGAGGGTCAGCGGACAAGAGGTTACCGCAGGATCGTGGGGAGAAGCCAACAGGGCCCTGAGGATTCAATGTGACTTGGCATTTAAGCTTCCGGTCTAATATGGAGAGAGCACGAGCGAGGGACAGTGGACAAGGGACTTGGGAGAGCTCATCAGGGTACCCGCTCTCATGCCGGCTGTGGGTGGCATTCTCAGGTACCGGTGGCGATAAAAGTCAATTTCAAGCGTCCGACCCTACAGCTTGATCGACGGCATGGGCAGAAAAGTCGTTTCGCGCAATGTTTCGACAGTACAAAGCGAGATGGTTGGAGAGAGCCTCACCAAGACTTTGGTCGCAAAGCCAGCAACCAGATGACAGCTTGTCGTCCGATGCCTATTTGGGACTAGGCTTTGTTCATTGTAGCAGCAGCGCAGCGGCAGGCCCACTGACAATACCCCCTTACCCCTTCGGCAGAGGCCCATGTAGAGGTACCGGTGCGGGCCTGAAGCACCACCAGGGCTTGGCCTGTGGCTTTCTTGTTTAGCGGGCCCGGGTGTAGTTATTGCGTAGTACTCAGGGCAAACAGGTACGACGCAATCTCCCCAAGATCTCATCGAAGACTCCATATGTGAGGCACTGGCTAAATGCTCCCCCATCATTCCTTCCCACCCCTGTCGTCCGTGCTTGAGGCTCAAGGTCCAGGCGGGTTGAGGGGGGGAGGCCTGCGAAGATGATTGGTTGGAAACCTCCAAGGGGTCTATCGGTTGGTCGCAGTTGCAGTTTAAGGTTTAAAAGGATGCTCGCACTTTCCGATAGAGACTTGCTGGAGTAGTGGGGCGACTAACATTTTGGACCAATCGGCGCCTTTTTTCGTGGCTGATCCCTGTCGCCAAAGCCACAGATCCTTCCCATCTTCAAACGTCTTTTTGGCTTGGCAGGTGCTCCCCTGCACGGGTCCGTGTACCCATTGTTTAACTCGAGCTCGGCTTGCTTGGTGTGATCAGCATCTCAAACATCCCACACGTCGCAGGTTCAAGCTGAGGCAGTCCGACGACTTATTACCGCTTTATATCGTTGGGGATTCCTAGCACGGAATCTCATCCCTTCCGAAAAAAACAAATTTAGCAAGATGCGAGATATGCGTCCAGCAACTCTGTTTGGATTTAGCCTCTTACTCACTGCGCACTGTTAGAACCGTCCGATGTTGTGATTTTGATCTTGCCCATTGGATTTCCGGGATTTGGCAAACATCATACGGAACTGCTGATCTTGGGCATAAGAAACGCGATTGCCCTCAGTGTCTATTTCTAGAACGGAGCCTCGTCGAACAGCATTGCATTCATACCAATTGTACTCACGAGCAGGACCCTCCCGAACCCTCCGGTCTTTTTAGAGTTTGGCGGGGGTTCAAGCGTAAGGAGAGTGTTTCTTCTACAGCCTTGGCCATGCCGCAGTGATATCCCTACAATCAATCCTTGTCGGATCTGTGGACCGGAAAACTAAATCGCCGGGGAAACAGAGGATCGAAGGCCATCCAATCTCCCAATCCTGGCTAGTCGATTGCGAGCTCCCGGAAGCAGATGAGGTGCAACACTCGGCTCTGATATTGATGGGCCGAATCGAGGACGCCTTGCTGAGATTCGGCGGCCTCGTTGCAGCCATCTGCAGCCATCTGAGTCCGAGGCCCACGTCATGGCGACCCGTATGCGCAGTCGGTTCACCTGTCAACTAGACACTTACTACTATCTCGTAACCAATTTCGTCTGATGAAATTCAATACAAACTGGGATATGCTGCAACATTACCCTGTCTGATAATATGAACTTGAATCTTGCGTAGTCTCTCATCCACTTTCACCACAAAATCCAAACCAGAGCAAGAAGGACAAGATACGCAATTTGACGTTGCAGGTGGAAATAGCGACAAGTCGGTGTTCAATTTAATATTCTGCCCAGAAGTTATTAATTTCCTTCTCGGACCTCCAGGGACTAAATGCGCACCAAGTAGCCATGAAATGCATCTTCCGTAAGTCTAAGACTAATTGTAAGGCCAGCTTTGATCAGATCAAACCTGAATTCTCTTCCTCTGCTTCTTCCACCAACAGTAAAAATCCTCTCACTCACATTCCGTGACAGGCTCAGAACTCTTGCAGAACCTTCTGAACCAATCTACCAGCTCTTCAGGATACATTTCCCTGAGACTATACATTACACGTACTTAACGAGTGAAATCGGAGAGATCCTCTTCCTCTTCTTCATTGTTATCGTTATTGTTATTGTTGTTGTTGTTATTGTTCCCGCCGTTGCCCTGGTTAAGATCGTTGACGTTGATGCCTTCATAAACGTTAGCCTGCGGTTCATTTGACATATCAAAAGCCGCAGAGATGACGCTCAGCCGAGGAGTAAGGGGGCGCTGCCTGACAGTCTCCCCACCCTCCCTGGGCTACCCACGAGGCGGAACACATCGTGGAATAGGCTAGTCACTCACCAAGACTCGCTGCCAAATCTTCAACATTCAGGTTGTTGATCCCATTAAGACCGCTGAGACCGCCGAATCCGTTAAAGCCACCACGGAAACCACCGATATTCCCGAATCCAGTGAAACCAGCGCTGATGAGATTGCCGCGAATGAGGCCGAAAGCATCGTTGATACCAAGTCGTCCAATGCTGAGGAGCTGGGCGATCTGCTGGAAGGCAAGGAACATCTGGAGCTGCGCGTTGAATCCGAAGCCGATGAAGTCATCGATCGAGACGAGCCCACTAAAACCAAGACCATTGAGCATTGCGTCGAGGACGGTGGCAAGGTCGAGCTCGTGCTGGCTGAGGTTGTCGATGTTAAGAACGTCGGTAACGCCGAGATTTATGAAGTCACTGAGGGAGAAGTCATCGAAGTTGAGGCTACTCGTCTGGGACGAGACATCTTCGTCCTCGATCTGGGTCCTGACCTCCGAGTTCTCTTCCTCGTCCTCGACCTCGGCGTCCACGTCGGCCTCTTCGGCATCGGTGGAAGTCTCCGTTGAGTTCTGGCGGACAACTAGAGTGCCGTGCCTCGAGTTTTGAGGGACAGTGGCGGCGGAGGCCACACCGGCGGCAACAAGAAGAACGGTGAACACCTTCATCTTGGTTGAAGTTAAAACAAAAAAAAAAAAGGAAAGACAGTTGAATAATATCTAAAGAATGGAACTTGCTTGCGTTAGAGAGCCCGTAACCCGACATTGATGATGATGACATTGGCGAAGAAGCTCTGAAGCTTCTCATATTATGTACTCACCTTGTTCAACAAGACCGTAGTAAGAAGAAACGAAAGAGCGCAGCTGAAGTTATCACGAGTGTATTAGCTAGAGAGACCTTCAACTCAACCCGCGGGAGGAGCCTTTCATCGTACGAACCTCTACAACGACCGAAGTAGGTATGCGAAGAGAAAGAACGACTTTGAAACAGGGAAAAAGCGGCGAGAATATCCAAGAAACGGGATGCCGAGATGTCTTATATTGAGATTGGTGGGAGCCCACCGCGGGGATGTCCCGATGTGTTAGACGAGCATGATTATCCATCCACAAACCGATCTTATGCTGCCGACTACTTCACGGCCGACAGTCATGTCGGCCCATACAATAGGTGAGTGACGCCACCTACTTTGTCACTCATCATAGGATGACAGTATATTGGCGCAAGACATTCTGACCGCAAATCGCAGGGGCGACTCGAAAGTTGGATCGACTCAGTCGATCAAACCGAGTCGAGCCAGTTATGAGAGCGGACAACTAGACTAACATCGGCAAATTGCAGCGAAAATCTAAGCTTAAATGCCCATGCCTCTTAACATGCCAAGTCCAGACCAGCTTTCTTCTTTCCTTGGTAACGTATCAGGGGGCGGGATGTGATGCAAAATTGTTAGCACCGCACCTTGTTCTTGCTGTAATTTCGGTGCACGGAACTAACGTGATACTCTTCGGAACACACCCAAGCCGTCTCAGGTGCGAAAATGATCTTCGAAATTGACGGAAATTCCACAGGTCCGGAACCACTGAGCAGGGTAGTCGCAGCGGCGAATAAAACCGGGCTAGATTGGTTTAATTCTCCGGTCGATATTGCGAGCGCGTGAGCGAGCACATGATGTGCTGGCTTGGCAACGACCGGGTGAAGGCCGAGATGTCTCCGGAGGGGCATGGTGACGAAGCCGACACGGGTGTGATGGATGAGGGAAAGGAATGGTTGAGAGAAGGAAAACACATAAAATGTGAAGACCTACGACGAAATGACAGGTAGGACAAGGAAGAGGATTACGCGATGTTGAAGCATCGTCATGGTCATGGTTTGGTAATGGAGGACCGGGAAAGACGCCAGTATGAGCACTTCCCTTTCAATGGTCAACGGACGGCAACCTGCACAGAGTAATTGCATCCTTCAATCTCCCGGCCCAAGTTGATCCTCGGTGCTTCGCCAGGCCCATTCCAGAACAAAGCTTCTTTCCAACTTGGAGGCCAGATATAGCCGATAGGTAACTCCCAGTCTTCTTGGGAGCGGGATCAAGAATGAACCACCCGCAGGGCCGTGAGCATCTTTCTGAGGTCAAAGCTGCAGAAGAACCACGCCTACTCATAACCTGGTTTGAATAAATGCTCTATCGAATATATCATGTCTAACTCCGGCCATGGAAACTGCTTCCCAGTGCTAATCTAATAAGACATCTTGTTGTAAGTGTCTTCCCGCAATTTCCGCCCGACAAGACAATCGGTCCAAGAATTCCCGAGGATCCCGATTAAATCTATCCGAAAGCCACTGGTGCGCTCTCTCTCTTCCATGAGCCACTCTAGAACCGTGTTCCATCTCGAGGACAAAGCTGCATTTGGCAATATCCGTTCGATTATCGAAATTGCCCTGCAGAATGGGTTGAAGGGAAGTCGTCGATTTGCGCATCACAATGAGAGGACGAGAATGCTGGGAGTCGAGATTTAATTGTACAATATATTTTTGATTTTAAGTTCTCACATCAGGTGAGGTTTCCGTTGGCCTCGCGAGCTTCGAATCAGTTGGCTTGTTGTGAAAGCCCAACATTTCTCCCAATATTCCACCTGGCTTCGGTACGGGGCATTGTCGGGTGCCGCGATCCTCCAATAAACTGGCTCCGGCTTCTTCGGTGGTCTTCTCGAACTGCGCCATTCCATTCCTGATTTCGACTGAGCTGGCCGGCCTCCTTCTCATCCGTCTCCCGTGCTCGTCTAATATCGTTTCACCGTCGGCAAATGCAACTCGGGGGGCTGGACAGGGTAGGACGTGGGGGAGGGCGACGACAAAGAAACTGGCGACGACGGCGGTTGCGAATAAGGACGAGGTCATCCTCGACCGAGGATGAAGATGGGGTGGCATGACGTCGGGGAGTTCGAGGAGAGGAAGCTGCCAATTGATCTCAATTGAGGGTCAGCATGCTGGGAAGAGTGAGGATTTGGATAGGTAGAGGAATACCTATGAATTACACATCATCAAAGGGCCCAGGTTCGCCGAACAGACACTCCGGGACGATCGAGGGAAGGAGTCTGGTGATTTCGCGATCGTGATGAGAGCTAAATCTGTTTTTCGGCTTTCTAGCAATTGGCTCACTTCTCATTGGGTCGTCGGTCTTGCAGGCCAGGATCGCATGTCACGTCAGCTTATGTAATATGGATCGTTATCTGATCGATCTATCGGCCGTTGACAGCTTTTAACAGCTGTACGTACTCTTGGTGCTTTCGCTCAAGTCGAGTTCCTGCCTCGCCTAGGTCGCAGCAACCTTGAATCTTGACGAAATCCTGGACCTCGCAAATCGTGGTCGTTCTCCCCATCTCCAGCATTGATTAAAACGGTATGCGATATTAGGCAAACCATAAAGCTTCTCGTCCGGTTAGTTCGCGCATAGCCTCGCGACACACACTCTGCCAAGCAATCGATATCCTTTGCTCGGGAACTCGACTAAACTGGACCTAGACCGTGGCGATGAGTGACCTCGACAAGTACGCGCTTCCCCACCATCACCACTGCAAATCTGATCTGGGTAGCTCAGCCCTTCCACCCCTCGAGATTTCTGACGATTAGTCCAGGGCGATTGCGCAGCTCCGCGCATGTAGACCCATACCCGAAGCCCAAGTTCGCGAAATCTGCCACAAAGCGAGAGAGCTTCTGATCGAGGAGGGCAACGTCGTTACCGTTACCGCCCCTGTCACGGTATGTCCTCATAACGCGATTCTCGAAGGAAGGGATCGGGCCGGATGAATCTAATACAAGAATGGTAGATATGTGGCGATATCCACGGCCAGTTCCACGATCTCATGGAACTGTTCCGCGTCGGCGGTGACCCTCCCGACACAAAATATCTCTTTATGGGTATGGGAGTCTTGCAATCCCAGTCGCATCCCGCGCGGCTAACTCCCACTGCGATCGTTTGTTGACTTGTGAACCCTGGCTTTGTGCGACAGGCGACTTCGTTGATCGTGGCTTCTACTCCCTCGAATCATTCCTTCTACTCCTCTGTCTCAAGGTCCGATACCCAGACCGGATGACCCTCATTCGTGGTAACCACGAGTCGAGGCAAATTACGACCGTTTACGGTTTCTATGACGAATGCCTTCGAAAGTACGGAAGCGCCAATGTATGGCGGTATTGTTGCGACATTTTCGACTACCTCGCACTCGGTGCGATCATCTTGGGCGCCTCAAACTACCTCTCATCAGAACCCGAGGATAAGGATATTGAAATCCAGGTCTGCGATCAGAACGGTAGCGTAATGAGCCGATTCCTGCGCCGGACTCAGGAAGCAAACAGCTCTCTATCGCAGCAGGCCAAAGCCTCAAATGGTGCGGCCAGCGGGGGTAAAACAGGCCCTCCCGGCTCGGGCGCATCCGGATCCAGTGGTGGCACACTGGGAAATCCCGCGGGAGCTGTCCTGTGTGTCCATGGCGGCCTCAGCCCTCTTATCGATACGGTGGACAAGATCCGCCTACTTGATAGGAAGCAGGAGGTCCCCCATGAAGGTGCCATGTGTGACCTGCTATGGTCCGACCCAGATGAGATTGACGGATGGGGCTTGTCGCCCCGCGGTGCGGGATTCTTGTTCGGCGCTGATATTGTCAAGGTCTTCAATCACCGCAACGACTTGTCTTTGATTGCTCGCGCGCACCAGCTTGTCATGGAAGGTTTTAAGGAAATGTTCGACTCGTCCATCGTCACCGTCTGGTCGGCACCGAATTACTGCTACAGGTGCGGAAACGTTGCCGCCGTGCTCGAACTGACGGAGGACGAGGGAGGCACCGGTGTGTTCCAGAGGAGCAATGGCGACGTCAATAGGAGCGACGGCGGTTCGGGCGGGTTTAGGGGAGTGATGGTTGAGAGCGAACATGAACCTAGGAGCGGGCCTGCAAGGCGGTACCGAGTTTTTCAGGCGGCTCCTCAAGATTCTAGGGGAATGCCGGCGAAGAAGCCCGTTGCTGACTACTTCTTGTAAGACTAAGATACCCCGTTACTTTTGTTCTTTTTATGTTCTTCCCCCGGCGTGGGACTCTTGCCCTCTCCGCCGGTGGTGGATGATTGGATTGGGATAGAGTTGGGCGATGTTCATTTGCGTGAGAGAAGGGTCTTCTCCTGCCGATCTTGTCCGTGGCATTTACGATTTGGCGTTAATGGGTAATACATGTTCAATCACTTGATGATGGCAATGCAGATATAATGACCTGGAATTTATTTCGGGGGTAGTATGTCAAACATGGAGTAGTTTCGGAGGGGAAGTTTTCAAATCTCTTAATCGAGAGCTTCCACTATCCAAAGCATTGTTCCCCGTCCTTGTGAAGGATGTTTAACGGGGAAGCTTGCCTCGTCTCATTACCCCACACAATTCACTTTAAACCACCCAACACCTGCTTCTTCCAATGCGTCTGGGAACCCGGTTAATTCTTTCTAGCCAGTACTCGAGGTCAAACTTAGTAAAGATCGTAGGCTGCTTGTCTTTAGACGCTGGTGGCTGGTCTGTCTCAGGCTTCTTAGCTCCACGCTTTTTGCTCCGAAGCCGGAGCAAAGGAAGAGGTGGCGGTATGTCCGAGCTCTTTAGTTGTGAGACCTTGGATCCTGGGCGACCGGCCCTTGAGCGCGTCCAGGCTCTAACATCGAACTCTGGGAACCCCGGCAAAGTCGTCTGGTGCGAGGCCTGGTACAGGAAGCTGGCGGCGTCCTTCCTCCAAAACTCTTCCCAGAGGGCGGCATTGTCTTTTGGAACGGGCGTCTCTACTTTGCGCCGCTTCTTCTTCGGACCGTCATCTCCGTCTTCTTCTGGGGCGGCAGCTTCGGCCGGCCCTAGTCGCAGAGCTTCCTCGTACTCATCCTGGCCCTTATCGCCGGCATCTCGAAAGTAAAACAAGAAATTATCTTCCTCGGTCCTATTTGGTGGTATGGGAGGCAGGACTGGGATATAATCCCCTGCTGGTACGTAAGCTCCTGGGTCCGGGTTTGGGTCTTCTCCGTGTTCTTTCTTCCTCTTCGCGTCTTCCGGGTCTTGGTTTTCTTTCCTCTTCTTCACGACTTTGTTCCAGGGCAACTTGTCACAGAATTTTTCAAACTCCCCGTGACCATATTGGCTCGGTTGCGTGAGGCTATGGAAAAAAAAAATCATGTTAGAGACGAACGTGGCTGGAGGACAGGATAAAAACCTACTGGGTCCGTTTCGTAAGGGCAAAGTTGGGGCGCCGGCGTTTAACAGACGCTGTTGACCCGTCCGCCTTCTTAACTTCATCATCAGTCTCCCACGCCGGGCCGTCCTCTGGACTGTCTTCCATGATAACGTCTTCCCCATCTGGGGGGTCTTTATCCGGTCTGGGATCAGCAGGCTCATAATTTACGAACTTATCGTATCGATCCATCCAATACCGGCTGTACTTCTTGTCGAGCTTCGCGGTCTGAATTTTGCGATGGTAATATCGCGATGCCATGGTCGACCAAAACAAGATATCAATCTTCGGTGGTATGTCGGAAAAGTCGCCGTAGAAGCTCGGCATTCCATCCATTTCGTTTGACATCTGTCTGAGGCATCTCGTCCAATGACTTCCCATTAACAGGTAATATTGCTGCTGCTCTCGTATAACTCCCTTGTTGAGATCCTCTTCCAAGGTTGGTTGAAGAGATGCAACGCGCGCCAGGATCTCGGTGGCAGTATCGAGAGAACGCCAAGCTCGCTCCAGGTAATGCTCCACGTCCTCTCTCAATGGATGGGCCAAGGCCCCCAGCTCGCTGGACGTCATTTTGCTCTTGTTCCATTCTAGGATGTCGACAAAGTTTTGCCATGCTGCTTTGGAGGTTTCCCAATGGGCCAGCGCCGATTTGATCAGGTCGTAAAAGATGCGGCAAGCATTTTCGACGTCGAATTTCTCGAGCTCGGACATTCGATTGATGCCATAGTCGACGGACGACGAGAGCGGCGGTTGCTCCGGGCGCTTGGGCTTGACTAGACCGGTCGTCCTAGACCCCCGGCCATGGTCCATCAACACCACTGCCATGAGAATCTTGTTTTGACTTGACTTGCCGATAATGTGTTGGTAAATACGATCGAAACCTCTGTTAGATAACACCAGGACGCCTCGCCTTGAAAACTCAAGGGGAGGTGAGTTTAAACATGTGCCGATCCTGACAGGGCATTCAGCTTAGAACCACAACGATCCCATTCCATAGATCTTCTGGTATTGTTCAAGGCATTTCTACAGAGTCTTGAAAGAGCCCGCTAGAAATCTCCACTCAGTCCAGGCATCAGCACGTCCGAATCCGGACAGAATCGCTGCCAGTAGACGGAAACAGGATAGATTGAATCTACAACGCCTTCATATTCTAGATCGAATCCTTTCGAACACCCATGAAATGTATGCCCGCATCAAAGAGAATCCCTAAGCCGCTGCCTACATTCCTCCGACTAACAGCGGGATGTTTCACCCGAGGGTGACCTTCCTTTCCCAGGGTTGGAATGCCCTCGACATACCTTGCGCCAGTCTCCGTGGACAAAAGAAAAAGAGAGAAAAGAGAAGAGAGAGAGACCGTTCATCAACATCAGGAAAAATGCCATGATTCCAACTCTTTCCATAAGAGATATTTCACCTGATCCCAGACAAAGAAAGGGTATGAGAAATTAAAGCAGACTAGAGAGAGAGAGAGAAAGAGAGAAGAAGAAGAAAACGGCAAAAAGAAAAGAGAAAGAGAGAGAACAACGCGGGTCTCCGATCCACAAGAGGCAGAGGAATTACCAGATTCCTCGAACCAGCCCCAACCAAAAAAAAAAAAAAAAAAAAAAAAAAAAAAAAGGTCTATTTCGCCCTGCAAAAACGCTAACCTGGCAATAGAAAGAAACGAAGGTTGTATTTTCTAAGAGTCAGGGCTTGAAGTTAGCTCTAGATTCGATTCCGACTATCAATGGGTAACTGCCTACCTCTGTCAAAGAGCCTTTAACCTTCCCCAATTTAAACCGCTAAAATCAAGCAGATATAAACGACAACTGGAGAAGCCGATTCACATGCAGTTCAACAGGGGTATTGATTATCGGGAAAGGGCCGCGACGGACTGAAATAATCCACGCCAAGGTTATTGTACTGCTGATTAGGCGGCGATGGTAATTGGAGGTAGGGCAGCGGTATCGCAGACTCGTAGTTGGTCTCATAGGACGAGAAACTGTTGCTAGGTTGTGTCACCTCGATGCCGAAACTACCAACTTGCTGAGGCCGAGAGGATGGGATTTGCATCGGGGCATGTTGCTGAGGCGCCGGTCTCGGAAGAGGCGAAGTCGCGACGCCGCCGCTGATGGGACTCGCGCCAGTCGTCGAACTGGCTGGGCCTGGCTCCCAAGTGCCGGATGAGTGGCCAGCCGAGTCGCTAGCGACCGAGGGTTCCCTACTCGACCTCCCCTGCGGCGAAGGCAACGGAACACTCAAACTAGCGCATGACAGCCGCCTCGGGAGAAGAAGCTGCTCGAGCCTGTTGACGGACTGGCCCGGACCGATCCCTCTTCCCGTCGGAGAACCTTCCAGTGGCGGGGTGGTTGCGCTGTACAGGTAGGCTTCGATGTTGTCGTCGCGAACACCATTCTGGTGGAGCAGCGCGCGGAGCTTCTTGTTTTCGCTGGCGACGCGACGAGCTGCGACTTGGACTTCCGTGGTGGCCTCGACGCCATGGAGCTCGTATTTGCGAATGCGGTTCTCCAGCTCCTGGACGTACTCCTTCTTGCGGGCACGAGAGCGACGTTGGTTGTCGCGGATTCGAGCAAGATTGGCGCTTCTCTGTTTCAGAGAGTAGAAAGTCAGATGGAACTAGAGGACTTACAAAGGGGAACTTGGAGAGACCGAGATGGCTTTCTCTTTGCAAAGGAAACATCAGCGGCGATGACTTACATTGGATGGAGACATAGCGAGCAAGGACGGCCGCGTAGGCAACAAGACGATTAATCGTCGTAATGGTTTATTGATGATGGATGACTTATAAGGTTGTTTCGTTTTCTGTTTCGCGTAGCAAATGGGAAGATCAGAGCAGCGATGTAGTTCGCGCAGCCTTGCCCTGCTACCTTTCCGAGATTTCGACCATGCCGTGCCGGGGGGTTTATAAAAAAGAAACACGACCGCACTCCGATGCCGTTTCTTCATGTACAGAGAACCTTATTCCCGAAATAAACTTCTATCTGAATATAGTAGCCTCTCCAGGAAGGGAGAGAAGGAAAAGAAAGAGAAGAGTCAAACTGGGGCGGTGCGGTGAAAGGAGGGAGGGGTCGCGCCTCCTCCTCCCCCTGCACCCCCGGTCCCGTCGACATCGATACCGAACGGTCTGGAAAACTGAATGACAATGACAATGGTCGGGTCTTCGATTCGCTTGTCCCCTTACAGCGCTCTTCGTACTATTCAAGTACATGGATTGAATTAAACAGTAACGTGGTCCTCCGTGGATTTCCATGTCCCGTTTGCGCTAAGGTAAGGGTGTGTGGAAAGGGAAAGGGAAAATGCCACCACGATCAACTTAGGGCTGAAGGAGCTAGCCAGGCAGCTCTCCTATTTTCCTTAAACGGGAGAGCTGTGCGGAGGATGGATTGATGGAGAATGCAAGAGACATTGATCAATATACGTACTCTGGTACCACCAAAGGCACCAAGTATGAAGTACAACAGTACGGACGGCAGTGTACGCTACGCCACCACCTCATCGTTCGCGAAGTCGTGTGTAGTCGGTACAACTGCGTCGTCTCCTCTTGGCTAGGACTGGAGACTAGGAGGGAAGTGAGAGAGCCCCGACGGCTTGCATATGGGGTTACAGATGAGGGGGTGGTATGATTGGATACGCAACGATTTGCCCTTGGGCCACGGGCCATGGGACATGGGTCTAATCTGGGATTTGGGACGGTGACGGCGAAAAAGCTCAAGATGGGGTGGACGGCCATAGGGGTTAAGGACACGACCCGGCGATCGTGAGGTTTCGGTTATGATTTGGCCTAATATCAGATATAAGATACCCTGAAGTTGTGATGTTGCATCCAGTTAATAGTCTTTTACCGCTAGCCCGGCTACGCTCGGGCGATGATCTCGACGGCTCAACGTCTACACTATTATGTACTTCCGACAACGAAAAAAAGACTCAACTTATTGCTGCAAGGGCGACCGGGGGGGGGGGGGGGGGGGGGGGGGGGACAAGGTTTGTGTCATATTCATTCGTAAGGATAAGGATCCTACAATTGGAGTTCAGGCTTCAAGGTTGGAAAAAGAAGCTAGGGCCAAAAGGCATAGGAACGAGGCTAAGCCGTGCTACGAAGTCTAGAGTTAATGTGCACTACACTACTTGGCCTAGCGAATGGAGAAGAGTGGCTTCGACGCATGGATCATGTACTTTCTTCGTAAAGAGGAGGGGGGGATATCGACTGATTTTGTCTCCAAAGGCAAATCTGGTTGTCATGATATGATAGGTCGGAGCTGAGGGTGTAAAGGGGCAGGTCGGGTAGGCTAGCTGTATCGGTTGGGATGAGGCTGCAGAGACGTGACACAAGGACAGAACTATCGAAAAGAAAATAGAAGAAGGGGAACAGAGGAGAGAGGGGGGCAAAGTTTGCCATGTTGTGATATCTCCTGGGCCCTGAGCAGTTTACCGCCCGCATCAAATTTGGACCCCAACCTCTTCCTCGTTTAGTAGTTTATTAGTAGTTTACATCCTCAGACCATGAGACCTCGAGTCCATCTGCAAGTCCCCGCTCCAGAGTCGATCACTCTTAAACTTGGGCTCTAGTCTCACGAACTAGAGGGATAAGCTATCTAGGGGGTTGAAGCTAGAATGAAGCTATGGTCAAAGAAGGTTAAATCCTGCCGGATGCCCTGCCTCCCGAGCGACGTTTTTTGCCTCCACATACACAAGGTACGCCTCTTGATCTGTTCACGGCAAGAGGACGTGATATCGCAACCTAGATTACGAATAAGAAAAACAAGAGAAAAGAAAAAAAAAAAAAAAAAGGCTCGCCTCTCAAATGAACCAGTGGCAAAGATATTGACAGGGTTCTCAGCGCAGACACCACGCAAGCAGGCAAGCAAAGCAGGTCATCGTGACTGATAACTTCACAGTGCTTGGGCGAGCGAGTCTGGCAGGGATGCGGGACAGGACCAGCAGTAGAGGCAACCAGGACAGGACGAGACTAGTCTTTTGGTCTAGTGGATAGGCTATTGGCAAGCTAGAATGATTGGTCCAGCCTGCAGCAATCACCCCTCGATCTCACCAACTCACCAACGTGCGGGACGGGTGGTTCGCTCACTTCCTCAGATGGTCGGGTTGCCCGAATAGCGGGATGTACCGAGTTGAGAGAGGTGGTCGAGCGCCGTCATACACTCTCTCGGCAAAGGTAAGGTCGCATTGACGATTGACTGATGGAATCTGCAAGAAAACGTTTCCAGGAAGTGGCCCGAATACCTGTTCGTGGTCTGGTCCGGGAGATCATCCTGGAAAAGAGGGGTCGGGGATCGTGCACGAAGTACAAGTAGTGTAATGAGTTTACTTCGTCCTCCATTGATAGCCAGCATCTACGGCCGCAAACCCATTGCCGTAGCCGGGACGCTAGACGACTTAGTGCTGGGCCCGTCATCATCATCATCCATGAGAGAGGGTGGGCGAGTGACACGGCGTATGCTCCGTACTTCGTATGCAGTACGAACATTGAACATTGACATACATGAGTTTGTGCTATCTTAATGATGATATTATTCTGTACATTGTACTCCTTTTTTTTTCCTTGTATCTCTCACCTGTGTCTGAGGTGCTGCGCCCGCGAGGGGAAGCCAATTATGCAGAGCTGAGAGGCCGAGGGCGGTGGCTGGGGCCAGCTGGAACAGATAAGTTTATGCTGGGTATAATGATATGAAGGCAGTAAGTACAATTTATACAACAACAGCACAAGGCAACATTGATGGAACATTACATGATCCCGTCCAGTCAGTCGACCGTGGATATCCATCTCCCCACCTATTGAAGGCTGTGGGGTGCACAAGAACCAGTCAGACGGGAGACTGAATACGCATATATCCCGGAATCGATCCGAAACGTTGGGGGGCGTGCGGCTTTGTCGAGTCCATTGTTTGCGAAGATACGGATACAAAGGAGAGAACATCGAATTGAAGCTAATACAAGTACTGGATATGGGATGCACTGCCCGGATTTTTTTGCCTCTCCAGAATCATCCCATCCCACCCAGAAAGTTAGAGTTGCCAAGACATGCGGGAGATTGTGTCCCACTGCATGCCAAGAACAAGAAACGGGCGAACCCCCCCCCCCAGTAACCCTTCTGTAATCTGGCAACATTTGATACTGTTGGTTCTCGCCCCTGCCCCCTCATTGATCTTGATGGTTGGGTCCGATCAATGGTGCTGTCAGGTGGGCCGGCCTGGCCTGGCCGACCAGTCAGGCGCCAGGCTTCTGTGACACACCGCTACACTAAATGCCCATTCAATCTTCTCTCCACGACCTAAATAAAGTACTTCGTACATAGTGCACGAATTTTTAGGTTTTAACCTCAGGACCCGAGAAGGTACCGACACGCTGGAATTTCCAGCCCTACAGGGTCGCCCAGAAGCTCAAGCCGGCTGAATGTTTGGGTGCACCTTCGAAGTCTGAACCAATGAAATCTTGGCAGCATCATATCCGAGGCGCAGCACATTTGGGCATTTGATGCTCCTGCCATCGTCTCTGATTTCACTCAACAATTCGCAGGCTAATTATCCCGAAAATCGTCGGATGGCATCCCGTTCAGGGTTTAATCCTGTTTCGCCAATCGAGACAGCTCACGGCGACGGAGGTTGATCAATGTCATTCCATCATCACCGGAACCACCGATGCGCGCCGTCCGTTGATTTTACACTTCTTCACGCCATGAAACAAATGCAGAGGCCAAGAGTTTAAGGCAATAGCCATGGATCTTTGCATGGTTGGCTGAAAATTCCCAGACTACTTTGCCGTAAGCGGAGCATGGATGTGGAGGATTGATTTTTGATCTCAACTTTTGGCTCGGGAAATGATACCATAACGAGCAGGTACGGACGTGTCCTTCTCTTGGTAGCAGGGATGTGGGTGTTTTAAAAAACCTCAAGACACTTCATCCTCGACTTGACGGGGTGAAAAACGGACATCTGAAAACGGATCTAGAAGACATTATCGCCAACCCTCTGGGTGTCGTCATCCCGATGCCACTAGGCAGCCGTGAACAATCTGCATCCAGGGGGTCATCTGCCAGAAGGGTGGAGAGCGTATCAGTATCATCCTAGGGTACTTACACCATTGGATCAGCCTCCATGATATCGCCCAACGATCCTATCGAGGTTTACTCTTCGTGTCTCGAACCAACCAAGCGCAAAACTACAATCGCTCCGTCCTCGGAGGTTTGGGCATTGTCTACTCGAGACTTGCCACTTCTCTCCCCACCTCCCACCCCTACTTTGCGTGACGAGAATGACATTGTTCAGAACTTTCGGCACCCCTCTCCCGAAACTTGACAAGTCTCACCCTCCCAAGGCAGGGGAGCCTACAGAAGATGGGGTAAGTGATAGATGGGGTGGAGAGAATCACATCTCCAAGGGGCTGTACGGAGTGATGGCATTCGGGAATCCTAGACGACGCATCGCAAAGAGGACGGACACCCTGTTCGTATCCTTTGTTTGGCATCACGTCATGAGCTGCATCGTGTAGGAATGCCAACGAAGAGTTTATCGCCAACCGTATAGCCACCTTTCCGACGGTCCCCGGTATGCTGACATCAAACAATGGGGGAAGAAAGAAGGGGCGGAAGGAAGGGGGGGGGGGGTTGCTTCATCGAAGGCCCCCATCCCGCTGAACTGCTCCGCTCTTCAAGTGTGAAACCGAGTTACAGCCACAAGGTTCGCGACAAGCTAGCTATCAAGGACTTCAGCTTGGGAGGTGGACCTAGCTCTAAGGTGCTGACGCTCGCAACACAGCCTCCGCTTCTTATCCACGACTCACAGAACTGGGCATATCTTGTTGCGGGGATATCGTCTAATCTCTTGGCATGGGGTCTACCCGTCGCTTCATGAGACAGGCGAAGACTGCGTCGCTTCTCCGGGGTGGCTATGGCGGCCCAAGGGCGGAGCTCGTGTGTTCAAGAAGGAATGCTGTCGATTCTTGGCATTCTACCGATTTCTCCGCGGAACGTTATCCACAAAGCCAAGACTAGCCCTATTTTCCCCCCAAGCCTGTAGAAACCATCCTGTATGAGTCCCAACGTCCCAACGAACCACCGACCGGGGGGCACTGGGGGTAACTTGTTGTGTAGGGTCCAATTCGAACACCACGAAGACGAGGTACGATTTGAGGTGACACACTCGTTCGATCAAGAGAGCTGTGCTCATTGAGCAGCAAGGGTAAATACGGGAAAGTCTGACGTTCTCTTCCCCATATCATCAGAGGTGATAGGCTTAGCAGCTATGAGGTCGTCAGATATCCTGAGGTTTGGTTAGCCCCAGACGACAAGGTTTAAGTTCACACCGGTGGCTGCAGGAACAAGTGAGCATCATATGTTCCATCTAACCGTTTCATCGGGCGTTGGGGAGAAAGCGTAACCATTACCCCGTCTAAGTTTGTCGCATCTACTCGTAGACTCATTGAAAGTTCGTATCTTGCCTCATATCGGACAACACCAGGTTTTCCGCTGAAGAACGAGGCTGGCATCTAAGCCACTCCCGTCACGCGGTCGAGAGAAGCTGGAGGGCTTGCCTTTTCGCCCCGTGCACAGCTCGTGCCTATCTGAACTATGTTTAGATAACCAGACTCAAGCTAAATCTTCCTCTGCTGGCCTATCGCGAATGGAAGAATGGTGGCATGTCACTAACCGTGATCCAAAAATATCCGTCTTCATGATGGTTGGATGGTGCATCTCCAACATGCGGTGGACAACTGCGGCGCTGCCCCAACGCGGCGTCTAGCTCTCCACGCTGCAGGACTCTCGGCAGCGCTAAAAGGTGCAGGACTTGCATGTCAAGGGCGAGTTGGGTTGGCGATGCGAAACTAGAAATAGGATGGGCGGGATTAAAAATAGCATCACTGAGTTTCATGTTTGAAGCTCTTCCTTCTTTGGACGGGTCTGGTTGTCCTTGGGCGCAGGATCCCCAAGCAGCACGTCAGTTATTCCCCCGACCATCCAAAAAGAAGGTGGTTGCGTCGGTCGCTGAATGGATGAATCAATTCTCCCTTCCACTCGGACACACTGACCTGTTCATGGGAAGCACTTGGGCCCCCCAGGCGGCTGTCATTCTCATGGGATTTGCAAGACAGCTAATTCTCGCTCTTCTTGTTCTTCTTTTTCGCTTTGTTTTCTTTTTCTATTTTTTTTTCTATCGATTTCTTTATTTATTTTTATTTTTATTTTTTTATTTTTATTTTTATTTTTATTTTTTTGCCTTCTTTCTTCTTAGGCTTGAGCTAAGCTTGAGTTATCTTCCAGCTCAGAACAATTCTCTATTGCGTGCTCGTTTCTGAAGATTCCATGTCCAGTCTGAAACTTCCACGTTCATTCCAATGAAAAGAACAAACTGGGAAGGTGCAAGTGTAAGAGCCAAGCGGACTCTTCAATCATGGGACAAAGACACGAACCAACAGGATCCAGTAGCTTCCCACGTTGGCTGGCCAGGCTCGTCCCCTCTTGTCATTTTAAGCGCCGCGCCCAGTGCTTCAGAGTTGTCGCGGGACGACAGCTTACCGAACACCGCCACTCAAAGCATCACTCCAGCAATTCCGGGTGCCATCCCCTCCGGACGTGACCCTATGAATCACTGGCCGTATCAGGAGCATCTGGAGAACTTTGGGGAACTCTAGACGAATCACAGACCACCATGCCATCCCCTTTTCTCACTGAAAGACAGTGGAAGTGCTAGGCTCCCAGTCCCTTAAAACGCTGGTTAAGGTTTCCGTGCGTCAAAGTGTTTCACACAAGGCCCACATTTCGGCCCCGGGATCCGACCCCGGCGCTAAGGCCTTCTTTCGTGACCCTATCGAGAGTCCGATTTTCTTGCGCCGCATCGGCTTCTCAAACAAAGGCTCGCCGGTTTGCGTAAACTGGGAGGCCCAGAACTATGGATAAATCCTCGCTTGGGATTTTTGGTTGATGATCTGAACGGGAGATCGTCTGCAGGCTCGAAAAGAATGAAGGGGTGACGAAAATAGAATAAAAGCAACAAAGATCCATTGGGGATCGATATGTCATGGCGGAGGAGCCTGGCAAGGTCTGGGCCAGGGATTGGCTGCTCGTAGATTTCATGAAACGAAACGACACGGAGACTGGTGCATCGCGATGGCGTAAAGAAGGCCTCCCAGTCCTTCATTTAAGATTTAAGGTGATGCAGGCTTGGGTGTCCGGGGCTAGAATGGACAGGGCCGCGTGGAGGGTGATGATATAAAGAACGGTGGTTTGTCTTTTTGTCCGTCCCCTTCGATGCCGATTCATCAACATTCCCAAGACGACCGACTTGCAAATTCTTCACCACTCTCTGTATTCTAGTAATCATCGTCTTGTTGGGTACTTAATTCCCAAGAAACCCTTCGATTCCGATCGGCGCAAAGCACAGAATTACTTTCCCCTCTCCCAAAACAATCCGAAACGTGAAACAGCCCCATCGATCACCATGAAGATCACACAGCACCTTGCTATCGCCGGTGTCCTTGCTGCCACCGGCGCCAACGCGGCCACTCACATCGTCAAGGCAGTCGCGAAACCATCATTTGCCTTCCAACCCAACACCGTCAACGCCAAAGTTGGAGATTATATCGAGTTCCACTTTGGTCCTGCGAACCACAGCGTCGCCCAGGGAACCTTTCACAAAGCCTGTCAGCCCTCCAGTCAGGACGGCTTCTTCTCTGGCTACCTCCCCGTCGCTGAGGGTGAGAATGTAAGTTGTTTCGATTAGCCCTCTTTTTCATTTTCTAAAAGTCCAGCGACGCTAATGTGATGATTAGGAGAAAGTATTCAAGATCCTGGTTGAGAACGACTCCCCATTCGTCTTCTACTGCACACAAGTAGGTTCCCTCCCTTGAGTTTACAGAGATCCAACAAAGCATGATAATACTAACAAACCTCTGCGCACAGGGCCAGCATTGCGCATCCGGCATGTACGGCGTAGTCAACCCTAATATGCATGGATCCCTTGAAACCTACAAGAGCCTCGTCTCAGCCCTCGAAGACAAGAAGGGCAAGGAGCCGCAGAGGGCCGCTCCGTTTGGCGGCGCCCTCATTGACAACCCGAGCCTCTCCAACACCAACACCAACACCGATGACTCTAGCACGGAGATTAATACGGCAACTAGTCGGGGTCAAAGTCAAACAGCATCGGCTACCTCAGCGACTCTCACCCGTGCCGCGAGTACTACTTTCATTCCCATCAATGGGGGACAGGGACAGGCCACGGGGGCGGTCACGAACCCGTCCGCGACCAGCATTCCTCAGGCCGCCGGCGGGAAGGTCCGAACGCCGGTGGGCATCCTGCTCGGAGCTGTCGGGCTCGCAATGCTCGGGATCTGATTGGCCTTTCCATTTTGCTTTGTAATGTTGCAATGATTTCCTATCTACCGAATAGGATTGCGGTGGCAGATGTATGATTCGGGGTTAGACGGGATGGAGTGGGATGGGATCTGGGGTTACGGGGTATTCCCGGATTAGATTTGGCGGGGTGAAAACAGGGTGCACCGCACCGGGAAATGTCGATGATTGGCAGAAGCATCACCAGCATGGCGTTCATAGGGCTTTTTTCTTTTTAGTTCTCTTATTCCCCCCGCGGCGAACCTCCGCGTTTCTTTCATCAGGGTCCAGGTCAATGTGTACAATATTAATCTCAATGCCCGCTATTGATCCCTCAAACCTTATCAAAAATGAAGAACCGGGCCTCTGGGTTCTTCTGCCGTGCTTGTGGCAGCGGAGGACTCGGCAAAAGCTCGGGGAATCCGATGACCTCGGCTTTGACAAACTGAATCCAGCCAACGGGACACGGCGAAAAGCGTCAATTTTTTTTTTTTTGCCTTAGACCAGGAACGTTTCTCTTATTAAGACATTAGACTTCCCGAACTTCCTCTTTCCACTTGCCATGTGACGCCATCGCAGAAACAGATTTTTGGGGGTCCAAGATTTGAGCTTTAGTCCCGGGAGGCAAGAGGACCTTTCCATGGAGAAAATCCAAAACCAACTGCCACAAGATATCCCTCTACCTGGGGTAGTCCCTTGAATCTCTCATGTCATTCTTATAGACTCCTTCAGCCTGTGTTATTTCTATTATGCCCTATCTGTTGAAGAACTTCGCTCTGGGTTGTAACTCCAATTCAGTCGTCCAATAATATTTTTTGACCAATTGTCGCAAACACCTCTTCATCGACCGGCGAGAGAAAAGAGAGAGAAGAAGAGTTACCAGAGTATAATCTCAACCGACCTGGAAAGATGCGTAGAAGCCTTTCCCCCCTCGTGCGACTCCCCGCGAACGCTGCGAGACACCGGGCTCTCACCGGACGAGAGCTTCGACAGGGACTCTGCACACTACCAGCGCGGACACACCCCGCGCTCGCCTCTCGGGGTCGGATAAGCCCGATACCCCAAACTCCTGCACACAATAGGACTTGTGTTAGGCAAACAAGCAGTGCCGCTACGGCCACGGTTCAGAATGGTAGGAAACACATCATGACCATGGATGTGACCCCGCGACGCGACGCGGGGGGGGGGGGCTAACAAATCAGAGAAAAAAGGATCTTACTAACAATCTACAGTGAACAATGATGACATAGGACCAATTCAAGAATATGAAGCGAGAGTTGCCCAGGGTACGCTTCGAAATGATGACCATCAGCGAGGTAAGTCGTCGCGTAACCGCCCCTCGTGCCTGTTTGTGTGGGAGCGTCTGCTAATGCGATAAACCAACCAGGTATAATACAAAGTTTGCAACACCTCCACGACGAACTCGTGAACTATACCGCGCCGGAAGTCCAACGTCCGACTATCGAGTCTCTCAAGCCTGCGAAATCCTTCTTTGGTGGTCTCTTCAAGAGCGGGCCGGGCCAGGCCGCTATCGGTGCCATCCCCGCCAACCTACCCCGCGGCTTATACCTATACGGAGATGTAGGCAGCGGGAAGACCATGCTTATGGACCTGTTCTATGACACGCTGCCGAGTTCGATCGGGTCGAAAACGCGGATTCACTTTCACAATTTTATGCAGGATGTCCACAGGAGATCACACAAGTTAAAGTCGCAGCATGGAATCGACATTGACACTATCCCCTTTATTGCTGCTGATATTGCGCAGCAGGGGAGTGTGCTCTGCTTTGATGAGTTCCAATGCACTGATGTTGCAGATGCTATGATTTTGAGAAGGTATGTTTCTTTGAGGGCCTCCCTCCTCCCATCCACTCATTTTCCCTCACTGACTTGTTGACACATAGACTTCTTGAGGCCCTGATGTCTCATGGTGTGGTTTTAGTCACAACCTCAAACCGACACCCCGATGAGCTTTACAAGAACGGAATTCAGCGTGAATCATTCATCCCTGCCATCAATCTCCTCAAAAATCGCCTCCATGTAATAAACCTCGATTCGACCACGGATTACCGCAAGATTCCCCGCCCACCCTCCGGCGTCTACCACACCCCGCTCGACGCCCACGCCGCATCCCACGCCGAAAAGTGGTTCCGCTTCCTAGGCGACCCTGAATCGCCCGAGCCGCACCCAGAAGTGCAGACAGTATGGGGACGAAAGATTTACATCCCCCGTGTCAGCGGAACCTGCGCGTGGTTCACCTTTGACGAGCTGATAAGACAGCCGACGTCGGCGGCCGATTACCTCGAACTTATGCGCAGCTACGACGCCTTTATCGTTACCGACGTGCCGGGCATGACTTTCAAGGAGCGGGACCTGGCGCGGCGATTCATCACTTTTATTGACGCCGTGTACGAGAGGCAGGCCAAGCTCGTCCTGACCACCGAGAAGCCCCTGACGGAACTTTTCGTGTCGCGTGACGAGCTGGCGGCGTCGCTCAAGGACGAGGGGAACGGCCAGCGCGAGAGCGCGGATTCGATGATTGGCCACTTTATCGAGGACCTAGGGCACAACGTCGAGCAGTTGAAGAATTCTCCGCTGTTTACGGGTGAGGAGGAGGCTTTTGCTTTTGCTCGTGCGCTGTCCCGACTTAGTGAGATGGGGAGTAGGCAGTGGGTTGAGAGGGGTATGGGTCTTGAGAGTCAAGGTGGTAAGAAGGAGAGGGATGACTGGACTAAGATGCGAAGCCGACGCATGGAGGATAGTATGTGAGTGAATATTTTTTAAGGCTCGGGGGATGAAAAAAGAAACGGGGGCGTGGAAAGAAAGGAGAGCATTGACGATTGCCGCATCACCAGCATGCATAGCGGCTGGGCAAGTCATGATTGCATTTCAGATCGTTCTTTGCCTGGTTTCCAGCAGTTACCTTGTCATCTTTGGGGCAAGGGGCTGGATCGGGTTTACATGGGTCTCATGTGTTGGTCATTGCATCTTTCTCTGTATGGCATTGCCTTGGCGAGGTGCTCCCATCCGCGTAGAGAGAGCACGACTATTGTTTCATCGAGCGTTTGAATTTAAGACGGCCGCCCGAATTCTTCGAGCCTGCATTTGGTGTTATGAAAACCACATCCCTTGCCGAAGGTCTGCACACTTTCGTGGCACCACCCGGGCGTTGAGACCGAGAGGCATAACTCGGGAGATACTGCAGTACGACAGCGGTTCGCCGGATCATCGGTTCCGGCGTGACACGCATCTCCGTTTCTGGTTTTCTTCTGCCTGCCGATAGGTCGTTCATCTTGTACAGACACATGAGAAAGGAGATCATTACTGTTTAGCGACGCAGGAACGAAGTACTTCGTACTGAATCCTCCTGGTGTAATGTTTCTGGTAAATACAACAGAAGCATTTGGTAGAATGACCCTCGCACAACCTCGCTTGTTTTGTTGGCTCTGGCAAGTAGGGACTCGAAAACTTGCATCGGGCGCTAATTGTAGCACCAAGTCGACGTTGAATGATGTCTCTAGGAGCCAGGCGACGATTTGTTCAAAGTCCTCCTGCACAACGAAGTACAGTCCTCGTTGAGGTCGTTGGCGACTGGCCAACAGGACCAAATGACGACATTGCAACAGGGGAAGGTGGCAATTGGGGAAACATCCATGTGATCTATTGCTTGGTGGATCGGGTGGATCTGGAGGGCGCAGTCGTTGATTGGTCGATAAGCTAAATGATAGGCTGTGAGTCAAGTGGAAGAAACGGATCCCCACAGCTGTTGCAGGCACCATTGCAGGGGCAGGAACTGTAAACAGTTGGGGCAAACAGTGGGTGTTGAGTGCCGAGCCGCTCCGAGTGAACGCTAACGTAATGGGAGCTCAGCACTGAAGCCTGGGCTCATTGAGCAACCGTCAATTGCGTGTACTTGAAACACCACACAGCTTCGCTTCAATCAAGTTGCTCTTCTTCTTCCCATCTCCCACCTTGGACCTTTTCCCTACATTAACATCATCTCTCGCCCGGCCCTCTCCTATCTTGCTCTCTTCCCAACTGCATACTCCCATCTATTACCATCCTCGCTTTAAATTGCCGCCATGAAGTTCTCCACCGTTGCCGCCCTGGCGGCGGCCATCCCCGCTGTGACTGCCCGCTTCACGGAGCCGGACGAGGTCAACCATGTTATGCTCTACCCTGAAGCCACCGAGGCGGAGACCTATCTCATCGAGCTGAGCCCGGGCAAGACCAAGCGAGTAACGGAGGAAGAGAAGTGGGAGTTGCGCCGAGTGAGTAATCCATCCTGATCCGCTCCCATGCCCGACTGCCATGCCTATGGTGGTCGCTGTTTCGCCAGCTACTAACAGACGCTACCCCCAATTCCTTAGAGTGGACAACGTTTCATGGACATTTCCGATACCCAAGACCTCGGCGCACGCAACCTCCGTGCTCGATCCACGGTCCAATTCCCCAAGAAGACGAAAAAGCAGGCTTCCGTCACTCCCCTCCTCAAGCACCTCTCCAAGGACGAGATGAAGGGCAACCTCGAGAAGCTCACGAGCTTCCATACACGATACTACAAGTCCGATTACGGTCGACAGTCGTCGGAGTGGCTCTTCTCGCGCATCAAGGACATCATTTCCGAGGCTGGTGCCGACGAGACTGTCTCCGCTCACACGTTCAAGCACTCGTGGCCTCAGACGTCTGCCATCGTCACGATCCCCGGCCAGACCAACAGCACCATCGTCATTGGCGCGCATCAGGACAGTTTGAACCTTTGGCTTCCTAGCGTTCTTCCGGCCCCGGGCGCTGACGACGACGGAAGCGGAACGGTTACTATCCTCGAGGTTCTGAGGACGCTTCTCAAGGACAAGGATGTCGTAGCTGGCAAGGCGCAGAATACCATTGAGTTCCACTGGTACAGCGCTGAGGAAGGCGGTCTGCTTGGTAGCCAGGCTATCTTCTCCGAGTATGAGAAGGAGGGCAGGGACGTCAAGGCCATGCTTCAGCAAGACATGACGGGCTACGTCCAGAAGACGATTGACGCCGGCCAGCCGGAGAGTGTCGGTGTCATCACCGATTATGTCGATCCTGGTCTTACCAAGTTCATTAAGACTGTTATTGAGGAGGTAAGCATCTTCACATCACACCGCACCCGAACATGAAATCTCGACTCTGACTGACACGGCGCCCCTTTCAACAGTACTGTGAAATTGGCTACGTCGAGACTAAGTGCGGCTACGCCTGCTCCGACCACGCGTCGGCCTCCAAGGCCGGCTATCCCTCTGCCTTTGTCATCGAGTCTTCGTTTGACCTCTCGAGCCCCCACATTCACTCGACGGCCGATGTCATCAGCACGCTATCGTTCGACCACATGCTCCAACATGCTCGCATGACGCTTGGTCTCGTCTACGAGTTGGGCTTCAACGATTTTGGCTCCTCGGGGAAGGTTGGCGATGGCGAGCTTTGAACAAGGATATCTAGAGTATAGGATTGTTGATGTGTGCCTCTTGTGCTGATGACGCGAGGATGGGGATCTCTTGGGGCGCTTTTGGGACGGAACAGAACACGGGAGTCTTTCTATCGGATTTTATCATTCCTTATTTCTCTACTGGTCTGTTAGCGGTTGACATATAGTTTTCTTGCATTAAGGACATGGCCGAGCTACTTTTTTTCCCGGGTATTCTTCAATGGATTGTTAAGACTGGTTTCGCAGTATCATCTTCTCCAGAGTTCAAACGACTTTTGTTGTATTAGGATTGTTTATCGATTGCGTCTCGTCTCTAATGATGTAGTAGACATGTCTAGTATAGCCTGCGGATGCTCTAATCGTAGCTCTCTCCATCACCTCCCTCAATCATTGATACTTTTACGGGCTCAACCTCTGCAAGGTCCACTTCGCGTCCTTGACTCCCTTCTTGCCGTCCTCAACGGGACCGCCCTCCCGCTCGTAGACAAAGCGATCGTGGAGCCGGTTCTTCCTCCCCTGCCAAAACTCAATCCGATCCGGCACGATCCTCAGCCCGCCCCAGAAATCAGGAATGGGGATCTTCTCCTGCCCTTCGAACCTCTGCTCCACATTCTCAACCCACTCCTCCAACCTTGCCCTGCCATCATCCTCGACGACATCACCATCCTCCTGTTTGCCTTGTTCCTCCCCGCCCTCCTTCTTCACGCCATTCGCCTGCCCATTCGTCTCCCCCTTCGGCCTCAACACAACACTCTGCTTACTCGCCCAAGCCCCAATCCGACTCCCCCTCTCCCTCGTATCATAATACTCCTGACTCTCCAACGGCGTCATCCGCTCCGCAACCCCCTCCACCCTCACCTGCCTCTGCAGCGGCTCCCACCAAAACACCAGACTCGCCGAGGGGTTCGTCTCGAGGTCCTCGGCCTTGCGCGACGTGCCGAAGTTGGAGTATATCACGAAGGAGCCCGCGCCGTCGAGCTCCTTGAGGTAGACGAGGCGCGAGGATACACGGCCCGAGGGGAGGGAGGCCGTCGAGAGGACGCAGGTCTGCGGGGCGGGCAGGCCGGCGGCGCGGGCTTGGGTGTACCAGGCGTGGAATTGGGGGATGGGAGATGTTGGGTTGAGGTCGGCGCGGTGGAGGGTGCCGAGGGTGAATTGGGGGGCTTTGCCTTCGGAGGGTCCGACTGTTTTTGACGATGAGCTCTGTTAGCCTGGTGGTCTTCTCCGGGTCTCTCTCTCTCTCTCCTCTTTCACTGCGATATTCTTTTTCTCTGAATTTTTGGTTTATTTTATTTTTGCTTGGAAGGTAAAAAAACGTACAGATGAGCTTTTCGTCTTGGAGCGGATGCAGTGCCATTCTCGTGGTACAGGCGACGTCGATGCGGGGTACAATTCTCTGGATCATCCACTGAATTCAAGGAAGGAAGATTGAAAAACGGGATTGAGGAATTAATTCTAGAAATACTAAATAGGAAGTAGAAGTAAACTTTGAGGCTAAGGCACGAATAATTGGAACAAGATTTTTTAAGATTCGGATGAGGCGAGAAAGAGGCTTGATATATACACAGTGGGATCACGACAGGAGAGGGACGGGAAGAGAGGGGCACCAAATCACTGGGAGAGGTTTCTAAGGGGAACGGAACGAGGCACGAGGAACGAGAAACGTTCGAGGCGGGAACTTGGGGAGACTAATGCCGCGAGGAGTTTAGCAGTGGAGTGATGGCGAAGAATCCAGAAGGTCGGCATGTCGGAATCGAGCGATATGGGCGGGTTTTATTTTTAGTTTTGTCGCCGAGAAAATATTCACGCAGCGTGACATGTTTGAAGTCTTCCGAGTTTGGTCGGGTCTAGAAGCCAGAAGCCAGAATCCAGATGCGGTGAGATTCAAATCGAGCAATCAATCAATTGATCATTCTGACACCGCTATTCTTGTCTATCGAATTCGAGAATGAGAGCAAACAAGCCAAGCAACAGCCAAGCAACTGAATGGACACACAGAAGACATACTCATCAAACTAACGATACAATGAATATACACATAATCTATACATACAAATCGTGGTATCATACATAACTAGACTGAATCGACGAAATCGACGGTGAAAAGAAAATGAAATAACGCCTCCCCCCCAAACGCCAATTCATACAAATACAGAGCAGGTGGCGCTCATGTTTTTAAGGTCTAATACGCACTGGCAAGTCCCAACCCGGGGCCCCTTAACCACTCTACCGCTCTCCGGCTTTTGAACAATGTATGCAGGTTCCAGAGACTAGACGTGAAAGATAAACCATTCCAAAAATAACAATCCATGACTTTTTCGGTTTCGGCTTTTCTCGGTAAATGGTAGTAGAATGTGAAGATGCAGAAAGAAAGGAAATAAGAAAAAAGAAAGCAAAACAGGCGGAAAATGACAAATTCTGATAGTCTCTCAGTTGGCGTCCAATCTGTTGCAACAGTCCTCCTCCCCTCGAGCTTGTCCCCCCCTTTGGTCCGTCATCCATATGCCTGAGCATGAGCACCGCCCGACTGGTAAAAGTGTCCCATCCACTCGCTTCAAGGACCCATCACCAGCGCCAGCAGAGCCATGCGGCAGTACAGACCATATCGCATCTGTAGTCATGTTAGCAAACCCCTCACACGCCTAGCCATCTAACTAAGGGAAGGCTCCTCAAGCCAAGAGCGACAGATGGCCGTCGTCTTTCCCGAAAGGAGAGCCAAAAAGATTAAAAAAAAAAACACCCTTACCTGTCTAAAGTACGCCGCCCTCTGCTGATCGAAGTCAACCTCTTCCGCAACTTCTTCGTTCCTTGGCAGGGGATGCATGACGACCGTCTCCGGCTTCGTGTACTTGAGAGTAGCGTTGTCGATGCGGTACGATCCCTTGACCTTCTCGTAGTCCTGCTCCGACGGAAACCTCTCCTTTTGGATGCGTGTGCAGTAGAGAACATCGCTGTCCGCAAGGATTTCCTTCGTCAGAACCTCCGACTCGCGTAGCAGGCGCCCCTCGGCGATGAGCTGGTCGCGAAGCTCGGCGGGGAGCGCCAGTCTTCGAGGAGCCACCAACTGGATCCTAACCTGGTAGTGACGGAGGAGGTACACAAGCGAGTGCACCGTGCGTCCGTAGAGGAGATCACCGACGAAAGTAATCGTCAGGCCCTCGACCGTGCCCCTCTCCTCGCGAATCGTGAACAGATCGAGGAATGCCTGCGTCGGGTGTTCCTTGCTTCCGTTACCTCCGTTAATCACAGGCACCGACGAGTACTTTTGCGCCGTGTTCACGCTGGACTCGTCGGGATGGCGCAAGACAATGGCATCGCCGTAGCAACCTAGTGTCCTCAGCGTGTCCTGCAAAGTCTCTCCCTTGTTAACTGATGACTGGGAAGTCGCAACTGCAATCGTTCGTCCGCCGAGTCGCTGCATGGCCGCGTCGAACGAGGACGACGTTCGTGTAGACGGCTCGTAGAATAACGTGACCAAGACGCGGCTCTTAAGAACGTTCAAAACGCCTTCGCGCTGAACCCCGAGTCGCATCTCCTGTGCTACGGTGAAGAGCAAGTGCAGATCAGCTCGCGTGTATTGCTTCACCGAGAGGACATGCGATCGCTTGAACGGAGACGGCTGCGAGATCAGATCCAAGATCGCAGCCGCTTGGTGTCCTTGCACTTGCAGCTGGCCTGGCAAGACGGGGGCGGGTGCCTCTTCGAAGGGCGACGGCCTAAGCGCAGGTGACAATCCAGCACCCATACCTTCCAGCATCTTTGGCCGCGCGAACGGCCGCTGACCGGGGGAAAGGAACGACGCCCGACGTCCGGCAAGGTCCAGGGGAGACTCGAAAGGCTGTAGTGGCTTCATCGGCGGCGACATAGGCAGAGGCAGAGGCAGGACAGTGTGCGACGGGGGTATGTGAGAGGACACATCCTGGCCCAGCGGTCGGCCATCCAGAAGCTCACCGTCCATGCAGATAGTCTTGCCCATGAAAGTCACTCGCTGGACGCATCCCTTGAGAGTCCGCCCGGCGAAAGGTGTCCAACTAACACCCTCGGTCGTGACCTGGAATGGTCGGTCAACCTCCACTTCGATTGATGATCCGGGCTGGTCGTGTAGCTCAAAGATCTCAACCGGGTTGTCGTAGAGCCTCGTCTTGACATCGTCGAGAGTGAGTTGTCCATCCGCAACGGATGTCAGCAGCAGAGACAGACTCTCGGCGATACCAACAGAAGCATCGGGCTTGTAGCCACGCGACGCCGCTAGCTGGTATGGGAGGCTTCCGATGGCAAAGACGTCAATGGTGTCGAGATGCTCCCACAGAGCTCGCTGATCTTCTGCGGTGGGCAGTTTCTCGTAGCCAGGGAAGTCATCCTGGGACAGGTAGAGCGCGTAGATCGAAACATCGCAGGTGACCTTCAGGCCCTTGTTCTTGCTGAGCGCGATGAGACGGATGTCCTCCTTCGTGGTAACCGAGGACACGTGGATGCGTCGGTCGTGGAGGCTGGCCAGAAGAAGGACCGAAGCCAGGTCGGTGAGCTTGGCGTCCGTAATAATAGGCTTCAGCTGAGGCCACGACTCGAAATGCGCCGTCACAGTAGCAACCTTGCTAATGTTGCAAGAGAGATGGTTGAAAGGGATGAACAGAGATCCCACTTCTCCTGTAACTTGGCTGATCTGCTCCGCATTGTCGCTGGTTGCGGCAACGGAGAAATTGAAGTCGCAGTAACCTCCGGCCTTGGAGTTCTGCTGGGCAACCTTCAAGGACAGCGCGTCCGTAATCGAGCCTTCCAAGCCGAGAGGCATGACACGGAGCATGCTGAAGCCGGCGAGGACAGACGCCTTGGTGATGGTCTTGAGGTCGTCGTTGCCGGGAGACACAAGTCCAGGTACGAAGGCGGCGACATTGACCAACCCTGGGAAGACCACCGTCTTGTGGCTGGTCTGGAAGTCTCGCTTGCAGATTTCAAGGTCAAATTGACGTGCAATGGCTTCGATGAGGATCTTGGCATTCTTCACGTTGGTGACCAGCGGAATCTGGTAGTCAACGGCCATTCGTCGGGTCTGGTATCCCTTGCTCATGTAGCTAGCCGGGCGTCGGTAGCGGTTGTTAGAAGGAAGGTTGATGTACAAGTCAATCATGTTGTTGGCCAGGTGCTGGGTCAGAGAGAACTCCGACTTTTGGCCCTCGAGATCCTTTTCAAGAACCTCGAGGTATTGGACTGGGATTCCGTGCTCCTGGAGGAAGTCTGCCGTTCCGGCAGTGGCGAAGAGCTTATAGCCAAGTCGTTGAAGCTTCTGCACCGAGGGGAGCATTTCCTTCTTGTCCTTGTAAGATCCGATAGAGAGCAAAATGTTCTCTTTGGGGATCTTGAAGCCCGTCGAGATCAACGCCTTGAGGTACGCCTCATACTTGTCGACGCCGAAGCACGCAACTTCTCCAGTAGACGCCATCTCGACACCGAGCACAGGGTCGGCACCGGAAAGGCGGGAGAAACTGAACTGAGGCACCTTCACACCAACGCAGTCAGGGGGCAAGTCACTGGGTGGGTTCTCGATGAATGGCTGCCCCATGATAGCCTTGGTCGCAATCTCGATAAGGTCGACGCCCATGACCTTTGAGACAAAGGGGAAGGATCGCGAGGCACGGACATTGCATTCGATAACTTTAATATCGTTGTCCTTAGCGATAAACTGAATGTTGAAGGGGCCGGTGACGTTGAGGTTCTCTGCGATCTTTTCAGTTGCTTCAACAATGCGATCAATGGTGGTTTGCTCGAGATCCTGGGGCGGCAAGATCAAAGTAGCATCTCCAGAGTGCACACCAGCATTCTCCACATGCTCCGAGATGTACTTGCAAACAACCTTGCCGTCCTTGGCGACGGCGTCCATCTCAATCTCTTTGGCATTCTCGATGTACTTGGTGATGACGACTGGATGCTCGCGAGACACCTCCGCGGCCTGGGCGAGGTAGTTCTCGAGATCCTTTTCGGAGTATACAGTGTTCATCGCTGCACCCGAAAGCACGTACGACGGCCGGACCAGGACAGGGTAGCTGACTTTCTCGCAGAAAGACCTAGCCTCCTCGAAGCTAGTGAGTTCCTTCCAGGTGGGTTGGTCCACGCCGATGCGGTCAAGCATACGCGAGAACTTGTACCTATTCTCAGCGGAGTCGATCATCTCGGGCGAAGTGCCAAGAACGTGAACGCCGGCGCGGAGGAGGGGGAGGGCAATGTTGTTTGGAGTCTGGCCACCCATGGCTCCAAGAACACCACTGGCACTCTCCAGCTGGTAGATGTCGAGAACAGTCTCCAGATTGATGTTCTCGAAGTAGAGTTTATCGGCCTCATCGTAATCAGTGCTAACCGTCTCTGGGTTGTAGTTAACCATAACGGTCTTGTAGCCCAGGTCTCGGAGGGTGCGAATGGCGCGAACAGAGCACCAGTCGAACTCAACGGAAGAACCGATACGGTAAACGCCAGAACCAAGGACCATGACGCCTTGATCATCGAAGTCGACATCGCTTTCCGATGCGTTGTACGTTAGGTAGAGGTAGTTAGTGAAGGCAGGGAACTCGGCGGCGACGGTATCGATCTGCTTCACGAAAGGTGCAATGCCGGATTCTTGCCTCAGCCTTCGAATGGCAATCTCGTTGGAGTTCCAGAACTTGGCTAGCTGCCTGTCACTGAAGCCAAGCCTCTTGGCCTCGAGAAGAATTGCGGGGGACTTGATAATATCGCTGGTAGTGTACTTCTCCATGGCCTTTTCGAAGTTGGAAAGACGCTTTAGCTTATGCAAGAACCACTTGTCGATGCGAGTAAGACTCCAGATTTTCTCAACAGAGTAGCCAGCATACATGGCATTGGCGATGGCGAATAGACGCTGATCTGAAGGTGTTTGGAGCTCATCATCAATCGAGATGAGGGCCTTCGTGCTGCCGAAGCCTAGGTTGTGGAAGTCGATAGAGCGGATAGCCTTCTGGATCGCTTCCTCGAAAGTCCTGCCAATGCTCATGACCTCACCAACGCTCTTCATCGACGATCCGAGCTGAGTCGAAACTCGAGTAAACTTCTTCAAATCCCAGCGAGGCATCTTCACAACGACGTAATCAAGAGATGGCTCGAAGCATGCGCAGGTCGACCTCGTAACGGAGTTGGAGATCTCCTTGAGGGGAATTCCAAGACCGAGCTTAGCAGCAATAAAGGCCAAGGGATAGCCAGTGGCCTTGGAGGCGAGGGCAGAAGACCTGGAAAGGCGCGCGTTGACCTCGATGATGCAGTATTCCCTGGAGTCAGGGTTGAGAGCATACTGGATGTTGCACTCTCCCACCACGCCAAGATGGCGGATAACGTTAACGGCAGTGGTTCGCAGCATGTTGTAATCTTCATCGGAGAGAGTTTGAGATGGTGCAACAACGATTGAATCGCCAGTGTGAATACCCAGGGGATCAAAGTTCTCCATGTTGCAGACAGTAATGCAGTTGTCTTCGGCGTCTCGGACAACTTCATACTCGATCTCCTTCCAACCCTTCATGCTTCGCTCGATAAGGACCTGCGGACTGGCGGCGAGCGCCTTGTTGCACAGATCAAGCAGTTCCTCTTCGTTGTTAGCGAAGCCACTACCCAGACCACCCAAGGCGTAGGCAGCGCGGACGATGACCGGAAAGCCAATTTCGTTGACGACCCTCATGGCCTCCTCGACGCTGCTTGCTGACGCCGATTTGGCGCACTTTTCGTTGATCGAGTCCATGCTCCGGGCGAAGAGTTCTCGATCTTCGGTCGTGATGATGGTGTCGATGGGGGTTCCTAGAACCTTGACTCCAAGCTTTTCGAACTCATCCTTCAACTGGATACCAACACTGAGTGCAGTCTGACCACCAAAGGTGACATAGATGGCATCCGGACGTTCGTAGAGGATGACTTTGCGAACGAAATCAGCATTGACAGGAAGGAAATAGACCTTGTCGGCGAGGCCCTGGGATGTTTGGATGGTGGCAATGTTGGGGTTGATCAGAACGGTATAAATCCCCTCCTCTTTAAGAGCCTTGATGGCCTGACTGCCAGAGTAGTCGAATTCACCAGCTTGACCGATGCTCAGACCACCACTTCCGAGAATCAGGACCTTCTTGACATCTACGCGTGGGTTCCGCTTGGGCGGGTTTCCGCTGAAGAAGTTTTCGGCAACCTCTTCATCGGCAAACTTGACAGGTTTCTGAAGATTGGTGGGATCCTCCGCGCACTTGCTCATGGTATCTAGGAAGATGTCGAAAAGATGTTCGGTATCTCGGGGACCGGGAGTGCTCTCCGGGTGGAATTGGACACTGAAATAAGGTCGGTTGATGCACAAGATACCCTCGTTGCTACCGTCATTGGCGTTTATAAACAATTCCTTCCAAGTTGGGGACAGGGTGGTCGCATCGACAGCATATCCGTGGTTTTGAGACGTAATGTAGCACCGACCGGTGATCATGTTGGTGCAGGGGATATTGGCACCGCGGTTGCCAAACTTCATCTTGATGGTGTCGGCGCCGCTAGCTCTGGCTAGGATTTCGTGGCCGAGACAGATGCCGAAGATGGGCACCCTGTTACGTTCCATAACCTTGGTGACATTCTGCACGGTGGCGTCGAGAAGAGCGGGATCACCAGGACCGTTCGAGATGAAAAGACCATCGAATTCATCCCCGACCTCTTGTGCGACATCGTAGTCCCACGGGCAGACGAGAACCTCAACACCACGTCTTAGGAGGCATCGTAGCTGGTTGTATTTCATACCAACATCAAGGCACACCACTCGGAGGTTTCGGCCAGAGGGGTGCTTTCGTGCAACGGCGGGGCTGGGCTTGTACAGTTTAGGGGTCCTGATCGACACTGCGCAAATAGTTAGCCTTGTTTGATCATGCCATGATACGAAAGTCTAGGGCATAGTCGGAGCGTACCCTCGGCCACGATATTTGTCTCGAAGGGCTTCACCCAGTCAACTTCCTCAAAGTTGTCCAGGGCAAGTGGCAAAATGCGACCGCTAGTTTCCCCATTGGCGGTGCCATTGACCAGGCTCTTCTTTTGGAATCGCATGCGTCCGAGAAGCGCTCCCTTGTTGCGGATTCTCTTCGTCAATGCCCTAGTGTCAACACCATACATAGCAGGAACACCCTCTTCCTTAAGCCACGTTCCGAGTGAGGATTCGGCCAGGAAATGCGAGTAGTCCTCGCCAGAGTACGACGCCGTGACCAAGCCGGCAATGTGAATGCGAGAAGACTCGATGTAGGCTGGTAAGCCGCCGAGAATCTCGTCGAAGGCTTCCCGGGTGGGAACACCATAGTTTCCAACTTCGGGAAAGGTGATGACTAGGATTTGGCCACGGTAGGAGGGATCAGTGAGACCTTCCGTGTACCCCACCATGCCAGTTCCGAAGACGAGTTCTCCGGCAATGGATTTGGGAGCTCCAAAGCTGTAACCTTGGAAGGCCGAGCCATCTTCGAGTTCAAGGCACATGAAGCCCTCATCCTCTGCGCCAAAGATGCGCGCAGAGGCTGGGAGCGTGACCTTGACGTCGGCCATGGTGGCGGGGTCAGGAGAAGGTGGTGAGGGCCCGGGACAGATCAAGCAGACCTCGTCAGAATCTTCCCATGGGCGTACAGACGGTATTGAAGGGTAGGCCTCTGAAAAATAAGTGTATGGTATAATGGAGCAGAAGGTTTCCGAAGCAATTGCAAAGGAAGAAAATGTTACCGAATTAGGTTGGGGAGGGGAGGGACTTTAAGAGGGGCAAGAGCTCAAGAATTTTTTTTTTCTTTTTTTTGTCCCCGTTTCGGTGAAGGTAGCGCCGGCAGAAAAAAAGAAGAAAAAAAAAGAAAGAAAGAAAAAAAACCTTGCTGTGCTTCACTTCAGGTACCTCTGTACTTGCGTAGAACCAGGCTAACTATAAATGTCTGTGTTTCCCTCTTTTGGTGCCTCTAACTCCGTATGCATGACACCCTCCTTGGGTACTTCCAATGTTCGTGCAGGGGGGGCTTGTTGAGCAAAGCCAAGGAGGTACACCCCAAGACGAGTTCTTATGACTACAACTTCATACATGCACAATTGATGATGCATTGCAAGTTGGTGTCATTGGGCAATTGATCGGGATAAATGGCCGGCTTGGAAAGTGATGCAGCATCTATCTGCACAGCTCTTACGAACCAAATGCAAGGGCCCTTCTTGTGGGAGTGAGTATCAATTTGATGTTAGCTCAGCAAAAACTTGGAGGTAAGACAACATTTGTTGACTATTGATTCCATGGAGGGGAGGCGGTTGCTGGCGATCAATTGATCAACGTCTGGTTTCCCAAAGGATACCAATGTCCTTTTTATACTAGCACTGCCGTCCCGGTTAGCTTTCCCAGTCAGGAAACAAGAAGCGGGCTGCCTCATAGTACTTCGTAAGCCAGCATCACCGCCAAGCCAGCCTCACACTTGTACGAAGTACATGCAAGAGACGGGGAGTTTCCAGGGCTCCTAAGGCTGAGGTCCATTGATGCCTTGTAAATTTGGCGTCAGCCAACAACACCAGCCATCCAGCGTAAACCCATGAAGCTGCAACCGGCCACCAAGTTTATGTCTTGGGTCTTTCGCCGGAGAAGGGGGGAAGGGGGGGTTAGAACGAGTACTGTCAAGATGGCGGGACATTCGCGGCAGAGGCTACATATGTTATTTCGGTTACCTGATATCCCCCCAATTCATCGTCCGGGGGAGATGCATGAGCAGTAGAAGACTCAGCTAGCTCCAGGGCGAAAGAGTCGCTATGAGTCTATACATCTTAGACGGGGACTGGCCAGAATGGCACACCTGAAGGAAAGTGCATTCGAAGCGAATCAACAATCCGACTTGCCCCTCCTTCGACTAAAAATTCCTCCCAACATCCACACCAATGATCGTAGTGGCTGCCATGGACTGAGTAATACTACTGTGCAACATCCCGTCGGCTGCTTCCATCCTCCCCCTCCTCCCTCACCGCCTTGTTGAATGCATGAGGATGCTAAGATCGGGTCGGCATGTGGAGTAATACGAATGGACATCTGCGCTCACCCGCCAGCCAACCAGAACGCCCGGCAAGGACAACCGCTTTCCTTTTCTCACCTAGTCGAGATCCTTGGTGTGGGGGTCTCAGTGGCCAATCTACTTCCCATTTTATCCCAGGACAGGATCACGAAGTACTTTGAGCAAGAGCCTCTTGAACACAAGATATATTTGCCAGTTACCGAAAATGCCTCCAATATCCGTCCATATACAGTATGAGGAGGTTTAGGGACTACTTTAGGTCGACTCGATATGCATCAACCAGGGCAAAAAGTATGAAAAAAACTCACCAAGTCAGGCAAATGAGGAGGACTATCCGACTCTCTTGGAGGAACCAGCCTCAATTCTTACAAACTTAATTTGGCACAGTCTCGGACCGATGTTTTCCCGACTTGGATCTTCCACAGTTTAATATTATCAAAGTCCTAGGGGATACCACGCACCAGACGTCGTGTTAGATGCTTCGGCTGACAACTTGATGACATCTTCGGTGCATGCCTCCAGCTGACCGGGGACAGCTGAGCAGCCCACTAGGGATGATTTGGCGAGTGCTAGAAAGTAGGTGTGCATCGGTCCTAGATACTATCACTATATACACAGGTACACGTCACGTTACCAGCAGTGTTCTCAGCGGTCGTCATCTGGAGAGCCGCCGGATGCCTGATGGACAGTCGATTCTTGGACGCGCATGGGAGGGCACGTCTACAGTGGAGCGGCATGGCCCGGCGCCTAGCCCAATTCAATGACTACCCAAGTACAGGGACCAGCCATCCGTAGTAGTGGGACATTGTCAAAGAAAGACACATTAATGGAATGAAATTGCCAGCTTTGTTGCAGGCTAGCTCAAACCCGCCTGGTTTGCTGCCCGGGGCACCACTTTTGAGGAGCTTGACAGTACAATGGGCAGGGGACATACCACTTGGGAGCACGGTTAAGGATCGGAACAAGCAAGGGTTGGGGAAGTACTAACAAAAAAAAAACAAGCCTTCCGTGGGTAGAGGTTGAGATTGGCGGCCAGCGGCACGCTCGAATTAGTCGGTCGCTCCTTTCCAGGCATGAGAGGGCCGCCTGGGTGCCCTTCCTTGGAGGCGGCATCGGCGCGGGTGCTGTCCGGGTTCCGGTGTTGGGGGTCTACCTTCGGCTCTTCATATGGGTCGCCCACAGAACAACACACCCAATCGCTAGGCTGAAGGCTATGTAGAACATGTTGAAATAATAGATTTATGGATAGCCACTACTAGAGTGGCATGTCGCTCATCTTTGGTGTAGTGGTCTAAATCTAACAGAATATACCTCGGTACGCCAGGGTTCTATGTTGGGCGCGGGCCGCCCTGGATGTTGGCTTGGCGTACCTCTGCGAGAGCCACGATGCAGCGACAAAGTGCCACAATTTCCAACCCCATTTCCACCCCACCTTCTCATCACGAGCCATACAGAGATATGATATTCTCACGTTCCTTGTCTACCTTTTGCCAGATCGCAAAAACTGAGAGTTGAGAATAAGAAAAATGCCTGCCCTCCAAGACATCGAATGGGACCGAGCCGAGTGCGTTGCGGCCGTCCGCGACTTTTACCACTTCCTTGTCAAAATGTACCTCCGAGAGTCGGACGTCATCGAACCACCAGCGGGGGGTTGGCCTCACATCAACCCCGTTAACCTTCGAAGCATCCGCAAGGCCAAGAGGGTCATTGGGCTACTTCGCCACTTACCATATCTCCGCCATGCGGCCGACAGTATGAACGAAGTTCAGGGGGCTTCGGATACCTTCTTTGCCGACTGGAAGACAGCTATGGAGAACACCAATACCGCCTACAAATTTAGACGCAACACCGAGGGTGGCCTCGACGTCAGATCTCCTTATCTTGTCGGCCTCACGAGTGGGAGGGAAGAAAGTAGTATCTTCATGCTGGATACCAGGCTGGCCGTTGTCTACTGGGTCGAATGTGACGGCGCGATCCGGGACGAGCCGACTTACGAGACCATCGAAGACGATGCCTATGGCTACGCGCATCCCGATGAGGCGGAGTGGAGGGCAGACTCTGGGACCTGGACTGTGACGGATTTTTTTGAGACTCTGAAAGACCAGTTCCGAGAGTTGAAGTTCGTTCCTGTCAGCCGGCATAGGGTCTACGATGTATACACCCATGGTATGCCTGAGGGAATGTTGGAAATGGTCCAGAGCATCTATCGCGAGCACGGCTGGCCTGACCTAGAGCAATACCGGAAAACGGAGTGTCTGCAGGCTATTCGCAAGGCCCTGCACGTACACTACCCCGGAGAGCGGAGTTTCGAGCTCGAGGAATAATACGACACAAGGTTCCACATGTTACTCCTAGAGCTGAACTACCCCAAGACAAGTTCTTATGACTACAACTTCATACATGCACAATTGATTGATACATTACAAGTTAGTGTCATTTGGGCAATTGATCGGGACAAATGGCTGGCTTGGAATGTGATGCAGCATCTATCTGCACAGCTCTTACGAATTGTATCGGTTATGAAGTGCATTGGACGGGCAGCTGGGCGACTATTAAGAGATCAACGCCTGCCTGGTCTTTTAGCCAGGTATTAACTTCCTAAAACTTACAAAGCACGAAGTACTGATGTCCTATTAATACTAGCAGTACCGTCCCGGCTAGCCTTCCCAGTCAGGAAACAAGATGCGGGCTACTCAGTCCCAGGGTACCTGTCGCTCGGTCAAGCCTGGCTCGCAATCCTACTCTGTATGAAGGACACCCGCGAGACTGAGAATTCCCAAGGCTGGGGTAGTACTGCCCTTGTAAACTTGGCGTCAGCCAACAAGAAACCCATTGATCAATTGACTCTTTGGGCAAGGGCTGGAACTATCGAGCACTTTTTAAGACAGCGGGACATTTGTGAATCGGTAGTTGAAAGTGCGAAGGCTATACATGTCATTCGGCAACCTGGTCTCGATCTCGATCCAATTAACGGCACAGGAAACTGGTGAGAATGGCATAAGCTTCGAAGATGCAAATTGCCTGGACTTGGGAATTCTGAAGCGAATCAATAAACTGTGCCCCGGCTTGCCCCTCCTTCTGCTAAAAGTTACTCAATCCGTCAAGTGGTACTGGCTGCTCTACCCTGTGCAACATCCCGTCGGCTGCTTCCTTGATCCTCTCCCTTGGCCCTCACCGCCTTCTTGAATGCATGAGCATCAGATCGGGTGAATGTATACTCAGCCTGCGAGCCAACCAGAACGCTAGGTAAGGGCAATCACTTACCTGGTCTGGGTCCCTGGTGTGGGGCTCTCTTGGACTTGAGCCTCGAACTTCGCAGCTTCTTCAGCCAAGACCTTCCCGGCACCATTTTCTGCTGATCAATGGATAGGATGCCTGTCAGTTCTTACAGGGCCTTTCAACTTCTTCCCGCAGGGACTGGTATGCTACCGTTGGCTACCAACTGCTTCCTTTCCTTTGGATGATAACCTGCTTCGCCCAACAGAATCACCATCCACGTAACAAGAAAGGACCAGTATCCGA